CCCTAACCCTAACCCTAACCCTAACCCTAACCCTAACCCTAACCCTAACCCTAACCCTAACCCTAACCCTAACCCTAACCCTAACCCTAATCGCTCCCTACATTTTCCTCTACGGTGAAGCAGCTGTCTCACCGCCGCTGCATCTCACCCCGTTATTATGTCGCGGGGGAACACTCCTTCCCTACCAAATATGCAGCAGTATCATGAGATGCAACTTGCACACTAATTCCCTTCTGAACACATCCCAACTTCTTCCCTGTCCAAATTTCCGTAACTTCGAACGCCGGTACCTCTGCTTTCTGCCCCTTCACTAAGCCTGGGACTTCCTGGAACACAATCGTTCTCTGGGACTTTTGTTGAAGCGTATTCAACGCCAAGACTAAGAAACCATTCTTGCTCTCTCCGCTCCAATATTCTGCTGGACGATCGGCATCGAAAGTCCAGTCGGCATTGACGCCCCACTTATACGGTTGCGCAGGCTTCCCAAACTCGTTATCCTGATGGAAAGCCAGTAAGTGCGCGTTCTTTAGAATGGCCACCTTCTCGGCAGCCAACCTATCAAGAGCAGTTCCGATAATCAAAGGACTTTTGATTGCAGCCCAGAAAGCAAAATGGGATCTGCTTTCTTCCATAGTGAGGTTACCATTTCCGATGTGGAGCATGTCAGCATCATTATGCTCCCAAAAGTCTGCGTATGCGCTTTTGAAGGACATCTGGTTCAGGATCTCGGAGACGCGCCACCATTGAGGCGAGATATCCCCAGTCATACGCCAGCTGCTACCAAGTTGATGTCCCCACTCCTCGACAGCTGCGTGGCCCCAATTACAAAGACTATACAGTATTGTCCTGTTTTGAGCGAGTAGCGCATCACTCATCTGCTTGTACCGTTTGTATTCCAGACTTGTTGTCCAGTTGTATCCCGAAGGGGGTGTCCTGGCGCTTTGGCCACATGTGCCGTTGTGGTAAGGGCCGTATGCACGGTAGTCATCAGGGACGCAGAAGTCGTATGGATCTTGCCAGTTGTCCGGAACATAGCAGTTGTCATATTTTAGGTAGTCGATTCCCCACGATGCGAAGGTGGCTGCGTCAAGGCCTTCTTTATCGAGAGAAGCGGGGTATCCTGCGCAGGTCTTGGTGCCGGCACTTGAGTAGATTCCCACTTTCAGTCCAAGACCATGGATTTTATCTGCGAGACCGCGGATGCCCGTAGGGAACTTGACTGGGTCAGGAATAATCTTGCCCGTCACCTTGTCCCGTCCATCCTTTACAGCCCAGCAGTCATCAACTATAGAATTAGTCAGAATAAATGTTGCGGGTGGGAAAGCATGGAAACGAACCGTTGATATAATTATAGCCAGCGTCTTTGAGTCCGAGACTGACCACTTGTTTCGCCGCAGTCATGATCTTATCCTCGGTAATGTCGCAGTAGAAAGCGTTCCATGAGTTCCACCCTAAAGCTGGGAGTCTACCCTACACGAGGTTTAGCACGGATCTGAAACAAATAACAGTAGACTCACAGTGCCATCTTTGTACTCTAGAGCTTGAGTACAAAGAGCAGTGCCCAACAATAAGACTCCTGTTGAGGAAGCTCGCATTTTGAAGTCTAAATGGATTCCGGTTTTCTGGTGATCTGAATTGTCCGACTTGAAAGACAACTCGCATATTTTACGATAGAACGAGCTTTCTTTGTCTTATAGAATAATGTGGAATCTAATCATGGAGATCGCTTTCATCAAACCACATGATTAGATCAACATACATAGCGGGGTGCAATAAGTTTGCACCCCCTCTCGCCGCCAAGACTTTGCTCCAGGGCATTTTTGATGCGTAGCTTTGATTACGAAAGCGTAAAACTGCACATCTGTCATCACGCTAGAGCGACAGGAGGGGCAAACTTATTGCACCCCACTGTACATTAAACCGTATCCGGAGTCTTTCCCTCCGTGTCCTGTGTGGTTAGGAACAGGCTTAATAGTGGAAATTAACTTCGATCCTTTCGCCCCTTCCCTACAGTCGGCGAAATCAAAAGATTTGGCTCTTAATTTGTATTGCAATTATTACTAAATGGTTCTGTTGCATTTTCGCCGTGGATATTTGGTAAATATAATATATACAACGTTTTATTATCTAAGCGTACTAGTTACAATGAAATAACAGTATAATGTTCTCTTCGGAAAATATTACTAGGCTTACGACTTGTTGGATTCTCAGCATCGCATTGGTCAGAATCGCCTTAGCTAGTCCCAAAGCGGCATAACTCTATCACGTGCCGGTCGGCAGCTAGATACTTACAATCCAATCCTTCACCAACACCACAGTATTACAGCTTATCTTTGCAAGACCTTAGTTAAGCTACGATACGACGTGTTAATTTAGTAAACCGACACGACTTACTTAGAAAATTAATTATTGATATTTCAAATTACAATTCCTCTGGACTTCCTGATGTTCCCGCTCGATTGTACCAATATCTAATGCTACATATTCCGCTTATGCGCCGGCCGTCTTACTTTCGCCGACTGTAGGGAAAGGCCCCGATGGGAGCGAAATCTACTCCGACGATTAAAGCCTAAGTCGTCTAGTAAGAGAATCACCTACCTTTACTTTCCCAGATATTGTGAACGGCCGCCACTACGGAGGGACTCATCCCATCTTGGCATTTTCCCGCCCTACTATTACACCACGCTCAAAACCTCTTGGGTAAGTGCTAGCACGCCGGTACCACACTAGTCATGTATACCAAGAGCTATTCACTTATTCTCATGGCACATAGAGTCAGCTGCAAGAGCTTCTATAGGCGGATTAAATTGTCCGTTACTCTTGACAAGAGAAATGAGCATGAACAGTAGGAAATTCAGTCAATTATCGGTCCGTCGGATAGAGGGTTTAGGGAGAAGGATTCGATGTTTATAAGGCGTTCATCTTTGGCTTCGTACAGTATATTTTATTACCATTCGACAGACATTGGGTATCGGTAGATCTATACTATATATCTTAGAAAATGAAGTACCTTAACACGTTCCTTTGGGGGCTCGCTACAGTTCTCCCCTCTTCTTATTCAAGCTGCACCATCTGGTACCCTAATAAATACAAATGCTGATAGCAATGCAAAAGCTCTTATAGCATATTTGTTAAGAAATTATGGCAGCCGAACATTGTCGGGCCAACAGGACGAGTCTTCTACAGTCTGGGTGACTCAGACCATTGGGAAGACTCCCGCAATCACTGGTTTTGATTTCATGGATTATTCCCCATCTCGCGTCGCATACGGTTCGAGCTCTACCAACGTGGAGCAAGCCATTGCTTGGGCACGAAGGGGAGGTATTGTGACATTCTGCTGGCATTGGGTATGTGTTCTCTGTATCTTTCATATGGACTTCATCCGCACCAGTTGAGCTAATCAGACATAGGGTTCTCCAACTGGCGCTTACAACTCCGCTTCCCAGCCGTGGTATTCCAATTTTTATACTGCTGCAACTAACTTCGATGTCGCTGCAGCTATGAACGACCCCAACTCGAACAATTACAAACTTATTGTACGCGACATTGATGCCATCGCTGTACAACTGAAGAGACTCCAGGCAGAAGGCATTCCTGTCCTCTGGAGGCCATTCCACGAAGCTGATGGAACATGGTTTTGGTGGGGAGCAAGGGGGGCCGAACCATGCAAGAAGCTCTGGGCTCTTCTATACGACCGGCTCACCAATTACCACAAACTCAACAACCTCATCTGGGTATGGAACTCGGTGAGCAGCTCTTGGTATCCGGGTAACAATATGGTGGACATTGTCTCGACCGATGTTTACGCCTCTGCAGGGAATCACGATGCTCAAACCTCCACTCACAATTCTCTGAAGTCTCTCTGTGGGGACACGAAAATCATCGCCATGGCAGAGTGTGGTGTCATTCCTAATTGGTCCAGTAGCGCACCTTGGTCATGTTTGGGTGGTTTGGGGTGGAGAATTCATCGATGATGGAAAATACAACTCGAGGTCGTTCCTGCAAACCACTTACAACTCCCAAGATGTTTTATCCTTGGATGAAATCTCAGGATGGAAATCAGGAAATAGTCCAACAACTCGACCATCCACAACACCTACAGAGGTTCCATCGGGCAATGGCTCCCCGCTGGTTGGTATTTCTCGTCTTCGCATCCCACGTGTTGCTAATTTTACCCGTAGTATGGACAATGTGGTGGACAAGGATGGGCAGGCCCAAGTACTTGTGCTTCAGGGACTTGTAAATACTCAAATCCTTGTAAGTCCTGACACCTGACGATTGATCACTCCTAGTAGCATACTAGGATTGCTAAAACTTTATAGCGTATTCTCAATGTCTGCCGTAACTGGTCCGGCAGAGAAAGCCCTAAACGAAAGTTGCCTGAACCACAAATCTAGATCTCCATGTTCTAACGGTTTACGATTTAAGAAAGGGGAGCCTTTTTCAAATTTAATTGATAGTGCAAGAGTTGAGGAAGAGGTGAGGGCAGGAATGGTTTGAATTGTACTTAGCTTTACTAAAAAGTGGCATAAGCTCGAGCTTTCTATAGAATCTTTGTAGACCTGATTCGCCTGTACAAGAACCTTAATCATCAACTTTAAGGGCTTGCAAAATTCACGCTCATAAAACAGCGCAAGAAACGATTTGTTGATAGAGGTGCTTAAAAATATTCACTGGTGGACCAGCTGCGACGAAGGGGAGAACGAAGAGAACATGAGTGGTTGTATATAGTTATAGATGGTTGTAGATAGGGGTGTTTGTCTCGCAGTGATAAGAGTTCATATAAAAGAGTCAAGGTCAAAAGTTTGAAGGTGACGAATTGCCTTCAGCGCTGTAGCTATGTAACCTGACCTTCAGCAATTATTGTTGTGGAAGGCACTCCACGGATTCAAAGTCACAAGAATTAATCGGCTATCTCAATGCCGAACAAGCTGTCAATAGATGGCTTTCACATGTGCAAATCGCAGTGATGATTGTTTCAGATTGAATTATTCGTGTATAAATATAGGATGATTCTCCTGCCACTTCAGAGAGTAAATAGGATACACTGTTTCGTAAGGTATGTCTTTCGTCTTAGTACTATGAGTCGTGTCTCAAAAACTCAGGTAAATTGGGAGAAGAAAGACCATGTCTCGGGAGGCGTGAAGCTCTTCGGGCTGTTGTCGCTGGTCGGCCCATACGCCGGTGCCCCAACACGACCCCCGTCGTACGCGACCCACCATACCGAAGCCTTTTTCATATGTACCTGCGGCCGCACCTACGCATATGCCGACAAAGTACATTGTTTAGAAAACCAAAACTGGGAGACGATGCCGCATGTCTTTAAGACGACTTGTCGTTCGGAATCTTAATACCTTCGTCACGAGAATGGTCTGTCTGATTGCGTAACAACTTAATTATCTGTTTCCTAGTAGCGCAGTGACAAGCTGCTGCTATGAGGAAACCTATCAAGCTAAGCTTTATTTACATGCGATCTCTCCACATCCCAACGTGGTTAACAACCCCACGCCTTTGCTTCCGAGATTGTTGTTTCCGAATCCTCCAGCCTTGCTCACTATACCATTCTAATAAACGTCGGTAATACCATGACTTACCGCACTTGCAAGTCTCACCCGCCCAAATTGTAGAAATAGTAAAGTCATGGGCACCTAAAGACTTGTTAGTATGCATAATGCAAAACTTTTGAGACGATAACGTACCATACTGAGATTGAGCTGTTCCCGAAAATCACCCGGCAAGAGCAATGGCGGCCTTCAGGGGTTCATACCAGCAGTTTGCCAATTTGGTATTTCCGGAAGAATTGGGGTGAACTCGATCTATAGTGTCAGAGGTTGTGTTGATTCCTGTCCAGCAATCCACTACAGTGATTGGTGATGCCGCAGTCGATTTGTTGGGTGCCCAAGCACGGATAGCAGCATTGAATGCGATCACTCGTTGCCCACAATCCGAACATGAACTTGGGTTCATAGGCGTAATCTGCGCTACTAGGACTCTCATAGTCGATTTCTGAGCTCGCATCTGGTTCACAAGTGTGTCGAAGGCTGCTATGATAGTAGCTGGAGCAATGTTACTCCAAACATCATTAGTTCCTAGTTCTAGCATAACAATATCTGGCTTCGATTGGGAGAGCCACCCTGGGAGTTGATTGTCTCTAACGATGCCGGTTGCGAGAAAGCCACCATGACCGTCATTCTCTCCATCATAGCTAAAACCGCAACCTTGTCCGGAGAGAGTCCCGACAAAATCTGTGTTCTTCACACCAGCGGCTTGCAGCTTTTGCCAGAGGATCGCTCGCCAACATCCCTAAGAAGTGTTAGTGTTGCTTCCTCTAATTTCACGAGAGACATACGGGAGATCCAGTGATACTGTCACCAAGTGCATTGATCCTGACTGTTTTCTGTGATGTTGCAAGAGAGGAAAGGCCCAGAATGGCGCTCAAAATCGATACAAGCTTGAGACCAAACATTGTGTATACTGACTGGATATCACGGACGATGTTGAAGATTTGGGTACGGAAATTGCTTGCTGTTAAAGAAGTGACATCTCTTTTAGACCGACTTCAGACCACGCGCCTGTTAATCTTTTTCGGCAGATCGTAGCCTGGCCTTTGTCAGGTTTACAATCGCGGAGGATAGTGTCCCGGGCCTACTCATTTTACTTGCATTTTAAGGACTTGATTTGAGTAAGTTAACAATTCAATTCATTATGTTGCCCTAGACCTTGAACTAGAGTTTGATACAAAGTACTTCTGTAGTAGCGGAGGATGACGTTCCGAGCCTCGTCACTTGACCAATGTTACATGTTGAGCACCTTACTCGTGCGTTTAACGAGTATGAGGCTGAATACTTAGTGCAGCATGCACTAATTTAATTACTAGCTTGGGATGGTAAACGAGGATCTCCATGCACTGGCTTTAATGTGTGGCTTCGAACTAACACGTGGCACGTGTGGCACGCGTGGCAAAGTCATTAATTGATCTTACGTACTACTTAGTTAGATAACTGTAATTGACTTTTGGTATTAATAAGGAAGATTCTCTGGAGCACCTGATGCCGGAGCGGGTCTACACTATAAATGGAGCGCATAGGAGAGAGAGGAGCGGGGGAACCACAGTGAGTAGTAAGGATCCCAAGTTTCAGAGAGAGAAGAAGATTCACTGCCGGGTTAAGATCAACTGTCATATTTTAATATAATTCAATGTCACGTTTGCGATCTAATATGAACAAAATTTTATGTACGGCCCGACGAGGGATGTGAAACAAAACAAATAAGTTATCGTTTCCTACAATAGTGATACAAGCCCATAACACCTACTGATTCCATTCTGTGAAGCTCTTCCATCACCTACCAATTCTATGCTCAGAAGTCAACTCCATCCCCAAAACCAACATGAAACCAACAATCCTCCTCGCTGCCCTTGCGGTATCGGGAGCTGCAGGCCATACTATTATGCAGAAGATATCCGTCAATGGTGCAGATCAAGGCCAGCTTAAAGGCGTGAGAGCACCTGATAGTGATTCCCCGATTATGAATGTGAACGATGCAAACTTTGCTTGTAATACATGTATCAAATACAAGGACAACACTGTTATCAACGTCCCGGCTGGTGCCAAGGTAGGGGGCTGGTGGGGCCACGTGATTGGAGGCGCTCAGGGTTCAAACGACCCTGACAACCCAATTGCTGCAAGTCACAAAGGTACGTACAAGGGATCCAAACCAAGGCTCAAATATCACAGCTTAGTCAAGAGGTGTCGTTAACTCTACGTAGGTCCTGTTATCTACTACCTTGCCAAAGTAGATGATGCAGCGACAACTGGTACCACTGGGCTGAAATGGTTCAAGATCGGCGAAGAAGGTCGTAGCAATGGCAAGTAGGGTGTTGATACTATGATTGCCAACAAAGGCTGGCACTACGTTACTATGCCCTCCTGTATTGCTCCAGGTAATTATCTCCTTCGAATCGAGGTAATCGCCCTCCACAGTGCTGGTAGCAATGGCCAAGCACAATTCTACATGGAATGTGCCCAAATCAACATTACCGGATCTGGAACGAAAAGTAGCACAAACACTGTTAGTTTCCCGGGAGCCTACAAATCTAGTGATCCTGGAATCCTTATCAACATCTACAACAATTCAGGACAGCCAAACGGTGGTGGCAGAGCATACACTGTTCCCGGCCCTCAAGTCTTCACATGTTGAAGCAGTGGCATGAAGGATTTTAAGCATTGGCACTGCTTAGCCTAGTAAGTATCTCAAGATCCGAAATTGGAAATTGGGCATTATCTGACTACTAAAGACCAATGTGTTCCACCAATGTTTATTGCAACCCATACCAGCTACTCTTCAGCGTTCAGCAGGACTGATTAAGCTTTCGTTTCTTAGTCTAGAGAAGTTTGTGACAGATACACCATATTTATTTTCGGGTGTTTCACATGTCAAATCGAGATCACTTATGACCTTGTATATATTCGTACAATAAGACACTTCTTATTACAGCATTAAATACTACACCTGTCGGAGTCCAGTACATTCATTTGTGACGAGGTCAAAGATGTCATACTTTGTATAGCCTCTCGTGAATGCAACTCGCGACAGAGGTTCCTCGGTGTCTACGGTGTCGCTCCTTCACGTTGTCTACCTCAGACTTCTCCACATATAAGTTGCTCACATATGACTTCTCCACACATAATTTGCTCGCATACAAGTGGTCCACATATAGCATGATTGAAAGAAAAACTTGTACTTTGTACAGGCTATAGATTTTGTACAGTTTTTAATTAATGCGTATCAAATGCTTAGTAATGCCGCTCTTTTAATTACCCCAGTATTTTGTGTAGCCGCTATCTACCAAAATTACTTTAATACATCGATTGCTTATAGGCCTTATAAAATTCCTTAATTGTAGCCTCCGTAATTGATTTCTAGGCCTCTAGAACCACATTTCTTAGTATAGGATAAGAGCTATACACCTCTAGGTAGTTCTTTTAGTTATAATTATTTATTTTATCCTAAATCGTCTTAATTAGTTTTAAGTCGGGTAAGTTAGCTGGCAAAAAGAAGGCTTTATTTAAATTGCCTTAATAGCTAACCTAGTATAGGTAGAAGTATATACTTTTGCGTTATTTTATTAAAAATAGAGCTCCGGATACTCCTAAATTATCTCCTAAATATTAAGGGGATAATAATCCTAGAATAAGAACCCTGATTTATTATCTCCTAATCCTTCTTCTAAAGAGTCCCTTATACCTACTATATTTGCTAGATATACTACCTTAAAACATCTACCCTATCTTTCTTTAGTAACGGTCTTCGACACAATATCGAAGTACTAACTCTTCTAGATATAGGACACGCTAATTCTTATTAAAATATATTATAATACTCTTTAAATAGAAGTAGACTAGTCTCGGCTAATATTACTTAAGTTTAAAGCCTCGAGAACGTTATTAAAGTCCTAGTAATAGTAAATATAAATAAGAATCTATAAAGGTCGTATATATTCGATAATAATTAATACGTAATCAATAAACGATAAGATAGATTCTCTATATAAAACTTAGTAATTATTAACTCTATAGAATTTAATATAATATTATTATATTATAATTTAAAAAGTAGAAGTTTTTGTAGAGTTATTTATAATTTATATATAAAGCCGAAAATAGATAGAGGACTTTCGCTACGTAGGGATATCGTTTAGGAAGGCGTAAATAAGGTAAAGCATTAGACGTTAGTGCTAACCTAGTGTCCGCTCGCTGACAGGCCATGTATAATACGAAAGAGGGTCTTAGGTAGGTCTCGTAGACCTATATATTCAACCTACCCATTAAAGCAATTAATGGAGTATATAGTTTTAGTTTTACTAAAAAGCTTTATAATTAAATACTATTTTACTAATAAACTATTTTCTTAAAAAATCTATTACTTTATATTTTTTAAGAAATAAGTATTACGATCGCGAAGTATAAACCTTTTACGAAACAAATATCGCGACCGAAAACTATAAACGTTTCACGAAGGAAACATTACGACCGGGAATTGAGCAATATGCAGTTTCGCAGCTCCGAAAGGAATTAGTTTTAGCTTCATCTTCTTCGACGCATCTACTATAGGATTAATCGGCGGCAGCGCTGCTGTGTCCTTTTCCACCGGCCACTCAATCGGGTACGCATTAACTGAAAGCGCAGTAGGAGGCCCATCTCTAGCAAATACAGGATTCGGCAATGCCTTACTCTCACTCCCGGTTTCCTCTACCGCCACGGTCGAAGGATCGATTGCAAATTGCCAATCAGATACAGGCGTCAGAATATGATCTTTTGCGCGCGGGTCGACTTCTGAGTCGTCGAGTGGCGTGCGATCGGTCCAGTTCAGAGCCCGATGCGCCGTCTCATTGTATTCGATGTCGGCTGCGTAGAGCAGTGGACCGTAATAGACTCCTACAGTTTGGTTTCGGGTCTCGATGTGAATCTCCATGGGTAAGGTGATGACAATCTCGGTGGTCCCTTTCTTGATAGAAGTCCGTTGTAAACTAGAAGAATCCGGAGCCAAAGGCACCTGCTTGCCGCGCCTGATTTGTATCGATGACTTGTTGAGTGAAGTTGTAGCCCAATCGGGAATCCTGACAGCGAAGTTGAAGTTTGTACCTGACGTGATACTATACCTGGTATTTGGTGTCGCAATCCACTACTTTCATGTTAATCAACTATTCACAGTCTACTCAGTGAAATGCGCGTCAATTTACCTTTAACATTCTTGCCATTAATGACAGTTTCTAAAATTGTCGGTCCAAGCAGCATATGGACAACTCCGTCTCTTCCATCATTGGCGTATGCGGATGCAACGTATTTGGGGTAGGCTTGAGGGTGATTCACTGTACAACAAGGCTACCTTCATATTAGCCTAGAACATTAAAAAGACCCGCTGAAAATGGTAATCCTACAAAGTTTGGTTCAAGGCCGAAGGTATTGGCATAAGTTACCACGTTGAAGAAAGGGTTGACGGATGTCAGATTCCTCGCCCATGGCTGATTTGTCTGTGTGACATATTGGTGAGACCACCCTAAATCGTGTAAGTCTCTCTCGTCACAAAAGAACTTCAAAAGACAGTCATACAATCTGGACTTATTGCCGCTGGCAATGCATTGAATGCGGCACGCTCCGCTCTATCAGCGAAATCGTTCGACCCATAAAAGCGATAGAGATAAGCATATGAGAACATCGATTCGACCGCCATGCAGAGTTCGGACCTACTTGACGTTAGAAACGAATTGCCGAGGAGATTCAACTTATGAGTACCCTCTCTGAGGACTGAGCGCGCCGAGATGCTCATCACCAATGATAGTACCGGAAAGTGACGTTTGGTACTTGGCTGTCATATCAACCGCATCACGCGTTTGTTTTGGCAGACTTTCATTCCCTGTAATCCGATACAAAACTGTAGGGTACCGTAGACCTGATCTTGTTAGCGAACTGCCAAGAAGATACAATTTATAAGTAAATACACTTACCTTGGGCAAGATTGACGCCATGAGTGAAACCAGACGTTTTGAATGTGCCAGTACCTTGTTTTGGGAAAACGCCCTCGACAAAGAATGTTGTCCAATCACGACCTCCTTGCTTACCGCCTTCGAACAGGAGGTCAATTGTCTCCAAAATCATTTGAGAGTTATCGCGAGGGTAGTGCTCATACAACCACATCAATGAGACCGGTAGCTCATGTGTGCGTGATAGTCCGAACCCATAAGGATCAAAATTATCTGCCTCAGATTTTTGCTGGATGAGACCAGTAAAGTTGTTCTGCAGCATAGAATGAGTGAGTGCGACAAACTTGTGCATGGCGTCTACAATTCGCGTTGTTTGTGACGGATCCGCCTCTGCGTATTGCTAAGATTCCGTCAATTAATTCACTCCATCTTTAGCACCAGATGCAAACTTACAGTCAATCCGAAGCACAACAAGCTCCTAGCCCAAATACCACGAGTCTGCCGTGTGGTCTCCGGGCCAAGCCAGCCATCCTGAGCTTGGTGTTCAAGAACGTAGTCCAAAAAGTACCTGGCTTGGTCTTTGAGTCTCTGATCATCGAGTGTCCAGGCCAGAGGAACAATGTAGTTGAACCAATACGGCGCAGACTCATGCAACTCGCTGTACTCAAAGGTCCCTCCTAGCCATGTCGAGCGACTGACATAGCGGTAGAAATCAAAAAGGTGGCCTCCAAGCCCATTTGCTGACAGCTCAAGCTGATCTTTGAGCCAACCTGAGGAGTGTATAGATCCTAGAGGAAAGCTATCGAACTTGAACGGCAATAGACCTGTTGCTTGTTAGTTTGAATGGCTCCGAAACTTCTGGAACTAGCGACCGACTTTTTGTTTGATTTTTGTCTCGAATCTCCATGGCAAGTAACGCTGGAGAAAAGCACAGGGGAAGCAAGGCAAAGTTGAAGAACTTCATGTGGTCAGTTTATCCGAATATGTTCACGCTGAGTGGATAGTATATCGCACTTCTTGCTTCGTTCAAACTCACGACGAATTACTTAAATAATAATATGCCACAAGACCGCCACTAGAAGAAATCTGAACCCACCCAGATGAAAGCGAGAAATATGCAAAACATCCGGGCAAACGGTCGGACCCTGAAGGTTCATACTCGACGATCAGTGACGGTTCAAACCACGATGAAGTCCGGGGTAAATTGGTGTAAATCTGTTTTCGGCCAAGCTCAAAAGTGCGATGCGGAGAAGGTGTGGGGTAAGGCACCTAGTATTGCGGAGGGTTCGCCGGTGAATCGTCCGGCAATGTGAAATAATATCTGATGAATTTAAAACTTTTGAGAACATATCAAACGTAGTCGAGTTGGAATGGTACGAATTAAATGTATCAATCCTATTTCATAGATAAGATAAGACGGTAAAGAGGTATGCAGGTTACGCCGTTCGAGGAGGAGCGTAGAGAGACCACATGATCTGCCGACTAAAGATCATTAATTTGTTGATGGAAAAAGCGTTTAACGACGTAATAAGATCTAGTGGCATAACAAGAAACTACTGGTGAACATAGGAATTAATTGACAGGGTTATAAGCTAAAAACGTTAAAGTGACATTACTTTGTATTATTACGGCCACAGCTCGTGCGCACCTTAAACGAACCCTGCCAAATCAAAACTGAAGTTGAAATTCAATTTCTGTTTCAAAAGAAAGTCTTTTGCCGTGAGCACTTGGTAAATCATTCATTAAACTTGCCATTCTTCTATTTAGATAATATTCTCTAACTTGCAAGTCGTTTACAGTGTATGTGGAATATAGTCACATGAATCTACAAAGTGCTAAAGCCTCTGTATCATGGCTCGGTAACTGCGCACTAGAATCCGAGTCAATAAATAATATCTTGGCGCTTCTTTTACTAGCCGCTAGATTTATATCAGCTTTGAATTGGAAGATCTTGTTGTAGAGAATTTTGACACCAATATTGCCATAGATTTCAGCGGCGATCAATGAATACACTAGTGAAGTCGAAAACCTTACTCACATCTTGTCTGGCATACATAAACGTGTCTTGGTAAGATCATTGGCAAGCTACAGGCCTGGGTAACCGCAGACGAGAGAACCGTAGAAGTTGCATAGCACGAAGATGAAGCCTTGAGCAAAGACAATGTCTTTACAAAAATCGTAAGATTGGCCCTTACTACTATTATCAACAGCCGTTAGGTAATTGCTGACATATTCGAGTTACTGGCGACTAGCATGGGGCGTTCCCAAAACATTCTACAGGCATCTACATTATTGGGACCGCTGTGAACTTCGACGTCAACGCCCATGCTGTAGGTGATAATGAGCACATTTATACTGATACCAGAATTAGCCAGCCCCCTATATTTCTGCAGCGCTTTACTTAGTGGTTAAAAAGGATTATTAACAATGGCAAAAATGAGACAACGGACGGCGTAGAACACAACTTGGCAGCGGTGTCAGCATCCTTCGTATTCTTGGGGGATAAAAGCTGCCTTGCCCGATTGTGTGTAAGTAGATGTCGGTAGTATGTTTTCTTTTTCACTTAGGTACTGATTCAATTGACCGATTAGTCTGTGAGCAAGCTACAAATCGGAGTACAGAATTGAGAAATCAAAAACACGAAGTTTCTTGAGGCGAAAGTTTGCAGATGGCTTGTCCTTTACTGATAATAATAGCATCCATGTTGCGAAAACAATCCCATTAGTTAATTTGGTGAGCTACTACGAGAACTTCTGAGTTGGCCCGATAAAGTAGGATGTGTTTCGTATGGTCGACCGGGTATTCTGAATTCGATGTTACTATAACTCTTTATAAGGAAGAAGTGCAAGAGTCTGGACCAAGACATCCAATGTGAAAGAATGCCAGAATTGGAAATTAGCCAGTCAAAGACCGTAAGCCGCACATAAAGAATAAAACTTTATACATGGCCAGAGCTTCAAAGACAGTGCAAACGCAATTCTAGCCTGCTAGGAAAGTGTGCCCGTTAGAAACTAAGTCTGTTACTATACCAATCAATACCGTTAGATAATCAATTAATCCTCGACCACTCTGGAAAAGAAATCAACTAAGTACTTGAGAAAGAACAAGGCTGGGAAATTTCTGGTGATTAAGTTAAACAATGCGTCTCAAGTGGCAGCATGAGGGCTTTTCAAAGCATTCTTCCATTCATCGTCACTTTCTCCACGATAGACGTCCAAATTTTCCATATTATCGACCTTCCTGCCGCTGATAGGACCCTTCCAGACGACGTTCAAGTGCCTCATTATGCCTCTCAAGGGTAAAAAGCGCGACGCTTCAAGTCACTACGTTGAAGGGAATGGGAAACGAGCGACAGGCTGAAGTTCGTTCCAGTGAAGTAATTCTCCCTGGGAAAAGTCCTGGTACGGTACATTTAGTTTTCGAAAGTGAGAAGTGTGATATTGTGAGGCTTCCTGTACTTAGGACAAATATAACAGGTCTGCTAACTATTGAAAGAAAGGATAAACACATTCACCAGCCATCAAGCCCCAGGTAGACTACGCTTCATAGGTCTTCTACCGCTCAACTTCTTGTATGAACGAAGTTGAACGAGACCACGTTTCACCCGCCCCTATGTCACAGATGGATCTCGTCTGAAATTTTAGCATGTACCAATATAGTTGGTGGTCAAATTACTAAATAAACTCCAAGAATATTATCTACTACCCCGTCTATTACGATGGTTTCTCGCATGACTTTGTCAGGGGAAAACGTGCTTCCTGGATTGATTGTGGTACTGACAATACTTATTCGAAAGCTGTGCCTGGTAATTTCTGCCCACTATAATTCTCCGCTCAGTAGCAGGGAAAAACTGCGGAAGATTAATTTACCTGGACCAAGTTGTATTGCTTCTACTGTGAAAACTCGTCGTCACTTTGATAGACAATTGTCACTATTCTTTTCTATATCTGAAATTAATGGGACTTTCAAAACCCTCCCGCGATATGCTCATATCACTTGGTGGTGGTGGTCAGATGCTGGTTGAAAAGGATATTTCACCGATAGTACGTCGATAAGTTTGACTTCCATGTGCAAGTACTTGCGGATCTCGGCGCATGGCGTCGAGAATTTTGGGAACGATATACGGAACGAAGGGGAGTTCAACAGTTGAAGTAGGGTTATTGGAGATCTCACGCAATTATATGAAATGGAACAATTCTTGCAGTTCCTGGTCAAAAAACTTGGAATAGGGTAGTCTGGATTGAATATATTTTAGACACCAAGACACTAACTAAGTTAAAAAGATTGCTGTGAATCTTCAGGTAATTTATTCGGCCCTGGTAGTACACCAGTCTCTTCTCAACAACAAAATATCCAATGGCAGAAGCCGTAAAATGTCAGTCGAGATCTTACGGTAATCTGCTTGCAGGTGAAATTCTTTGTACTCCTCTTCATTAAATGGCGATGCTATGCCGTTCATGCGAGTCGAGAGATTAATCTCGAAATCAAAAGCGCGCTCATGAGTTTCAGCAATTCAAACCTAAAGTGACCTTCTTCACATCCCAACTTTTGCAGTTTCCTCATCTAACCCTTCGTTGCAAAGAAAAGATCGCCCCAGCTAGGCATATCGTTTGCGGTGACACGACGCTCACCACCCAGCGCATCTGTAGCCTGTTTAGCCTTTAAGGTCCAAGGATTTTGCAGCTTATTCGCAACAGCGCTGTAGTGCAAAATATCCCACACCTGCTTTTGGATCCCTCGCTGATCCGTAGATATCTTAGACCAAGGCCCATTGACAAGCACCGCCTCGCAACGATAAAACTTCGGATCGTATGGCACAGTTCCGTTGAGATTGTACTTTGCTGTGTACTCGGATCCTTTGAGCAGCAGGTTATTTGCATAGGTAAACAAGTTGTAGCCTTGGTTGTTTACCACACGGGCTGCCAATGCCAGCCACCCAAGTCCGGTCATGGAGTGACTTTGGTCTCTTCCGGATTCAGAAGATTGGCCAGTGCTTGAATCAATGGTGGATTCAATACCAGCACAAAGGTCGTTCTTGTACGCGTACAACGCATAGTTATACATGGCCACATCATCGAGGTATATTGCGAAGCTGAGAAGAGCCTTGATCGATACAATCCCGTAGTTGGCTTGGCCAATGATGACGCTTTGGCGAGCGAAAAGCCAGTAGAGCTGAATACTAAATCCAGATCCTCCCTGCCACTTTGCTCCTTGCTCGACCCATCCACCTTCCCATCGCATGATCTCTGCGGCATTAACAAAGAGGTCTCCATCGAGACCAATCATCAATGATCGATCGGTACCAATGATGTTAGTAAGATTTGAGCCCCAGGCATCAAGAATTGTCGTGCTTCTTTTCCAGTGTGCGTCGTCTTTGGTAATGTACCCTTCACTAAGTCAGCTTGGCCATTTTTTCAAACATTGATTGATATCATACACATGATAGCGTTATGGTATGCTGCTCTTGTATCCGCTTGGAATGAAGTATAGTTGCTAATCCCACCACGACTAATCACTGCGAATGGACCACGCATGGCATAACTTGACTGAGAGAAAGAGTCATAAGAAAAAGCTTGATATGTTGATTTCCATGGCTCAACATTCCCAAGCACGTTATTTCGCATTGTCTCAAGATCGCTGTGGCTGTGCCAGAGCCCTGGATGGATGAAATCACTCGGCCTAGTCTTTGATCCCTGGGTGTCTGGAACTACAGGTATAGGACCTAGGGGTTGTTAGATCGAACTTGGAGGCAACTTGGGTCGGCTTACCATTTAATCCCGGAACATCTGACACGAGAGCCCATGCACATTGTGCAAGTGCACCAAGCAGCAGTACCTTGATCGTGTTAATGGTTTGTGAAATTCTCAAGGTGTGTTTAAAATTTACCTTGATGGACAACATTCTTTTGACGGCTCGCTTGACTAGGGATGGTGATTTCCTAACGATTCGCTTGAATGAAAGGTCATCTTTGCGTGCGAATGACACATATTTGAACTTATTGCAGTTCAATCAAATTAAAACCAATCTTAGAGCGCCGGTAGTAACAACTGAGCTGAATTACCCCACATTTTGGGTTAGCCCGCGAAGTCGGGCGACGGACGATGTCTCGGCCCGCAACCAGAATGTGGTCAGAAAAGGTTGCAGAAACAAGTGAAAACATTCTCCTTTTTCAGGCGCAATCTTTGACATCCGGTGCTCAGTCAAAAGAATTCAAGTTCTCCTGAGCTCCGATCTTCTGAAAATGGAGTATACAAGGTGTGTAGAGATTCCCCACATCTACTTGCAGGGAGTAATCCAACGATCTAACAATAATGTGGCAGATTGGGAGATTCTGGACTCTATATATCGAAAATCATACTTGGGTGTGCTATATTTGGAGACCAGAGATGGCAACCATGGCTACTGGAGAAAGGGGAAGCATTGCCATTGCTCGAATATGCATGGAAAAACGGGATCAATACTTGGGACACAGTAAGCAAAATATGGGATTGTGTTCTTGATTATCTACTTTGATGTCACTGTCTAAAAAACGACTTCTTCAAATAGGCAGATGTGTATTCCAATGGACGTAGTGAAGAGATAATCGGAGAAGCTATCAAGCATTACAACATACCCCGAGAGGACTTGGTTATTATGACTAAAATCTTCTATGCGTTAGATCCTATCAAACAACCACCGATCAGTGCTCTTATGGACAAAACTACTGCGGCACTCGTGAACCGAGTAGGGCTGTCTCGAAAGCATATACTTGACGCTGTAGACGCCTCAATTGCCAGACTCGGGACATATATTGACGTCCTACAAATTCATCGTCTAGATCGAGACTGCTCGCAGGTCGAAATCATGCACGCATTGAACGATGTGGTGGCTTCCGGGAAAGTTCGGTATCTGGGTGCAAGTAGTATGCAGGCGTGGGAGTTTCAAAAGCTGCAGAACATCGCAGACAAGCACAACTGGCATAAATTTATCAGCATGCAGAACTACTGGAATTTGTTGCATCGAGAAGAAGAGCGTGAAATGGTTCCGTATTGCCGGGATGCAAATATTGGAATCATCCCTTGGAGTCCTTTGGCGAGAGGTGCGCTTGCAAGACCATTTGATGTGCGTGAAGGACTGCGTAACCAGAATGACAAGGTTTTGTCAGATTTAGTTCGAGGTCAAGGGTCGGAAGCAGTGGATGAGATGATTATTAGGAGGTTGGAAGAAGTTGCGAAGAAGTGTGGTGTGAGCATGGCTGTCGTTGCGTTGGCATGGAGTTTAAGTAAGCAGGCGTGGCCTGTTACCGGTTTAAACAGCATTGAGAGAATTAATGAGGCCATATCATCAGTCACTTTTGTACTTAGCTCAGAAGATGTGGCGTATCTTGAGGAGCCATATAGGCCGAAAGATGTGAGCTACTAATAACAAAATACCAGCAATATATACATATGGTGCGACATTAGTGTCAGCAGAAATTCAACATGCAGATAGTTTAAGTTTTTCGGTGACACAGTCTTCATCAATTTGAAATGAGATCATTGTCACCTAGGTAGTTGATCTTATGAGCTATTATCGGAAGATGGCACCGGCTTACAATCAAGTGATGTTAAGCGACAAGGCGGAGAAGGCAATAATCTAAGCGGTTGTTAGTTGTTGAGATTCGATTCTTGTGTGATATGGTAGGTTCTGCCGGAGGTAAAAAGGATTTCACGTTGTTTAGTGAGCAGTTTTAATAAAAATTGTGACTTCTCGCGATATCAAACTAAACCTCTTGCTTGAACTACAAAACAATCCCCAGACCCTACTTCTCTTGGCGCCACTTTTTTTGATAGCTTGAAAAGATGTGAGATCAGTATTTATATACGAGAAAATGTTGCAAGGCAAGCTTCTTGAGATGTACAACCTATTTAAATAGCGACATCCCTTAGGTTAGCCCACAGCATTTTAAAATATACTTTGGAGCAAGATGAGTTGTGCGACGAGGATATACCTTCTACGAAAACCAAAACAAAATCATCCAACGATAACAAGAATAAAGGACTGCCATGACCCGTTCATTTGTAACAAATTTAAATGCTCAATATCAATTGCCTAGTACTGTAGTTTACTGTTCCCAGTCAGACCCGATCGATCCCCACCTCTCGATCACGAATAGGAGGGCGCTCTCTGCATTTCCTGAGCCTACATCTTCCCGTCCGTATGAAGGACTATTGATCTTCCTGCGGGGCCCCGGAGCACAGACGGACAAATTTCCATTTTGGAGTGGCTTTCCTGAATTCCACATTCCAAACGCCACAAATATCAGGTTTGTCGCGCAACCGGGCAACGGGTTAGTTGCCGGAGCTCAGCCCGCCAGCGACTAGGAAAAAAATGGTGTTCTTATTCCTCAAGGTTGTAGGTAGTAGTATTTCTTGGCATTTACTGTGCAATCAAAATCCCAGAAGGCACTAGGAAAGCTTTAGTTTTCCAACAAATTCGTATACGAGGAAAAATCAAACACTCACTGGAGCGGACTTTTTTCGTTCTCCGGCGTGGGGCACGAGAAACACGAAAAATACGAAAACTCGAGACCAAGAACGTACCGACCACAACATAACTAATCGATTATATCTATGTCTTTCAAAATACTCTTGTATACATAATCGATTATGTCACTCTTTTTCCCATGCATCGACTTATAAATATTGAGAACAATTGATTTTCAAGAGGTACACGAAACTGTACGTGCAGGAAGGCCATTTGTCACGAATGAAAGCTGTTTCTACGAGTTACAGAATATTACATTGGCTACGATACTACCAAGATAACAAGTCACTCCATTAATTTGGTAGCAGCGACAATACTGGTGCTCGACCAAGCAATTGCACTCGACCGAACGAGAAAACTTGCCAGATTGTTCTTTTATCCATCACTGTAAACAAAAGTATTTCACTGTATCATAGCATGATCATTCTCCGCCTCCTCAAGTTGTTAATTTCAAGAGAACAACGCTACTTAAACTCTCCCCCGACACCATTTCTACTAACACACTCTGTCCTTTCAGCCAGGAGCCGATTCTGCCCCCATAGTTTGCATGTTTCGATCACGCGGCTATTTTTGCTTCTATACCCATTTCAGCAAACAGCCAGTTCTGCTCGCACTCACACACTTTCTTACAAGCAGCTAGCTTTTGGGCACACTTTTACATACTCTTGAAAGGTAGACATCTTAGCAATCTTGCTTCCTTATCTGTCCCACCATTTCAGCTGTCACACTTCTGTCAGGCAGGCGCTGACAATCAGAAGTTGGTAAAAAGAAAAATTAGGCTGAAGATAAAGCGCTGAAATGCAGCTCTTTCTGGTGATTACTCAGACACGGATTAACCCATTGAAAACGAGATGGTTATCATCGAAAGCAGTGATTGCACATAACAGCCGAAATCCAGCCATGCCAGGCACATATGCAAGCATCTGACCCTTGACCTCCATTGACCACTTCATCACATGTGGCGTTGAAAAGTTGCTGCCAGACCCATAGCGACATTAAAGCTATTGACCAGTTAAGTAACTGGAATGGAGGCAATGGCGAGAAATATCTGCCTTTCTCAAGATGTCCAATAAATATTTCAGGGCCAATTTTACTGAAGACTAGAAACCTTAGAAAGAAGTTTGTTTGTAGTCCCCAAGTTACAGAATTTCATTTAGTTTTGGGTCTGGTAGCAACAAACTAACAACTGGGGCTTTTGCTTTATATTTCGTCCACTTAGGTAATCAAAGTGCTCCTTATAAAAACCCAATAGTCGGCTTCACATTTCAAGGGCCACTCTTGTTGTTCGACCGATTGGCGGTTCAAATATTCTTAAAGCATTCGACCAGCGTAACCACAGACGGATGGTAGAATAAGCGCAGTAGAAAAGGGAAGTGAAAGATGTGCCAAGGAGAGCATACAAAGCCCATGGGCTGGAATGAGTTCGCGAATGAAATGAGCCTTTGCCATTTTGGGTTTGCTAGTGTGCGATGAAAATATTAGGTCAGAATCACAGACTGAAGCAATCCATTACTATCAATAGATAAATATCGTTATTGCTTTCAACCAGTAAAATAGTCTTCCGCTTATCATCTATTCCGACTAAATCTAATATCCAGCCCCATCTTCTTCTGCCCAGAGCTTACACCACATACCTGAAATCCGGATTCTCCTTATCCGTCAAATCCTCAAAAGCATGGGGGTGACTGATCTTCTCATCTACCTGTTCTGTAGCTTCGATAGCCAACGCATTGGCAGCCGCCTGACGCTTTTCTTTGTTCCTTCGGGTCAAGAGTACCCGTAACACAGCAGCGAAGATATTGAACAGGACGTAAAGACAGAAGTGTGCTGTGAACCCTTTCTTGTAGCGAGGTGCATCACCCGCTTGGAAAATCTGGACGGTTGTTAAGGGACTGGTGAAGTAAGTGAAGTTATGATGCTTACTTGTGGTGCGGTCATATTTCCAGCTGCCCAAGCAACAAAAGTGATGGCGAGGGTGGTGGACTTCTTCGTTTGTCCAGCGACGTTGCGCGATATAAGGGAGAAAACCAGATTGCCTTCTGCCAGGAAAAATTGGGTGCAATAAAACGCAATGAGAAGACCGATGCGAGTGCTAGGAGATGGTGGAATGCTATAGATAATTGCTGTTCCAATGATAGGGGGACTGTAAGGTATTAGAAGCTGGCATAGAGATGGGAATCATCACACTTACATTGTCCATACCTGTTGATTGCGTCAGTCAAAATTTTGAGTAAGATCTGGACGGGATAGAACTTACATGCATAACCAAAAGAGTTTGTCCTGTTGTTTGGGCCAATGTGGCACCCCCTACCATGACCATGATGGTGACAGCACCCTGGGCAATGTTTAACAACTGAGTTTGAAGTACAGTGAACCCAAAGCTTGAGATGATTATGTTTGAAAACACGCCTAATCCTCCGATGACAAGAGTCGACGTGATCTGAAGCATAACATAGCACCAAATCACGGGATCCTTGATTGCTTCAAACGTTTGATGGACTTTGTAAGTCTTGTTTTGAATTCCTGTCTCGTTGCTTCGGACTCTCTCAACCATGAGCCGCTTCTGGTCTTCGGTAAAGCACTTTGCGCTCATGGGGGAATCGGGGAGCCACCATCCGATGAACAGGCCCCAGACACAGGTCAATAAGCCCAAGGCCAAGAAAAGAAGTTGCCAGGAGTAAATGGCGTGTCCAACAAAGTGGCTTGCTCCCCATGCAATGATACCACCGACCTTAGATATGTCAGTCATGAATCCTCGTTGTTGTGAAGGTAAACCTACCATGAGTTGGACTCCGACCATACAATACCAAAGAGAAGTCAAAACAGTCTGTTCGCTTTTGGTGTACTAGATACCGAAATTAGCATCGTCGTATTTTCTGGAGCGTCGAATGTTTTACATACCCACATCGTTGTCCTAACTGGTTAGCTGATGCCGATATATGGGGGCGGCGAACTTACATTATGATGAACGCTGGCTGAACACAAGATTCGAATAGACCGAGCAAGAATCGAACGACCATCATAGCCTTAAAATCCTTTGCAGCTGCGGAACACGCGATCACAATTCCCCAAAGAAACACATTCGTAGCAAGATATTTGGCCACGGGAAGCTTTTGAAGGAGCAAGTTGGTAGGATATTCACCAACGAGTACTCCCATGTAGAGGATCGTTCCTAGCCAGCTAAGACATATTTAGATCAAGTTTAGAGACAACAGGTTGTTTACTGACCTGAATTGCTGTCCAACGAGATGTGCATCTGTGCGAATTCCCATGATGGATGCGAAACCAAGAGTACCTTTGTCAAGGGATTGACAGAAGTAGGTGCCAACGATGCACGCCAGGATTCTTCGATTGATAGTCCAGAAGAGCTCCTTGTTTGTCTTCTCGTCAATAGGTACCGCCGATTGACCAACATATGCTGCAGTCTAGACTCATTAGTGACGAGGGATGTATGGATTACGAGAAGACATACTTCTTCATCCTTCTGGACATTCTTTGGGACTGGTGCAGTATAAGAACCAATGTCGTCCTCGTGAGTAACTTGGGGTGCGTTTGCCATTTTGTCTTCCTCCATGATTCAATGATTGATTGTGAATTTGATGTCGAATCACGGCTGTGGGTGGGATATATATGTGCTCTTACCCACACTCACTAGACGTACCGATTCGGAAGCGACTCCAGGTCCGTCTACAATCTCTTTCCGACTCAATCTTCGAGCCACGAAGCTTCCGGAAATTTCAACCTCACTTGCCCCGGAGTGAGCCGTCCGCGTGCCTGTCCCATCTCCACTTTGTAAAATCTGGAGATGTTTGGCGGGGTGCGGGGCGGTTTGCAAAGCACAGTCTAACAGAGCGGGCTCTGCCCCGAGACTTCACCCGCTGCCCGGGGCCATGTGGGAAAGGTGGCTGGCCTCAGCTATTACTATCAAGGAACTTCCTTTGGTAAAGTAATTATTGCCTTCATTGAGATAGAAAGACAGATTTGGCAAGAGCTGTTTCATTGCACCACAGGAGATGCCATTTAATTGTTGGGGAACATCTGCCGGAGCCGTGCGAATGAGTCAGTCCTGCACTATTCTTCTCTTGTTGGAGGAGCGAGGGAATATGAAACAGAAAGATGGGATGGACGGCAACGATAAAATAACCACTTTACAACAGTACAAACACATATCACATAACGTCGCACTTATACTGTAAGAATTCACTGGAACCCTTCTTCCCCGCATGACCTATGCGCCTCAATATGTACCCCGCAGTTCTTAAAGAAAGCAGTTGTTGATGAATGGTTTTATCATGTGGTATCTAGCGATCTAGGGGGTGATATCCTGCGCAATTTTATAAACAGTTAACCATTACTTCTTTCCTACATAAGGTGGTAGGTACTCTATCTGAAAGTCACTTTTCGCAATATCGCAAAATGTAATAAGTTGATCGACAGTGCTCACAAAGGAGGAGTACGAAGTGGCAGGGGCAGGTCCACGGGTTTGGGTTCATGGGCCTCGCCAAAAGATAGCCGAGGAGCGCCAATGTTAAGGATTAAATGTGACTTCCAGGTTGTAATAAGCATTGTTCGAACATTTTCTACTACTATTTTATAGTTCTCTTCTACCAAACCTAGTTATACTATTCAATTTCACTTAACCCTTTGGGCCGACAATCACGAGGGTTAATAAGCTTTTGCCCCAAATCAGCCACTTCCCGTTACCCCTTAGAGAATGCGTCACTGCGCGCCACTGTACCCACACTGCCCCAGATTCTGGTGCATCACCTGGCGCGGATGAATTATTGACAGAAGGAACGACAAGACTCAACTGTGTTCGTACTTGTACTCGTCTTCAACCGCGCGGTAGACATGCGCAGTCATGTGGTTAATCCCGACGACGAGCACGAAGACGCATATGATCACGAACCTGACGCGGCGCGCAAAACAAGCAAGATGAACGGCCCAGGATCAAAAGCAGGAGCAGAAGAAGAGGGTCCCGCGTACGTTGATCTTTGAGGTTGAGCGCGAATCACTTGGCCACAGGACAATACCAATAGACAAACAGCTGACCCGAGAACAAGATGCCAATCGTGCCGACAGAAGAAGGCCAAATGCTCGAGGCGATCGCCATGTTCGCACTGTGTGAAGTTCCGTGAGTGCAAATAAAGAACAGTGAATCGTATGGAATGGCGCTGACACCCCAAGAAGAGATTGATTGTATCTATGAGAACCGCAAAAGCAAGCCAGGCCTTCGGACAGGTGCTGTCGAGAATCTCACGCAACGAGTTGGTAAGCTGAACCATGAAGCAATGCGCTACGCTGCCAACGAATATCATGTGCTCCGCATAATGTCTACCGTGTAGGTGGTCTTTATACCTGGCTAACACTGTAGTCTTTAGTCGCCTTAGAAAATATGTTTCTCGGGCAAGGAATCTTATGGCAACAGGTATGGAATCAGGTGAATCCTGTACAAGATACCTCGGACAGCACTTCTGTCCCTGCTCAAACCCCTTCAAATCCGGGCGACACCCTGAAAGATTATACAAGTCGCCTGAGATCTGAATTGTCAAGTGTGTCGAGAAACTTCGAGCTACCAGAGACTGAACCAAGTATTTCAGTCAAGCGCCGGCGTATGACCAGTACTTCTGGAGAAGAACGCCCACCCCCAAGATCCGGGATACGGGACCAACAAGATCACGACAACGACTTACCACCAGATGACCTGGTCGACGCTCTCGTTGAGATCTATTTCACTAACATACATCCGTGGATACCTATTCTTCATGTCAAACAGTTTCGCGAGAGAATGGCCATCCCAACCGACCGGCAGAAGTTGCGAATAATATTTCACGCAATTGTATCGCTCTGTGTCCGATTCTCACAAGACCAAAGACTCGAGAGCGCAGAAGTGAGAGCACGGTACTCAAAGAGGAGTCGAGAAATCGTGATTTTGCAGAGTATGGAATCTTTCTCGGTCGAAAATCTCCAGGCCTTGATCATTTGCGCTTTTGATACGGTAGGTTCAGTCGTAATTAGCCATCGCATGATCTGACACCAACAGATTGGTAGCGGACGAGGACCATCAGCGTGGTCCATTGTTGGAAGTATGACAAGAACAGTGGAACAACTGCAGTTAAGTGTGGAGAGCGAAGATCAGCCCCAGTCTGCAGAGTTCCTCATAAAACGCATGGCTTTTCTGGCACCATCGAGAAATTGGACAGAAATGGAACAGCGCCGGCGGGTGTTCTGGAGCGTGTTCTTGATGGATCGATTCTGCAGCATTGCGACAGGCTGGAACTTCTCGCTGACCAGTGCCGACGTGAAGAGGCGCTTGCCGTGCGAAGGAGCTCTGTGGGAAGAAGGCAAACCACTGAAGATACCAGCGCCATACTTTGGAGTGGCGGATAAATCAGCATCTGGAGCTTTACCCACCGCACGACCTGAATTCGAAGATCAAGTATCGATAGGAGGGTTTGCGTATTGTATCGAGGCATCTGAGAGCTTGAGTCTTGTGACGACATTCTTTCTGCGACATGCTGTCAACGTCTCAAAGGTGCAAGATGTCCAGATTTGGCTCATGCGATTCAAGGAACTGGACCTCAGACTCGTGCAGTAAGTCCGGATCTATCATTGATCCAAGACGGGGTCCTATGCTGACTTCTATTTCCTCCCAGATGGAAAGTCTTCCTTCCTGCACAATGGCGTGAAGCTTGTGCACTTAATGCGGATGGAGTCCTGGATCCAAATCTAACACTTGCTCATATAACGCACAACACTGCTGTGGGACTGCTACACCAGTAAGTTCTTGATTTCTATTCTCTCTGCATCCACCAAGAACTAGTGTTTATAACAAGCGCGATACGAAGACATAACAGGATGCGGAGGCCCCCCATCTTCTCGAGACGTCCTTTATCGGGCAATAATTGACTTCCCGTTTCCTATAGAGGCATTGCATACCCATCACCAGAGTGGAAAGCTAGCCCGATCCGACTTCCCTCCGTTTCCAGTGCAGAAACATGCATGACAGCAGCAACAGAAGTCGCCATAATCGCCGAAAAATACCTCCAGGGCTCCACGTGTCTCACACACCCGCAATTTGGGTTTTGTCTATTCATTTGTGGAAGAATGCTCCTCGCCCATTCACTTCACTACAGCGTCATGCTACCACCGGAATTTGACTCCTTGATAAATAGTCTACAAGAGATATCGAGTCGCTGGAACGGCCCCCATGCACATGAGCCCGACAGCAAAATTGACAATCTTGCGTCGAAGTTTGCATCCCGTCTTGCTCAAGCTCGTGATCAAGGACCTCACACTTTAGATATTCGCCAGTCGGCCTACTCCGAGGACCAGAACCATGAAAGTACCGCAATTTCTCAGGAAACCGTCTCAAATCAGTTCAATCAGCCAGGAATGATCTCTAACAACCAAATATCGGAACCGATATCGAACGAACACGACCTCAGCAACGGTCACCACTTCATGTCAGAACCAGAGGGCTCACCAGACAGCATATCACTTGCGTTCCCACCTCTACCTCTTGCCTTCCAGCCCCACTGCGCAAGCGCTACACAAACCGCCATGCCATCTCCAACTTCTGACAATCAACAATTGAACAGCTTCTACGACCAGAAACAACCAGAAGAAACTACATTCCAACATGCCACCTTCTCGGATCAGAACATGGGCTACGACATGTCTGGCGCGAGTGTCGATAATTTGAACTCGTTCTTTGAATATTCGTTGTTACCTACCCAACGGATTAGTATGTTCTCTATGCAGAACGAGAAGGATGCTAATTCGCACCTATAACGGCGTGTCAGTAATTGACAGGTACCACTGTCTTGTTATTGAAGCAGCGCTGAACGGTCTTTCTCCATATAATTGGATTGCTTTATACCACATTTACTCTCAATATCACAAATCATTTTACGTCATACGATGTTTCAGTGAAGATAAGACAAGGTTAGAGGGTTTGGAGGTAATTCGGTCTTGCCAGCTTTTCCTCTAGATTACCGAACATAGTTGACAAAATCGAACATGCTTTCTAGATTCAAAGTTCTCCCCGATTCAATCCACACCTTTCCACGGTCTGACAAAATGTCCTCCAATACCCATATCGAGCAACTTATTTCCCACTAACAAGAAGTAATAATCCGCATACACCAGCCCATGATCGGCCCATCTTCGCGGTGCAAACTCGTAGTTGTTTATGGTAGCGCCTAGCAAAATCGTCTCGGCGCCTCCACCCATATCAACTTCGAGCGTACCGGCTTTGGAAGACACCCCATGCTCCACCGATGCTATCTCGACTGGTTTGCTATGGAAATGCGCCTCAGGACTCATTTGCGATTCACATACCGATGTAAGCATATGCAGCGCCCCCTTCAAATACGGGGACGGTTCTCCCATTGCGGTCAACGCTTCGTGTAAGAGCAACATCCCAAAGCAGGCAACCATTGCAGCACTCGTATCCGTGGGCCGCTCTGTCGTCGAAGGATCCGCAAAATCCCAAGGCGGGATCCCGCTGTCCGGGAGATGTGCGAGGAAGTAGTCTGCGCATTCGCGGGCCGTTGTGAGGAAGGATGGTTCGTGTGTCCAACCATAGGTTTGTGCAAAGCCAGTAATGGCCCACGCTTGGCCGCGAGACCAGCAGGAGTCATCCGAGTAACCTTGGTTTGTCATTTTCGCTTTCACGGCGCCAGTGGCTTGGTCAAAGTTCACAACGTGTAGTGTGGACGAGTCGGAACGGACGTGGTGCTTTTGGCTAGTCTTAGCGTGGGAGATGGCTATGTTTCTGAGCGTAGGATCGCGAAGTTCGGTCGCGGCCCAGAAGAGAAGATCGAGATTTAACATGTTATCCTACGCTTGTGAGTAACATGGCATTGAACGGGGGAAACCAGCCTACAATGATAACTAGAAAGTCCAATGAGGGATCCATGAAAGAATATCGTTTCGTAACACATGTGTCCCAAGATCGCAGAGATTTTGTTTTCGAATTATACCGTGTTGCCAGCGTCTGTGCGGCCGTGATCAACGTCTCGTATGCCTTGGGGTCACGATCAAGTTCCCATGCTTTACGTGCCCAAGGAGATATCATGAAACTAAGATCGTGCGTTGTTCCCAGCTTTGAATTCTGGTGCAAGTTCAAAGTCCACCACTGACATGCAAATCTGAGATTGACCGCGTTATTATCTTGAATACACCATTGGATAATCGATGACGACTTACTGCCATTGGAGTATATGTGGCGTTGGAGAGAGGCTGGAAGATGGCCATGGTGACGTGAACTGTGGGAATTTTCGCTGGCGCTCGAGTATTAAGTACAATGAGCCAGGAAAGAATCCAGAAGTCCAGAAATCAAACTCTCGGTACACGTACGAAGTTCCACCAGGAACTGTGTATTCTGGATACAAGATTGGCGGCGCAGACTGTAAGTTGATCAGTGTACATACTCTGTCGTTGATATAAATGGTGGAGAAAAGGGAAGCCTACCTTGTTCAAAGCTATCTGAGCTATCCCCCAGATTTTCGCCTGAACCGACTCGGAGTACAAATTACAAAGTATTTTGGTGTCAGCAGCTGGTTCTAAGTCTTCTATTGTGGGTGGTGTTGGAATTCCAACCGCCTTGTTGACGTCGACTTTCCGAGTGCCTCTTTTGCTTTTCTGTGAGTGCGTCAATACACGCTCATCATTCCTTAACAGTGAAATAGAGCTTACTGGAGAATCTACATCATCTGAATGATATACAAGTGTACCAGAACCACCGTTCAACGAATCTCTCGTTCGCTTTGTAGACATTGCCGTGCTTGAATTCTGACCCACTTCTCGGTAGTGTGGAAGGAAGGAAAAACAACAAGAACACTGGATGCTAAGATCACTCTGAAATTTTAGGGAATCTGAACATGCGAGAGTACGGGTAGCGTGTTCTCATAAGTAGAATCCAAGGTCTTGCGGTCCTACGAGCGGGATCATCCTTCGCTTTGTGCATGGTTACCACTCACCCGAAGACTTGGCTAGGTAAAGATCTTCTCAATGTCGGAAATACGCCGGAGAACTACAGATCTGACTTTTAAGATGCGTCTGTATTTACACCGTAGGATTACATCCGGAATGAGTGGAGGTTGCTTCTGTCTTGGCGTAACCGGTGTGCGGGGGATCTCTCGGAGACTTTCCGAACGCTACATTCAGTCACCCAGTAATTTGGCAACTGATCCATTTTAAAACAGCGAAACGATTTATCTGACTTTGAAGGAAATTTCATGTTTTGCAGAGGTAAAACCGATCAGAAGGCAAGATACCTAAAAGCGTGGGAAAGACTGTTGGCTTTGTTGTTTACACTATGTTACGTGGGCTAACGAGACTACTTGTGTAAGAATTGATCATAGTGTTATGTGAATCTTTCTTCTATCAAATCCGTAATCAGGATTGTGATAATTTGCTTTGTGTGTAAACTTGTTGCTACACGATATCTAGTTGTCAATTAGAACCTTGAAACTCTTTTGCCACCTTGATCGCAAAGTTCATGTAAGAGTTTCCAAGCGGAGCATACCCCAAACTATAATACTGAGAATTGAAGATCTGCTCGGCAAAAGCCCTACTCTCTGCTTTGTAACTGTCACCTGCTGAACCAGAAAACTTACACACGACGCCGTTGATGAGAATAGACATTGCAGCATAAGTACAGAGTAGAGCTGCTGCTCGGTTGGAAGTGTATATGATTGCTGTAGACAATGGGTCTGTTGTAGTTTCGAAAGATTCCTGGTACGCTGGAGTTCTACGCCATATGGTCATCTCCTCTCGAAGGTTGGTGGCATTGTTTAAAGTCGAATCAATCATCGTGCTTGATAGTTCAGATGCATGTGTCCGATCCCGCAAGGAAAACAGAATATTGGGCAATTTATATAGAATAGCAAATAATGAATCAAATGGTTGATCGCTGGCAATCTCCGCAGTTTTCTTCCATCGCGGTGAGTCTAAGAAACACTTTTTCTGCAGAGTTATTGCTTCAATGACCTGTTGGCATCAGCCCCAAAGCCCAAATATCAATTGAGACGCCACTTACAATTATACCCTTAAGAGATTTAAGCATCTTACAGGTGAACACATCTTCTAAGCAGCGGACTCCGTGCCTTTCTAGGATTGCTGACGCCCCACCAATATGATGGAATGGTATCTCGTCGTTTGATGATGTTAGAAGCTATTTGCATTAACACGATGGATTGTCGAGAGAATGATCATGTACCTCATATATACCCAATAGTGCCGATGCACACAGTATCTGACCCACCTCTGTTCTGCGGGCAAGATTTCGTCTCAATTCTACCAGGGCTCGCCCATACGATATACGGCCTTTCTCCAGACATTTCACGTCCTCGCGAAGCAGCGTACGGTGCGCAAAATAGATTGCTTCAACTGAAAGATCTACCGCCTTGGAATATCCTAAACGACTTGGAACGTCTTTGACAAATCCAAAAACGCAGAGAGATTTCCCGTTGGGGAGGCTGAGTTGGAAAGTGGAACGTAACTGCCTTCCAAGCTTTTCCGCGGGGTTTGAAATCATCCCTCGAATTTGTGCGTTCGCAGTAGTTCGGTAGTATAGGGAAGATAATGTTGTTGGTCTACGCCATTTGTTCTCCAAGTTCTCAGTCAAGATATTTGTCTTTCTCAATCTTACACCTTCGTCCTGGAATTTATGGACTTTCACGTAGCCCGGACAGGAGAACTTTGCATCGGTACATCGTAAGCATGAAGGTCTCCCGAGGTCACACTATTGCCGTTAATTCTTGGCTATTCTGAGCTTGAAAGTGTGAAAGTACCTTTATCTTGCGTTTGGTACAAGTGGAGCAGCCTTTGCTTTTTGGTACCCCTACCATTTCTGTTTTTGAACTTTGGTTGGGAATTTTTATACCGCGATGTACGATGAGCGAGGTGCAAAGTTCGGGTTCCCCGAACGTCTTTTCCGTTGCATAAGCTCCCAGGTTCAGTAATGTACTTGTAAGGGAGGTGACGTCGTGCATTCAATGGCGGACTTTCCTTCGATAGTAAGTGTTATGCGCGAGCCTCTCTATCAAGTGTGAGAAGCTCAGCATGTTTCGACTCTGTTTGTGGGATCATATGAGGTGGAGGATCCAACTCCATCATCTTTGAAGTCTTGTGGCGTCGAGCGGGGAAAACTTCACGGTTGTCACTGATTGGTCGTACCGCAACATACATCCTCATTCGGTTAAGGTGGTTCGTAGTCAATAACAAGAAGTTGTAAACATGAATTCTTCAAAAAGTGACTGCGAAGTGACCATATATTTGACTCTATTCTCTTCTTAGAAGTCTGAGAATATGTTGCATATCGTTCTCTCGTTCACTTTTCCTCTACTTCCTTCTAAACTTCAAAATCAATATGACTTTCATCAAGAACATAGCCATTGTTGGCGGATGTAAGTTCACTTGTCAGGCACTCGAGTATTCCTAAGAGGATTTCTAACGTAAATTTTAGCTGGTCAAATGGGGACTCCACTAGTCAAGGCTCTGGTTGAGTCCAAAAGATTCAACCTAACGGCCATTACTCGAAGTGAAAGTGATTCTACATTTCCACCCACCGTTCGTAACCCTTATGCACAATGGCCTTGAGATGACTAATAGAATATTGCTGACTTTACCGCCACACAAAGGTCAATGTTCTTCGTGGAGACTACGACTCCGAAGACTTCCTTCAGTCCTCATTTAGCAATCAAGAAGTTCTTATTATCATCCTTGCGACAACCGCACCAAAAGATCTTCAGCCCCGTCTTATCAGAGCTGCGACTGCAGTTGCCGTATCATACATCTTACCTACTGAATTCGGTCCTGATACTGCAAACTCAGCTTTGGCCCAGGCAGTACCATTTTTGTTCCCGAAGAAGTCACTTCGAGATCAAATCAAGGCATCACAATCTAGTAGTCTCATTGCTGTTGTTAATGGACTTTGGTTTGATTTCGTAAGTAAATACCTTGCTTGCTGTGCATTATAGTTGACCAATTTCAGAGCTTGGCAGGTGGGTTCTTTGGAATCAATATCAAAGAGCGTACGGCGAGATTGTATGATGATGGGCAGACTCTCTTTAGTACCACAACACTGGCACAAGTCGCCCGTGGAGTCACTAAGTTGTTTGAACTCCCTTCCTCTGAGCTTGAGAAATTCAAAAATCACTTTGTCTACGTTAGCTCTTTCGCTGTTTCTCAAACTCAAATACTGAGATCAGTGCAAAAAGCCACGGGAACCAGCAACGAAGACTGGAAGATCTCGAGTGTGCCAGTTGATGAAGCTATCGAGATGGGATTAGCAGAGTTCCAGAATGGTAATTTCAAGGGTTTGCTGGATGTCTTGTATGGAAACAATTCAAAGCCCGGAATGGGTGGAAATTTTGAGCATAAATTGAACAATGAGTTGTTGGGATTGGAAAGTGAAGATCTGGATATTGTGGTGAATAAGATTGTTGATTGTATTGAAAATAAGATGTGAAAATGACATTCACTGAGGATTTTAATACAACATTCAGACCAATGAGAAATAACTTGAAGGCGTCTGATAGTAACGCGTCGAACATGATAATAAAGGTGAACATGAGAGTTGCGGATACCAACTCCAAAAACAGACTAGTCCCGAATCACGCTAACGAGGTGTTTCTGCCTAACTCTACACTTGCTTTCCTATTTCGCAGTTTCTCTAGACATGAGACACCAGCCAACATCACCTCTTGCATAAGATTGTAAATCATGGGAGAGCAAAACTCGCTTCAATCGGCCGGAGTAACAGGTGAATGGATATGGGGCGACGATCTCGAGACAGTCGTCTTTGCACAAGCCTACGGTCACGGCCGAACGATAATTTTTCGATTCAAATTCGACAACAAAAGTCCGCGACCATTAGCCAGTCGAGTCGCAACCTGTTATCATGATCTCAATACCAGTACCCCAGGCCATTCATTCCCAACTACAAGCACCATGCGCGAAGCCATATGGACTGCTGTTGCGAACATCTGGAATGTGTGCTGTCTTCACCCTGAAATTCACCAACTGGACGTTATCATTGATATCCTTAACGAGGAAGCTGAGCACCACGGGCAGCAAGCTTCCTGGGACCTCTGTCACGAGAAAATGTATACTGACTACGTCGAAATGTTATCGCCGGCGAGTCACCTGTCGCTCAATAATCAGCAAATGAGCAAGATCGAATATCGAAGTCTCGTACGATTAAATCAGCTTGGAGGAAGAGGTTGCACAACGCTTGTGTATAACGCATCTGATCCTCTGACCAAGTACGTGTTCAAGGGAATTAACTTTCGCACCTTTTTAAACGGCTACGAAAACGGCCACATTCTTGAAGAGATTAAATCCTTCTATCGGCCAATGGAGTTGATTGCCAGCATGCCCCGCCATCCCAACATTATGGCTCCTGCACAAACTTTGGTGACCGTCTGCAAGCCAGGGGACACTGTACCGTTCGTGTGTGGCACACTTTATCCTGTTCTTTCCAATGGTGATCTTGCTGCATACATCGAGAAAAGCAATGAAACCGGTCAGCGGATACCAGCGACAAAGAAGGCGAAATGGTGTTATCAGATGGCTGCCGCAGTTGCGCATACTCACTTCGATGCGAAGACTTACCATATGGATCTTAAGCCTGGAAACTTTCTGATCGATAATGATTGGAACCTCGTGCTCATAGACTGGGAGCAAAGCGATGCGCCTGTGACTACTGCAGCCCCAGAAATTGACGGCACATGGGACGTTGAAGAAGTTCAAGTACAAAACTCCAAGACCTTTCTCCAATACACAAATTACACTGGACCTGAACGTAAGAACATGCCCGATACTACACCTGACGACAACGGTTGGAATGTTTGGAATGTGGGTTTGGTGTGGAGTAGGCAATGTCGAAAGGCATTAGAGCTTGCTGAAGTCTTCAGTCTTAGTCGAAGTATGTGGATGTTATTGCGTCAGCCAGATATGGGTAGCTTTGAAGATATCACGGCCACGGAAGAGATCTCGGAAGATTGGAATATGTCAGAGGATATCCCGCTGCATGGGAGAGACGCAGTAGACAGGTGTTTGATGAAAGATCCTAATGAGCGGATTGGTCTTCATGAGCTCGTTACGTTCTGGAGCAAGGAAAAAAGAGAAGTTGAAAGCGTTTAACAATTTCGAGCAGCTAGGTATTTTCGTCGGTCATGACAAGTAAAACTAGAAAATGCATATGTTTCACATGAGAATTATGATCTAATTAAGTCTAACACCCAAGTCGTCCATATCATTCCGGCCACTTTCTCTGTAATTCTTGTTTTTTGGTGGTCTCCTCGGTCGCTTGTGTTAAGGCCATATTTGCAACCAACTTTGCATTTCTTAAACATAATGGTACTTGGTGTAGCACCGATTGCTGCTGCACATTGTCAGCATCCAAATTCGACATCCGCAAAGACTGTCACTCACAGTGGCCATTACTATGTGCTGGTAATGACGCTCCAAACTGCCAGACCGCTTCATTCGAACGATTTTCCCCGTCTTCTGGCGCAATATCAAAAGGTAGCGTTATATCGGCCCGACCTTATAAAATTGAGCAGCTAAATATGTGTCTTCTTCATCGTCGTAAAAGTACAGAGACCAAGCTTTTCTGTCAAGCCGAGACGCTTTAAAAGAGCACTCAGCTCGAAGTGAAATGGTCAAATTGAGCTGAAATCCTATTGAGGCATATTATCGTTGATGAAATCGCATAGCGCTATGCCTTGGTATGGAAACCGCCACACGCTTCTTCGCACGTTGTCGAGTTGTGCAATATGACTGGAATTTTTTACGGCACAACGAACTTGGTGCAGCGGCTGACATTTCAAGATATAAGGTTATACTTAGGTAAACACACTGCATAACGATGCATTTAAGTTAGGCTATGTGTACATGTATTCCCTTTAGCTATTATTCTTGTCGCCATGCATACAAACTCAAGGGCGGTCAAATCCTACAGGATTCTCACCTATTTGAATTGGTCGACGAGACATTCATCCAAGGTTTAGAGTTGTGTCCATCATTCAATTACTTTCAGGATGCAAGAAGGATTTCGCTTTCTGCGTTTCTATTTGCTACGGTTCAATAATCTCCCCGCGACTTATACTGGTAATCTCGACGAACAAATGGGTGTTTATATCTACTGTGTTTGCCGAACTTGCTTGGCAGGATTCAAAGCCGCATTAACAAGTTATTTTGAGGCCATCAGCCGCAATTGCTGGTCGTACACACACCGCGATATGGCGTTGCTAGTGGGAAAACCCGACTTTCAGCTGGAAACTCAAAGACCGTAAAAACGGTCGCGCACGACTACGTTTGTAGACAAAAAGCCCTTCTATGAATAGATACTGTAATATACAAGGGGTCAGTATATCTAGTTTATATTGTACTCAGAAACCTCGTTAGTAAACTCTACTAGAGAAGGTAAAGAGGTTAATTTTCGTGTTCTTCGGTCTTAGCGAGGCATAGTGAGGTTACCTCGACATCCGGATTCGATTTTTACGACTTTATAGCGCACCCTTTCTAGTTTTGTATAAAGACGACATTTCTAGGTATAAGATAAAGTAAACATAACTACTTCTTATATATCACATTACCTATTTCTAGAAGAGCTTATTACCTGAAGACGTAGTTATAAAGTCAGCAAAAGTAGTCGACCGTTTTCCCGCTTTTTAAATCTTCAGCTGAAAACCAGATTTTTGCACTTGTAACGCATATCGTTGTAGCCTTGTCATCAATCCGAGAAAATAAGAGAGGAACTTAATCACTCCGATACATAACCTTAGCTACTGATAAATAGCGAAGCATCCCGCATGCCGAAATCACAACTCCAGTACATCACAGAGAAAAGTCTTGACATCACATTACTTCCACTCAAAAATTTATCATACTTTGAGAATGCTACTCCTCATCGCCGGTACCTACATCAGCTCGCTAATTGGGGTAACGTTGGCATTTGCCTTACCGACTCCTGACAACAATGCCCTGGTCACCAAGTCCGAAAATCAGATTACATCGATCACTATCCCTCCCTCCAATACAACCAATAACTACGGTGAAACCTTGAAACTCGATTTCGACGCGCCTATTGATCCAGGGGTTGTTGATGAGTCCCTCAAAAGCTTATTCAAATCAGAAGAATCGACCCTCGTTCGCAGACTTGGCCCTACCTACTTCTCTTGCGAAGGAAGTGCGGACTACTCCGATTCCAACGGCAAATTATCATTGCAATATACTTGCAGCAGCAAGTACTATCTCGCTTGGGGATTTCGCATCTCTGCACCGGTACAGAAAATCATCGCTGGACTTGTGAGTGAACGTGGCTTGGCATGGTGGAGGAATGGAATAAAAATGCCCATGAATGCACCTCACCCCCTCGTCAGCAAAAACTACATCTTTCACGGAACAATGACCGGGGCAAATCCGGATACCATTGTAGAATACAATGATTACATCACTTTCCGCCACAACATTGGCCCAGGAGGTAGTGGAAGCATTTACTGGCAAGGAAAGGTTCATATGCTGCATTGAACGTCAAATGCTAGTCCGGTAGTTGAGGATTAGTGGAAATTGGTTGAAGTTCATTGACTGGGTAGAGGTCTAGCGTATGGGTAAACGTTTTCCTTCTGTGGTCGTCGGACCTGGGTTCAACAATTCTATGTCTTCTGTTTTTATGTTGCGTGGAACACGACTACGGAGGTTCGAGGATCCCAAACGATTCTACAGACCCGTTTCGGGCAATATATCATTGGGTCTGGGGATGCAATAGGCAGCTTTGCGAAGGAAATCTTTAGTGTCAAAATTTATCTCGTTGTCTATCTAGTGAAGCTTGTTAAGATAGATGAGTATTTGCGTATTTGGGTATCGATCTTTACAACTCCGCTCCACATCTGAAGGTAAAACCCAAGCGTCGTATCTGTTCAACTGCACAAAAATCAAGTAAACCTTTCATCTGTGTTTAGATTGGTTCTATTAAGCTATAAGACGTGCTCCGTAGGGCTAAGTAGTTCAATGTACATCAGATGTCGCGTGACTGTTTCTTGGGTGTTCTATGTAGTCTCACATCATCATCTCACATCTACACCTTTTCAAAACAGGACATCGCGTGTGTTCATCTTCTTAGAGTCTCAAAAGTTAAGACATCCAAGCAGCAGTAGATACATGTTGAATAAGGTTGGTGAGCAGACTGTGAACTTGATAATCTCCATTGAAAAAGAATTGTCTCTCGGAATTGATGACTCAAATTTCGCAACAGTTAAATTTTCCTTATGACTGAACATAGTCATGTTAGGGGGTCAAATTACATCATGTGGTTCGCAGAATATCTAGCACTTCATGTTCGAGGAAAAAAGTCATATACTTTGGCGAGTTCCATGCCAAGTTCCAGAGAAAAAAGAGACACGACGGTAATGAAGGTCGATATATAACACGGTAGTGGGAACAAGAGTTTGCAAACCGGACAGAAAGTTTTGGGGGACCTTCTGGCGGAGAAAGTCTGCATTTTAAATATGTAGGTGATTTTCTCGCGTTTTAATATCAGGGTTGTTGTTATGTATAGTTGGGTTGGTATGAGTGAAGATTACGAGTCGAAACGTTATTCCAAGAGAACAATATTCATTACCTCCACCTTTTGCTAATTGAAGTCACAACACATACTTGCACTCTCTGTTTCTTTGTGCCAATAAATCAAAGCTCATTCTCCCGTACGGAACCTAGGATTCTATTAATTTCACTGCTGAGAACTGAAGCGCCTCGTAAAATCTCACCTCAAGCGAGTGCAGAAGTCGAATTTTGTACAATGATTGTAATTACTCATACAAATCATTCTTCCGTGCTTGGACATCGTTAATGGACTCTATCAAATACTTTGTGCTTCCTTCTATTTTAAACTTGCGTTATCATTTCCCTTTCCGTTTACCATAACACCCTCCAAATTCGGCTTTGAAAAATTGTTCAAGACCTGGTTGTTTTGTATAATCAAATCGCTTTCGCTTCCATCATCATCCGCCACTTTGAAATGTTTCAATTCTATATCCCTCTGTACCATGATCTCCATAGGACCTCGCTCGCCACCGTCATCGAATGCATCTGCCGTTTGGCTATCGAGTTTGCTTCTTGGGAATTGTCGGCCATGAGTCGATGACTTTCCGTATCCCTCTCGTCCTCCAGATGAACTCAAATGTGTATTTCGTAAAATGACTCGTGAAACGAAGGCCTTGAGTGCTGGAACGGAACCACAGATAATTGCCATGTTGATCTCAAGACCAGACCAAAGAGCAATGTCTACTCCAGTAACTATTGCGAAATACAGGTTAGTATATGCATTACGACAGAAGCGAGAGACTTACCCGGCTGGAGTTCTTCAGGCCCATTGAGATTTGTGTACAGCGCTTTGAGACGAATTACAGAGACGACAGTCACTCTATAGGACATGTAAGTATAGGTTGAAGGTAACTTTTGCAGATTAAGCTCAGAGGGAGACTTACATAGCTCCACAAGCAAAAACTGAAATGAGCACTATTCTCTGCTTCTTTGGTAATTGAAGTTTCATCAAAAAGGGCGTTGGAATAGCGACTAGGATAAGATCGTTGACTATGTTGAATCCGGAGATTGAGTAGTTGAGTGCCGGGCGATTGAAACAAAAACCTTCTAGAGAGAAGTTCCAAGCTTTCGCGACAGGAAAGCAATAGAATATACTCCCACAAACAGACATAATGCCACAAACAATGATCCAAGCTATGAGAAACTTGATAATTCTTTGACCCATAACAGTTGTAAATAGACGATACGATTGCGTTAACATCGACAGTTTGTAAAAGGTTTGGGTGAAGTTGTATAAAGGGACTGTGGAGAATAACGCCTATTCAAAGACGTATTAGAATTTTTCTTGAAGGGGAGAAGCAGACCAAAAGAAATAGACAACTTACAGCGAGGAACTGCTGCAGTGTCGCAAGATTAACTGGCTGACCTAGACCCCATCGTATCTCTATAATAAAATTAGTTGGAATCTTTCACACCTTCTGCACCATAGAAGAGCAAAGTCTAATGCAAGGTCAACATACGAATAAATACTGTCACTGTATATGCAATTGAGAAAGCCTAAAAAACACATGTCAGTTCTCAGTTATCCATTTTCCCAAATCTAAGTACAAACAAGTAAAGCACACAATAACAAGTTCCAAACAATAACCAACATTCAGTCGCCATTCTATTCCTTATCATAGAAAGAAAAGAAAAGAGAGCGACTACGGCATTTCATACTCCATTACACGATCCTTCCACTGAAGAAGAAATATTAGAAATTTACTGACCATCGCGCAAACCATGAGATAATCATCGATCCCTACTCTTTTGACAATATACGCTCTGGTAAACAATCTCATCGCAATGAATATCATGGCCAGAATTGTCCAAAAGAATGTGTTGACCACCAAAGCATAGTTCCTCTCCACAATGGGCATGCCCGCTACGTGCCACATCTTGACGAGATGCTTGTACTTCGTGTGTCGGAACTTGAGGTTGTTGTACAATTCGTCCTTCGGGTTTCGTCTCAAATCATTATTCGAAGTAAACTGGGGATTGACGTAGTTTGCGATCGGAGGCGGAGCGTACTTAAGAAGGTCGAGAACGCTTCAAAGACTGTTGTCTCAACTTCAGCTTTGTGAATATCTGCAAAGAGTAATATAATTGGTTTGTACAGATACAGTATACGGCTGAACAACCAGCACGATTCTCAAAATCTCAGGGGAATTCCCGTTGCGTATGGGATATGGCCTCACATCAGGCGTGTACGCTCAGACGGTCGCAACTTTCAATCCATACAAGCACCATGAAAAGCAAAAACACAGGGGCAAGGATAAGTGTTCTTCAGCATGCCGGGATCGGATTGAGAGCCCTGAACGGCACTCTGTAGGATGTAATGTAACATTCTGCTCGTAGAGGAGATTTCCGGATTGCTGGTATTCGTAGCATGGTTATCAGTGGCCACTCGTGTTTTGAACGAGATGTACTCCGTACGCTCCCTGGCACTTCAACCCCTCAACTTTCAACGGTGTGAATCTGTAAGGCCATGTCTCGTTCGAGTTGAACAACCTCATCGCAGAACAAACCAGACTCAGGGGTATTGTACAGCCATCGTCTCAAGTGGCTTGCATATCAACTCCCCGGATGTGTCAATGTCACGGCGCGGGATCGAGCCGCATTCCCCAGCGAAAACATCTTCTGTCCCATAACAAGGGATCCCTTCTTGATGTGGACTTTATCCTTTGTTTTGATTGACCGTTTTCTACTCAATGGCAAGTGATGTCTTACCAAATTTAGACGAATGCCGCTGCTGTCGCTTGAGTTTTCAAGTAAGTAATCTCGCACAGAGTGACGGAAAATTATGGTCCGCGGGTGGTTTTATCTTCCTCCTTTCTTTATGGGACACCGTAAAGTCTTCATCACGGTTTCTCCATTCAAAGGGCACAGCTGGGAGCCTAGCATCGTGACCATCGACTCGTCTATCGCCTCTGTCTGACACAGCCGAGCACGATGCTCGTGGGGAGCGGCGTACAATATACGAGCCAAACAGAACAATGAAAAAAGTAAAAACTCAAACATGGTTCTGTCAAGGTAATCTTCTAGAACCCCCAATCTTCGAATCATATGATTTGGCCGTCCCATTCGACCATTGTAGAGGACAATTAAGAGCCAAGTCGCAATCCATGCTGTTCCAGCCACCATATGCGTGAACAATATATCAGCACACGACACACCCAATCATCGAAGTTTTGTGGCGCCATTTTCAAGTGCAAGTAACATCGACAAAGCCATAACGCGTTGGCCGTTGTCCCCCGGGATATCCAACCCCCCTTCCGCATCCGTGCTTGCTTAAGCGAGAGCAGCCGTCACTTCCCCGGGATCCTGTTACAGCCAACGGGAGATCTGCAGAGCCCTGCAACGGCACATTGTCGAGGGCCAAGACGGGGTGCGGTCCGGAAGGCTTTTCATTTGCTTAAGTTGGCCTAATCTGCCCTTTGCTTTTTGCTTCTTGGGCAGGGAACTTAACCCGTTTCATTGATAGGGGTTTACATGACCAGCCGACCGCGTTCTAGAACATTGGCTGTACGAGCATTTTGGATTCGAATCTTTCATTCGTGAAGTTGGAGAATAAATCATGTTTGATTCAGCTTCTTCAGGTTGGCATGGTATTTGCCAATATCTGAAAGTGGTGAACACATACTGCACGAAATTTTCACTTAAAATCTTTCCATCCAGAACTGACTTTCTGTGCCACAAAAAAGAAAGTATGAAGTACAGTAACTCGAAAGCTTGCACGCCACGAGGCGGAAATACTTCTATTTCATGTTCTAGCGTTCGCTTGTATACATCCTGAAAGCCTCTCGCGGGTCGGGTCGCCTACCCATACATTTTAATCAGTGTTCCTAAACTCACCTTCAGCCTGAGAAGATGAATCATCAGTTCCCTCGTAGTCGCCAGCAAGCTCTGATATTCTAGCCCGAGAAAAGAAAGTCACTCAAATTTCTATGGCGATCTTCGGCAACAGACCTTGCTGCAAAAACTATGCCCAGAAGCTAACAAGAAAAGGCATTCGGTTCTATCCTCTCTCGTTTGAGATTTATTGCGCCGTCCCATGTACTGTGATCGCGATGCATTTTGCCAGACCCTCAACGATGTGGATAAAAGCGCAATATTCTCCACGAGTTTGTGGGTCTATGATGATCGGAAAGCAATTATTTGCAGTACGGAACGATATTCATGGCGAGGTTTATCTGTGGACTACTTCACCAAAGTAGCGCTACGAAGCAGTGCCGTTCTCATGCTTTTGCTTCCTCGCCGGCGTCGATCTAGGGATCAAAGTGAACAAAGTCGCGAAATTGCTGCTCCATATTTACCATCTGCTTGAACAGTAGACAATGACAGATACCAACTCGTAAACCGGAGCGCTGTTGTTACTTCTGGTTGTTCTGCTTTAATCTTGAACATAACCATGGGAATAATCAGCGGTCTTGTAAATTGATAACGCGACTCTCAAACGTTCGGGCCGATACTCGTGATGCACTTTCAACTATCTACTAGTTCCCGGTGTTCTTCTCTAGTAATAATCACGTGGTGAAGCCAGTCTTGCTCATTTCGCTATCATGGAAATAAATCGACTGTAGTTATCTTTGAAATTATCGATAGGCATTAGAGCACTTACATACGTGTCGAAGTCTCTAAGAAATTATACATCATATACTACTTTAACATTTAGTATAGTGTTATCGAAGTGATATAGTAACAGAGAACCTGTCGATCGGGCTCTCAGTAGTTAAGCAACCTGCGTTGAAAGGGGAAACTTCTTATCGGTATCAAAACAACAGTTGTAATACATTTGTCTATAACACTAACAAACCAACTAGCTTCTAAACAAGATCAAAGACCCAAACTCCAGAACCATGTAGTAACTCCACAAACTCTTACAAAACCCAGCACCCAAAAGAAAAACATGTGCCCATGTCCTCGCCTTGAGAGCGTTTCTTAAAAACGCCACCCCTGTTTACTTCATCTTGCAAACTCTAGGCTTGTTGCCACCAGTCTTTACCTGAGTCTTGTCCTTCTTATCACCAGTCTTGACGCCAGACTTATCAGTCTTGACCTTTTTGCCGCCAACCTTGTCCGTCGCGTCGGTCGCGTCTGTTTCATCACCAGTCTCGTCGCCAGACTTGTCACTCTTGACCTTTTTGCCGCCAGCTTTACCCGGCACGACTTTTATGTTGGCAGTTGTATCTTTCTTCCCACGTGCCTCCAACTCAAGTCCTCGTTTGAACGAGGCTGTCCCGGATATTTCGAAATCATGGAATCTCACTATCGGGGCGTCGCCAAGACCCTCCTCTTCCATTGCTTCTTTCATAGCTTCTAGGGAATCGAAGCACTTCGTTTCCAAACCCAGTGGCCCACCCTCCGATGATTTCCCGGAAGGAAGCAGATACTGAGGAACTAGAAGTTCATTGACGTGACCGCAGCCTCCGAAACGAAGAACCTCATCGGGATCCTCGTTCTCCATTCCCTCGATAGCCTGAATGGCTTCTACTGCTCTTGCCTCCGTCCATTTAACCCCGTCCTCTGGTTCCTCAAGGTATGCTTTAGGTTGAGCCTTGAAAGCTTCCTCGTCGGCAAGAACATAGCAATCTGTGTTGGATATGAGTATATTGCTTCGCGAACGAGAACGACAGGTCATCAACTTACACCAGGGAGCGCCGTCTTGAAAAGATTCCCATTCCCCAGCTCTATCGGCCAGGGATTTTCCTACACCGTATTGACCAGATGCCTTATAGTGTGCATACATTTTATCATTCCAATAGATTGAACCGATCTTGTTGGTGCTTTTTGCTTCTGCCTGGAAACACGAAAGCGTCAGTATATAGCAATAGTTGCATGGAGTCTTCGTGCTGCCAAAAGTCTTGACAGAAGAATGGGGTGAACACAAGCGTCTTGACATACCTTGCTGCAAGATCGATATCCAATTAAAATCTTGCCTTCGGGGGGCGCACGAGGAAGTAGAGTCACGGAGTCGATGGGCGAAGCCACCGGTGTCGCAGCTGCATAAGCTGCTAGCATAGCTGAGAGATAGGCGGTGGTAAAATGCATGATTGTAAAACGTAGGTCTTGTGTGAGGTGAGAGGAGATAGAGATAGTAGAGTTGAATGTATTAGTAAGTATATGTTAGAAAGGTAGTTTAGAAATATGGTATGATTTGAGTGAAGGTGATCTTATGATAGTAAGAGTGAGTGTTTGTGATTCTGATTGTGATTGTGAAATGGAGGACGGTAGAGATAGTAATTATAATCAACCAAACTCTCCCCCAATATACATTCAGGCTTCAAGATTCAAAGTTGGGATCCAATCGAGCGTAAGTCCTCGTGCCATATCACGAACCCTATCGTCAAAGCTCCCTCTCGACACACCAGATTCGAGGCTTTGAACTCCTTGGTTCACCTGGTATTGTTCCCATGCTTCCATATACTCCTATGGGAATTCCAGAAGAGCATCTTAAGAGGGCTAAATCAAAACCGAAGCTGACCGACATGTTCAGCAGTGCCCAGAAGACCGCAAGAGTTCTGTTCGCTGAGCTCTTCCATGTATTTGTACGTTAAACAGGCCACAGGTCCCAGTCACCGAGAGGAAACTACCACAAGCCACCCAAGTACAGGATTGAAATTCCCCGTCAAGGGCTGGCTTGAGATAATAATAACGTTGAGTCTCACTAATACCACGGGTATCAGTTTCAGGAGTGCCATGAGCCAGCTCCAAAGGATGAATCAGTCCAATATTTCCCGAAGCGAGCAGATGAAAACGTGACAAGGGAACGATCAAGAATTCCATTTTACGGAAAGCAAAGTACAGCCTCAGAAAGGTTATTTCGAATTAAATGAAGGCATCAGAATCCAATCTGGTGTTAGACAGGCGCTCGCGAGTCGTGTTAATGTCCACTAGAAACCTTCGCTTAAGCAACTCCCGTCTAATAATTCCAAGTAGGACGAGAAGGCACATGTTGTCCACTAGCCAGACATCTCTCGAACCGAAGACGACCGAATCAAGCAAATCTCGTTGCACTGCAAAGGATCATAGGGAATAGCGAAATGACATTCCTATCTCCACCATCGTTGAGAATCGGGCACAGCGACGCCCTTCGTGGACCATGAAGTTGAAATAGGATGGATTTAGTGACCATACGGGTATTCTCGAAGGGCAGTGCGGGATTAGTTGTGGCAAAAGACTTTTGCGGGAATATACTTCTTCTCACGGTGAAGAATGTAGAGATGGGATCTATCATCCGTCAGCATCGCGGGCATGGCGTCAGCGTCTTCCTCGAAGTCGGTGATTTTCTCACACCTTATATCATCGGTGATCATTTGGCTGTTAACGCTGATTTGTGTTTTATTATGGCAAAGGCCGACTAGGAATCGGGTACGTAGTGACATAGATGATGTGAGGATCTGACACTGGGGGTTGTTGTAGTTTCAGCAAAGATACGGGATGATCGACTTTGTTCGGCTAAATAAGGGTGGATTTCTGGCAGCCTCAAGACACCGCTACGCCACACAGCCAAGAACGGTGAAACACGAAACACGAGAGGGGATGAAAATCTTATTCTGCTAAGTTCTGTTTTCTACAGCCTCTAGTCCGAATAAATCTCTTCCTTCTTCTCAACTGGCGCATCAATCAAGTTATTGAATTCTTCGCTAGGGTCGAACAAGAAACAGGCCGCTATAAAATGAATTAGTCAAGAGGATTCAAAAAAGGGAATCACGAGAGACAAACCAATGGCAGCAAGGACGATAAATCCGATTGCAGAAACCCATACATTGCGGAAACCTGTCGTGTATGTATCCAAAAGCGCACCGGCACCGGCTCCGATAATGGTTGGGCTAACACCTGGGACGGCTCCAAGCCCGGTGGTGTTTTGGCCCAAGAGGTTTGTGACGAAGGCGGGGATTGAGGTTGGTGGTAGACCAGCTTTGGCAGCAGCATTACCAACGTTCATACCCATATTTCGCGTTCCAGCAATGAAGACAGCATTGTCTGCATACAGTCAGTATCAATTGGAGTCAGGAATTTTGGTTGATACATACAAATTGCGATACCGATAGTGCCACCAAGCGACCGAATGCTAATAAGCAATCCACTTGCAATAGAAATTTGCTCAGGTGGTGTGGAAAGTTGGGCTACTGTTACCAGCGTGATGAGTGTCATTCCCAAGCCCGCACCCATCAATACTGGATATCCCCAAGCAGCCTTGGACGTGTCCTTGTTGGTGGTTGCCATACACGAGAAGAACACTGCAAAGATGAGGAAGGCGAAGACGGTTGCCCATCTGACTTTCTTAGTAATGGCACAGTATAGACCAATGAAAACGGATGTCACCATCGTCGACATGAACGCAATGGCGAACCGAAGACCGACGATGAGGAAGTCCTTCTCGTATAATACGCTGATCTGCAAGACAAATGTCAGAAAATCCTAATATCCAAGTTAAGGATAACTTACCTGGAAAGCGAAATAGATGTTTGCCGCGAAAAAGGCAATACCTTCACAGAAAACACAAATGAGAGCGATGGTAAAGTTTCGATTGCCAGAAAAGAGGCTGTGATGGAACATGCCATCCTTCTTGAATTTGGTCTCATAAGCCACGAGTACCAATGCCAATGCAAGACCAATGGCAAATGGAGCAGAAACGTGGGCGTTTGACCATGAAAATGGATTTTGGGACCAGGACAGGCCAAGACAGAATAGCACAAGACTGGAAGCCATGAGCCCATAGCCGATCCAGTCTAAGCGAGCCATTTTTTGTCCAAACGTGTATTCCAATTGGAGTTTGCTTGGGATTGGCTTATAGGTGAAGGTCGTTATGACGGCAGAAACGAAATATAATGCCATGGCGATATAGAAGTGGTTTCGGAATCCATTTGGTTCTCCGTGTCTGTTCAATTGGCCACCAACAAGGAGACCGGATATCAAGCCCACGCCGTTCGAAATCATGACAGCTGCCTGTCCCCACGATCTCCATCGTCGCGGTAAAACTTCAGATGCGACTGTATGAAGGAGAGATTGTGCTCCGAAAGAGACACCGATCAATGTGAATCCGGCAATGATCATGGACATGGACGACGCGCGCGAGACAACTACAGCTCCAACGGAACCAAAAAGGGATGGAATCACCAAGAACCATTTTCTTCCCCAATAATCTGACGCTTGCGCAAAGATCGGGCAGAGCACGACCGTCATGATCGTGATTGGTGTCGCAATCCAGGTGACATCTTGAGGTTTGTGGAAGTGTCCAGCGATAATTTGGCCTTGCTATAAAACTTATTAGAAATATTCTGCGTCAAGTGAAGGATCGAAGCGCAAGACATACAGCGCCTGCTCCAACCAGTGTGAAGGTCTGAGCAATGTAAATAAGACAAACCGCAAAGACAGCCAAGAATGTCTTTGCGTGTAAATGAGGTGTATGCACCCGCTCGAATTCCTCTTCAGTCACAGTGTGATTAACGATGGAATGGCCTTTTTCGGACGGGTTCACAGAAGTATTGCCTGATGCCGGAGCATCAGTCTTGAACGCCTCAGACATAGTCCTGAGCGCACAACGGCTGCCAATTAAGGTGGAAGTTGGAATGTCCTACGCTGAAGGTCGAGCGTGAGGTCTACCACTTGAGCAAGAGGAAGTGGTCGAAAATCTAAGCGAAAATGAACAGAAGTAGGCACAGGTTGAAGAAACAAAACAAATACAAAGGTACAGAGATCAACTCATGTGAAGAAAGCCTCTCTTCTTTACGTTGCAGACATTGCAGCATGTCGGTATCGGTAGCAATGCAGCGGCCAATGCGCTTGGTAAGATAAATTCGATTGAGGACTAGGGGCGTATCTCATGCCACGCGGAGCAAAAGCCAAAAGAGTTTGGTTTGAATTATTTTGGACCAGGCGGGAACGGGATGCAGGCGCCCGGCTGGGGGAGGGGTGGAGCTGGGGTGCCGGTAGGGGTCGTTCAAGGGCCCTTGAGCAACGACCAGGCCCTCGATATGCTGCCCGCTTGATATGGAAACGCCATGAGGGGACTTGAGACATTGACATGGGAGCTGTTTGGTTTGTTCCACGAGGGAAATACTTTTGAGGCAACATCTCATTGTCTTTCGATCTCAAAACCATCGCCACGACATGAAAAATGCTCGTCGTTGTCAATACAAGTTGTTTTCGGACTTTGCTGCAAGCAGAAGTACTCATCACAAACAGGCAAAACATCCATCCATCTGCAGCTAACTCACCGAGTAAGGAAATAAGTACTTGGCTGCAGAAATAACTTTCGACCCAAATGTAACCCTCAGAAGCATGTGGCTATCGCGCGTCCTACCAATCGAATTCATGTGTATCTCATGATTCATTCTGTATCTATTGAGTTCTCGACCAATGACCCCCATCTGCTTCAACTGTTTTCGATTTCTCGACTGATTTTTCGACTGATTCCTCAACCCTTTACCCTTGATATTGGGTCCTGGAAACTCGAAACGAAATAACATATCTCTTGCAAGGAAGATTCTGCACCATGTACCTTCGTACCTAAAACGAAGTACGAGTTACTTACGTGAAAATCGGCATCCCAAGAACTGTATGTTACATCTCGGGTTCCCAATCATCCAATTTCTCCTTTCGCTTCCACGTTGCTGGAATATGCCAAATGCTGTCGGTTGATGAGGCGTCCAATACACCTGGATACTGCATGGCTTCTCGAGGATTACAAAACTGGTAGATTCTTACGAGGTTGCAACCCTTATCATATTGAATTTCATCAACCTTGAAACTGCTGCACCATCCTGGCATCGCGCCATATGTAGACGGGCGAGTGTCTTTGCCTAGACCACTCTGCGAAGCAATATCACAGTACAGTGATTCTTCACCGCCACATTTTTCTGCTTTCATTTAAGACTTTCTGCGGTATTGACTCGACCAGAAAGTGCTTGCAGAATAAGTGTCTTTCATACTGCGCATCATGGACGTCGCAATAGCCGGAGCCGGCATAAGCGGCCTCGCTGCAGCAATATCGCTGCGTCGCAGTGGTCACCGTGTAACCATCTATGAGCGATCATCGATGAACAACGAACTTGGTGCAGCAATCAATATTCCACCGAACGTTTCCCGATTCTTGGTACCGTGGGGTTTAGATCCGGTGCGGTCTCGGCTGGTCAACTCTCAGGGCATGTGGTTTGTCTCGCCAACGACACTTGAAGAAATAGCTGCATTCGATCATTCACACAACAATGAAAAATTTGGATCGCCTCTTTATTATGCTCATCGTGTGGACTTGCATGAGAGTCTCAAGCGTATGGCAACGGAGCCTGGGTTTGGAACACCGGTAGAGATACGTCTTAAGTCTATTGTGACCAGCTATGTACAAAAGCCTGACTCCAAATTACTCTCTTGTAATACCACATTGTAGATTCTAATACATCAGTAATTTTAGGATTCCGGAACTCCTTCCTTGACACTACAAGATGGAACCATTATCACCGCAGATGTGATTCTTGCGGCTGATGGCGTAAACTCCATCGCTTCGCAGGCTATTCTGGGGAAGGTCAATGCTCCAGAACCGGCAAAACATTCGAATTGCTGTTATCGATTTCTTATCTCCAGAGAACAGTTGATGAGTGATCCTGAGACAAAATGGTTTACTGAGGGTCATCAGAGTCTTGGCTGCAGAATATATCCAGATCATCAGGCCAACAGAAGACTGGTGTCTTACACATGTAGAGAGTAAGAGTTTGTTAATCACGATTCCAACACGCATGCTAACTCGTTTGAAGTCATGAGGTATTCAACTTTGTTGGCATCTGCCACAACAATACAGTGTTCTCGAAGGAGAAGGAAGGTATGAAGCTTGTCCATCCGCAGTCCCATCTTTAAACTGTTCCAGAGGTCAATTTGTTGACCTATTCTGGCAGACTGGCTCGCGCCAATAGATAAAAGCGAAGTCCTTGCTCAATTTTCTGGGTACAGCCCGAAGCTTCTCGCTATCATAAGGTTAGTTCACATCATCTCAGATCTCGATCCAGCATCACTACAACTCACAGAGGCTGATCTTTCACGCCACTCCTAGCAAAGCTACCGAAGTCAAGCGATGGCCATTACTCTACCGCTCTCCAATCCGAACATGGCAAAAGGGTAAAATGGCAGTGGCAGGCGATGCAGCTCATCCCATGCTTCCCCGTAAGTGCCTTTTCTTGTCTTGGGATACTCACTAACATCTAGAAGATCAAGGTCAAGGAGGAGCCCAAGGTATCGAAGATGGCGTTGCTTTCGGACTAGTCTTCCAAGGCGTGACGGACAAGTCCCAAATCCGAAATCGACTTGAGCTCTATGAGAAGATCAGAAGGAATCGCGCAGCAAGTGTGCAGATACTGAGCAATTTTGGGGCAGATGAGGAGGTGCCTCATGAGTTGGTGGAATATCTGGATGGTGTTGCTTTGCCGAGTAAGTTCTGCCTATTCCGATGCAATATGGTTTGCGTACTGAATTTTTGGTGTGTAGAAAACGTAGCCGACATCGTCAATATCACATATGGCCATGATGTTATCAAACACGCGACAAAGGTTTTGAAAGACTATAGTCCGGAGTGGGAGCTTGGGAAGGACTTTTACCCAGCTAAGATTGCTGTTGCATGATAGAATATTAAGACTTTTTGCTTGTTACATAGTTTCCGCCAAACCATGCTGTGATTGTTGGTTTGTGATGCATGTTATTTTCTGCGAGACCGATATCGGACCAAAATGAGCTTGTGACTTTGTGATTTTGTGAAAGAATCTTGATTCGTACGAAGTGAAACTCTGTGGATTATTTCAACGGCAGGCGTAGCCGTGTAACGTGTACATCACTTTTCGGATGTTGTACACAGTGCAGTCATACATAGTTGATCTCATACTGGGTCATCTTACACTTTGATTCAAATATCGCAGTTAATCCTACTATAGGTTGCAAATATGTTACTGGACAATGAAGATCGTTCTGATCAATCCTAATATGACAAACAACTTCAACAGTGAAACTAAGGCGGTGACCAAATGCGTATTCCTTATTTGTTAATCTTTTGTCACGTATAACTTTCCATCTACGTTTACTCCAATACTTCTTCCTTCCGAGCTGGAGGACAAAATAAGTGGCAGTCGCCTACCCACAAATCTTAAACTAAATAATAAGTTTGCTTAGAATAGACCTTAAAAAGTCTTATTTGCTTAAAACGGTTGAGGAAATAGTTATAACGTTTCAAGTTGGTCTACTAAATTAAAGTATTTCCTTAATCTAGTCGGAGAACTATTCTGGTTCGACTACCACTTATTTTGTCCTCCGCGAGCCAACGTCTGTATCTTCATTGGCTACTTGCTCTACTTTCTCGACGTGGATGGCACTATTGTAACAGCCCTTTTGGTATGATCAAACCACGCGGAATGATGGAAAAAGTCGCGTGCGAATTTTTTATTAGAGAATTGACATCGGGCTCCAATGACTTAAAGATGGCGATTTGTTAACAATCGTGTATCAATTAAATGGCTTGTTAGATCTGATAATCCCTCGTATATTCTTTCTGAGGTGGCTCTTTGAAAATTGGTTTTCATACGCATTAAAAGAGAGGCTTGTGATAAATTCTTCGATCTAAACTTCTTTTGGATTCAATTATTACTATTCTGCTAATTCACCTAAATATAGATACATCTTTACCACTGCGTCCGCATTTAAAAATCGAGACTTCGTGTGTTGTATGTCTTTCTTGGGAATCAGAGATACTTAAAGCTGGCATAAGTGCAAATTGTAAAAGTTTAAAAATTCCGACTTCACCGTAATTTTTGCATTGAATTTAGTCTTAGTCAGAAGGGTTTTTTCATGGTATATGAAGTATAAGGTCACAATCCGAACATCTAATCTTCACTAGCAACACAAACGTGAAAAAAGAAATGTTGACAACCTTCAAGGTTTATTTTACGACGGCATTTATCAGCACCCCAATATATCAAGCACCAGCGGTATTGGGATAACAATCCGCCTATCCTCTCAACATCGATTATGGCCAAATTAAAAGCACTTTTAAAAGCCAAGAAAAGGTGAGATCATGCATTATTTGAATTTATTTCAAACTTGTGTGTTTAGCACAGTAAAATTTTGAGCAGATATAGCAAACAGTTGATAAAATTGAATGAATGCGAATTTGAACACCATTATCAGCTTCCACCTTCACGAACCGACCATCCGATTGAATTGCAAACCAACCACACTCGCCCCCTTAGAGCAACTCGCTTAGCACACTACACCAACATCCCTATGCCTCAAACCCGCATCTTAAATTCAGACAAACAAGAGAACCAACAAGCTTCTCACAGTTCAACCTCCATAAATAAAATAAAACACCTCCTCAAAAAACACCCAAGACCGAAACATCAAATCCTGACCGTCTAATTACACCCCAGAACACCAACAACACAGCCCTTGGGTCCTGTTTCGACAAATCAGTACCTCAACAACACGAAAAAGAAGGATATACTTACCGGGGGGGCCTGCAGAGCCTGTATCGCCTTTTGGACCTTTTTTTAAGGATTAGAACTTGCGTTTTACGTGAAATAGAGGGAATTTGGAACTAACCCTGTGGTCCGGATGGGCCCTGGATGCCTTGGATCTGGAGAGAGGATTAAAGATGAAACTTCAAAAGAGGGGAGAAGAGAGTGGGGATGTGGACGGAAGAGAGACTTACTCCTTGACTTCCTGGGGAGCCTGTTTTTAAGGTTAGATGGATGGCTTGAATTAAATTATGAGGGTATAGGTTTTAAAAAGCATACTTTGACTTCCGTTCGCACCTAATTTACACCGTTAGCATGTATTTGTTGCAAAATAGTGAGAAAACACCAACCTGGGCTGCCCGCATCTCCTTTCGGTCCCTTTTCCAGTGTCAGTTACGTTTATTATCGTATGAGGGGCTTTAGAGGAGCCTTACCGTGCTGCCATTTGCGCCAGCCGGGCCCGAGGGACCTAATTTTGCCGTTAGATATGTGATAATCGTCTGAGAAACGTTTAACTTGCCTTGGCTACCAGTATCGCCTTTCAACCCCTATCCAGTTATGTCAGCAGCCTCCAGGGTAAGTCACAGGATATCTACTTGACTTCCAGACGCTCCAGAGGGGCCTAACACTGTTTATTAGACTTCGAACAAGCGATAGAAAGAGCTGTCACATGCCTTGACTCCCAGTATCGCCTTTCAAACCCTATATCCACGTCAGTTACGTCCTCAATGATGTATACGAGACTCACTTGACTTCCAGCCGGGCCAGGGGTTCCTAAATTCAACGTTTAGCTGCCAAGGTCATCTTTTCTCAAGAAAAACCAACCTGGAATCCCACTATCGCCTTTATCGCCCTTCGGACCCTTTTTGATCGATCAGTAATTGCCACATGAAACATAGCAAAGGATAATACCGGACTTCCAGGACTTCCGACGCCTGCTGGTCCTATTGTAGATTGTGAGATGTTGTTGAAGCGATAGATTCGGCCACAACTTGCCTTGGGTACCTATGTCGCCTTTGGGTCCCTTTTTAAGGTCAGTATAAGTCTCATGTTATTTTTGAATGAAATCATATGCTTACCGCCGATCCTGGATTGCCTGTATCGCCTTTCGGGCCCTTTTCGATCGATTAGCATGGACGCTTCCCTTGGAAGAAGAGAGAATTACCGGGCTTCCCACGCCTGCGGGTCCTGTTATGGATTACAGTCAGATACATGAGATAGATGAATAATTGACGTATAGAACTCGCCTTGACTGCCTGTCTCGCCTTTCGGTCCCTTTTCAATGATTTAGTATTCCTCCTTTTTGTTAAAAGTGAAGAATCTTACCGGACTTCCGACGCCAGCAGGACCTATCGTAAATTGTTAGACACAAGACGAAAGGTTGATTTGCCTCGGCAGCCTACCTTGACTTCCAGTTTCGCCTTTGCTATCCTATTCGAATCAGCATCAAATCCATACTTCTTTGATAAGACTTCACTTACCGGCGACCCTGGATTGCCTGTATCCCCTTTGCTGCCCTAAAAAGTACCATAAGTATGACGCCTCTCACTAGAAGACTTCACTTGCCTGCGCGCCTGTGCTACCCTACTCAAATCAGTCCAAAATCTATACTCGACCTACGAATTGATCACTTACCGGCGATCCTGAAAGTCCTGTATCTCCTTTGATGCCCTATTTTGACTATGATAAGCATCAGGCTTTTTATAAGAACAGGCCACTTACCTGCGGTCCTGTGCTTCCCTGCAATGGATCAGTACATGGATCAACCATTCAAGAAGCTAAAGGCACTTACGGGCGAACCCGGGCTCCCTGTATCTCCTTTGCTACCCTATTTAGATCAGCACAAGTAAAATCAACTTGACTGTCGAAGCAACTGACCTGCGGTCCAGTACTGCCTGTACTGCCTTTGATACCCTATTTAAGATCAGCATAAGCATCGCGCTTCTCGTGCGGACAAGCAACTTGCCTGCGGTCCGGTGCTGCCCTACTTAGATTAGTATACTGCTATACATTTGCCGAGAGAAGGGAATTTACCTGCTGTCCAGGGCTGCCTGTGTCGCCTTTGATGCCCTATTCAAACGGTCATAAGAGATACTCATTTTACTCGAGAATGTCGACTCACCTGCGGTCCAGTATTGCCCGTCGACCCTTTCACACCCTATTTAGATCAGCATACCGCATATCCTAACAGAAGATACCACTCACCTGCACTCCAGGATTGCCGGTATCCCCCTTCGGCCCCTAAACGTGGATCAGCATATCTAACCCTCGAACGCACACACACACAAGAAAACTCACAGGCGGGCCTGGGCCCCTTGCGGACCAGATCCCGGGCTCGGAGTGTTATATATGTTGTTCCGCTGGTAGATACTAATCTTCTTCAGCGCGCCACAGTTCTGTTGACTATTCCCTGCGCAAGGAGTAGAGCAGGCGCCTGTTGCGATGGTGCATCCGGGATTGAGATTGTTGGCGCAGAAGCACTGTATACGTCAGTCACCTATCTTCCAACCACTCCAAATTATTGCTCTTGGTTGAGTGGATAACAAAGCTGGATGCAGGTGATGATTTACCAAATTCCCATTCTCCACGCCATAGACGAAGTAATCACTACAGTAAGCCGCACAAGCACTGAGCGTCAACGCGGAAAAGGTTGCTCGTTTAGCGGAGAGAGCGTAGCCGGTAGCTGGTTCGGACCAGCAGCCTGCGTAGACCCATTCGGAGCGGCGTTCGAGGGGGGTGGAGGAGGTTAGGAGGGGGAGGACGGCGAGGGTGAGGATGGAAATGTGCATTTTGGGGGTTGAGTAACTGGGGAAAAGACTGTGAGATGGTAGAAAATAATTGTAGTGACTGTAGGGACTGTAGAGGATAAGTAATAGGGAGGAGGAAAGGGATGATGTGATAAATGGAGGGGATGAGAAACTGTGAGGTATGTTGGCTGAGTGTGATGGTATGCAAAAAAACGTGGGCGAGATGATGGATGGACTATCATGGTATGTGGGAAAACGTGGTGATTCAAAATGTGTGTCTGATACAAATTTCTGCGTCGTCAAAAATTGCATCTAAGATTTTATCAGCATAAACAACTTTTGAATATACACTTTTCTCCACCATAGCCCGAGATCCGAAACCAGCGCTTTGATTTCAGACCTCCTGTACTTGGTTGTAGTATTGAGTTGTTTACTGATGGATGTTCCAGGTAGAGAGTTGTGCCAGACATCGGTGAGGCATGCAAAAAAACGTGGTAAGTCGAATGGAGGAGGATATGATCTTGGAAAGACAGGAGAGACGATTAATGCCAAAGTGCCACAGTCTGTAAGTGGAGAAAATTTGTGATGTGCTCAAAGTTTATCAATGTGTTTGTTTTTGATGCTGTCTATCAAGTCGACCATTTCGCAGAGATACACTTCATCTAGTGTAGTGTTTGTGTAGAAGTTGCTGCCGATTGCCGAATCTTCAACAGCGCTGAAGAATGCTAAATAAAAGAATGTAGATCTCGGTGGAGAATTTACCCGTCCCCATGTCTTAGATCTGGCGCCCATTCCAATCTCCTTCGTCAGCATATGCTGTACCACCGAACAAACACATGCAAAAAAGAATGAGTGTCAGGTGGGAAGTGAACATGGTAATACACTCGACGACACGATAGAGGTTCGTCGCTTCAGATTCGAACACCATGCACCCTACCAGCCTATAAAGAATACACTGATACTACACTGCCCTTGAAATGTCCTCAAACTCCCAATTGCCAGCCCAATCTACCCACCAACAACAGCCAAGCCCTCATAAATTTTCCTTTTCACCGCGAAGAATGTACCACCAACCTGAGGTAACTCCCTGATCCCAGAACCCTCAATCTCAATCCTCCCAGTACCAGTCTTTTTCACAATTACAGTTCCATCTACCAGCAACGTTCCTTCACCCCTGAACTCAGCGGTATGTCCTGATCCCAACATCAACTTCCTTAGGTCAGCGAGACGGAGATCACCGACGTGAAGAGGTTGTGCGATGGAACGAGTGGCGGATGCCATCGCTGTAGGAAGAATGTCCAAAGTTGGGATCTCTGCTGGAGGAGATGCGACGAGATCCATACTCTCTGCAGTCTCATCTTTGATAAGCTTCTGCCGTTTTTTGTCAGACTCAATATTCACATTATCCGCGTGTGTAAGTTCCAATTGGCCAGTCAAAGTGACGATTCCCAATCCTTTCACTTGCTGCCATCGCAGGCGTTTGACGAGGGCATCTGAGAGTTTCAAAGCCCAAGCATTGGTATCAACACTGGCATCTACCCAATCGCCTACCATCGGTGTGAATATTTCAATCGCAGTTTCATCATTACCACTTTTCGCAGCTAGAATCTTGCGACAATCCACTGCCAAAGCCAGAGTCTCATCTTTCATACCACTGACAAATATCAGCTTTCGTGGTTGAATTAATGGAATCAACATCTGTAGCGATCTCTTGTCGTGCACGCCGCCAAAATCAACAAATGCCAGTCGTAAGTCAACATTGATTGTTTCCGTCTTTATTTCCACCCTCGATGGTCCTGTAATTTCTTCAACTTCCGGCTCAACAACATCATCATCCTCATCATCGTAACCAGGAATTAGGTCGCCCAGTGGTTTGGTGTTTTGCTGTCTCTTCATATCGCCACTCACATTTCGTTGGCCTGGAGTTTCATCCCATTTCCGCTTCTTTCCAAGCGTATCCTTAGTATCGAATTTGTTGGGCTGTCGACTGAGCCCTTCATCGTTGTTGTCTTTTGTATCCTGCATCACAAAATCTTCTGGTCGAACAAGCTCTCCATATTCATCTGTTCTTTTCCTGCGAACAACCAAAGGGAACATCTTCTCGCGACCCTTTTTTCCGCGCACATCATAATCGTACACACCTTTTTTGCGGAGAAGGATGTTAATACCAAGATCCTCGTCTGTGAGACCAATCTTCTTTCGATTTGCCTGGCCCATTGTTGCTGAAATGTTCAGAGCCTTACCTTGCTGTTCATTCTCTTCATCGTCATCATCAGAATCAGAAGAATCAGAAACAGCATCGTCAATCATATCTGCAGAAGACTCCAAGCTTGTTGCACCCCCAGCCTGGGTGGTTTGCAATTGTCGCTGTGTTGCAAGCCAATTCTGGTAAGCCGCCAAATCGTCTCCTTCCAGAGCGACTCGTGTCGTCTCGCGCATCTCTAGTTGGCGACCTCCCCCATAAACCTGTTCTAAAACATCCCCCGAAGCCGCCGTCTCAGTCGCAACTCCATCTGATCGATCTTCCCACCATGACCATAATGTTCTTGCCATACCTAGTTTTGGATTCTCCATTTTTGGTTGACCCATTCGCTCGGTGAAAATGACAAGATTCCTCCTGTCATCACATATGCGTCGGAATACCTCTTTCGAAAATCCCCACTCCAAAGAAGTGTCGCTTGCCAAGATGACTTTACCAATCGACCTGCCATGGTTATCAACCTCTTGCATGATCTTGTCAATCTGGCTCTTTCGTTCGAGTAAGCGGAGATGTTTAAAGTCAAAAGGTCCACCGATACCCCTCAATTTCGCATCTGGGTCGTCATCTTGCTTATTCTGTCCAGCAACAGCTTCAAATTCCCGCACGATTGATTCGTCCATCCACTCCAACATACTTCGAGCGTATCGCATAGTAGCTTGTATGTTTTTGCTAGCCAGATATGGTCTAGCAGACATGAGAGTGCTATCATCGCTCTCAGCATCTTCCCGCCACGCATGCTCCAAGAGATATGCGAGCTCGAGTACTCTTGCGCTTGAATCCGTTGGAATGAGCACGATTCCGCCCTTACTGACACAAGATTTGATGTTGTCCAAAAGAAGCTCATCTCGCTTTTTCTTTCCTCCTGCAATGGCCACTTTTTCTCCTCCTTTACTACTGCAAATTAAAGCGGTTGGTTTTCTCAATTGCTCAATGACCTCTGCACCACCACCTCCGGCCCCTCCAAGCCAAGCTGCTCCTGATAAGATATTCTCACGCGATTGATTCCAGTCGACTGCGTAGACAATCGATTCAAGACCGGCCTGGATCTGCCATATGGTGCCTCCAAGCGTATGTCCTGCATTGTAGGCCGTAATAACAAGATCATTGAGCGGAGGTGACCAGGGCGAACAAAGGGGTTGATGTGGCTGAGAGTACTTTAACGGATGTATAAGTTCGAAATATGAAGCTATTTCTTTGGCAGTAGGAGGCTGGAGCAGAATGCGACGGTTTTCGGCGGTGGCAGATGTCTGTGAGTAGGAATAAGAAGTTTCGATTAAGGATTCGGGAGGTATTATGGTCGAGGCAAGAGGCGTCGAACTGTAAAGATCTTGGATGAGAGTTCGCCCTAAGGAAATGACTGGCGTCGTGGCATATATTGGTATTCGTGTGAAGAGAGGAAAGTGTTTACAGCAGTGGGCAAATGCTGCTAAATGTGAAGTTGTCGCGTGTGTAAGAAGGATAAGTGAGAGGGTTGGTACTACTCTGATGGCACTGTTAGCATTGTCGAATGGAGGGAAACGAGGTATGGGCGAGGGATGGTGGTCGCATAGACTTCAAAGCATCGCAAATAGCAAATAAAGAGGTGGTGAATGTGTTGATTGATATCTGCTATACAAGAGTCCTTTCCAAGATGCGGATTCTGATGATTCTGCTGATCCCTCCCTCCACTCGCGCCGATGCCCAAATATCCTAAGAAAGAAATCGGAACCTACTTCTCAAGCTCCTTCAGCTTGGTGACATCGAAGGACTCATCCCATCCCAAGTCAATCAGGACTTTGACACCTCCATCGAGCTCCAACAATGATTGCGACGCCGACGATTCGGATTGCGCGCCTAGCAAGGAGCAGAAAGTAAACATTTTGACTCCAGCGCCCTACGTCCTTGTCAACACATCTGCGAAGATATTGTCGGATCGCTATATCGCATTCTTATATTGTTTTGACGTTTCTGGATCCCGAGATATCGTCGTAATGTGGTCGAGCGTGTAGTTGGCGGTGTTGTGGTTGCGATGGATGGAATGGAGTTGAAAGGAAGAAAGAAAGCCAGATAGAGATGGTCGCGATCGCGTTCCGTTCCCTTGTGCTGGGTCAGTGCATGTGATCTGCCACCACCCTCGAACCATCCTCCCGGGCGATTGCCAGGGCCTTGGACGCCTCACGCCTCGATCCGAATTATTTGCGAAATCGTGTCAACATCCAAGATCACCACAACACCATCCCTTTCTCCTGCCAACGAGCTTGCACTCTCGGATATAACAGCAATGCAATGACACGCTTCTCTTGACGCCTTCAAACCTCTTCTTCTCATGCCAGATTTGGCCACGATCTCCTTTCACGAAACCTCAGCGCACAGCAGAATAGAATACCCATCTCAACATGTCCGACTACCAACAGTATCACTCTTTGGCACAAGGGGATCCAAATGATCCAAGGAATCAAAACCGAAATGCACAACAAACACCAAACCAATTCCAACCTCCAGTAGCTCCTTCGCCGTATGGACAACCTGGCGCAACTTATGGTCAAGGACAAGTTCCACAACAGGTAGGTAGGCAATTGCACTCTGGTTGGCAATTCCATTCTGGCTTTGTGTCCTTACGATCTATACACTTTCCTTTTTGCAATTCAACACAGCTCCTTGTCCTCATGCACATCTGCGAGCGAGAAAGACGCTGACTCTGTCACCATAGCCTTACGGAGTCCCCCAAGCATCACCATATGGGGCACCGCAAGACCCCGGATATTTTCCAAATCAAGGTCAGCAACCACAAGATGGAGGTCTAGCAGCCCAGATGGGGGGTATGAGTCTAGGTGGAGGAGAAGTCGCCACATACGGGAGAAAGAAAAAGAAGGACAGACATGCCTACCATAATGTCGAAGCTCCATCTGGCTCCTCAGCTGCCTTCAATGGCATTCCAGCAAGCGGAGTCCCTCCTTCTGCCTATCTCAACGCGGATCCTTCGACGATGCCAGTTGGACCAAACAGTCAATTCATGAACCAACCGATTACGCCTCAGATGTCGCAGTTTCCAGCCCCCGTGGGCGCTCCTTTCAACCCCGCCGTGCCAGTCTCGCCAGCGGAGTTTGCCTCACGGAACGGTGCGGCACCAGATGGTTTCGCAACAAATATACAAGCTTCTGCGCAAGGTGCAGTGGATCCAGATCAGGTACCAAGTGTACCAAGGTCGAGAGATTCGCTAGCTCCGTACTATTTGAAAAATCAATACCCCACATTCGAACACCACATACCTCCTCCAGCCTCTGTTTCCTTTATTGCGTTCGACCAGGGCAATGCTTCACCCAAGTTTACACGTTTGACATTCAACAATATACCCTCGAACGCGGAGGCACTTGCAACTACGAGTCTTCCTCTAGGGCTGTTACTGCAACCTCTGGCACCCCTATCAGCGGGAGAGGTTGCGATTCCGGTACTGGATTTTGGCGACACGGGACCACCGAGATGTCATCGATGCCGAGCGTATATCAATCCATTCATGGTATTCAGATCTGGAGGGAACAAATTCGTCTGTAACATGTGTAACTATGCGAATGATTGCCCGCCAGAGTACTTTGCTGCAACCAATCCACAAGGCGCACGTGTAGATAGGGAAATGCGCCCGGAGCTGATGCGGGGGACAGTGGAATTTTTGGTACCAAAAGAATACTGGAATAAAGAACCAGTAGGGCTAAGGTGGCTATTCTTGATCGATGTCGGCCAGGAAGCCCTGAATAAAGGATTCTTGGAATCGTTCTGTGAGGGAATTATGGTCGCTCTATACGGCAATGACCACAATTCAGAGGAGAGGAAAATTCCAGAAGGTGCAAAGGTTGGCTTCGTGACGTTTGACAAAGATATCCACTTCTACAACATGAACGTAAGTTACTAGTCACATGCGTGGGTACAGCACTGACCTAAGCTCTAGCCCGTTCTCGAACAAGCTCAAATGATCTGTATGCCGGATATCGATGACCCTTTCTTACCTCTGAGCGAAGGACTGTTCGTTGATCCTTACGAAGCAAAGTACGGCCAGTAACCTTTTTCAGGTATTCTCAGCTAACATGGCATAGATCGAATATCACATCTTTACTAACCCAGCTACCTGCACTATTTTCACAAGTCAAAAACCCAGAACCAGCGCTTCTTCCAACATTAACTGCGGCATTGGCAGCTCTCGAGAAAACCGGCGGTAAAATAGTTTGCTCACTATCGGCACTGCCAACTTGGGGTCCTGGTCGATTGTTCCTCAGAGACGACGGAAAGCAACATGGAGATGCCGAGAAGAAGCTGTTTGCGACAGAGCATCCTGGCTGGAAAAAAATGGCTGAGAAGATGGTTGCTGCTGGAGTTGGTGTAGACTTTTTCTTGGCGGCCCCAGGAGGTGGTTACTTGGACATCGCAACCATCGGCCATGTTTCTGCATCAACTGGTGGAGAGACCTTCTACTACCCCAATTTTGTCTCACCAAGGGACTCGGCAAAGTTATCACAAGAGATAATGCACACCGTTCAGCGAGAGACCGGATTTCAAGCGCTGATGAAGGTTCGATGCTCGAATGGTTTGCAGGTATCCTCTTATCACGGCAATTTTGTACAACACAATTTTGGTGCCGATGTGGAATTTGGAGTTATTGATGCCGACAAAGCCATGGGTGTTATGTTCAGCTATGACGGCAAACTTGACGCAAAACTCGACGCCCATTTCCAGAGCGCCTTGCTTTATACCACAGCAAATGGCGAACGTAGGGTCAGATGCTCCAACGTAATTGCGAGCGTTAGCGACAGCGTCATGGACTGTATGAAATTTGTCGATCAGGATGCTGTTTATTGCCTTATGGCAAAGGAAGCAGCTTCAAAGATGACAACCTCTACCATGAAGGAGATTAGGGGTGCGTTGACGGAGAAGACTGTAGATATCGTAGCAGGATATCGGAAGATTCGCTCTGGGTCACATCCTCCTAGCGAACTTGTTCTCCCCGAAAACTTGAAGGAGTTAGGTATGTACATCCTAGGATTGATCAAATCACGATCATTCAAGGGTGGACAAGAGCCCACGGACAGAAGGGTCCATGATATGCGCATGCTCAAGGGTATGGGTGCTCTTGAACTGTCCCTTTACCTGTATCCACGGATGATTCCAATCCACAATCTCCAACCCGAAGATGGTTTCCCAGATCCGGAAACTGGTCACCTACGTATGCCACCCTCTGTTCGATGCTCATTCTCTCGGGTAGAGGAAGGTGGGGTCTATCTCATTGATAATGGTCAGAACTGCTATCTTTGGATGCATGCACAAACTTCGCCAAATCTCATCATTGATCTGTTCGGGGAAGACAAGGATTCTTTGAAGGCGCTGGATCCTTACAGCTCCTCACTACCAGTTCTACCTACACATATCAGTGCTCAAGTCCGAAACATTCTTGAGTTTTTGAAGACGATGCGTGGATCCAAGGCATTGACAATCCAGCTAGCTCGACAAGGGCTGGACGGTGCAGAATACGAATTCGCTCGCCTCTTGGTGGAAGATCGTAATAACGAAGCGCAAAGCTATGTGGATTGGCTGGTACATATCCACCGTCATGTGCAATTGGAGGTAAGACGTTTTCGCAGGGCTGATATTAACTTAAGCTGATGACAATCTAGTTGACTGGACAGAGAAAAAAGGATGATGGCGGAGATAACTCAGTAATCTCGAATTTTGCAGGACTAAGACCGCCATATTGGTAAACCTGAAGCGAGTTTTTGGAAGTTTAAGATCATGGAGTACATTTAGCGTGCATAGGGAGGGTTGTCGATCGAAAATTTAATCATTACCATCACGACACCTTCACAATCCGACTTCAGTCTCAGTTGTGGGGTGCTCATATCGGGAATGATACACGTCTGCTTTGTTTTGTTGGCGATCCACATGTCCTCATGAGAGAGGAGAATTCCGCGCATCACTAACAGTCTAGGGACTTGATCTTATCTCTTGAGGTTCCATTCCACATTCTTGAATACGCAAAAAAAATCTGGCATGTCTTTCATCAAATGCCTCCATCCACGATATGTGCTTCCAGAACAGATCAGCTGATGCCAACAATGGTACACGAGGCAGGTACGATGCTTCCCCTACCACAACAACTAAGGTTCCTACGTCGACTCAGGGTGCTCCTTCCGAATGCTGGGGCGACCTGCAGTCTTACTCTTCCATCTGCCACCGACCTCGTTCTCTTCTCTTTCTTTTCCAGCAGCTCAGTTATCATTCTCTCGTTACATCACCTATCATATCCGACAACTTTCATTATTCCTCTCAACGCCGATATCATTCTGACAACATCATTACCGCAGTTACATTCGTTTTATTGGTGTCCGCACATCATGGATTCTCTGTCCGCTTCATTTTCCAGGTTCTGCCGCCTCATTGTTCCTGTGTTTCTATGCATTATCATGATCCCGAGCATTTTCTTGGCCTTAGATAGTACACCTTGCTTGATTCTTGATACTTCTGGACTAAAAGAGAATCACTTTAAGACGCACGGCGAGTATCTGGCAATTTACGACGAGTACAAATTGGGACTGAGTTCGTACGATGCGATTGATAAGCAAGCTGGAACGGCAAAGCATTATGGATGTACGTTTTTACAGCCGACTTCTTGATACAGAGATCACTTCTCAAGCGGTAAAAACTAATATTCAGCAGATACTTTTATGCCTGGAATAAGCTTGCAAGACAACCTCAAGAATCCTTCTTCAACTGTTACTTTTGAAGATGTTAAATTCCCCAGTGAAATCAACCAGAGCTTTGACAACTTACAAAACCATTTTGGTTTCTCGCGAGTCGCGCTATGTGTATGTAGTTTGCTTACTGGATTTGCTTGCTTCGCGGGCATCATTTTGGCTCTGATTTCAAATTGGGAGGGAATACATAAGTACCTTGATCTCTTTCAAAAGGGAGAAACGGTCGAGAGGCTTTGGGTTTTATTGAGAGCTTGTACCATTGTAAGTTATCATCTGTATCTACGCCGTTGCCAGCCACACTACACGAAGCCCACATGTCTTTTTGGCATATAATTGACGTCGTCCATAGATTATAGCGTTGCTCTTATTGATCTCAGCCATTCTTACCGAAGCCGCATTAGTGACGGAGATGTATATGATCAATGAATATGGACCGCCGCATGGAATTTCAGGACACCGAAAATACACATTTTCGATTACCATATGGGCCATATCTGCTTTCGCCGCAGTAACGGCTGGTTTGGCATGGCGGGCGGAAAAACATCTGCCAGTCCACTGGAACGTTAATCGAGCGAATGCCATTACCGGTGTACCGCCACCAGCAAATCCACGCGTACCAGCGCAAAATGCTGGAGCTGGGTTGCAGGTCATACAAGAAGAACAGGAAGAAGAGGGTATCGAAATGGAAGATATGGCACCAGCGGGACAGGAAGATGGGGATGCTGAGTTACAAGATGTGCCACCACGACTAGAAGAGGATGGAGCTTTCGAAATGGTGGACATGGCGCCAGCAAGAAGGGAAGATGGAGACGTCGGACTGCGACATATGCCACCAGTAGTACACGAAGATGAGAATCCCGAAGGTCAAGACCTCTCTAGCCATCCTGCGCCAGTTGCTCGGGATCCGTCCCCCGAGGTTGAGGGTGCAGCTGGAAACAGAAATCTCCGGGCAAGGATCAGGCGTGCTAGTACAATCTTCACTCGTTCCAGCGGGGAGTCTGATTTGGAAAATGCTGTTTCGGCGAGGGATGGTGTTTGAGGGTTGAATTTCCAGTGGGAGGGTGGGTGGGTTTATAGCGTGTTTTTATTGTAATTTTATTGAGAATCGTGGAGCTGGGAAAGCGGGAGTTGGTGATTTGGGTGAGGTGTTATGTTTATTTGAGGAGTGGTCGTGTTTACTTAGCGAGTGGTTATGTTTTACTTTGCCAGTATGGTTAGTTGAATGTTAGCGAATGAAATATGTTTTTGCGAACAGGCTGTGTTTAACTTTTACACTTTCTTGATAAGCTACTATAGATGCCATATTCTATACTTGTTATACACTGAGTTGGGTGACTGACCAGAGGTTAACGGTTTCATTATAGTGATGAAAAAAGCATGGCAATTCCATAAAACGCATGGCATTACTCACTAAGCCTAAAGGACCATTCACTGGGAGTTTGCAACACTTGAGAGTTATTGTCAGTACAGTCATAGAAGCTTAATCAATTTAATGTAAAGCCTGAGGTCATTTTCTTGATCATTATTAGCGTCGATATTTTAATTTACACTTAAGGGCTTCAGGCGAGTTGAACAAAATCGACGGCCCCAAAGTCTTGAACATATATCTATCTAATTATAGGCGCTGAATTAATGGAACGAGCGCGAACTGCTATTGGGGTTGTTAAGAAGAGAGCTTATTGAGGGGGAAAGATTTTGAGGTGTTTGGATATATCGGTCCACCCCCTAAATAGGTGTTGTCGTTCTCGGTTATTCGGCACGGCTACTTAGATGGGCGAGGAGCTCGAATAGACATAGATTCTACTGTGTAGACAGGTTTCACGAGTCGATTGGTTTCTAGGAAGTTTAATGAAATAGAGAGATGGGCTTTATTTTAATTTCTTGCATCCTTTTATGCCAAAGCTTTAGAGCTGCCGGTTGATTTGTGGGATATCATACACGGCAGATCGAGAACAAGCATTGTATGCACGATGCTGCCAAGGGATTTCACGCCTCTTACGCCCTTTGCGATGTGAAGATTGTACGCCTTTGACATGCACGAAATACGGTGTGCAAGTACGGATCTATATCTGCATCCTACGATTATTTTTGTCATGCATGTAATGGTACAATGGACGTGGGTCCGCGGTTCGTGACTAATAATAATGTAACGAATTGGGAAGTTTCCTTCCGTCGATGCGACAAGTGTTTATGTGGATATTTCCCCATGTTTGACACGGGCTCGGAGGCGACTAGTGAGTGTACCCCACTTTGGGGATCATGACATGGAGCTTGAGATTTTTTATTTCAAGAGTATGACTCTACATCTAGAGCTGGATTCTATATATTGAGTCTTGTCACGATTGCAATATTGCGTGGTGGATGATTGAAGAGTGTCGAGGTTTGACAGAAGATAAGCTTGAGATACGAAATGACGGCACCGCTTCCTATTCCCGACGGTCAAGAACTGGATCGTTATTCGATACATTCGCTTGATACCGATATCGAGCGGGAAGCTGGAGATGTGAGAGCAACTGAAGATAGGAAGGAGTATGAGATGGGAAGTGGAAAGGGGAAAGGGGTGCTAGATGGGGTGGTGACGAGGACGAGTACGAAGGCGAGTTGGAAGGATCCTGGACCTCCTCCTGATGGGGGGATGGGTGCTTGGTTACAGGGTGAGTTTCTTTCTCTTTTTTAACATCGATTATAATACATTCTTCTTTTTGGGGAGATGGTTTCGTGGTGGTGTTGTGAGGTTTTGTTGGGTTGATTGAGGGTTGATGGTGTGAAAGGAGAGAGAGCTGGAGGAGAATTCATCTGATACAAGCTAACTACCACAGTACTCTATGGTCATCTAGTTATAATGAACACCTGGTACGTCTCCCACTCCTCCCGCAATCTCACCTCCTAACATTCTTTCAGGGGCTTCATAAACTCCTTCGGCGTCTTCCAAACCTACTACGTCTCCTCCCTCAACCGCGCCCCCTCCGACATATCCTGGATCGGCTCCGTTCAAATCTTCTGTCTCTTCTTCGTCGGCACCTTCTCCGGTCGTCTCACCGACGCAGGCTACTTCCGCCCAATCTTCATCGGCGGTTCCATCCTTGGCGTCATCGGCCTCTTCATGACATCGCTCTCCAAAACTTACCTCCAGATCTTCCTCGCGCAGGGCGTATGCTGCGGGTTGGGCAATGGTTGTATCTTCTGTCCGAGTGTGGCGCTTATTTCGACGTATTTTAGCAAGAAGAAGAGTCTTGCGATTGGGATTTGCGCGGCGGGGAGCGCGACGGGTGGGATTGTGTTTCCGTTGATGGTGCAGCAACTACTTCCCAAGATTGGATTTGCTTGGACGATCCGGTCACTTGCGTTTATTCAGTTGGGGTCGTTGGCTGTTTGCTGTGTTGGGATCAAACCGAGGGTACCGCCTAGGAGAACGGGTGCTATTATCGATATTGCGAGTTTCAAGGACGTTCCGTATATTCTGTTTGCGATTGCCATGTTCTTCGTAAGTTCCTCTCCTGGTATGAAGACTAAAACTGACATTTCCAGACATTTCTGGGAACCTATATCGCATTCTACTACGTCGGATCATTCGCCCGCTCCATCATAGGTCTCCCCTACGCAGAATCCATCAACCTCCTCGTCTGCATGAACGCAGTCGGAGTAATCGGTCGAGTCCTCCCCAGCTACCTAGCAGACCGCTACTTCGGCCCCCTCAACACCGTCATCCCCGCCGTGATCATCTCCTCGCTCCTCGCCTTCTGCTGGATCGCCGTCGACTCCCGCGCCGGTCTCTACATCTGGGCCGTCTTCTACGGCATCTCGAGCGCGTGCATCCAAGGCATGTTTCCGGCCGCTCTCAGCACGTTTACGACGGATCTGAGTAAAGCGGGGACGAGACTCGGTCAGGTGTTTACGGTGGTGAGTTTTGCGGTGTTGATTGGACCGCCGCTGGCGGGTGTGTTGGTGCAGAGAGCGGGTGGCAGTTATCAGTATGCGCAGACTTTTGCGGGGTGCGTCATGGCGGTGGGGAGTTGTTTTCATGTGTCTTCAAGGTTGACTAGGAGTAGGAAGTTGATGATTAAGATGTAGTGTTAGATGGTTGGATTGATTGTACATATGAATTGAAATGCTGTATATTGTTCAGATGTTGCTCAACATGGGTTACCTCGAATGTCACAAGACTCCACATACCGCATCTGTAAAATACCATACTTGTAAGTACTAACTTAACGTCTGATAGCAACTTAAAGCTGGTCTGGCCAATCTCAATAAACTCCCCCTAGTTGACTCTTTCTAGGCTTTGTACTGGTTCAAAAAGACCGCTCGCTCCATCTCGCTACGAGAACAAGAACAGAAACTAAACTTCCTAAGTTCGAACCGTTCTGAGGTGTAGTCAATGATCTGCTTAGGTCTAGGCTTTTCGTAAAAAGCCAAAGAGAAGGAAAAGAAACTCAAAAAGCCTAATTTCCCAATTCCTTGTACAACCGAAAGCTAGTATTTGAAGAAAAAGAAGGGGAGAACCAGCCAAACGATGATGAAGTGGAATGTTTACATTGGCATAAAATAATAGAATGTAAGGACATAGAACCTCGGAAACACCCCGTAATCAAATCTCGCTTTACTCTAGGCTAAATAAACGCGTCAATATTTGTGTAAGACGGAGTAATACAAACATAAACACGCGCTCACGTGATTCAGATGCAAGATTTTCTCTGAAATGTTTGAGCTATTCACGACAACAAAGCTGGGATGAAAAGTGGCAAAAATATAACAGGCCTACGTGTGTTTAGCTAAAAAACTAAAATGGCAAGGCAGAAACAAAACTTCGTCTGTTGGAGCAGTATTTTTCTGGTGGTCACCAACACATTGACCTCAAAATGACCCGCCACGATCCTAGCGGCACAGTCAAACATTCAACGTCTGCCTTACGCGCCCCTTCGCTCGTGAAAATTCGAATATAACCTCCTCCTCCCCCCCTTTTCCCCTCCCCCCTTTCTCCCCGACCATCAACACCACAACCACGCCATCATGGTCCAAAAAGCAACCTCCTCCCAATCCACCGCCTGGGGCGCCCTCCCCTCGGCCAAAGAAATGGCCGCCCGCAAGATCTCCTCCGTCTTCCTCATGGCCGGGCTCCTGACCGTGATAACGCCTTTCACGCCCTTCCAATGGGTTCTCCCCGCCTCGGGACCCTCTTTACTCGATGGTTTCCTCTCGCCTGTGCTCTACCTAGGTGCTATTTTCTTTCAGTGGCGCGTCGCGGGGATCGTGGGGAATCTGGTGTGCGTGGTGCATGATGTGGGCTTTGTGTGGCATCATGGGATGTATTGGACGGCGGCGTTGGCGGAGGTGTGTGTGTGTCTGGGTGTGGGAATGCTGCAACATGAGGTTTTGAGACGGGTTGTGGCCGGGGGGTTGGTCGGGGGATTGTGGTGGGTTGGGTGGTTTGCGACGCCGGAAAGTTATAAAAGGCAGGGGTGGGATATGGTGAAGTGGGTTTGGACTGTGCTTGCTATTGATCATGCGAGGAGTGCGTTGGGGGCGGGGGGGAGGAGGTCGAGGTATTAGGGGGGGGTGGATCGTGGTTGTGTTATCAGTTTTGGAGACTGGGTTTGGATGTGGAGATGGATATGGATCGGGGAGATTGAAAGGAGAGGAATTCGCGATGGTGTTATGTAGGATCGAAGTGTATCATGGTATAGAAATAGGGAAAGGAAAATGGATAATGACTAGGCGGCGATACTCGATGAGGGATGAGTCGGAGGTAGATGGATGGTCTAGACGAGGAAATATACAACCAGAGACAAATATGCTAGAGTAAAGTTGTCCCCTGTGATCTTCGAATTATAGCGCTCATACTTCGAATTCCTTCTAAAGCTGAACCCAAGATCAACAAACCACGTACCACGTGTGTAAACGAAACTCAAGATGAGCTCACTAGGCACACTAATATCAAGCAGTGTTCCTCTCGCGTGGGTTTGAAAATATGATGTGTTAACTACATTGTCACATCTGTTTCTATGTTTAGACTTTTTGTAGTGCTAAGGCTACGTGCTGGCTATTCGTGCAACGGATTGAGTGTTTCTAAGTATTGATAATAAAGTAATACCGGAAGCTAAGTCGGTGAGAAAATTCGACAGTTGATTTCATAACTCAAAGTTATCGGGGGTATCAGATCGTCAAATGCAAATCCTATAATTTGATTAGATGTTTGAAAGAAGAGGTAATTGCAATTTTGCGATTTCATCCTAGACTCACTTTCAGTATTTCAAACGTCAGCGCACTAGGCGAGCGCTTGATTAGGCACTAAAATCAGGTCAGATTTTACTGATGAAAATCTCGACATTGGACGGCATGACAGTTGGTAAACTAAAGTGTACCATGGGAAGTATTCCAGTGAATGGGTGCTTATTCTTGTATTTTGACCACACATTTAAATATGTTGTCGGATGATGACTGTTTGATACTGGTAGACTGTGCTATAAATGATCAATGAACGGGTTGCCTTTATTAGAACCCAGATATGATAGTGTATTAGTGGGCAATCTTGGTCGTCATGGTAATTTTACGACGAGAGAAGGACATTGATAAGGCATGCTACGGTTGGTTGGTGGGAGATTTTCATGAATGAGTCGGGCTTAGGATGTAGAAGTTGATGGTTTTGATGACCTACGGGATTTGGTATCTATAGGTATGGAATGGTCATTGAAGCAGGGTGGAAAGCACATCCTGAAGAAGCCGCAAATTGGATATCGATCGGTTAGTCCTCGGATATCTCCAGGCCGGTCGTACTGTGATTTCGAATCGAGTAAACTGAGGCGGATATGACTCGTAATTGTTCGAATCAATAGACTTGCAGTTAGCTTTACGTTGAAACGAAATTTTGAGAAAGATGTTGGAATCGGTCGCTTTGAAACGAGTGGCTACGGGGGCTGAGATATGATATGTGAGAAGTTTGCGGGGGGCCTTGCTTGACTCGTAGACTATGGTGTTTCGAGTATTCGATGGCCAGGCGTCGGATTCTTACCATTGAGGTCCAATGTAGACGAGATTTTCGGTTTAACAGACTATTCGGGTTATATCGACCTCATCGTCAGTCGTGTTCTTTGATTGAGGCAATTGGCCTTGGTAAGCCGATTAGCTCGAAAAAGCCGTTCTACTCACAGTTTTCTACTCACTGTCACAACAGGGTATCACACAAGGTTTTTACTAGGGCCATACAGCCAGTAGGTTGATAAGGATCTACTTAAAACTGGGTCGGTTTAATTAGACTCTTTGACGTCGTGAAGATGTTTTTTGCCAATATTTGATCGACACAAGGCTCTGTAGGTGTAAGATATCGGAGTAAGATTTGATTCCTACAAGATCACTTAAAACACCCCTGTTGTGACAGTGAGTAGAAAACTGTGAGTAGGATTCAAAAGAAGAATGGCGGAGGAGTGAGGAGATGAGATTGTGAAACATGGCTTTGTGTGTACTGTAGTAGGTGGATAAGAGTGGATAAGACGGGAGGTGTAAATGAATATATGAATATGACTGGAATGGCACTTCAACTCATTTTTTATAGCAACAGGTGGTGCAGCATTATGCGAGAGACTTGGTAAAGACAGAGTTAGCGATATCAATTGAGTGCAATAGCATGATCAAAAAACTATGGTAGCAAGGGAGGACTGTTGAGCGAAAATATTGAATCAGAAAGGTGTGAATTTCGACTTACATAAACCGCGCTAAAATGGCTAAGGTTATCTCTGTTTCTCCGCGTTGAATTGCATATCCAGCATAAACTCCATCACTTCAACTTATCAACTCTCTTTCAAGAAGATAAATCATTCTGCGACAGAAACAATCGGGCATACAGGTACGATAACTGCCAAACGCGTCTCGCGTCTCGCGTCTAACCGCACCCGCACATCAGCGTCGACTTTTCTTCGCGACGAGAATCTCCCGATTTCTCGCCGACACTCTGCCAGCCATCACCAGAGGATAAGCCGTCAATTGTCATGGCATCTCGCGATAATGCCGGCTTTGATCCCAGTGGTCATGTTAATGTCGACGTGAACAGCTACCATCCGCATCCTCCTGGTCCTCCTCCACCACATACCAACCATGGCAACAACCACGGGCAGGATGGCATCGACAATGGATCTCCCATGACCCAGCATCATCAAGGGATCCCGATTCCGCAGCCGTTTGTGTTTGATGGACTGCCTCAGACACCGCAGCAGCAGCAGCAACAGTCGCATCAACAGCTTCATCCGAATTTCAATGGGAATGGCAGACAGACGCCGGAAACACAGCACGGTGCTACACATATACATGCGCCAAGTGGAGGGGAAACCCAGAGTCAGAAGAGTAATCGGTTGAGGAAGGCGTGCGATTCGTGTAGTATTAGGAAAGTCAAGGTATGCGATTCAATTTACGAGTTTGAGAGAGAAGATGGATTCTCCTACACGACAATGGATATGATCAAGATTGCTTGCTTCTTGCGGCATGGTCATAGTCAAGATTATTGATTGATGGCATGGATATGATCAAGATGATTGCTTCTTGTGGTCATCGATAATCAAGACCACTTGCTTCTCATGGTCATGATGTGATAAACACTAACTGCTCTTACAGTGCGATGAATCAGGTCCTCCTTGTAAAGCGTGCGCCGCCCTCGAAATCCCATGTACACGAAACCGTCCCAGTCGTCGTCGAGGTCCACCGAATCGACATGCGGAAGCCATCAAGAAACGCAGATTCGGGTTCGACTCTCCTACAGATACAGGAGGCGGTGGTGGTGGATTTGACTCTCCAACATCACCAAACAATGTCGCCGCGACTCTGGCAAGATTCTCTTCTCATGCGGTTCTGAATGCCGAATCGATTTGCCCATTCGAGACACTCGAGCTCCTCGTCGACGACTTCTTCACCTACATCCATCCTCTATGCCCATTTCCACACGAACCCTCTTTCAGAGCTGCTTTCAAAAGTCGACAGGATCTCAGCAATCCACTCTTTCTAGCACTGCTGGCTTCTATGGTAGGAACTCTGGTTGCATCGTTTCCCAGAAAGCCAAGATTGCATTTGAAGAATCAGCGACGAGAGCATATGTTTCCCAACTCCATCAGCTTGGTCGAGAGATGTCACAAAGTTGCGGTAGAGGCGCGAGGGTCGGGATATCTTGATAAAGATCTCACAGTCTACGATGCAGCGACCAGCTACTTCCTCGGTTTGTCCGCCGCATATACTTTTCAATGGCGGCAATGCAGGTTGTACTTTGGCGAGACTCTAACCATTGTCAGAGTTCTCGGTGCTCATCGAGTCAAAGATCCTGGTTTCCAATCTGCTGGTGGTCTGCCTGCAACATTTGGTGCAGACGGGTCGGTTATGGAAACGCCAATGCAACCTGTGGATTGCATCAAACAAGAAATTGGTCGAAGAATATTCTGGATCATGGTCGTGGGAATCAGGTAAATATAGATAACATCCACGCGACCAAACTTTACTAACTCCTCAGATCCATGCAGCAATTCGGCGCAAGCTTTGGAGAGCTCATCATTCCTCCATCCACACCAAACGAACCCTATCCTCCATTCCCCTTGGAGATTGACGACGAATACATATATGTAGATCACATCGATCTGCAACCTCCTGGCACCATTTCCAAGCTCACTGGCTTTAACATTGGCATCAAAATTTACCTTACCGTTTCGCCCGTCGCAACCATGGAGATGGCATATGGTATTGATGAGGTTTTCGATTGGAGCCGACAGAAGCGCATAGTGGAGGACTGTTTGATGTCAGCAAAAAATGTTCTCAATGGGATCCCATCTGAGCTACTTCTACAACCTGGCACCCAACATGGTGGATTTCCAACAGATGATCAACAATGGTTCCCACCTGCTACCGAATACCCGGGAGCTAGGTCGAATGGTGTGGAAATTTTTGAGATGCCAACTACTCTTGATGGACGTAGAAGACTTCAATTTGAGATTCAAAAAGCGAATATTTACGCCAGTCAGCTTGCAACTAGATCATACCTCGTAGAAAAGTATTGGAATCTTCAAGAATCATACGAACGAAGAAAGGCGAATGCTGAAACAGCAGAAGCACTTGGTTCTCCTGGTCTTTCGACTGGATTGGATGGTCTGCTTCCAAAACAACCAGCATCTAGCAATCCTGATGATGTTGAAGAGATTGTTTTCAGAGAGAGAGAGGCTATCGTACAGGATTTGCTTCAGGTGTTGGGAAGTATTAACCAGACTAATATGGAACCTAATGCAGGCAGCTTCGTAAGTTACGACCTTCACTTACCCTCGGCTCAAGCTAACATTCTCAGATCAACAAAATCCGTCAAATCGCATCAACGTTAATCGACACACCCAACCAACGCAAAGGACCCCTCGCACTCAAATCCCAAGACTATCTAGAAAGATTCCTGGACGTCTTGATGAAACTCGAACGTGTGAGTCCCGGATTGAAGAATGAAACGGGTGAGGTTGATGAGGAAGAGGAGTTGAGGAATTGGGCGGATTTGAGACAGTATCAGATGGCCTTTGCGCAGGCTGGGGGGTTTTTGACGGAGATTGGGTGAGCGGAGTGGGACTGGTAGTTCTTAGTGGGGGTCGACTAATGAGCTCGTGGATGCGCTTTTGGGATGTTGATATGGTGTTATGGTTGGGATTGATGGGATTCTCTGGGATGTTAGGCACAATGGGAATGAAAAGATTTGATAATAGCCCCTGGGTCTTTTTAGTGAAGTGGATTCGGGAGGTAAAGATTGTTTGGTCTAGTGACTTGACGCGAAAGAGCGGTGCTGGATTAAGCAGTGTTTTGTTACTCGGGTCGCTGGTTCTTATTCCGTCATCTCAAGTGAGTTGTTTATTCTTCTCACTTGAAATTTCCTTTGATGAGCTCGGTTTACTTTTCGAGAAAATCGCGTGTTTTTGACTTCTAGTGGAGGTTCAAAACCATGGCTCCCTTTACGTGCTACATCATCTGCTTGTGGAACTCTAGGCACTAGATCGACTGAGTGGATATGACCACGAAACAGTTGATTATCCGCGATGTTCATGATGAAATCATACATTTCACAGCACCGCTTCGTCACCGAGTAGTTTGGTCAAAGGTCTGTTGTTGAGATTGTATGCTTTATTTCTACGCCCGCGTTCAACATTCTATCTGCGTTCTATGTAACTCAATGTATGCTCTTGTACTCCTGCTCTGCTCTATGCTCTTGTATTTATGTATCGCAGACTCGTCAGATTCTGAGATTTCCTCTCATTCATAATGTGGTGGTTGGCTGCGGATTGGTGGTGTTGTGATTTGTTGATTTCGGTGATATTGGTGTTTGATTGGGATTGGTATTAGGATAAAGATTAGTAGGTACTAGGTGGTTGATGGTGACTGATTATGTGTTGGTGCAATATATCCATATCAAAGGTGGTTTCCCCGGTTCACCAGTTCGTGTCTCATTCCAGCCTAATGAGGAGATTGGTTCTTTGACTTTTTTATCTTGGTCGCCCTGGGAGTGTTATTAGCATGGCACTTGGTCTGCGGTGTTCGGTTTTGAGGTGCGAGTGCGGATGCATGATGGAGATGTGGTCTAGAATGGGAGAGATGCTTCAAGTGAAGCCAAATGGAATGTCCTCTTCACCACCCCTCCATCCTTCTTCTCCCTTAACAACAAGACAAACAGAAAATCACTCACCCCAATCTCCATCCCCTTCAACCATCTCCCCCCTCCACTTTCTACAATCTCATACAACCGATTCTTCTTCGCTTCTGGGTTATTGCAACCAAGTTGTTTCATAAACTCTTTTATCGTTATGGTTGTTGGGACGTAAAGCTATATCTCATTAGCACCGCTCCCATCCCATCCTCCCATCCTCCCCATTCACCACACATACGAAGAAAACCAACATACCTTAGCAAACTTACACTCCGGATTCCCCGGCACGCTCCACGGCAACAACGGCACGCTACTCTGCCACGGCTTCTCCTTCGTCTTGAAAACATGAATCCGCGCGTGCGTCGCTGGGAACAGGTAGTCGTAACCTGGCGGTAGGCCTGTGCCGCCGAGATGGTTTTTTAGCTGCACGCCGGGGATGTCGGGGTTGTTCGGGGGGTAGGAGTAGGGTTGTTGAGGGGGGGTGGTGGTGGTTGATAGGGAGGATATTGGGTTGGGTAAGAGGGGTATGTGTAGACTGGGGGTGGGGCGAATGTTGGGGCGGCGGGGGGCCAGGCGTATCGTGGTTGTTGGAATGAGGGGGGTTGTGCGAATGTGGGGGGTGGTGGACCGGTGTCGAAACCGTGGTAGGTGTTGTAGCCTTGTCCTGGCATTTTCGTTCTTTTCGCTTCTCTGCTGTTCGAATTTCTTGTCCTCTCTCTCCTCGTTCTTCACTTCTTCCTCTCTCCTACAACCTCCCCTCCCTCCTCTCTCCTACAATCTACTCTCCCTCCTCTCTCTCCCTCCCCCCCCTATTCCTCCTTCAATCTCCTCTCTAGGCGGTCCTTCCCCCAGATCCCACCCCCAAAAACTATTATACCCCACGTCCGCACAGCTAACGCCCTGCAGGTGCTGATAGTACCCCACTGCTACCCCGGCGGCGTCGTAGAGGGTTACGCTGCAGAATGTGACGCGTTGGAGGGGCGACAGCGGGCTGGATAGGATGCGGTAGGTGAGGGTTAGAGAGGTTATTGGGGGTGGGGAGGGAGAGGGAGGGGGGGAGGGGGAGGTGGTGTGTTTGTAGGGGAGGGGAAGGGGAAGGGTGATAGGGGGTGGAGGATGCCAGATTGAGGGATGGGTGGTGGGTGAGGGGGGAGGGGGGAGGGGGGAGGGGTTGGTGGAGAGGTGTGATGTGGATGGGTGTGTTGTGGATGGGTTGAATGATGTGGATGTGGAAGCGTTAACCGTTCGAATATAAGGTGAGTACCTTGTTGAATATCGACTGACTGACTGGCTGAAAAGGAAGAAAGATGGAATCTTCGTGATGGATGGGAGATGATGTGAGACTCGCAGCGAGATCAAGATCTTGATATACAGCCATTTTTTGGATGTGATTCGGTTTTGGGGTTGATATGTGAGTAAAGGTTGGAAGGGGGGTGAGTAAGGATTTGGGGAAAGGGGGGTTTGGGAATGTAATGTAGTGTGGTTGTGAGGGGGAAGGGGAGGGCGGGGTGTGAGTAAAAGAGTCGGATGAGGGGAGGTTTGTGAGTAAATATTTTGAACAAAGGGGAATTTGGGGTGAGGGCTGTGAGTGTGCTGGTGTATGGTTGTGTGTGCTGCTGTATGAGATGGTTGGGGTTATGAATGGTTCATTGTCTAATGCAGGGGGTATGAATGTCTCAAAACCCTTAGGATGACCTTGTGATTTTGAGACGAGTGTTTAGGGGTATGAATGTCCTGCGTTGGATTTTGGGGTGAGGAGTGAGGAGTTGTGAGTGAGGAGTTTTTGGTGGTTGGATAGGTAGGAATAATATACGTAAGTGAGATGTGGATTTGAAAGATGGGTGGAGTAGGTAAGGTAATGCAATAATTGTGTTATTCGGAGTTTTGGGGTGTGGATTATGCTGGTTTTATTGTTTATCTGGGTTTTCTTGGTAGGAGATTATGATTCTTTGGTCGTTAGATTTTTTGTTGTTATGTAGGCGGTAGAATTTATTTGGGTGTTAAATTATGAGTGGTTTTCTTGAGTAGGATTTATGGGTTTGCATTTAGGTGGTGTGGTGGTGGTGTTGTATGGGTGTGATTTAGGCTGTGTTGGGAGTTTTGATGGGATTTTGTGTAATTTTGAGATTTTGGAATTCTGTGTAAGTTCTGTTGTGAATAAGTTGACTTGGTGTGGTACACGATTTGAGATGTGGGTATGGGTATGATTTTGCGTCGGATGGTATTTTGTGAGGGTGGTATTTTGTGAGTAGTGTTCTTGTGAGGCTATTAAGTGAGTGTGTTTTTGTTGTACCTATAGTTGTGTGGTGAGTGTGATTCGGTGGTAGATGTGCTTATTTTGTGTGCAAGTAGGTGGGTGAATAGTTTTGAGGTAATGTCGTAGTACAAGAAGGGTAGATATGATTATTGACTTGTGCTAAGCAGGAATCATGTTGTCATGATGGTTTTCTGTGTGTATTCTAAATTGAATAATCTACTCGTCGCACTTTGAAATAATGTTATTAGATAGTTCTTCGCCAAATCAACTTTACTTATCTCGGCGGCGCTTGCCTTCTTCGGGTTCATGCAGATAATAGAGTTCCATTTACTCTGATTTAAAAAATCCTAGTTCTTTATGTGTGGTAGGGAAAGGAATATCTCCATTTTAGATTTTGACGCTTATTTTAGTGCTTTTTAGATTTGAGTAGAAAAGCCGGGGATTTATGATGTGCGAATTTTGTGAAATTGATAGGGTAGTTGGACAGATGTATGCTTCTTCTTATTTCTTTAAAAGAACCTGAAACATTATATATAAGGAAAAAAGTAGCTTTGATTTCTATTTTCTCTCTTAGGGTATAAGAGAAGTATTTTTTGTAGCCTTTATTTCTTTTCAACTTAATCTAAAGACTAAAGTTAAACGATTTAACGCAAATTTGTTTGTCGAGTATACTAATCTATGTTTCCATAGTGCAAAAAGCATAAGAGCTGACATATTATTAAAATTGTTAGGAATAGAACGCTCTGCTACAACTATATAGTTATTACTCTATTTGCTTGGAAATAACAGTCCTATTTAGATAATAATACTCACCTTCCATATTCCAATCATATAAGTTACAGAATTTTGCGTAAATTGGAATTTCTTGTACGAAAGTCCAAGTCTTACACTAAAATGAAAGGTTGTGTTTCAACATGAGCATAATTAAACTCACAAGCACCTAGGGATAACGTTATCGTATACTCGTGTATTGTGCACATATTTAATGATATTCGCTAGTCACAACGCAATCAGGCTCTTAACTACATAAAGCTAGTAAGAGAGTACTCCAGCTTTCAATTACGGATTAGCTATCGCACCACCACTGGACCTCTTCTATCATAGCACCTTAGGTATCGGCATACAGTTCTTTATGTTAAACAGCGAGACGTAAAAGCGATTATATACGATAAAATGAATTGTTTCAACTTACAGGAAGCAAATAAATTCCAAATATTGCCACGATTGGTGAAATTGTAAGGTGAGCAATATACCGTTAATGTACAAGAGCTTCGCTTCGTCGGTCGCTAGATACTTCGCACACGACTACAATAACCAGCCCTCCACATTTATGCACCCCAGTAAAGGTACGAGATGGGGTAGCGGTAGGGAAAGCTGGTGATTTCAGTCATGTACGAAGTACGATACATCTTTTTAACTTACGGAGTCGCTTTTTGAAAACATACCATTTCCTGAAAAAGAATTCTGAAAAAATGTGTCTTGTGAGTGCTTGTTTTCCATAGAGAGTGACGCAATCCGATTTTTTTTTTGGTTTTCTATGTTGCAAGAGGTCAAAATTCCCGTGCCTACTTGCCGAAACAAATATAGGTAATAGTTAGGAGTTTCGGTCGTCTAGGTATACCGCGGAAACCAGGAGAGCTGCTTTGTTTGAACTATGAGATAAGTCCATCAATAATGCCAGTTGGGTTCCTAAGTTGATTTGATTTCTTTGCTTTTGTAGGAAACCATTCGTGGACAAACTTCTAACGCTTTATCGTATTTTGACTTATTAAACATGTTATCGAATATCAATCCACAAGTCTTGTGGCCGAAAGACATTCTAGTTCTCCAAATGAGCCGAGTCTAGACTTAGGTACGAGCGTCGCAACAAATCGAAAGCGTAAATTTCCAGCAGGTCGGAATTACATCCTTTTGGCCGTAAGTTCCCCTGTTCATATCAATGTTAAAAAACTGTTACACCATACTAAAAAAACCTTTCGGATCTCGGATATTGAGCTTCTCCAGAAATACCATCTTTATGGAGATGAATCCATTCGGAATCAAATTAAATCCCGAACCCAGCAACCCGTCCAACTCCAAGCGTCCACCCAATTCAGCCCATTCAAGTCAAAGAATACGCGTTCAAAAGCCACCGACCCATCCCCAACTTTTGAGTCAGTCCAAGACGTCGCTTGTCACAACTGGTTTCGCTAGTCAACCAAGCCACGCCCCCTTATTCACCAATTGAAACCGTGACAGATGTAATGAACGGATATGCCAAGGGATCGCGGGAAGTAAATCCGCATTTGGTAAGAGCAGAAACGTGTGTATGGGATTGTGTAAAAAGCAGCATTACGGAGGGTTGGACGAGTGGTGAGGTGTAACTTGTGGTTTAAATTGCATGGAGTGAATACGAATTTTAGCCTACCATTATGTTTCCAACCAATTTCACAGCAATGATATCATCCCGAGAGTTTCAAAATATTAAATCATTGCTCATAGTGAATAAAACAGCTATTATCATTATCATTCACATCGCCGCTTTCGCCCATCGGAGATATCCCAAAACCGTCACGGGCGCCATTGGCGGGGAAATGCTGGGGTATTAAGCTGGGGAAGAAAGCTCTTCCACATTCGAAGAGCCGTCCAGGACAGCCGTCCACCTCCACCATCACCATCCAAGACTTCCCCAGATCTTTCCCCCGCATTCAACACATGGTCCAGACGGAGCGATTGAGTCTGTGCTAAAGATAAGCGACGTGATAAAGTTGTATAAGTTGCGCTTCGTTTGTCGGTGGATAGAGTCTCTTTTCCATTCTCACGAACAGATTACCAGAACGACTCGATACAATGGCGAATCTTGCTAGCGAGGAAAAGCAGGTTTCCGCTGGAATCAACCATTCTGATAAGAGCGAGAATGTCAATTATATTCATGCCGAGGATTTGAAGCATGGGAATGCCCATGATGTAGCGGAGAGAGGCCATGTTGCGACGGATCAGTGAGCCAGCCCGAGCATGTGAAGAAAATGCATAGCTAATCTAGGGCTCAGATATGGAAACTCTCTTGTTCATTTCGATCCGAAAGCAGTTTCCAGACTACGATTGAAGATTGATCTCTACATTGTCCCGACGGTAGCGCTTCTCTACCTCTTTTGCTTCATCGACCGAGCAAATATCGGTGAGTAACCTTCGTCAGTCAGCAACTTGTCGCTTACATTTGTAGGAAATGCAAAGCTTGCTGGGTTTGAAAAAGACATCAAACTCAAGAATTATGATTACAATAAAGTTCTGTCAATCTTTTACATTTCATATATCCTCTTTGAGATCCCGTCGAATATGGCTTGTAAGTGGATAGGGCCGGGATGGTATATTCCAGCGATTTCGCTGGGGTTTGGTGTGTGCTCGATTTGCACCGCTTTTGTTCATGACATACACGCTGTGTCTGGAGTTCGGTTTCTCTTGGGTGTTTTCGAAGCTGGTATGCTGCCAGGTATTGCATAGTAAGTCAAAGTCTTCAATTCTCACCACCTGCTCTCTTGAAAGGCTCATCCAGACGCGCGGATAACACTGACTCGTTACCCAGCTACATGTCTCGTTGGTACACCAGATCAGAACTCGCATTCCGACTCTCCCTCTACATCGTCATGGCACCACTCGCCGGCGCTTTTGGAGGTTTGCTCGCATCAGGCATCCTCAAGCTCGACCATTTCGGCGGACTCCGCACTTGGAGAATGATTTTCGCCATCGAAGGAATAATAACCTGCCTCCTCTCCGTCATCGCATTCTTCACCCTCACCGACCGTCCAGCAACCGCTAAATGGCTTTCTCAAGACGAAAAAGACATGGCCATCGCACGAGTCAAGGCAGAGCGCATCGCAGCAACCGAAGTTTTGGATAAAATCGACAGAAAGAAGTTCTTCATGGGACTTCTCTCTCCTGCTACAATCGCGACCTCGTTCATTTTCCTCCTCAACAACATCACCGTCCAAGGTCTAGCTTTCTTCGCACCGACCATCGTTCGCACCATTTATCCAAAGAACACCGTAGTCTCGCAACAACTCCACACCGTTCCACCCTATGTCGTCGGTGCATTTTTCACACTCCTCTTCCCATTCCTAAGCTGGAGATTTGACAGAAGAAATATCTTCTTCATCATGAGCGCACCGCTAATCATGTGTGGATACATCATGTTTCTCGCCAGCGAAAATTCACAGGTCCGGTACGGCGCAACATTCATCATTGCCAGCGGCGCATTCTCGTTCGGAGCTCTGTGTAACGCGCAGGTATCTGCGAATGTGGTGTCGGATACCGCGAGGTCTTCGGCGATTGGGTTGAATGTCATGGCTGGAAATATTGGAGGGTTGATCTCGACTTGGTCGTTCTTACCTTTTGACGCACCGAATTATCATGTTGGGAATGGACTTAATTTGGCTACCTCGTCGACGATATTGTTGTGTTCGATTGGCCTGTTGTTTTGGATGAAGATGGATAATAAGAAGCGTGCGAGTAGGGATATTGATAGTGAGCTAGCGGGACTGTCACAGGAGGCTATCCAGGTAAGTCAAGAACATCTGATAATGGACCGTAAAATGCTAACTCATTCTAGGATCTTGATTGGAAACACCCAGCTTTTAGATGGAGATCGTGATGCTTTTAATTAGCATTTTCATGGTTCGTGGCAACTTAAACTTCTGGATATAATATGGCAGTCATTGATGGTTCAGCTTTTCACACTTGAACAAGTCCAAGAAAGTCCTTCTCGTGATCATTTCTTGTTACCTGATACATCCTTTTTTGTGACATGTGATTCACATCAAACTTCTTCGAATCAGAAGTTTGGATAAGGATTTACCCACATCATATCAAACTCCAACACGATATTCACGACAAAAGCAAAAGATTCCAAGGTTTCTCACTTCGTGAATAACACATCTACTAGTACACTAAACCTATTATACACACCAATAACGCGTTTCCACATCAGGAAACCACACCCGCCAAGTCCCATCCTATATCCGACCCGCGGGTAACATTCGGGTGTTTACATGATTCGTTCATCTAGTCCAATTCTCCCATCCCAACTTTCGCCGCTGGTCTACTCCACAATGCACGCTCCCGCGAATCATGAGACTGCTTCTGCCTCCGCGTTGCCACTTTGGGCAGGCATATGCGAGAGTTTGAGCGATGGTGGGGTAGACAGAAGGTCACGATAAGGATTTCCCAACGGTGATATAAAGTGAAGATTTTCCATTCACTTTGGTGAGGGATTTGTGAATAAGAAGAGTCGAATTTCTTGGGTTCATCATCGTTTCCATCCCCAGCAAACATCTCATAACTTGATAGCAAAGATGTCTGTCGAGCAAATCGCCACTTCGCTTCCCATCATCAGTGGGAAGTCAACACCTCAACATCCTCTTGGCCCATTGACTGCCAGCGAAATCAAAGAATCGTCACGGCTCATCAAATCAGCATGGCCTTCAGATGTTAACATTCAGTTTAAGAGTATCACTTTGCAAGAGCCTCAAAAGGCTGAGTTATTGCATTTCTTGGCTGCCGAACACAGTGGTCAAGCGACCCCCACTATCGAGAGGCGAAGTTTTGTCGTGTATTACCTGCGCAATACTGTAAGTCTCAATAAATGCTATGTTGATTGGAGATCTGGTTAACAAAGATTAGGATAAACTTCACGAAGCTGTAGTCAGTCTGAGTGCTGGAAAGGTTGAAAGTAATCTTCGTCTTGGTCCAAATGTACACAGTAACGCAGATGGCGACGAGATTATTGCCGTCGAGCGAATTGCACTTGAAGATGAGAAAGTCCAAGCAGAGATTAAGAAGCTCCAATTGCCAGAAGGAACAGTAGTCATCAGTGATCCATGGATTTATGGTAAATTTCCCACAATGACTTTCGCATAACCCACTAATACTTTCAGGATCTGATGGTATCAATGAGGGCCTATTCTCGGACGACAAGCGAATGTTCCAATGCTTCCTCTACGTTCGGGATCCAAATAACTCTTCACAGGCAGATAGTAATCACTATGCCATGCCACTTAGCATCTCTCCAGTCGTCAGCGCAGAGACGATGAGAGTGACAAGAATTGATATCTTACCAACAGGAATTGATAACACCATCAAAGAACCATCACCATACAAAGTACAGCCACCAAACGAATATATCCACGAAGCTCAAGAGCTCCGAACAGATTTGAAACCTCTTAATGTCGTCCAACCAGAAGGTGCTTCTTTCAAGGTCTCCAACTACAGCGAACAGGGCCACAACATCGAATGGCAGAAATGGACCTTCAAAGTAGGTTTCAACCAGAGAGAAGGAATGGTCTTATACGATGTCCACTACGACGGTCGACCACTTTTCTACAGACTCTCCCTTTCCGATATGAACATCCCATACGCAGACCCTCGCCACCCCTTCCACAAGAAAGCGGCATTCGATCTCGGAGATGCTGGAGCAGGAATTATGGCCAACAACCTCCAATTAGGATGTGACTGTCTCGGCTCAATCCACTACCTCTCCGCTGTCCTCAACGACGACAAAGGAGAACCACTCGACATGCCCAACTGCGTCTGTATTCACGAACAAGACAACGGCATCGGATGGAAACACACCAACTACCGCACCGGTCGAGCAGCCGTAGTCCGTAACCGCGAACTAGTCCTCCAATCCATCATCACCGTCTCCAACTACGAATACATCCTGGCATTCATGTTCAACCAAGCCGGCGAAGTAACCTACGAAGTCCGCGCCACCGGTATCCTCTCCACCCAACCCATCGACGAAGGCATTTCTGTCCCATTCGGAACCGTCGTCCACCCCGGCGTCCTAGCAGTCCACCACCAACACATCTTCTCCCTCCGCGTCGACCCCATGATCGACGGCCCCCTCAACCGCGTGGTCTACGACGAAGCCCACGCAATGCCACGCTCCGACTTCAACCCCCACGGCGTTGGCTACACCGTGTCCGAAACGCCCATCACGACCTCGGGCGGCTACGACCTCGACTACGACGTGAACCGCACCTTCAAAATCCAAAACTCCGCCATCAAAAACCCCATCAACGGCAAACCAGTCGCCTATAAGATCCACGCCCCGCCGTTCCAGAAAATGCTCGCAGACCCACAATCCTACCACCACAAACGCGCCGAGTTCGCCGACCACAACATCTACGTGACATCCTACCGCGACGACGAGCTGTACGCCGGCGGGAAATACACGAATCAGTCCCGCGGCGGCACCGGCGTGCGGAGTTGGGCGGACCGCAAGGACGACGTGCAGGATCAGGATATTGTGGTGTGGGTGCAGTTCGGCATCAACCACGTCCCGCGCATCGAGGATTTCCCTGTTATGCCATGCGAGATCCTGAAGGTGTCCTTGAAGCCGGTGAATTTCTTTGAGAGGAATCCCGCGATCGATGTCCCGCCTAGCACGCAGACTTTTAATAAGAGTGTGCTTGCTAGTGTGGCGCATCAGCAGGAGGTGGGGGAGGCAGTTGTGGGTGGGGATGGCGAGTGTTGTGTTAGGGAGAGTAGTAAGTTGTAGATTGTTTGGGGGGGTTTGGGGGTAGGGTGGATTTGGTGGTTTGAGCGGGTGTTTGGGTTGATTTTTTTGGGTGCTTTGGATGCAAGGAGAATGGCTAGCTAGTGTAGCTGAAAGTCATGTAGAAATATTTATTACTCCAAAACTGATCTTCCTCTTGTGGTGATGTGGTAACACTGGTTTTCGTCCGGGCCAGCTTTAAGAGCATCTAATCTGGAACCCCTGTCAGGCCTCGAGACGTGTTAATTTAATATTTAAATCCTTAGTTATAATCTAGCAATATGTTAATAATATTTCTAAACAATAATATCGATAAATTTAAATTATTTTATATTTAAAATATATGAAAATAGGTACTGTATCCTGTTTTATACTTTCAAAAGTCGACTAGTTGCTTTTCGCTTGAATATTTAGAATAACTCAAATTTCGAATTATAAAAGACGTAACTAGCTATTACAGGATAGTTACATTCAAGCTCTCTGTTTTAAGAAGACAGACGGCAAGTTGTTCAAGATTTTCTATTTACTAAAAGGGTAATATCTATTTGATTAGTACTTAGTACACTTGGTAGTGTACACTAAAAGAGGTGTGAACACCTGGCCAGAGCCGGAGCCGGTCCAGGTCCCCCGCCCCCGCCATCCAATTGCCTCTACTAAGCTTCGAAGTTACCCACGGGCCGGTCCGCTCCAACGTACCTAATCTATTATACATTCATAATATTCGTGATTATTTGGCGTTACATGCATGGATCATTAAAGACGTATGATATTAAAGGAAAAGGTACATCATTGACCATCGGCTGCCCGAAGACGACTACTTTATACTTCAACGACATTATAACTCTTGTACGTTTGGGTCTTCTGAAATAGTAAAGCCAACCCTCACTGTTCAGTGATAGGACTCCTTGGAGTTGAATTCAGTCTCTTGTACTTACAACTCACGCTTGATCTAAAGGATTTATTCCAACGGGAGGAGAAGATCGCTGAAGAAAGACCATCCAGTTATATGACTGATAGTATGAACTGCTTTCTAGTAGTTGTCATCATGTATACTAGCTCATATTGCACTCGTGTTATCTTATGTACTTGAAACAACCTACCTATGTAGCTTATTACGTCCTCATACCCCATGGGAGGCTGCCGAACCAACTACTGTCGCAATTGGTCCGTCAGACCGAAATCAATAACATCATCATTCTTAAGCGAGGGAATTTTACTTCGAGTCGCGAAGATTGAGAGGTTTTGGCTTCGTGCTTGGCTTACAACTACTGTAACTACCCGCTTCCAAGCGTTTCGGTAATTACAGTAGTTGTAAGCCAAGCAGAGCCGCGAGTCGAGGCCCAGGCCTTTGGTATGACCTCTATCTATCTTTCTGTCATGGAGTTTACCCATCTTGTTCCGAACTGGATCTATTACTTGTCATCACCCGGATCAGAAGACTTTTGCGAGGCCTCGACGTGTTTTTAGCTAAACGCTATCCAACTCGAGAGTTGCAAGTAGTATCCTTCAACTGCCCAGTTACAGTATTGGCTCAAATGGAGCGACTCGAGACAAGAAAGAACGGGATTACTTGGATAATACCTTCACAAGTTACCCAAAAACATAAACGATTGAGCAATCATGACCTATATTCAAAAGAATTCTCCCGGCTCTTTTTGCTAGCAAAACAGCCAGATAATACCTAGAGTTTCCCCTCCTTGATCATCTCTCTCATCTTCGCAATCGTACCCTGCACAGCCCTTGGCGCATTCTCCTGATACTGCTTTTGCTTCTTCACAGCCTCTTCAGAACCCTCCTCAATCTCCTTATGTTCCCACTCAAAAGTAAATGTGAGATAGAGCTCCGAATCATGTGCGCCTGTAGAGACGACATTCTGGACTTTGTTGGCTGACTCCAAGGTAGAGAATATTTCGATGCCTGATCCTGCTGTCGACTGCGTTTACGTTAGCATTTTTACTCATAAGTTAGATGAGTGTAGCATACAGATACTGGTTTGATATGCGTAATCCGCTCTCTCATCGTCGGTCCTGCACCGGGATTCGCCATTCTGGCACCTGAGTTGCGAGATCAGTAAATATTCCACACAACCACTATTCCTCTTACTCACCTTCTTTAAAGGTCACATCTCGTACGACTACTTCTCCATCATTCTCAATCACTTCGCATTTCTCTACCACAGGCAAGAAGAGTTCCGGTTTACTGTATGGCATCAGCATTTTGTTGGTGATTGGTCAGCCTTCACGACGCACATGACTTTCAACTCGAGGCCCTTCCAGACTTGTTCTAATGTGAGTTTTGGAGAAGCTCCTGACGGATTGATGGGGGCGGTGGCGGCTGCGAAGATGATTGTCATTTTGAGGACTTGATTGAGATTTGATTGTTGTTGTTGTTGCGAGGAAGTTGATGGGTGCTTTATAGTCTGTAGCTGTGCGGAGGACCGTTGGATAAATATGGATGGGTTGAGACTAAGCTCAACTCTCTCTAGCGCTGTTTCACGACTTGAAAGATTATTCAAAGAATAGCTTATCAGAGCAAATACCGTGTAATTAAAAATGACAAGGATATTTGCTCTGTCAACAGCGAATGCCGAAAGGTGCTGGCGGTAGACTTATGGTTATGAGGTCGAGGACGTCTAGACAGGGATTAGATGTCTCAATTCCCAGGTTTCACTCACCACATCGACGATTCGAGCGAGCGAGAGGACTCTAAAGACAAGTCTTTAAACGGTCAAAATATAGTATTTTCACGTCCTAGACCCTACAAAATTATAATTCGCACCATCAAAAGTACCAGCTATCTCATACAACATCGTCCTCACATGACCATGAACTCCCGATTCATTGACCTTCTCGATCAATCCCGCTAGTTCAGTACGTGCATCATTCTCAAGATGTCCAGGCATAGTACATCTTGGAATCGTCCTCGCTAAAAATTCAAAACAATCTCGATATCGTTCGGCGTTCTGCCATCGATCGGCGAGAATCGCCAGCACAGATGCGCAATCTCGTATTGCGAGGTCTGCTTCCGTGGGTATTGTGATGCCTCGAGCCCAAATTATATAAAGGATTGTAACACCGGCTTGGAATTGTGTGAGTACCTGGAAAAGGTCAGCCTGTGTGGGATCGTCGTTGGATTGTCAACATACCACAAGCCACGGTTGAGCTACTTGCCGTTTCTTTTGTAACGCTCGAAAGGTCGTACATGCTTCACAAGATGCTCGTAATGCCATCTCACTAATCTCCGTATGTATATTTCGTTTGGAGGGACGACATAGAACTAGCCGAGACAGTTGTGCGATGAGATGGAGCCACAGAGGACTTTGATACCCCTCGGCATACATGAGACTGTCTCTTGTTAGCAGCAATTGGTTGTATCGTAGACGGATACCTGCCTATGAGACGGTATTTCCTTGGTCCATTCATCAATCTGCAGTCTCATACTTTCATGCCACTCTGGTGTAATGTCGCCCTCAAATGGAGATGAATGCAATGTATGCATTATGTAAGACTGCAACAACCGAATCTTGCAAGTATGTGCAAAGTTTCCGAGGCCCGGAATAGTGGTTTGTTCTGTTGAATTTGGTAGGTCATGCAGCCACGGCATTGCTGGAAGGACCTCTGGAAATTCGGTAAATAAAGGAGAGGAGATATATGAGTCCGCTAAACTGACAGGTATGTCCAAAGTGGCACTTGCACCTCTCTCTAGACTTAGAAGAAATTAGCTTTGAAAAACGTACAAATATCAAAAACTTACGCATAGGCACAAGACCAAACCCGAATTTTGATCCGGCTATCCTCATCACCAACGTCTCTGAGATGGTGAAATCCATGAAAAGTTGCGAGACGCATGATCGACCCACTGAGATGTGATATTGAAATTGTCGATTCAGAATGAAGAGCATATACCGCTGATAGCAGCATTGATTGCAAACGGATTATTGGACTGCAGCCTTGGTTCTGAATTGTAAGATTGTCGACCTGGGCATGTGACTTTAACTCATCATGTGGGAATCTCGTAACATCGTCCGACTTGGACTGAAGTAACGACCCAATTGCAAAAATCTGAAAATTGAATAAGCCAATCGTAAATTCAGCAGCAGCCAGAAGTTACCATTTTAACACAATACGCTGGCCATCCATCCAGAGGATCCGCGGGCGAAGCAACCTTCCACCTCGTATACCACTCACTGCATTTATCGAGTTCCAGAAAAGGATATTGAGGATGAACAAACTGGAAATATGTTCGAAAATAAGAAGCTGCAGTACAAACTGGTATATCATTCTGTCGACTTGCTACAGGACTTTTCGGATGTGAAAATCCTGACTCGAGAATTGACGGTTGGGACCAAGAGGAAAGTTGTGGAGGCGAGGTATTATTAACTCCAAATGCAATATGAGCGTTGCTGTTAGTCCTCATATCATGAGGTGTTTGAGGATTTTGCCATTGCCAGCTCATGTCAGATTCCGGAAGGGGTTGGAAGTTTGCATTCGCATTTGGAGATAACAGCGGCCTATTCGACACCACACCTAAGGAACCCTCGAAGTCCATATGGTCGGCAGCAGCACTTGGGAACTTTTGGCTTAGTTCTTTTTCCAATGATGCGGCGTGGTCTTCTAACGCAGAGACGTATCCTATAGGATACTGTTCTGTGCGTTCCTGGACGACAGATTCACATTCTGTATCAACATTAGCGAGGATTCGAATATCATCGGGGTGACTGACGAGCTCCAGATGTTCTACAATTATGGCACGGTTGCTCAAAGTCGCACTTCTGTTTTCTGTGGCGGCAGCGGCGACATGCTTTCTTTTTCTTTTTGGTGATTGTGGTTTCGGTGGATGGACTGGACATTCTAGGTTTGATCACTTCATCTCAAGATTTGGCTGCTTATAGAATGCGTCAGGAGGTTTCCGCTTCTTTATCATGCCTTGTTGAAAGATAGGTGAAACTCCTACGCGAGTGAGCCCTACCATCACGAGAAAAGTGGGCGGTGGAGAGTGGGATATGCCCCGCAATACGGAAGATAATACCCAGTGCCCAGTATCACGGGAATACATAAGGGATTGAGATATGGAACTTTAATTGTGTGTTTGAAAAGTATTCTATGGTTGTACCTGCGCGGGTCATTCTGAGTACCCGGATAAATTTTCAAGTCGAACACTTCGCCGAAGTACGAATCCAAGACCTTATCTGTATGGATTGGAAGCTCAATTATTCCAGCGCTGAATTCTTGATTTCTATGATTGGATGATATCTCACAAGGAGGATGGAACAAAGATCCAAGTATAAGTTTCATTACTTTTAGCCGCACAACAAAGCATTGTAATTCTACACGCAACTCTCCCACAAAACCTATTTATTTAGAAACTTCTGTGACAACCCTTTCATCCTCCTCGTAGATGTATACACGACGTAGATTCCGTAAAGCAGACCAAGAATGAATGTGAGACTAGAAGTGACTGTTAGCTTTTATTGCATTGACAGAGCGGAAGGGAGCATACAGGGTGAAGACCGCCAGTCCCAGACAGAAAAACAACTGAATGAGATTCAACCAGTCCATGAACTTCCACTCAACAGAAAGCTTGAATGCGGTGAGCCCAACCGAGCCTAATTCGAGAACCAACTTCACAATGCCAGAGATCAGGTAGAGGTTTGGTCGTAGATCTCGGTGTTGAAACATATTGATCTCGAGACAGATCAAAATGAGTGAGATCAAGCTTATCACAAGGTTCAAGACGTTAAGACTATTTATACTGATTAACTCGTATTCTACACTTGGGTCTGCTGTACTCACGGCTGAAATCTGTAACCTCCGCTCCTCGCAATAGAAACCAGCAACCCAAGAATAATAACATTGACCGGCAAAAACGCCAACTGGAACCCCCAAATAATACCCAGAATCAGTTTACTATATGGAGATCGATACGCGTCGCTTGCCGACACCACATCGGGGTAAGCCATGATTGTGCTTGAAAGAGTGTATTGCTGAACTACTGATGAATATTCGCAAATCGGAGAACAGGTCAAATCACTTCAAGAGCGCGAACTCCATCTTAAGTGTTCATTTTGAACCAACCCAACAGCCAACAATCCTGCATCGAAAGTCACGCTGCAACTGCTCAGCCCTAGGCTTCGCATCCTACGTTGGTGTTCCGTGAGGCTGCCAGACGTGGGTTTTGACGAACGTTGGGGGCACAGCGCAACTTTCGAACCTTGATTGGTGAGATGCCGTGCCAAGCTAAGCACAACTGCGAAATTTTGTGCACTGGACCTATAGATTGTGGGAATCTATAGGATCTTGTTGGTAAAAATCGTTTTCGGAAAGAATACGGATTTAAGGTTGGGCGTGGTTGGAAATGACCAGTATCATCGGCACTCCGACATTTTATGCACCAAATTGTTGGATTTCGACGCGGTCACCAGGGGCTGAGCCATTAGAGTGTTCTAAATTGCGATAAATCCGAACAATGCTCATGTTTGTATTTATTTATAGTTGTCAAGTAGCGCTCGCCTACCATACATATCTGAAGTGAATGTTCTCCTTGTCTGTGAGATCTTTGAAGTCGGTATCCGCATGAGTCTTCTGCCCTGATGTTGGATCCAACAGATTTCGCCGTCTATTTTCGCGAGCACAGTACGCCATGTATGCTAATATAGTGATGATCGAGAGCCCATACGACGCCAATATGGCCCCCATCCCCAGCGGGTAAAGTGGTGCTTGATGTGCCTTGAAGAACTGTGGTGCAATGATATTCGAAACACAGTACGCGATAAAAATCATCGCGTTGGTCGTGACCTTCTTCGTGTGGCCGCTGATTTGGTTAGTATGTTTTATAACAGCAGGATTGAGGAGGGAGCTTACGCTGTGTTAGCTGTTGCCATTCCTAGACCAACAATGTAACCTCCGAGATAGAAATAGGACATGTACAAAGCGGCCAGTCGGCTGTGAAGAGAGGTAACTGGAAGCGTGTAAAGAAACACGGCTGCTATCATTCCGACAACGCAGCTGAAAATTACCCAAATTCCACGAGTTTGATATCGAGGCAGATATTTGGCGCACAAAAACACGCCTCCGTTGCACATATAAGACGAAACAGTCTGCATGATACCGGTAGGCATTGTTAATAATGTAGAGCGCTGTGCAGAGTAGCCGAGTCCGTTGATAATGAGCGGCGCGAACTAATCATTGTTAGTATTGATGTGTTGCCAGCACAGAACTCTTACATTTGTTAGTCCTCCGTTGGGAATCGAGATCCAGATGTGGAAAAAGAACATCAACCAAGTCTTTGGATCAAGGAAGGTTTCAATCATCTGATCTTTCTTGAACGTCTTGTTTTCGATACCTGTTTGATCGGCTCGCACGCGATCAATGGAAATCGCTTTCTGGCGTTCGGTGATGAACTTCGCCTTTACGGGATTATCTGGAAGCAGAAGACCGACAACAATCGCCCAAGCGCAAGTTATCGCTCCAGTAATCCAGAAGAAATAGCGCCATTGTTCTCCACCTGGAATGTAGCCGATGGCGTATCCAATTGGACCCGTAAATAGGACGGAAAGACCAGTATACATGAGTCCGGTTCTAATCGGAGCTTCTCTGTCAGGTTGTTAGTAAATCAACGCAAAGCGGTCGTCTCAAGCCTACCTCCTACTGTACCACATTCCAACAACAAGGAAATTGCCAGGTACAATGGGAGCTTCCAAAATACCGAGTAAAACTCGTAAGGCTATCAAGGTTTCGAAATTCCTAGCAAATCCCGTTCCAATCAAGACGATCCCCCAAACCATCTGGACACTCGCCATCGTTTTGGCTACTGGCAATTTCTGGAGAATAGTACCTGAAGGAAAGCACCAGAGAAGATATCCGAACTGGTCAACAGTCAGTATCAATCACCGAATTTCTCGAAAGTTTTAGCTTACGTAGAACGCAGATCCCACCCAGGAGTATCTATCACCAGTCAAGTTCGTGTCTGTTCTCATACCATAGAGTGCCGCGGTCGAAGTCGTGACCTTGTCCATGGCAGAAAATGTAATGTTGAGCCACAAAATCGGCACTAGACGCATGTCGAGCTTCCATCTTAATCGTTTCTCCTCCTTTCGTGTGTATGCGTTCTCGCCCTCGAGCCGGTCTGCATAGGCTGCTGCAATGTCGCCATCCGAGTGAGTGAACATTTTGCCTTCTGTCACTTCGTGGGAGTCGTTTCCCGTGGCGGAGGCACCCTTTTTGAGATCCATGCTGACCATGTTAGGCCGAATTGGAGGGTTTAGTGCCTATATGTATCAATGCAACGAATCTTTGCAATTGATGTTAGAAGGCTGGAGAAAGAGATCGCAATTGAGTCCAGTGAGTCCCGTCCGTTACAATTGGGTGCCCGTTGGAATTAAAAGACCACGACTTGATGTTCAATGAGATATCAATCTGCCTTATACTTCTTGCTCGCCAATATCTCAGTGGTTTTAGAAGTGTGGAAGAGCCATCCGAGATTGATAGATAGCTGAATTCGGCCGACGTATCTATTATCACCAGAAGATTGGCAGTTCTTGGGAAAAGAGAACGCCTCAAGCATCTTGGTGACTCTGTAACCGACCGTCTAGAGCTCAGGTGATACGATAATGAGTCGCTACCATGATGAAAGTTAGTCTGTCGGGCTCCACGCCGACGACACTGGGAGTGTGTACAAGATAGGTTTAGCCGTCGGTCTTTTTGGCCGAAATGCAGCTGGATAACCACAGGATCCGCCCATCTGCAGGTACACGCGGGTGTATCGTCATTATCAGGTTTGTGTTGTAGCAAGAATGTTCCACTTGATACTTTAAATTTCAAAAGTGGTGGTTGTGGCAAAAAGGTCGGGGATCTGGCATGTTGACTTGACCGATCACTGGTTGTGAATACGCTCAGACGGCCCGCCAAGTACCCAGTTAAGATTACTACAAAGCGGGGAAGAACAACACCAAGATTGTCGTTTACTTTCTTCGCATTTTGACACCGACGGTGAAATGTGGCCGAAGCATTACAATGGACGAAATATAGACTGCTAAGGCTGTGGATGCGAGAATAGCTTACAAAGTTCTTCTGAACGAACGGTATGTGAAAGGTATTTTCTGCCCCTTCCAATTTTGGAAAACTTGAGTCTGTAGACCTATACTTCTTGCTGTATAAAAAAAACAATTCAAAAGATGCCTCGCATTAATCAGATCCCAGATGATGAACAGGCGGGATTCGATGCTAAAGTCAAAGAGCTAGAGGAGTGGTGGAAGAGCCCACGACAAGCTCACATCAAACGGTAAAATCAAATTAAAAGCCTCTATCTATATCTCTAAAATATCTACAGACCATATTCCGCGACTAGAATTGCATTGCTCGCCGGAGTCCTGCCCCAAAAATATGCGTCAAGTGACATGGCATTGAAGCTCTGGGAGCAACTCAACGAGCATCGCAAAAATGGCACTCACGAGATGACTTTCGGTGTCACGGACCCGATTATTGCGAGCCAGATGGCAAAGTATCAGGAGACTCTCTATGTTTCTGGGGCGTTGTGTGGGTTCTCAGAAGTGTCGGAGCCTGGAATGGATTGTTGCGATTATCCATTAGATACGGTGCCTAAAGTTGTGGACAAAATCTTTAAGAGTCAAGTATGGCATTCGCAGCGCCAGAGTCATTATCGTAAGCGCCGAATTCCACATCGAGTAATTATTTTTTACTAACTCTCTTTTCAGGCATGCTCCAGCCAAAGGAGAAGCGAGCTGAACTCGAGAATTGGGATTACTTGACTCCCATTGTGGCTGATGGCGATATGGGATTTGGAGGACTCACTTCAACCGTGAAGATGACAAAGCTGTTCGTTGAAGCTGGTGTTGCCATGTTTCATCTTGACGATCTGGCTATCGGAAAGAAGAAGTTCACAGTTGGAATGGGACGTACGGTTGTGCCAACGAGTGAATATCTTGATCGTCTTACTGCTGCGCGGATGCAGATTGATATCATGGGGTAAGACACCCAACACGAGGCCTATGGTTTTTGATCAGAACTAATGAGATTTATAGAGCAGATACCATGCTTTTGTGTCGTTGCGATGTCGATCACTCGGAATTCATTACGGATGTTATTGATCCTCGCGATCACAAGTACGTCCAGGGCGCAACAGTTGCCGTCAAATCACTCCAAGATACGTTAAGGGAAGCCGCAGAGGGAGGATCTCCAGATCTCCTCGCTACTCGCAAGGAATGGATTAAGAACGCTGAGCTCTGTACATTCGACGAAGCAGTGAAGAAAGTCGCTTCGGAATCAGAATACAAAGCTTATGTTTCGAAACTTGGATCAGGAACGAATTCCCTCAAAGACATGCGAGCAGCTGCCAAAGAAACAGTAAGCCAGGAGGTCTTCTTCGATTGGGATTTACCACGTTCAAGGGAAGGTCAATTTTTCTACAAATCCTGCGTCTCCGCTATCATCGAGCGCGCCCTTCTCGCCGCTCCTCTGGGTGACGTGACATGGGCACGAATGGACATGCCAAACTGGTCCGACCTCGTCGAATTCCACGTAGCCATTCGAAAAGTATATCCAGAACGGCTCTTCGCATTCGGCTACACGGGCGACTACGACTACCCCAAAGCCGGATTCTCGCCAGAAGCCGTCAAATCGCTGCCATCGGATCTCGCGAAGATGGGCGTGGCGTGGCAGGTGCAGCCGATCTGGGCGCTTCAGGGTCTGAATTACCAGACGCAGAAGTTTGCGAAGCTGTGGAGGGAACGTGGGATTGAGGGGTATGTGGAGGAGATTCAGAAACCGGCGTTGGCGACCAGCCCGATGACGGATGGGTTTGAGAAACCGAGTTATAGTGGGAGTTATCTGTGTGATGCGTTTTGGGATACTGTTGCTGTGAGGGATGTGGGTGAGGGGCCCAGTGGGACGGCGAGTTAGGTAGAGAGTTTATCAATTGAATATATTGCTTATGAACTTGACTTTGCATCTATTTGAAATGCATATTGTGATTGTGATTTTCACAATGAAAAATGTGAGCTGACAGCCTGATATGCAGAAAGAAGCCTTCTTGAACTCGTTGCTGTCATTATGTGGCTTGCCTGTCTGTGGCTATCTCAATGTTCTTCACTGGGTCCTGCTGATAGAGGTGTATGTTATGATGGAAGACCTTTCCCACTTTCGAGAGCAGTGTGGATCTGTAATAGACAATTATCATTTTCACTAAGAATGCGAGGTTCATTGATCTAGGTAATATGATAATTCCTTGTTCGAAGCACAGTTTCGCATTAGATAATAGCTGATACAGAGTGCAAGAACTAGGAAGCAGTTTGAAAGTTATCTATATTTAACTATGTCTGACATTCTTTAAGCATAATCCTCAACAACTTCGCCAGTCTTTCGATCCCCTCCTGCATCTCCTTCTCCTCATGCCACGCCCAGCACAACCTCGCACCCCTTCCAAACCCCTTATGCGACCTCTCAGAACTCGTCTTATCTCCCTGAACAACAAACATCTCCCCATAAGCAAATATTAGAGAATATTCTTCTTTTGCTCTCTTCGCAATTATATCGGCACTTGGAAGTTCGGGGGGGAAAGTGATATAGGTGAAGAACCCGCCTGCTGGCACGATTGTGGTGTTCTCTGTTGTTTCCATGTATGGGGAGCCTGTGGTTATGAGAACGCCGAGAGGTTGGAGGTATTGTTTTATAGCGGTCATGAGGACTCGGTAGCGGGATTGGTATGTTGGGATTAAGACCTCGTCGATGTGTTTTTGCAACGACCCGGAGGTAAGGAGGTGGTTGATGAAAGTTGAGGTTAGATGTGAGGGAGCGCCTCCTGATCGAGTCGATCCTCTGGAGAAATAGTATTAGCCATTGAAAACCTATCTTTCCTTCATTTCACTTACGTCTCACTGAGTCTAAGAATCTGCTTCGGTGACCCTTCAGCCCATCCAACCCGAACGCCTGGAGCCACGATTTTGGAAAACGAGCCGTTGCTGATTGCATTTCCCCATTCATCATCCGAGCTCGTAGCTCTATCAACATCTGATAATCGTGGAGGGATTGGTGTGAGCTTTGTTGACTCGCTAGTAGGTTCTTCTGGCCATCTCAAGAAATCGTATACATCATCCGAGATTATCAGAATATCATATTCTCGCACCAGATCTATTAGCTGTTCTCGAACGTTCGTACCCATAGTCTTCGCACTTGGATTTGAGAAGGTAGGTGTCAAGTACAAAACATGCCTGTAAATCTTTTGATACTGCTCTGACGGCTTTGTCCTATGACTGGAATGACTGTCACTACGACCTTCGAATTCAACGAGAGCTTTCCTGAGCCATTTTACGTCGATCCCCCCGTCATTCTCTGGAACACCTCTCAACTTTTCTGAAAACCCAGCATCCTGGAAAATGGTACATGCGAGGAAGTATGTTGGCTCTACCATCCATACTCGCTGCGTGACTTCTGGATCCGTAAACACTTGCAAGATATTGGCCAAATTTTGAGAAGCACCACCAGTAATCGCTATTCGTTCAGAGGGTATCTCTCCAGCGGCGGGTTGGTAAAAAGAAGATAGCCAGCTAGCGATTGACTTCCGCAATGGAGCATATCCTAAGTCTGGGCCATATATGAGAGCAGAACTTGCGACTTCAGGATCACTTAGGGCGGCCTGTGTAGCTTCAGCAAGTTGCTCGACTGGGAAAAGACGGGTCGATGGCCATCCTAATTGAAGATTGATTGGCTTTGACATGATTCTGAGCGAAGAAGACGATAAGATTTTCAGATGAATTTCAATCCAGCAACTAATGGAGTACCAAAGAAACGGCAGAGAAAAGGATAGAGAGGAAAAGAAAAGACATCCAGCATATTGCCGACCGCAACGTACAGAACCTAACACCAGCTCATAGCTCATAGCTAGATTCAAACCCAACAGTCAGGAGTGTCCAACTAATCGCCTTCCATCCATACTTCCTTTCGCTTTTGATGGCCGATGACAATCTTCGGAGACTTCGCTGAAGTTGACGGGATGTGGAGGCGATGGGGTTCTTGGTGGGAACACACCCCTGAAGCCAGGCTGGGGCAGTCCCGCAAGCTCGCTAAAATAGCTGCTTGGTTTCGGAGGCAGAGCCCGAAAGCCAAGTCGATACCCCTAAACCCCATCTTTGGATGACCCTGTGGTTTCCATCTCAGGAACAGGCGCGTCGGCCATTTGTGATACGCGATTTCGATAACCATTACGAAGTGCTGCAGCAAGCTCAACAATGGGGTACCGGAAGCCATTGTTAATTGTCGCCATGGATCGACAACTTCGTCAGGAGAGTCGTCGCCACGGGCCGACGAAGAGTTACGTGCTTCCTAAGGAGCAACTTTCAATACCGATATGAGCAGCGGATTCCCTCATTCTGGGAAAGCCTGAGTCTATTCGAACATCCCCTCCATTGCGACCACCACTATGCCTTCTGCCATCACCCCTCCTCCTGCGCCCCAAAGACCTGGTATCGAGATTGCAATCGATCGCGGAGGAACATTTACAGACTGTATTGCCACGAATATACCAGGCAGAGAGGATGTAGTGGTCAAACTTCTTAGTGTTGACCCCTCAAATTACGAGGATGCGCCAACGGTATGCTTGAGTTTCGGCGGACGAAATTTAAGCCAGAATACTGACCTTGTACAGGAAGGTATTCGAAGAATCTTGGAGACCGTAACGGGCGAGAAGTTAAATCGCGGAACTCCAATCGATACTTCACAGATTGGTCAGTCAAAGCTGCTACCCCTCCGAAGAGCGTTATGTTAATGGGGCTATAGCTTCAATAAAGATGGGGACCACGGTGGCTACAAACGCGCTTCTCGAACGGTCAGCGGAGTCTTGTGCTCTTGTGGTTTCAAAAGGACATGCGGATTTGTTAAGGATAGGAGACCAGACGAGGCCGAAGCTGTTTGATCTAAACATTAGACGACCGCCGCCTTTATTTTCGGAAGTTCTCGAGATTGATGAGAGAGTTACGCCGGAGGAATACACAGAAGACCCAAACCCAAAGTCATCTGCGGATTTGGATGCGCTGGTAGACGATGTCTATGTTGTAAAGGGAGTTGGCGGGGAATTGATTAGAATTATAAAGCCACTTGGTTCGTTTTCAATGGTTGTGCTTTCGAATTCAGTTGCAACTTGCTAATATATTGTGCGAAGATGTCGAAAAAGCACGAGAGGGTCTACAGAAGCTCTTCGATAGTGGTGCCAGGTCACTAGCTGTTGTATTACTCCATTCATATACATTCCCAAACCACGAACTCGCCATCGGAAAGCTAGCGAAAGAAATCGGATTCACTCAAATATCACTCTCTTCTCAGCTGCTTCCAATGATCAAGGCTGTATCGCGAGGTCAGTCTGCGGCAGTGGATGCATATTTGTCACCAGCGGTGCAGCAATATGTTGACGGGTTCCGTTCCGGGTTCGTTGGCAAACTTGAGGACAGTACTGGATCTGCTCGCTGCGAGTTTATGCAATCTGATGGTGGTTTAGTGGGCTGGCAACGATTCAATGGACTTAGAGCGATTCTGTCAGGCCCGGCGGGAGGTGTTGTAGGCTTTAGCAGGACTTGCTATGATAAAGAAGACAAAGTTCCTTGTATTGGTTTCGATATGGGTGGTAAGTAGTATCCTTCTTCCCCCGAAATCATGTATTGATTGGGCTCAGGCACTTCGACGGATGTCAGTCGATATGGCGGCCTCCTTACTCACACACTTGAGAATGTTATCGCTGGAGTCACGGTTCAATCACCTCAGCTTGACATCACTACAGTCGCTGCGGGTGGAGGTTCCATCCTTACCTATCGAAATGGCCTATTCAACGCAGGACCTCAATCAGCTGTGCGTGCATTTCCCGTTTCGAGATTACAATACTGACTTATTGCTCAGGGCGCTCATCCTGGTCCAGCTTGTTACCGAAAGGGAGGCCCATTAACTGTCACAGATGCAAATCTTGTTCTCGGTCGTCTTTCCGCAGATCACTTTCCTAAAATCTTCGGGCCAAATGAAAATGAGCCATTGGATTTTGCGACCTCAAGGAAAGCATTTGAAGAACTGACCGAAACCATTAATCATGACTTGAAAACCGCCGGCGGAAATACCTTGTCTGTTGAAGAGGTTTGTCTTGGATTTCTCGATGTTGCCAATGAGTCTATGTGTAGGCCCATTCGACAAATTACCGAATCAAAGGGTTACAATACATCAGATCACAATCTTGCTAGTTTTGGTGGTGCTGGGGGTCAGCACGCTTGTGTGAGTTAACATTTTCGCAACGACTTGAGATGTTCAACAACTAACACGTCGCAGGCGATTGCTGACCGACTTGGCATCAAAAGGGTCATCGTACACAAGCATGCGTCGATATTGAGTGCGTATGGTATGGCGCTGGCGGATACTGTGCAGGAGAAGTACGAGCCATGTTCTTGTGACTATTATGACTCTGTGGACGAAGTCAAAAGCAGACTCGGGAACATGGAAGTGAGTTTTTGACACTTTCTCAGGAAACCATCTAACCACTCAATAGGATCAAGTCACTTCACAACTGAAATCAGAAGGCTTCAGAGGTGACCAAATCACTTACGAGCGCTACGTCAATCTGCGTTATGCTGGTTCTGATACCATGATTATGATACTTGAACCAGCAGATGGAGATTACGCGGCTGCGTTCATCAAAGAGCATGAGCGCGAGTTCTCCTTCACATTACCGAATCGAAAAGTTTTGGTCGAGAATCTGCGCATTCGGGGACGTGGAAATGCAGGCATTCGTGGTTCCCAGAAGTCCATCAGCAAGGAGCAAGCAGCTCTGCTTCCTAGAACTGTCTCCAAGGATGGTTCCCGTATGCTGCCTGTTTATTTCGAAGGAGGCTGGAAGGAGACGCCTCTTTTTGTACTCAGAGATCGTATCCCCGGAGACATCATTCATGGTCCTGCCATGATCTACGATGAGACTCAAATGGTGGTAGTTCAACCTGGTGCTACCGCTCGGGTGTTACAATCTCATATTGTCATTGATATTAAGTCTGAGGATGCAGCTTCGACCTCGAAAGAGGACACTGATGTTGAAAGTCCTTTGACTGAAGACCCAATTCAGCTTTCAATTTTCTCCAATCGATTTATGGGAATTGCAGAACAGATGGGACTTACACTCATGAAAACAAGCGTTTCAGTAAACATCAAGGAGCGACTTGATTTTAGCTGTGCTCTTTTTGGTGTAAGCATAGACTCTAGTCTAGATTTCCCCCTGCTAATTCTCTCTAGCCTGACGGAGGATTAGTCGCCAATGCGCCTCATGTTCCAGTACATCTCGGTAGTATGGAGCATGCTGTACGCTTCCAGCATAAATTACATTCACAACATCTACGTCCTGGTGATGTTCTAGTGTCGAATACGTAAGTCGCCTCCGACATTGCAAATTCCTTTTCTAATTTTCATAGTCCACTGGCTGGAGGAACACATTTACCCGACATCACCGTCATCACACCTATTTTTGACAACGCTGGGAAGAACATCATCTTCTACACCGCATCAAGAGGGCATCACGCTGAGATTGGAGGCATTCTTCCAGGATCCATGCCTGCAAGTAGTACTCGACTTTACGAGGAAGGTGTCCAGATCGAGTCCATGTTTCTGGTTCGGGACGGGATTTTCCACGAAGAAGAGATTTCTCGAGTTTTGGTAGAAGAGACTGGAGCGCATCCTGGGTGCAGTGGAACGAGAAGCTTGAGTGACAATCTGAACGATCTGAAGGCTCAAATTGCAGCGAATGCAAAGGGTGCGAACCTCGTACATTCTCTTATTGAAGAAGGTGGCATTCGAAAGGTGTGTTTAGTCATAATAGGATGTGAGTATACCGCTTACTGACAATTATTAGGTACATTTTTACATGGATGCTATCAAGAGAAATGCGTCGACAGCAGTTCGCGCCTTCCTACAGCGCACACATGATAAGTTCGAGGGCAAACCATTAACAGCAACCGACCATATGGACGATGGTACACCAATATCGGTAAACATCACGATCTCGCCGGAGGGAACGGCAGACTTTGATTTCACAGGCACTGGATTGGAGGGACTACACTGCTTCAACGCCCCCTCTGCTATCACTAAGTCTGCTACAATGTACGTTCTACGGTGTTTGATTAACGAAGACATCCCTCTCAACGAAGGATGTCTGCTTCCCATCAGCTTCAACATTCCGCCTGGAACAATCCTCAACCCCAGTGGCACTGCCGCCGTCTGTGCAGGTAATCCTATTACTTCTCAGCGCATCACCGATGTCCTGATCAATGCTTTCCAAGCCTGCGCCGCAAGTCAAGGTGACTGCAATGTCTTCTCATTTGGCTTCGGAGGCAAAGATCCTGAAAGTGGCAAGGAAACTAAAGGGTTTGGTTTCGGAGAAACGATATGTGGCGGTTCTGGCGCTGGCGAGACCTGGAATGGTACTTCTGGTGTTCATATTAACATGACCAACACACGAATCACTGATGCAGAAGTCCTCGAGAAGCGATACCCAGCCATTCTCAACCGCTTCACCCTGCGACCTGGTAGTGAGGGGATAGGCCAGAACAACGGCGGAACTGGTATCATTCGAGAGTACGAATTCAGAAGACCCCTGAGTGCCTCGATTGTCAGCGAGAGGCGGGTCTATCAGCCTTACGGAATGGCTGGTGGTGGTTCAGGCATGAGCGGTCGCAACACGCTCGTTGAAAAGCTGAGTGATGGTAGTGAACGAAGGGTTAACATTGGAGGCCGAAAGGATTTCAAGGTCAACACTGGGGATAAGGTTATTATTGAGACGCCGGGTGGTGGTGGGTGGGGTGTACCCGGGTCTGAGAAGATGAAGATGATACCCGCGGAGACGCAGCCGGCTTGGGGGTTTGCTAATATGTGGCAAACGAGGTTGGAGCAGAGTAATTAATACTGAAGAATGATATCAAGTTCGAACGTTCCTTATCTGTCGTGCTTTGAGGGGTGATGGGTGGGATTGGTCTGGTTCGTCCTTGATTTCGCCATGGCTTGAGATCCTGGATACAAGTTAAGTCAATCTTACCTGAGACCGGGACAAGACACTTATTGATTGTTATCCCTAGTCAATCCAGCGTGCACCAATTAGTCAGAGGTTTTCCATTTTGACAACACAAATAAAACAAATAAGTTTTATTTGCCATACCTTCGCTTGATCCCAGTGTACAGATTCTTGAATAATGGATATTGAATCTATCCAAAGATACTTGTTCTCGATAAAGTCTCTTGCAACCTTTCCAGCCAACCGTGAGTATTGCTGTTTGGCATTCTAGTAAAGCAGTTGACAAAAAGAACAACCGGCTTCAGCTGCTCGGAAGATGTGTCCGACGGTAATCACATATTTGTTATCTATAAAGGCGCTGAAGTGGTGGAGGTCAAAGCCTTGACATGACTTGCAGAGAGCTGCTGATAGGGTCATTATGTATAGTTTTGAACAGTTAGAAGGCTTTCAACGGGCATAGAGGCTAAGCGAATCTAAAGAGATAAGAACATAAAGCTTGGTGTTGTCTCTAGTATCCGGTGTCTTGTTTTGTGCGGCTGAAGTTGAAACTCCAGTTACCTGTTCAGGATATGGGTGACCTACCTCTTGCGCAGCGCAACAAGCAGGCAGATCGTAGCGTCAGCGTCTAACCATAACAAAAGTTATTTGATACTTTAAGCTCACCTTCCAACTCCTCAGACTCCGTCCCTAGTCTCTCAAGCCCCTCTTATGCATCCTCAATTGCCTTATCAAGCTCATTAATCGTCGCTCTGGCCCTCTCAACTAACTGATCAATTTCGACAGTATCGCTTCCGCCTCTCCTCTCCGTCAATCGTGACCCATCTCGGACAAACAAGAATCATAAAAGGGAAACCGAACAACATGGACTTAAAATACAAATCTCCTCATGCTCTGCTGTTGTCACGAAAGTAGATGGACATCTTCTCCCAGATGATTCGATCTTCCTTAGACTTTGCAGCCTCACAAGTCAGTATTGAGGCACCTCAAAAGTAGGAATATAAACCCGATGTGCTTGCAAGAAAGAAGACGTGAAAGTCACCAGACTTACCATTCTCTCAACTTCAATCTTACTAACGTTTCCCTCCCTGATAACGTTTAAGATCGCCTCTGGGATAGCTTTCCCTGTTGTCTCCAAAGAAACTACATTCGCCTTTCTAATCGCCACCTCTCGATTTCTCTCATCACCCTCGCAGCTGCTACAGTATCCATTTGAAAGGAAGTCCCTGGTATGTGCACCGCAGTACGAGCGATTACAATCTTCTCCTCGACAAGACCTGAACTCGTCAGTCCAGCATACTTCGGACCCGCTGAAGGTCCTCTCGCCATCGTTGAATAGATTGTTTCGTGCACCGCAGCGAGAGGATGATTGTTCGTTGCCCATTTTAATCGGTGGTGTGGAGAAATAAAACTGGGTGGTGTTGATCGATTGATGGGGGTTTGAAGATTCAGATACGGTTGGCTTGGCCGTTGTGTCAAACGGAATGGATTTAGCACACTCTCAAATTTTGGTCAACTCTGGGTTCAATGGGCTGCAGACGAGAAATCTATCCAGAGAGACTTCCCACACTCCCGAGCCGCCTACCTGATGACAACGTGGCGTCGTGTTATTGGAGGACGGAGAAAATTGTCGCTGGTAAGGCTGTGAGAATCCTTCGAGTATATAAATACCTAGATTATGAAAATAAACAAACAGTCTTTTGTATTTGATCTGTTGTTGTCGTTCCCTAATATCCAGAAAGAAAGAGGAAAGTTTTCACGGCTTCTACTTGCAAGACGACTGCCTTCCAGGTGACTAGATTTCCTCGTATGCCCATCATGACTGCAACGGACAAGATGATATAGAGTGTTTCTGCCTGTTAGCTGCAGGTTGGTCAAAAGATTTTAATGAATAAAGAAGAATCTAATTTCCCATGATGATGTTCCTCGAAATTGTATTACATTTTCTTTTCCGCAGCGCTTCTTTCAGAGGACCTTTGTGCGGGACCTTTTTCGAACGGAATGTGTTCCTTCTTCAAATCTAAAATACACGGCCCTTCACTTGCTTAATGTGTTTGACATTTATGTCTCTCCAGAAAGCAACACATATGAGAGCTCCTGCCAGCAAGCATACACTAGTGATAAGCATCAATCTTTGAGCATCTCCATACGCTCTGTTGATAGCGTTTCTAGCCGGTGTGCCCTTTTCATAAAACATCTGCCAGAGAATAGAGCCGTACACCATCTTGTAGTCCACATCCGGTGGCAGGTACTTCTTCAAAGCAGCTGGGAAAACGCTGGTCCAAATGGATGTAGCGACTGTTCCACCTAGAGCACTTCCAATGCTCGAGAAGAGATTTAGTATGGCGATGATGACTGCAATGTGCTGGTGATCAGATGGTGCCATCATAGCCATTTCTCCGCAGAGAACAATGGTGCCTCCCGAGAAAGCTACGAAAATCTGTGTCATGATGATATAGCCTATGTCGCTATTTGGTTGGCGGAAGTGTATCATCAAACCAACCCCAAGCATCATTAGTGGAATCGCAAAATAGAGCGCAATCCATTTGAATCTCCCAGTCCAACGAATCGCAACTCCGACCAGAATCGCAAAGAAGCAAGATCCAACACGGTAAATGGCGCTGACGTAACTAGCATTGATCACGCTAAGTCCCCAGACGACTTGCAACATCGAAAAGAAATAGCTTCCCCAGACGATGGAGTTGAAAAACACCAGTGTGAACATGATGCCTGCCAGGAACACAGTGCGATCCAAAAGCAGCTCGAAGGGGATGAAAGTAACAGGTGCAACGTATTTTTCGTAGAAGGCGAATGCAATGATCAATAGTCCGCCAAAGATTATCATGCAGATAATCATCGGAGACCTCCACTGGTCGGGTTGGTAGGAATACAGACTGAATGGAAGCAGAAACAACGCCATACCAGAAGCCAGCATCAGTATTCCAACAAGATCGACCTCAATGGCATAGTTTATGATGGATTTTGGACTGAGACTGATTGGTGTGCTTGAAATGAGGCCGGCTTTTCTTGCTTTTCGGTGATTCCAGAGAAACAGGAAGATCAGTGGCGACACCACGACTGGAACCACTATGGAGAAAATTCCAAATCCCCATCTCCATCCTGGACCACCTCTCGTCACAACACTTTGCGCGACCGGTCCACCAATCCAACTCGTTATGATATATGGTGATGTCGCAAATGCCAGCATAAGAGGTCTGCTTTTCAGAGCCGTCGTATCGGCTATAAAGACAGTCAAGCAGTAGCTGATTCCTTGGGATCTTGAATAGTGTTAGAGCAAGGCACAGAATAGAGGATTTGATCAACATACCCAGTCGAGGAGAATACCTGAGCAGCAGCATACGTTTGCACGTTTTTGCACGTCGCCATCATGATATAACCCAGCACCCAAACGAGGAGCATCAGCGACATACCCTGCGGTCTGCCCCAGGTATCCAAGATCTTTGCCAGAGGTATCTTGGCTAGACCTCCTATTATACTCGCCATGATGCCGGTAGCTGCAGTCAACGAGTGTAGAGAGAATGAGCTGGTAACATATGGATTCAGAGATCGAATCACCAGCTCCTCCAGTGAAGCTACGAAGTATATGAGCCAGATCCTATGCGGAAGTCAGTACACGACAGATCGAAGCTATTCTTTGCTGGAAGTGCTTCTTACAGCGCATATGCTGTGATCAGATGTCCCTTTGTCCAAACCGACGTTGCAGCTTGCATCTTCTGCACACCAGCTTGCGCATCGTGTTCGATGAATTCTTTCTCTCCATCCTCCACATCATCTTTACGAGAAGCTGAGACTATCTCATCTTGTTTCTCCGGAGCAATCTCATGTAGAGGGACGGAGTTCGTCGAGGGCGTCGATATTTTATCCATTTGATTTTGAGTCAACAAATCGCCCTTGGCAATGAGGGGAAGAAGGCAGTGTGAAGAGCTCTCGACGACAACAACTGATGTGAGTGCCCTGTCGCCAATCATGCAGCACAATAAAAGTCGCAGCTCACAGAACTTGGGAATTGAAAGTGACAACTGCAGATATGCAACAACGGCACGAAACCAACTCACTCCTCACGGATACCCACGGCAAATAACGCGATGTCACGCCAAGCTCGCACTCCAACTTCCTAACCCTTCAAACTGACCACTTTCCCACCCAAATCAGCTGTCAAAGTTTACGAGCTTCCTTTCATGCCCATCCCGCGTGCGATACCGGGAGCACAAACATTGGCTTGAGGTGGTTGTTTGGCGGGTGGGGGGGTGGGGCGGGGCCATGGCAAGGGGGGAAAGATCTGATTAGATGGTGCAAGCGAGGATCTGATAAGATTATGAAAATCTCTGTCATGCGGGTGGGCATTGGCAATGCAGCCACACCTTCCCGCTTCTATATAATTGCTGGATTGAGATGGGAGGCCGTGATATAATTGCTGATATGTTGGGGATTGCAGGCAAATTATGCGGGATGTGATGAATGTGCGTTTATAACCTCAGCTGATGCTACTGTCGACCGGGGAGATGATTGTTATTGGAATGTTTACTTCTGATCGTTCTCGAAGCATGGGTAATTGAACAATAAACTGCCACGTAAAGTCTAGCTCAATATTGTCTCTCACATGGCCAGCTTCCCTGCATAAGCAAGGTACCGCGCTGAATAGCATCTCATCACCGTGCTTGCCACAGAGCTCTGTTCCATCCAACACAGCTCTTCACCTGCAAAATATTTCTTGCTCCATCGACAAATCTAATTAAATTTCAATTTCACTACCTATCGCCGAGAATTCGAGCTCAGATTCCAAAAATGAAGCTCTTCACCCTCACCCTCGTCTTCACTCTCACCCTCTTCACCTACGCTCAAGACATCCGCTCCCTCCCTCAATGCGCAGTAAGTTAACTTCTCCCTAACCCCCTCAGTCACCAAACTAACCACAGTTTCCAGCAAGGTCCAGTACTAGACGCCATATCCGCCTCCGGCTGTCCCCTCACAGACATAAAATGCATCTGCGCAAACAAAGAATTCATCGCCGGTCTCCTCGAGAAGATTCCCAAGGTCTGCACTTCAGCGGAAGTAGATCGTATGCCCATCCTTTCTCATCCATCTCCCCCATCTATCCCTTCTGCTCTGAGTGATGTTGATAAATGTGTAGCGACTGTTGATTTCGCGAATAAACTCTGCGCAGCAGCAGGCGTGACGTTGAATCTGGTTAATCCGCTTGCGTCGTCTACGACGTCTGCTGTTTCATCGACGAGCTCTAGTGCAGTGGCTACAACTTCGTCGGTGGGGAATAGTACTATTACTTCTGCTGCGACGCCGAATTCGGCATCAACTACGAGTGCGGCGCCGGCAACGTCGAGTTCGGCGGCTGCAGCTGGGAGAGTTGAGGGGTTTGCTATGAGAGTGGTTGGTGGTGGGTTGGCGATGGCGGTTGGGTTGGTGTTGTAGATCAATTCAGGGAGGTGAAGGTAAGATAATCGATAGTTAGAGTTGGAGTTAGAGAGTATGAGATAGGTTGGGTGATTTGGTGGAGGGAGAAGATCGAGCTAAATCCTGCTGAGGAGCAGAAATGATCTAATTGCAGAAAGGCATGTTGCCATAGCACTCATGTTGAAACTTCAGTCGTGGAATACAAAGTCTGTTTCCATAACTATATTCTAAGCGCAATCTAATTGAAACGTTTATTCAATCCGTCTTACTCTCCCCATACTCATCTTCAAAAGGAACAACCCCCCAATGTCTCCACGACCCGTCACACATCAACGCAAGATCATTTTCCACAGCAGGAAACAACAATTCTGTCCCATCCTTCCCAAAATGCGTCACAGACTTATCCAATCCCAGTGTTAACTTAATTACAGACTCCGCCCAGTGCGGCTTGTATTTATATTGTTTACTCTTCCCTCGCGCAGCAAGCACAATATTGTCCGCGGCAATCTTTGCTTGTTGCATTGCGTGTCGAGCGTTTGGATTGTGTTCTCCGGTGTCAGCGACGTCTCCGCAGACGTATATATTTGGGTGATTGTTGTCGAGAATTTGAAGTGTGGGTTTGACGCTGAGGTGGCCGGAAGGCGTTATTGACGATGGTGTGAGCGAGGATAGGATACTGGATGATGGTTTTTGTCCACCACAATGAATCTGATCGCAGAATCAGCACATGGCTAGAGGAAATTGATGTAATAACTTACTAGAAAGTCACACCGCACTTCCCTCCCTGAACTCAGTGTAGCCGTTTTTCCCTCCACATTTTCGCTCACCAATCTCTCCCCAAGGATCACTTCCACACCAAGATCTTCCAGCCCCTTCAACGCTGCTACTTGCAACTCGACTCCAAACCGATTCATAACCGCCTGCCTCGAATGCACCAAAACGACGTTTTTATCCCGATACAAATGCTTTGCGTCAGCAGCCAACTCCACACCCGCCGCACCACCACCCACAACAACCAAATGTCTCGCCTCCTCAATTCTATCCTGCATCTCCCTCAACAACACCACCCCATCTTTCTTCTCATCTACTCCAGCTCGGCTTGGGAGGCCATCAGTTGCACCCGAGCCTGTCGCTACAAGCAAGTATTCATACAAAATTCTCTGTCCATTCGTCAACACCACCTGCTCTTTTTCCACCCTCTCAACACGAGCTTGCACCCATCTCACTAATTCCGCGGGAACGTATCTCCCATACGGGATAAACGCTTTATGTTCATGTTCCTTCACAACACAGAAACGCGGAAACACCCATGTGAAATTGAAATGACTGTGTGGTTCAATGACCACCACACGGAATGGACTATTGGGCGGTAAAGAAGTTGCGATGATTTTCGCTGCAAAATAGCCTGCGAATGAGGCGCCGATTATGATGATATTTTTGTCCTTGGAATCTTCGGGCTTGGTTGGATTGGGGAAGCGGAATTGGTAGTATGTTCGTTTGAATGATGTGGTTAGGGCACGGGTGAGTATGGAGAAGTATGCTCGGATGGAATAGAAGACTAGTCTTAGTAAGAGGATCTTTTTCTCGAACATGGCGAGTTATGGTGTTGTGGTGCCTCAACGAGATCGAATTGAGAAGATGATCAGATAAGATTAGATAAAAATTAGCGAACTTACGAGCTGTCCCTGCATCCGATTTAGCCTACTGCAATGAAACTTTCAAATTCCTTCCACGCAAACCAATGCATACTTGGCATAATTCCAACATTCTCCGAAGCCGGACATTCCCATAACAAATTCTTCTTCCATCACAGGAAGCGAGCCGTGCTTAACGGAGACATCTCGAATCAGCATAGCTTTGCTGTTGAGCTGGCTCGATTCGACGGCCAAGAAAGAAACATGACACGGGATACGAGGTCGTGGTGTGCTTGGGAGATGAAAATTTTAATCTGATAAGATATTGGTGGGACGATCTATTGGCTCGTTTGGGAGGACCCCTGGACTTGGCGTGTTTAAGTGGTAAATGTGAGGGATTGGTTTACGGAATATTTTGTTATGGAGGTTATATCGCAGTAATTAAGTTATTGGGTGTGTAGTGCTAGTGGCTTTGTGCAAGACTGAAGTCATAATATTTCATTGTTCTTGTAATTTACTGCCATTCAAGTATAACGACCTCTCTTAAATCTTGATGGACACTTTATTCTTATGACCTTGAACTCCAGTGAAGTTTCCAACTCTGGATATGAGTGAGGAACATAGTCCCTTGCCTGAAAATCTATCCTATGTATGCCCAGCTGCAGATAGCCAAGAGGCTTTATGTAAAGCGGGAAGTGATACGACCCAGACACTTGACAGCCAAGATTTGGATTTGTGGTAGAAAGGCGCCACTTTTCGAGTAACAGCGGAACATGTCGTTCGGGCAGGTGCTTCAAGAAGTTTTGAGATCCCATATTCAAGTGTTGCTGCTCTCCAGTTGAAGTTGAGAAGTTCCTAACTCCCATCTCATCCAAACACCTCATCCCCGATTACCCTTCAAAACCACCACAATGCCCTTTGCCGTCCTCCCTGCTCTCCTTCCAGACATCCACAATGTCTACGACATCTACTTCTCCTCCTTCACTGCCGACACCATGGGCTCTCTCATGGTCAAAATCCTCTTCCCCTCCGGCATCACCCCCGAGTTCCGCGAGCAGCACACCGCAGGCACGCTCGCCTATCTACACCAAAGCCGTTTCCAATACACCTGGAAATGTGTGGACATGGAGACCGGCGAGATCGTGGGCATGGCGTTAGGTGATATTTACTTACATGAGCGGAGTGAAGAGGAAAGGCGGGATCATGGGGTGCCTTGGTTGACTGGCGAGGATAGAGAGAGGGCCGAGAGGATTTTGGGTCCGTTGCATGAGGTGAGGGAGAGGTTGTGGGGAGGACATAAGTATATTTGTATGTTATAACATGAATCCTGAATGGCTCAAGCTGATCCTGTATAGATGTCCACGTGGTAGGCGTTGACCCGAAAAACCAGGGACGCAAAGCTGGTGCTGCACTGGTCCAATGGGGGTCAGACCTGTGCGATCATGCCGGAATACCCATATACTTCGAATCATCGCCGTCGACTGTGAAATTGTACGAAAAGATGGGTTGGCATAGACTCCCCGAGAGCATCGTTCATAAAGCTGCGGATTTGGGAGTAGATGAGGATATTGAGGTTCCTTTGATGGTAAAATTTCCTACGTATGCTGGAAAGATTACGTTTGATGAGTACAAAGCACAGGGGTATCCTATATTTTCAAGATGAAAGTTAAGAGCGCCGGGTAGTACAAAATGCATATAAATACCAAGTACAGGTACAGAGAGATACTTTACAAACTGTGATTTTCCTGAGAAAAGTTCTATGACTCGACGCTCTTGCGCTACAGGATAGACAGGAAGTAAATTCGCCATCAACGGGAAACAACGATACTTCTTACCTCATCGTCCAAAGATCAATGTAAATAGAGAAGTCTTTTGATGAAGAGTAGGGGCTGTCATTAGGTATCGAAAATGGAAGATCGTTAGGGAAGGCGTTCGCGCTGATGATCCAAGACGCGTCGAGATTGCGGGGTCGAGATCACCTGACCATCCTCTACAGCACGCGTCTCCCAAATCTCTGAAGTAAACCATTACTCGTATTTCGACCTGCTTCATGTCATCGACGACTCACTCTCAAAAGTATTTATTTGAACTGCTCAACGAGTCTCCTGGTATGAGCAGCCATGTCTTTGCAACTATGGCCACCTCATCAAGGCTTCCTATTTGTTCAATACACAGCTCAAGTAGCTCTGCAGACTATACAAACACCCACAAGGAAACATTCGATGGCTGCGATGTAATTGCACATAGGTCTTCTTGAAACCACGATCCCCGAGCCATCATAGCGATCAACTATCAGAAGACAGCTGGCCATTGGGATTGGTCTCTTCATGCGCTCAATGGAGCCTGGTAACCTACGAACGGGTACCCAACGACGGACTCGTCTCTTGCGGAGTCAATAACTGCGAAAAGATATCAAAATACACGAAATTCTACGCGCCTATGCGTAGGAGCTTCGAAGGCGGCGTTATTCTGTGTTGGACTCTGCAAATCAACTCCCGAACCTCCTACTTGCAAACAAAACGCAACTTTTCCTGCCTGCGAGCTTTCCCCTACCTACTCTACCTCGAACCACATACTCCAACATCCTCATCTATGAACCTATAAGTTGCTGGGTCGGTCTGGGCTGCGGAATATTCTTTCCTTGGATGAAAAGTTGACGGACTGGATCTGAGAAGGAAATGCATTGGTCGCGGAGCGTGGTCCATTCTGATGGAATAGCATTTGTGCCTATGCAAGCGCCGTCTGCTACGATTGCAGCAAGAGCTCGTTCAACCCATGTTTGACAATTGAAGACCTCCCAGGGTGCGTCTATCTCGATGGGGATGGCTCCGCATATCTGCTCCAGTCGTCCTAGGTCGATGATCTTGGCGACGGCCGTGTATGTGAGCAAATCTGTCGAATTCGATGGTGAGAGCTTGCGAGGAGGCTCTTCAAGTTGCCATCGTACTCCGTCTGCGGATATGGTGGTGCGCACGTGGTAGAGAAGCTTGCCGTTTGTCATATCGCCTTTCCGGCCGCTGGCAAGAGCCCAGTGATATCGATCTGGATTTCCGGTCGCCTTCGGGGCACGAAAGAAACAAACTACGTATAATCTGGGCTTGTTCTTGAACATCGTACGATTCGTGTCGGGATCTTTCGAGCGTTCACACAGGCGATACGGAAACCGACCAACTCTGTGTGCAGATCGGTCTCGTAGGATGATGGGTTGCACTTGATGTGGATATTCAAAATAGGAGGGCTGGGCGGTGGTGGGGAATCATATACAAACACTTTCGAATCTCTTATATCACGAGCGACCCAGCAACCATATGGAACTGTCATGCCAACAACGCATAGCGCTTAACGAACGTGAGCAGAACTACAAGTTTCGGCCTCGTCTTTTCTCTTAATCTCCAACATATTAATTCTCAACTGTGCGAAGCAATCACTACTCAGAACGGAAACTTTTCACCAACATCAGCCCACGATATCACATCTATATTCCAAGGTATCTATACTTTCTATTCTTATAGACCTGAATTGGTAAAGGTAAGCTTGATGGCAACAACCGGAAATCATACGGAAGCGTAACAAGTGTTGCCTGTTTCTATTGAAGTCTTCCAATTTTAATCGGCCGGCGCTACAGCATAAGCACAACATCACACGTTTGAACAATACTCTGATTTCTGGAATTTTGATTTCTGCTGTATGTAACACTTCTGCATTAACCACGCACGACTGCCCCAGAATACTTTCATTCTTGCGCATCCAAGTTCTCCAGCGTGCCAGGGTTATGGGCGACTTTGTGCCCATGCTGATCGTGGAAAACAACTATTCTTCTTTAGCCATTGGCAGTTGCGAGGGTCGGTCAGCACACCTTTTGGGGGATTTTTCACTTTTTCTTTTTGAGCTTCTTCTTGCGTCGTTACTATGTCTTCAACCTAGCCAGAATTAGAAAGTTTCAAATGATGATTCCGAGATGAGCATACTTCGCCTTCGCGTTTTCCGCCTCGGATTTTGGTGAATACTCTATCTCCTTCGTCGATGGCATTCCCGTTCTTGTCTTGCACTTGACTTGCCATGGTTTGATGTTATAACTTTGGACGATTTTGGTTCTGAATATTGGATTCTCTTATATGTTCCGTTGTTTTGCCTGAGATTGTTGGATGATATGAGGTGGTTTTGAAATCGAATTTTCGATAACGTCATTGAGCAGTTACTCGTCTGTCAGCCACCACATCACTTGCAAAACTCTCAGATTGCTTTGAAATTCACCGAAATAATGCGTATTTCTTTGAGATTAGTTTGGCAGCTGAAAGTTATTGGGTACATATGCCCGCGTTTTTTAGTCCTCATCATCTGAACCCAAGTCGGAGTACTCTACATCTTGTCCCAGAACATACTCTCCATCCACCCAGTACTTCCTGTTATCAGACACCCATGACCTGTGCCCACCTAACCAAGGCTCATCCGCATCTTTGCCCTCAAAATCACCTTCTATCTCTAAAGGGGTATTCGTGACGGCTGTCTGATCCTCTTGATATATAGCTTCCAATCTGGAGACCCAAACTGTCTTTTTTGTGATATTGTTTGGTTCTTGTTCGCTTGGGCGGCGTCGACAAAATACGGCCTTCTCAGGAATGAGCCCAGTACTTCGATCTACATCTGCAATCCAGGCACTGATATCCAAGGAGTGCAGCCGTGTCATGGATTTGAAAATCTTGATCGGCAGCTCTGCAACTGGGTCGAAATCTTCGTCTTCGTCTGCGACGACATCATCGTTAGCCAGCTCGATGTACAATTCCTCAATCGACTGAGGGAGATTTTCTATGAAACTCAGGATTTGCTTTCAAAAGTTAGTGTGCTGGAAAGATTCATTAGGAGCATGTGATCAAAGAGCTGACTTACAGGTACGACGTCATCAAATTGTGGTCGACCATCGTCCCCAGATAGAGGAACCCCAATCTTCAACACTCTGAGAGTCGTCCAGTCGGAGAAGAACCTGCCAATTTCATGAGAAAATGAACACCCGATGTTCCACATCTGAAAAATATCGATTCCATTCGATGGGCTCGCATGAGGATATGTTGAAGTTGACCAGACAGGGAGTTTGTGGCTCCTCCATCGATCTTCTCGATATCTTTCTGGAATCGTGAAAGAGGTAAGCTTTGGGGCTACGTCGCGAATCTTCCGGAGAAATTTGATCATTGGTTGATTTAATTTTTGAAACCCAAAAGGCATATCGAGCGAACTCAACGTGCCCTGATTTCTCTGAATGAAACGAAGTATAGATTCATGATCTTCATCTTTGACCTTGCCTCGATATGAGAACCTACGCAGGCGCGGCAATGAAACAGGTTCATTAGACTTAATCGCAACTTGAGCTAGAGGTTCGGGGACAGGATTGAAGCCTGTGGTGTAGCGAGTTGTTATTTCAAGCTCCACAGTCTGCGGAAAAACAGTTCCTGCAATATCCAATATACTGGCAGCTGTGCTCCAGCGGTCTATCGCATTTATTTTAGTATAATCAGCCGCGATCGTCCATTGGAGCTTCTCTACGGTTGTGGGTTCGTTGCCCCATTCCCGAGCATCCGGTCGAATTCGGAGACTGAGTTCCCTAAGTTGCTGATACTTAGTGATGTTGGCAACAATATGTCGAGTGAGTCCACTTTCGGGCAGTACCGCCTTGGTCAAAAAAGCCATGTTCTTGGCCGCTTTCTTGCCATGCTCCTGGCCGAAAGTAATGAAATTATCTATGGGTGTCCTAGGCACATCTGGGAAGCTTATGGATAATGTCCTGACCTTTGCGCCTAGTGACGGATTTCTATATTCGAAATCAATATCAGAGGACTTCAAAAGCAGATTTTGGCACTTACAAAGCGAGTGTTTTTATGATCTTTTCGTCATCGTTGATAAATCTGTACTCCATGTCCTGGATCCATTCATCGCTGGCTTTCAATTCTATATTCGCGTACAAAAAAGACGTCGCCACATCCCCGAGCTGTCGGCTTACGAGACTGAAGCTCCATAGATCTTTGTAGTTTCCCGCACTGTGGGAGAATATATTGTGTAGAATCTCTACGGGGAGTGATTCAAATGGCATTTTGTTTTCGGGTGTGTGTTGTGTTGAGGTACGAGGATTGTGAGTTGGGTTTGTGTCTAGGCAACCGTGCTGAAGAGGCGGGAAATCTAACCTGAAATAGGGCGGGGTTTAGCGAACCAATTGCTGGGGGGTTGGTAAGACGGGGTAATTGTTAGATGTATTTTAAAAAAGATTTAAGAGTTCTGGAATTTTATAAGGGTTCGGGTCTTGATTTGAGAGATAACGCTGGATTAAAGGTACTTGGCAGATGGCGAAATATTTGTTTTGTTAAAAAAATACAAGATGGTCGAGTCTAAGTACCCAGTCACACACTTCCACTTTCACACTCTCCAGCGGAGCTTTGAACACCCATTTATAATACTAAAGAAAAAGGCTACTTAATCGATGCACTTTGTTCCTAATTCGAGAGGCCTTCATCAAATCAATTAGTGACTTAAAAGTGATGAGCTGGTAATTTTTATTGTGACAAGCTCCTGCTTTCTGTGAGATGCATGTAGACAGAGGACTCTGCTCGTGTCAAGATCACTCCGCAGAAGAATGATTGGATTCAAGTTTGAGTCTGGAAGGTTCTCAAGAACCAAGTGTGCGCTTAACGAATAATAGGAATGTAAGTCATCGTGAGAAGGCAAACCACCTGTGGTTGGACTTTGATATTTTAAGTTATGTGCGCGATTACAGTTCGATGGAACCACTTGGAGCAGATTAAAGATAATCAAATTCTTTCACTGCGACTTCAAAATGTGGGAGGATTATGAGCATGATGTCTAGGATGCCTGAAGTGATTTGGACAGAACATGCAACTAATGTTTGCAATCCCCTCGTTTGATACCCTATTTTACGTATCACTCGACAGAATGATAAATACATCAGAATTGTATAAGTAAGAAAATTAATGACTTGAAAAGAACTCAAGTCTTCAAAACGCACTATCTAATCAGTCGTTAAACGTGTTCAACCCTTTCACACTTCGATCGTCATAGCGGTACGAAAAGAGAATTTTCATATGCCTTTACATACTAGTAATTGCTAACACTATCCAGATTTTCTCAGAGAGAACTAACTTAGTTGCTGGCTCTACACCGTTTAAAATATCGAATAGGAGACTTTAGAAAATCGTTTGTCAAGTCACACTTCTCCAGTCACGAGGTCTACCAATGAGGAGAGGAGAGCAATGTTGGGCTCGCATGTTTTACCAACAGAACATTGTTTCTCGGGATCAATTCATGTCGTGTTGATTACAGAATTTGTGTTATTAAATCTATAAGTGTTTGGAATTAAAGTAGGCTTTATCACCGAAATCATGATTACTACCGAAATTGGGTTTTCGAGACAACATAAACGGAGGTGATAGCGAAAACTATTCCTCTCTTAGGAAATTCTACTTATACTATACTGTCTTTTACTTAATAAATAGAGCCTTATGTTTTTGTAATCTCTCGACTTCTTTATTACTACTAATATTTTCGTTACTCTATTCTATTTTACTAAGTAATTATTTGATACTACTCGATTTATTTTTAAGAGAAGTTCTTCTTTATTCTAATTGACTGATGACAAAATAATTTCTGTCGCTCGTGTTGAGTTGGTCTTTATCTTAGCAATATTAACCAGAACTCATTTGCGTAAAATGGTTGAAAGTACAATGTTCAAGCTACATTAAGTTTGGCGAATTACTGCGTATCTAAAAAAGCTTTCTTGAACAAAGTTACTTATACTTCTACCAAAAGAAACACTCACAAAATGCGTCACGAGATACTTCATCCTTAGAGAGAGATGGTGATTGCAGCTTGAAACGGAGTTCTTAATCGTGACCCCAAAGTTACCCACTTGTAGTATTTTCCCCAATTATAGCAGTCACAACATTTTTTTTACCAGTGTGTAGTCTTCTAGAGTAAGTTAGTTGTCCATCAAAATGACCATGCCCAATGTGCCGAAAACTTGTTCCCTTTCCTGACACAAGTGACGCATCACTTTACAGGAAATGACTTTTTGGTTTCCATACACCATTCAATAATTGTATACAAGTACAACCAGAAGTTCAGAAACTCAAGAAATATCAGAAATTCCTGACAAGAGAACTTGTTGTTCCCGAATCCAAATCCACCACCGAATCACCAACATCACCCACCAATGCCCCACTTGAAAGCCATCGCACAAAGGAATACCCCCTTGACTATCCAGCAAATAGTTTGTTGCGTAAGTTGAATAATAAAGTCAACGATATCTACATAGCCACCGTTCACATTCTGACTGACTTCCCATATCTGTGTATGATGAAATTGGCCGACTATGTTTTTTGAGAATAATAAAAATGGTCTTATATACAAAGATAGAGTTAAAAACCTTGGAAGCAAGTTATCTGATACCATTGTTTCGTTAAAATAATGGTCAACCATATTCTTCGTTACCCACCTCTACTTTTACACATGTAGAACTAACTTCTCAATCATGAGCGCAGATGTGGCTGGCTATTCCGTCCAAGAAAGGAGTACAGATATCCTATTTGATTATCATCTCCCCTGCATTTTCTAATATCTCGTGGAAGGTATATTGCTGAAAATTTTCTGCTCGACGCCAATTCTTTGTACTTTGACCAATTGGTAAGTATTTTCTAAAAATAGAACTTAAACTTCTCAGTCAACCGATCACATTGAGAAAACGCCTTTCATTCATCCTCCTTTGTTCTGCGCATTGTGTCAAAGCCTTGTTTCAATTGTTTCTTTGTCCCCATATTTTTTTAAAGTCTTTTGTACCTTTATTATTTTTCCTTTGTAGACATCTCTCGTCAACAACATAAAGTAGTTCCATCCTCCTCCTTGTCCCAGATGGCCAGATACTAGTAAGCAAGTGTGTTACAATTTCAGAACTCTTCATTTGGAAATTACCACAAACGCCAATTTTCTTTTACACTCATTTCTGTTTCAAAAATCGCAATTATGTTCTCCGCAAATGTGGCAAATTGTAGCACCACACCCGTAACCCCGCGCCAAAGTCTCCCAGCCCGAACACTCAACCTCAAAATTGATAAGCCTCACCTACCCAAAGAAATCCGAGCCATAATCTACAAAAACTTAGGTGGTCCACCTAGACGCATTAGATTTCACTTGCACGCTTACACTGGACATGATCCCTGGAGTCCACGCAGAGCTATCCATTATCTCTCCTCCTCGGCTCGGCTACCAGTGACCTTCTCAATCGAGTCCTGGAGTCGAACTCTTGCGCTCCAAGAGTATGTTTTACTTCACCCACAAACCGAATCTCAGGACTGGCCCATCTACTTCCGGCCCTCGATCGACACGGTCGTCTTACCATACCAGATCTTCACTGCTATACGAGACGATGATTGGTTTCGTTATTATACGGAACTGGACCAGCAAGGTTTGTGTTTTAAGATGTTGGATAATGTTCAAAACCTAGAGATTTTGCTAAACGATGATGATTTGTCGCAGGTAAGTGATAACGAACATCACAGACTTGTAGGCCCCGCCGGACCGCACTATGGCCCGCAGGATGCGAAGGTGTTAAAAGTAAGACCCATGTTTCTTAATATCGATGAAGGCTACATGGAAGATGTTGGTTCTGTGGACTTCTGGACTACGTTGATTGAGACGATTATTGCGGACTTTTTTAAGGGTCACAGTCGTCCGGATGAGGTGGACGATTATTTAGAGTTAGATATCGAGAGACGTCTAAAGCAGAGGAAGATCCTTTTCTTGTGGGACCATCTTGAGATTTTTCGGGATCATGAGATGGTAGATGAGTCTACTGAAGAGGTGGGGGCTGGGCAAGTGCCGCCTGCTAATGTGGAGATGCTGCAATATGATTATTCATCGTAGCCACTTATTGAGGGCGGTTTGAATGCAAAGGAAAATAAGAAGAATATTGTAATATCTTAATTACAACGAACGTGCACATTTCGCAAGTGAGCGATCAGAAACGAAATCAGTAAGTAGTTTATTGACAATCTTGAAAGACTTTTGGCGAAAATGTTCGGAAACGAGTGGAGACTTGTTAGAATTTGTAATGATTCCAAGTGTTCGCTTCTTGTTCAGAGGGTGATATCTTATTTTTAGGTCAGATCAGCTCAGGCATTTCACTATACCGCTCAACATTATTTCATTTACTTCATGCATTATGCACGGCCGCACGAAGAGATTCATAATAAAACTATTTTCTCTCATTGTTACTACCCTTTTCAGTGCCTCTAGCCCAATCATTTTATTGTCTTTAGATGGAATATTCTGTCGATTACGTTTGCTTCTACTCTATCCCAATTAAGTATCTAGTACTACCACGCAATGAGGCGTTTGAACAATATCGTGGCTTACTGGAAGTCCGGTGGATTTCAAGACTTGAATAACTAGCGGTTTGATTGATATTATAACATACCAGCAGAAGTATCTGATATCCTCCCCATGCCTCAACTTGCTTCTGCACCAAAACCCTCCTTCCCTCCTGCAAGATCACTACCTTCAAACACTTTCTGACAACTATCACATGATTGCAATCCGTACTCGTCTTTCTTGTACGAAGTAGTCGATTCCGTGTGTTCGCATTTTTCCGAATGGAAGTTCGCATTTCGTTAAGACCGCGCTTAGTTTTCGCTCGCAGACGGGACAGATTATGATTAAGATTTGACACATGTTTGGAAATCTATCTGCGGATGCGGATTATCGTTAGTTCTCTCAGAGGAAAATTGTTGAGAGCGGGCCTTACATTTTCGCAGCAAAGGTGTGTTGTGTGTTGTGTGTCGTTGGTGTTGGAGAATTGTAAATAGTGTAGTAAGTTTCTGTGATGAAAGATGGTTGGGACGGATCCTGAAAAGAAAAGACCCTTGATTCTTTCTGGAATATTATGGCTATTATATTTACATATTCCATAGACTACTAGTCGGAAAATATGAATCAATTACAGTTCTTTATGATGATTTGGTGATGATTTGGACTGGATTCAATAACTGTCGTATTCCTCATCGTTCTGGGCCTGTCCAGGCTTCTCGAAAGATTATGTCTGGGAATAAGGTTTAGTCAGTATTACAACTATGTTTGTTAATAAATTACTGTATCAAGTTCTATTTGCGGTATAATTCTTTTGATAGATGTCTTATCTGAAGCTTGTGAATAATCTTGTAACATTCAGATTGATCGTACTTGTCAACTAATTTTGTCAAATTACCAGAACGTGTTGGAAAAGTGATACATAACAAACACTATTCCATCCGCTTCAACCTGAGAATGGGAGTCAACATGCTCTGTCCAAGCATCAATCGACTCATCTCCTTTCAAAACAACTTTCACCTTTTCTCAATATATCCTTCATCCCTCCAACGCCACACATCTCTTTTTACAAAATATCCAAGAAACATCCACTCCATACGCCCTCAAAACATCAGATGATTCCTGCCCTATTCCTCCAAATTGATTCCGGATGCCTGCCACAACAACCCCAAACCAAGAAGCACTCCCTTCCAAAACTCCGCCAACCCCCCTCTAGTCATTCTCGTTCACGTGGTGTTTTACCTCGCATTGTGCGCAAGGTAGTCGCAGCACTTATCACAATGATAAAGTTGCTCCGAAGACGTTTGTGTGGTGCCTTTGCATTTGCCGGTTTTGGACTTGGACTCCGCACAGGGTGTAACGACTTGGCTAACAAGGCATTGAGATAGAGGACACTTGACGGTGTGGACGTTGCACATACTGGTAGACTGAATTGGTGAGTACATAGGCACAAAAAGGGTGAATTTTGTGGGATCTTACGGGTGGTAGAGTTGAAAAGAGAGAAATCGACTTGATAGGAGGTGGCTGCAGTGCCAAAGAGGATGTTGCCAATCACGGCAAATGTTGCGTTTTCAATCGCTCGTGAAATTGTTGATGAAGCTTCTGCAAGATGCAAAGGAAACTTGAAAAAAATCTTCTTAGACAATGCTTCTGCTCAGTCCGTGGACAACAATTCAACTCACAACTCCATCGTCAGAGCTATTGCGCTCAGGTGAATGTGATCTCAAATTTTCAAGCCGCAGAATCCCTTGAATTCTTCTCCCGCATTCACCATGTAGCAGTTGCGATTAGCATTCATTTTACCTCCATATTTCTACTCTCTAATGATTGTATCCTTTGTTACCGGCACTTGTCCTGCATCGTGTAACGGATCAACTCGCTTAAGACGACCCGACCCCCCCTTGCTTTGACTTCAACTAATGGACGACAACAAAAGGTTCCGGCAACCGATGTAACTTTAAATTTTCCGCAATATTCGACTAAAGTGGTCTCTCGAGCTATTAGAATTACCACCTCTCGACTCTCTTCTTACGCGTCGACATAGTGAAAGGAGACCGCTAATGGTTACTTGAGGTCTACTCTTCGATGGCATCTATCTCAACTCAACTCACCATTGTGATAACAATTGCAATGGTTAATCCCCGGTGATTAGCACCCACTGCAATGGACTCGCTTCTTAATCTTTTGCCTTCGCATTCACTGAAAGATCCAAGGAAGTGTCAAGAAAGGCAATTCCAATTCTGCCTATTTCCGCTACAGTCTCCCGAATGACTTCGAAGCGTTCATAAATACACACCACATTCTACTGAGAAGGAGACCAAAGTAGCGTTGGTACCTTACAATAATCTTTGTCAGGTGGTGGACGAAGAAGTCAGTGCTAGACCCCGCAGCAAAGGATAAGATTCACAGCACAAAACGTTACTATGTGGAGAGTCCTGGCACCAAGTATAAGTTGTGCTCAATCTAATATTGGGAAGCTGATTTTGTGACTCTTGTTGTTTGTGTTTTCCGCTGTCTCACAGCCCCCTTGGAATTCCAAACCATCAGGAGAAGGAAAATGGCCGGTAGACATTTGAAGGTTGACTTTCTAGTTTGGTTATTTTCTCTAACGACCTAATAATTTGAGCAACCTGCGAGCGCCGCTCTTCGGTGTCCAGTTTGCGCATGCGAATTCAGACTGCCCTTTTTCCTCAACCACGACATTTCAACCTGACTTCCATACATTGACACCCCACGTCCTTCGTGACCCAGGAAAGATTTAGTAATAAAAGACCGGATCACCGTATTGAGGCTTGGAAAATCAACTTTCAGTTGACCATGAGGTTCTCACGAGGCATTATCATCCACACTTGTTTCAATCCCTTGCGCGTCAAGGCTTCGTCTGGTCAACAGGACACAGGCAACAAGACCAGGGGAATTTATATGTCCACTTTTGCTTGCTGAAAACATCATCAACAATTAGTAAGTGATTGAGGAAACCGCCTCGTCGATTAAATGACATGGTTTTGCTATCAACTCTCTCGTGTCATGTTGGCCAAATTCATCATGTGCCAAATATCAAACGCGGGATGTACCATTGTACTTGAGAAAACGCCAACAATCACACCGTCTATAGGCGCTTTCACAGCCCGAAAGTTCCCGTAATCTACTCACCGATATATCCCTCATCAAGAACATATACTCCAACTCAAAAGCCGCGGCTCAAGTTTCGACGCCCTTGCAAGGAGAACAACCAACACCAGAACGGCCCGCCATGTGACGCCCACCTCCAGAATGTTCGAGATAGGAGAATGAACGGAGATCTTCACTTCCCCGGCTTCCAACAATGAATTGATCCAGTCAACGAAGCTATTTTCGACATCTTCAGCCCTCGGCCAAGTACCAACATTCGCTTCGCCCCTCGATGTGACTTCGTACCTAGGTACCCTCGCTCGCTTAAGGTCGCGACCTCTCACGATGGATACCAGCGCAGGTAGCAGCGCGGCAACGCAACACTCCGTTCCAATCACGATTCCAATTCATTGTTGGAGGTTTCTATGACTACCCCTCATATGCAAAGAGGTTGGATTCTGGGGACCTTCAGCGTAGATAAGGTCGTTGAATTGGCCAGATGCTGTCATGGAGGTCCTGTGACGCTCATATCGCGCGGTTGGGCCCATGGCTTTGATAGCCAACCAATAATGCATTGGGCAGATTATGAATGAAATGGAGAATGTTTGCGGAAAGATGGCTGCAGATCCAGAGAGACGGTATCGAATCATTGCGCTGGAAAGTGTAGAAGCGCGGCAAGTTTCGAAAGCGCCTAATTTTTCAGCATGTCGCTTCGCGCATTGTATTTTCATGGCCTAGCTTCACGGGCAACCATTGAAGTAACTCGGTATTGTTTGGTTGCATCCATTACGATGAGCTCGACCATGGTAACCAGATAATATTGGGAATTTTCGAGGTTCCGAGAGTCTGGTCCCAATTAGCAGATATATTAGTGTGTGTGAGTGTTATCTGATGGGATAGTTGGAGAATACTATTGGAGAATGCATGTAAGAAGGGTAAAATCTCCGGGCTGTCGGCAGCAATCTAGATTTCTATTTCCGCAAGATATGACGGGAAAGGGCGCTTCAAGCTTTAAGACACTCAAATGGGGTGCCCGAGTTGGTTTGCGGGCAACGGTTTCGCAACAGACAGGAGTCCCCGGGCCGAAAAGCAACCAAAATACATGGACGGCAAGCCGTGGCTATGAAAGTGCGGCGGCAACAAGGTCATTTGATCGAAATATGAAGAATACCTGAAATATTATGAGCCAGGTGATTCAGAACCCCTTGAATAAGAGTGTTGTAATAAAGCCATGCTGATAAAGAACGTAGAAACCCCTTGAGGTCCCCTTTGGGGAATTCCAACTGAACTAGAGGTGCAGCTACCAGGAGCTGTATCAATCTAGTAAAGAAAATATCAAGACGTTATCGGTCACCGAAGTCGGCGAAGCTACGACTATCAACTGAATGAACCCAGCCTAGGCGTTTTAATAGCGATGGCTATTAAGCGCTGCAGTGAAGAGGGATGAAGTAACCTGGTCTTACCAGATCAAAACCTTTTTACGCCTATATTCTCTTATCTCGGGCACGAGGAGTAAATACTGCTAAATCAAGAGTGTCGATATCAATGCGATATCAACATGAATCGCTGAGCATGGGACTATAGGAAGTCATTATAGCATGACAAAAAACACTTCTTCATTCCGTAACAACAGACGAAGATTACGACTTCAGCATGATATAGGCATCCAATGTAACCGACGATGGTTGCAACGAAATAAGATGGACAACAATTAGAATGCAAGTCAGATTCCTCTATGCTGCAGAAGTGAGAATTGTGAAGGTTGAGGCAATTATGCAACCAACTGCTTAAATACAACCTTCTTTGCAACAAGATTTGACACCAATCCCCAGGATGGTGTGTTGCACTTGAGAAAGATGTAGGATTTATACGTCAAACAGAAGCCACTCAAATCTATCGGCAATATCCATTAGTTAAAGTTCTAGAATGTCGCCATTCGACAAATCGTATGCAGTCAGACCTCGTCAACAGGAAATCAGGAAGAAATAAATCCAAATTGCTTCGCACCTCAAGAATCTCACTACCGTAAGACTGACCTACTCGGCAGTCAAAGGTGTGGTAAGAAATGCAGATCATGAATTGCGAAAGGAGTTCTGTCACCCCATACGACCCTTCACCACATTCGGCCGAAGTACGCTTGTTAAACGATAAGACGGATGTTCCCACAATGCCGCTCCCTTTTCGACAAACCAAACAAGAGAAAATGCGCCGAATAAGCCTCCTAGAAAGTGCGAAAAGAGCGTCGTTATTGGCAGCCTCGTCTTTGAATAATCGATCCGTAAGAGGATATTTCCAGTCCCACCAGACCCCAAAATAGAGTACCGCGCCCCAACACACAGAATAGAAACTTCCTATTCTCCATGAAGCAAGATCAACGACGCACGCAGTCAGAAAACCAACACGCAGACAGACGAACAAACAAACACAAATACACTCCTCTTCCCTCTCTCACTCGAGGAATGGGAGACTCACGATAGGGGACCCGAGCACCCGGGACAAGACCTCGATAATAAAAGGCTACTCGGTGTGCGAATTTAAGTTAGCCCGGCAGGGCCGTGGCTTGCAGCACACCTACATAACCGTATCGCAAAGGTATGAAAATGCAACGCTGATCGGGATTTTGCTTTACCCATCCCCCCCAGCATGCGACGGCGCGCGCACGATTGGACGATGCGTATATCTGGGGATGTACGAAGAATCTCACGTCATGGTCTGGCAAATGCGGAATTTTTCCTCGTTAGGAAGGGGGAGGAATGGAAGGACGTGGGTGATGTGATTGGGAGGCTCGTACGACGGGTGCTTACGGTTTTTGATTCCGTTGAAGATGTGAGGGTGGGAGGGCATTTAGACGTGTGGTTTTAGGAGGTTTTCGGTAGCGGATTCAGGTGAGAGGTTGCGTTTGTGAATTGACTCATATCATTATTTACGAGTAAGACGGGGTGATAATTATTTTTTCGATATGTGGGCAATTTCTGAATGTGTGACCGTGTTTTCAGCTTGCTCAACGGTATTGCATCGTTTAATTTCACGTGTCATTTTAAGGTTATTTCACTCGTTTGATCTGATCCGATAAGTCTCCTTTAGGAAGAAACTCCAGGAATTAAAGTACGCTTCTTGGCGTCTTGTCTCGCTTGGCACTACTTTATCGTTTTCTTGAATCGGGGCGTGCCTAGGTCTTGTGCCACCGGGTTTATGAGTGCAGTATCTTGGCTTGTTGCTGAAGAACTTCCTCTTTTGTGCGAATTTTTGGAGGCGTAGAACATTTGAGAGAAGAAAGAAAGAGTCTTATCAAGAATCTATCGCATCTCATATCTCAAACCCTCTGTTCGTCGGTCCTCGTGGCCACCACGAAGCGAACAATTCAGACATCCCAAGATGCCGAAAAACCCATAAGATAACGCCTAGCCATGCCAAGCGTGTAGAAAGACGCATCTCCATGACATCGTACAACTTAAAGTTGGATCGGACTTCTTATTAGTCAAGTCAGGGCCGCGTCACCCTTCTCGTGGAGGTCACTATTTTCCAAACTCATTTCTGTGGAGAGAATGCGTGGCAGCAAAGTCATAGCTTGGAAACTATAATATTTAGTGGGTGTGTGGACTTTCCAGGGTTAGAGGTGTCAAATTGATGTTTTTCAGGGGTCGAGTTTAAGCTTGTTACGACGTTATGACGAAAGGTCCGAGGGTGGGGGGTTTATTGGCGAGGAGAAATCGGAATAGAGTTGTGTTACCAGAGGATGCTTTTCGGAAATTCATTTTTGGATGATGAGAGTTGAGGCGTATGGTGCTGAGATGAGCATGATGGGCAGTAAAGAAGAGTATTACAGATTTGACATAATGGTCTAGTCAGACTCGCGAGACGACTGCCTTATGAGGGTACGTGTCGCGAAAGCAATCCTGCACCAATATTAGGTGACGGATATGTCAGACGTGGAGAAATGTTGATCTTCGAGACGCTGGAGACGAGATCATGATCCCCAAGACGACTTTACTCGTACAAGGTCAGGTCAGCAGAAAGTCAAGTAAAACTTTGAGCGATAGTTCTGACTAGAGAGAATTCGCTACATCCGAAAATCGTACAAACGCTGAGATTGGACTCTGTAAATCCGTCGCCGGTGACACTTCCATAAACGGAAACCGCAGATACACCTTTCTGCAGCCAAAGAACACTCATCCCGTCACCAGAAAACGGCGAGTCCACCCTCTTGTTCTAAAACATCATCAATAATAGGCTATCTACACGGCAAGTGCAGGTTTGTCACGCAACCTGTAACCGCCTTCTCAGCCGGGTGTTACCATGTCGCTCGCACAAATAAATCAACCTCTCTTTTCTCAGGCGGACAGATGCAACTTTCTGTATCTCAGTCTAATCCTAACTCCGGATCGACGAGGTGGGAACGAGATTTGTTGGTAACGAGGGGGTGCACCGACGAATCGCACATCCACACAAGCCTCCGAAGAGGAAATAAGCATAAATGAAAGTGTATCGTCGCACACCACCATGCTCGTACGGAACGTAACACACAACAGGGGTTCAGTGCCCTTTTCCACCCTGTAAATTACATCAGCTGGGCGAAGGTAAATCGGTATTATCTGTCATCGTCGTGCATCTCTGTAATAGCAAAGGCGTAGAATTGGTAAACATTTACGACTCGCACACACGGCGCTCGCATCTTGCAACCTGAGTGAGAAGAAAGATTTCTAGACAGCGTAAACGTGTCTTTGGTGGCGGTCGATAGCATCATCTGTTGCTCCATTTTTTCCCGGCTCGCCAAGTTCGTTATCCAAGGAGGCCAAGCTTTGTGGATAGACAATGGGGTGCAGCCGGTGGTATGCCAAGTATGAACTTAAAAATGAGAAAGGCTATGATTTTCCAGGTCTGGAACGAGCTGAGCGACTGTACGTAGTACGATGTATATGGTGACTGGTAAGATATGCAAGCGATCGGATAGATAGGAAGGACTCTCGCCCGATAATTTGGAAAGAGGAGATCGCTTTTGTAGCTTTTGGAAGGTGGGATTTGCAGAGGACGAGGACTAAGAGTCAAGAAACTTTGTGCCTCACCCCAGAGAATTAAACTCTTGACAACTCTTGGTCTTTCGGCTGAGCAATGCAATTCCAACAAAGAAAATAGCGTCCGACACCAACTTCCTCGTTCGCGAGACTAATATCCCAATTGGTGGGTTCGTCAAATTCCAAGAGCCTTAGAACATCACCAGTAATTTCTCCCAAGGCTTGTGCGATTCGGATTCTTGGGGCACGGAGTAATTGCATTTTACATCCAATCAACGCTGCACGACCTCATATGCCCGATTTTGCAGCTGTAAGATTCTCCAGCTTAAAGCCTATCGTGAAGTTCGAGTCGGCACGACGGGATTCGTGAAATTCCGTAGATGAGAATAAGCATAGGCGATGGGGTGCTGAATAACCTCCGTAGGTCGTACCCGTACTTCTCGCTTTGCAAGTTGGATTTAAGCATCCACCAACAACGGGAGAATGTTTATTGTTTGTGGCGATCTTTGTGATCTTGGCCGATAGGTGAACTTCCAAGGCTTGGATTAGAGTTGCGGGATGTGATAGGTTTGTAAATTCTTAGCTTGATATGTTGCTTCCTTGGTTTTGGCTTGGGTTCATCAATTGTGACTAAATGACAACAAACGAATTGTTTTCAGCTGCTGGAGTGAGGCGGATAGTCGTATACGAAAGTACGATGTGTATGATAACTTACGGATATCCCAAGATGTGTACTCGATCTCCGATAAGAACGCATCGCAGACACTGCAGACGCTTTCAACATTCTCACCTCACTATCCCACCAAACAAACCCTCACACTTCTACCCTTCAAAACAATCCATTGTTCCTCCATTCCAAACCTCCCCATCGTGCAAAACTTCCAGAAACATCCCCAAATTTTCCATTTCTCGATCAGGAAGCTCCTAACGAAGATCCCCCCCACCGCCGAGCCTAAAAATCATGCTTAAAAGACACGCTGGACAAGGTTACATGGTGGCGTTTCTTGGCCCCCGTCGGTCCCGCCCTTTGGTTTTTCGAACGCTTGGAGCTTTGCCAAGGGAGCGAATTATCTTGAAAAGGGTTTGTGGCTTCCTGGGAATAATGGAATGGGTGAAGGGAGGGAGGGGGGTGTGGATGGATGATGTCGAGATGGAAGAATTGAGTTGGTTTAACTGCAATCTCCAGATTTGTTGGGGGACTGTTTGCTACGAAATGTATGATTTCAATGGTTCTTTACTTTCGAAAAGTTGCATCAGTCAAAAGATTGGACCCAAAGCCCAACTTGAGTACTGGCATGAAGTGATCTAGGGACACTTTCTTTTCAATTACAATTTGGGTGAGTGCCCTAAAAGTCTCTCTTTCTAACACTGAAGTGCATCGAATTGACTAACATTTAATGCCCAAACGATGCAGTAAAATCTTATTTCGCCGGTCTATTTTCTTCATACTACTCTTCTCTAGACATATGAATTTACCTTCACTTCCACTCACCTCAAACAGAAAGCAGAACCAAAAGAAGTTCCTCAAAAGCGTAGCAGAAACGATATTTCTACCACCAACAAAGCCACAAAATAAAAGACCAATAGGAGAGATATGGAATTGCTTGTTCTCAATCACCAAGATCAGCCTCGAGGAGTACAATCCCGCTCATCAGCAACGGCTACCATTTCATGCAGAAAATGCATACCTCCGACGAGAAATATTTTTGAGACCAAAATCCCGTCATTCAAATCCGCAGTCCACCATCATCAGCTCCATATACGATTCAAAGGTAGTGGATAACGATACGTCAGCATATACGCACAGGATCCCACATAAAGCACTAGAGCAATCTTATGCCACATCTCACTCAAGATTATCTACCTGAGGGTACCAACGCGTACTCGGTGTCGAAAAGGTAGTATCCCACGGCATGCCGGCGTTGCATCGCGGCATCTGAATTGCCGATTCAAGCTGACATACGGACTCTCTCTCATCCCTTCGGCGCCCACTATCTATTCACGGGCGGGCTATGTGTTGGAGATATCACTCTCCCAAAACGCCGATGTGCGGAGAGGAAGTTGGTATTCTGGCAGACGAGAGGCTGAGATGGGAAGTTGAAACTGTTGGATGTTGGAAAGAGTACGAAAGGGGAGGGTGTATAAATGGGATAAAAAAGGGTGGGTTGAGTAAAGATGGCGGATCCATCGTAAACAACCTTTCAAATAAGCTCATGCTCTAGCGTGATCCGCACAATCCGTGCGGTGAAATTCTAAATCCAACGCCCAACACGCGCTGACGAATCTTCGGCCCCGTGTCGGATTTATGAGAAAAAAATGGATTAGATGATGGGAAGTTACGGTACGAGTGGCTTCGGTGTGGGGGAGATAGTACGAAGTAAAGGGCCTGACGATTGTACCTTTCTCCGCTTTTCTTGGTGCGAAGTGACTTCGTGTCGGTGTGTCTTTACGGGAAGAACGGATGGGAGTTCGATGATGGAATTTTTTCTTCTCTCACGCTGGGCTTGATGGGGTGGATCATCCAAGCATGTGGTTTCCTCGTCGTCGGGTTATGAGCCGTCATTGCAATGTGAATTACGAGAGCGAAGAGAACGAGCCAAGGACCAAGGACTGCTAATTGCATGTCCAGCAAGCGCCGAGCGAGACGAGCTTGTCTGGAGGGACATGTCCAAGCATCGGCAGAATGAGCGCGCGGATGGATGAACAGAATGGAATGTCACTCTTGGAACCAACGGTGGTGGTCGGTAAGAATTGCAAGTGTTGGATGTGTACAAGGAAGGGGAATTTCATGTACATGTGTACCTATTAGGATACCAACTTGCTCAGCGTCACATCTGTGTGACCAAGTACTTTAGTTCTAACAAGCGACTTGAGGACATTTCAACGCCTGAGCATGAGATTGAGCAACTTGCCAGCCATATTCACATATCAAGCACAACTAGAAACGTGTGGAGATGGAATGTGATGAGAGGCCAACAGGATAACCGCCGCAGCAAGATACTCCAGATTTATACCGTCCATATCAAACATGGCACGAGGTATTAGCGAGTTTGTATGTCACGAGAGGTTGTCCTGCCTCATCCAACGTATATCGTATACGCCTACGGCCCAGGGATTTGACTAAATACAGCAAAATAACTCGATGTGGTACTTTCAGGGTATCAGCAATCCTACGAGCAGGTTGCTTCCTCTTCTAGCCATCTCACCAACATCTAACACCTCCAAGACATAGCAGACTGCACCGGTACTTTCCTTCAACGCGTCCGATGTAGTTGCCCACCACACCAAAATGCAATCCCTGTGAGCATTCGCCCTGCCCAAGTCTTTCCCTTTTGAATCACCTCGTCCTCTCTGAGCGACATTTTCTTACCCCTCCAATAACCCTACCGTGCAACGCTGACAGGGACGTGATGCCCCCAAGCCGCACGCCGCAAGCCGCAAGAGCTCGGGGTGGGCAGCCCTGCACGCCAAACCTAATCTAAGATCATATTTCCAACGCAGCCAACCGAGTGGACGTCCCTTGTTAGTCAGAGGGAGGAGCAAGGGGAAGATGTTGGTAATTTCTGCGGCTAGTGGTGTATTAGGAAAGGATGCTAGATGATTATTATTTATTTAATTATTTTTATTTATTTTAATACTTTACGACCAACCAGGGAAACGGTTGGTGCTTAGCTTTTCTTGACGAACGCCATCCATGATTTGTGGGAACCCAACCCAGCCAGATCCCCATCCCAAGCACGACCGGCTTTCTTGAAGGTTTGGCGGCAGGCTTGTCTGTCTTGTCTGCATGGCTGCCGAGTACGACGAGGACTACTACTACCCGGTCCTCCTCGATTGTTTTGCCGTGGTGGAAGTTCTGACTCTTTTCCTGTCTTTTCTCCACCTTGAGCACTGTGTACGCTTTCGACCTTGCCGGCGACGACGACGATACCCTCAAACCAACGCTCACCTGACGATATACAACCGACCCGAACCTCGACCGAATCAGCCTATCGATCCAACCAGAGAAAGATTATAGAGATATAAACCTGAAGATATCCATATATCTAAACAGAATAAAGCATACACATACACATCGTCCTACTTCGTACCTGCAGTACCACTCTTCCACGACGGCATCAACAGTCTTCAATCCCGTGACACATCACCATCCTCGACAGCATTTCTCAAGCCGTGTTTACTCACCCTCACCATTGAATATCTCGACAGATTCCAAGGCATACACGACTGTTCATATACCAACCAACACCATATCTTGTAAGTGTATCCCAATTTCCTCATTTTCATGCCATTGGAGCGCCGGTGCGGCGATTGAACCCTCGGATGCTGGTCTTGCGGTCGCTAAGCCCTGCCTGCTTGCACTGCAACCATTTCTTTCTGCCCTCCCTCTCGACGTTGGTGAGGATCCAAAGATGGGAGATCTGGGTGCGGGAGAGGGATGGGAGATGAGATGATGAAGATGATCGACTGCATGCGTTGCATGTAAGGCTTTCTTCCAGATCTTTACTTTATGTCTTCCATTCCTCGACCTTGATCCAGCTTCGATCACCAGAGGACAAGTCAGTCAAGACTTCTCCCTTCGCCCTCGTCGCATCGTCTCGACCCAACCCTCCCACGCCTAGACTGCCCAGTGTTTGGATCAATTGATCTGGATCTGAATGGGTGGACGAAACAGACAAGACACCGTCACAAACGAGGTACAAACGGAAACGCACCGGCAATTCCCCAAGAACCGATCATCTTCCCTATCACCCATCTAGTCTGGCAGTTGGCAGTGTCACAAAAATTTGGCTTGCGAGTTGGCTAGATTGCACTGGCAAGGAGCTTCGACAGTGTACGCGCACGCTGAGCTTGGCCCAGAGCTTGGTGGCAGCGGTCGACCATTCTCTGCTCCATTCACCTCTCCACCTGTCTCACGTTCATGAAATACCTTTCTGGGCATGACTTGGGCGGAGCCGCTGGTGCTCGAATTCCACTTTCTAACCTTTCCCATCTCCACCACCAATTCACCCCAATCTCTTGGGAACGAAGCGCGGACTAGGGTGAAGCTAACTTTCTCTAAAGATTTCGAACATCATTCACACCACGTCTCGCATCTCGACAAGACTTGCGCGTTCAACAGGATCCACCCGAACGAGTTCGGCAGCATCCGCCAAACCGCCTCGATCTGTCCTCCAGCCTCGCACAAGCTTTCTCTGACGGCCAAGCTTGGTTGACCATCCCAGACGGAACATTCCAACGACGATCCACGAGCTGCGATTGCTGAAAGTGGCCGACCGCGAGACGTCACTCAGCAAGATCCACTGCGGATCCCCGGTTATAGTTTCGATTTTAGGAGGAGAATTGGATTTATAGTTGCCAGTTCCCGGTATTCGTGCGGCAGATGAGAGCAGTCGAGTAAACACTTTTATTCCAGTCGATCACAACACAACCGTCATCATGATGGACACATATCACGGACACGTACGGACGCCTGCAGACGCGATCAAGCTATTCGAAGCGTGTCGTCTAGGCTTGTTACCACGAGTACAGCGAAGACTTTCCGAGAAGGAGAGACAGTCAATCAAGTCGGGATCAGTATTTGTATGGGATGAGCTGGAAGCGGGAATGAGAAGATGGACCGATGGGAAATCATGGAGTGCCAGCAGAGTTTCCGGAAGCTTCTTGACATATAGAGAGATGGAAGGGAAGAGAGGTGGAGGAGGCTTTGCACAAACACCAGTACGAAGAACGACGGGAAAGACACCAGATAGTGGCAAAGGAAGTGATGAGGACCTGGATATGGATGGCGAGGGACCAGATGGGTACAGATACAAGCCGGACGGGTTGATGAAGCAATCATTCAGCATCACTACAACGACAAACAGACATCTTCATCTGATCAGCTATTACTCTCGGCCAAGCCATAACTCCCCAGAGCTTCTACAGCCAACAACGGATCCAGCACTTCGGCACATCGTCCCAGTTAAAGGATTGTACCCAGAGTCAACTGTACACGAGGCACAAGGTCCACCAGTCACTCGAAGTCCTATGCAGCACAGCCCATATATGCAACCCCAACATCCAGTACAACATCTTCAAGCTTCCCCAGGTCATCGAGGTCAACCATATGCATATCAAATGCCTCCAGCATATTCATGGGGGCCACCATCTCCAATGTCAACGCCCCCATACCCACAATACCAAGGCCATATGTATAACTCGGCACTTCCACCCCCACCACCTTACCAACAACACAGCCCCCGTCAACAACATGGAGCACCTCAATACCCGATGAATGGTCAGTCAACCGCGTACGATCGTCCACCACCGCATATTTCAGATCCTTCACATCCACCACCACCTAGTCTTCGAGGCATGAGTACCGCTACCGCACAGAATCTGATGCCACGATATGCAGGTATGCCACCGCGCGTAGACCAGAGGATGCTTGCTCAACAACAGGCACAACTTGCCCAAGGTGCAATGTTGGCGGTTGGAAGAATGATTGATCCTAGACTTGGAGAACCGAGACTACCACCGGTGCAGATCAACTCTCCACCCAGACAATCAACACCACCACAGACCAAGTCAACCTCTCAGGCCACAACACCTAAATCAAACAAAGGCCCATCATCACCAAAAGGCGGCAGTCCCAAACCCAACAACGCCGAATCAAGCACGCAAGCTCAAAGCATCCCAAGCATCTCGGCCTTGGTCCACGCCACCGACTCCGTCAGCGTCATGTCCGACAACAAAAGCAACAGCTCCCGTCCTGGCAGTAAATCACCACGTGAAACCCCCCGCGACGTGGAGAAGCCAAAGGATATCCCGCACGACAAGCTTAATATCATTGGTGAGGATCAACGCGCCATCCGCGTGCTCGATCGAAAGTTTTTCTAAGATGTGTGTGCAGGGTTTCTCTGCAATTAATGCGACGATTCGAGGTGGATGGATTTGGGAGTGTAATCAGGATGGGAAGGGATGGGAAGTATGAGTATAAATATGGGTGGACAAGCGTTTTTTAGTTACTTAGCGGCATCGGATTGGGAGTCGGGATGTTTATTCAGGGAGGGATGGAGTTAATGGGGATACCATTTTGCTGTCGTTTAGCCTTTTTCTTTCGTTGTAAAAGTATTGTTTTGTAGGGTGTTTGTGGATGGATGGATGTTTGCTGTGTTTGGCGTTTTGGGGTGGGATGGGATAGGGTGGTGTGGATATACCAAGGTTGCTACATCGAGCGCTTTCTTTTTTTTGAGATTCGGGTTCGTGGATGAGGTAGATAACTACCTAGGTAGATAGCTAGCTTAGCTGGGGAGTAGAGAGTTAGGATGAATTGAGCATTTGTTCATCTAAGATTTTGGGTGTGAGTTGTATCGTGACAGTGAAGTTTAGTTTTTTTTACCATCTCAGTCGTGTGGGACTGCCTTGAATGGGGATCTCATTCATCCGATATCAGAAGGATGGAAGGATTGAAGTGAGTTAGGCTTGTTCTCACTATTATCTATGTAGTTAGGGTTCTGGATCTTGAATTCATTCATTCATAAATTCCTTAGCTTTGCGTTTTATGCTTATTTTAATTGAGTCGTTCTACCAGATGAGTTTATTTTATAATTTCATCATTTCTAGGTATCCTCGCCTCACCAGCCTCGGCGTACGTCCACCGAGCTCCCCTTGACGATTGCACGGGGGGGGGTGATGTACGAGGGCTGTGGGGTGTATGGTATTGGTCCGTTCGTTTAGCTTGGCTGTGCTGTTATGCTGTTGTGAATCTATTCTTTGATCTTATTCTTTCAACTTCAAATTAATGGAGATTGGGTGGACGAGGTATGAGGGTAGGGGGTTGGAATGTTTTTTTCGTATGTATATCGGTGACGGGGTTGTATAAAGTTAGGTTTCGGTTTTAGATTTATGACTAGGTATATCCATATTCTTTGGTTTATATACCATATCAGATCCATATTTCATTTTTTCTTTCTCCGCGCCTGTGTATACGGTGGAAATATGCGTGTTGGATGGTGATGAGTAGAATGTATTTTGGATTTTTTTCTGCTGAAGGGTGGATTCGCCATTTTGGTGATGGGAATACTATACTCTGATACCCGATTTTTTGAGTCGTTAGGGCGTGGTAAACACGTGCGAAAAGTCCTAGGGTCTCAAGTAAGCTTATTTTCGTCTTCACAGCACAGAGGATTTTGGCAGGTGTACGTGAGCGAGCGAGCTCGCGTCCGAAGTTTCGAACCTTCTTACAATGCTGCGGATCGTGCATCTCTTGGTAGTTTAATTATTTTGTTAGGGGTCATGGACTAGGATCTTGTTATATGCACGTGTACGATGTGGTAGGTACCTGTCTACATGTAGATGGGGAAGTAAGCTTATTTATATTTAGCGAGCAATCCATCTACTTACGCGCTGAGGATTTACTGCGCATCTCACAAAAAATCTCCAGAGTCCTGGCTTTTCGTGCGCCAGATGAGGATTTGTTTGTTTTATTCTCCTTTTATTTACCCCACGTGCGAGCAAACTCTCCAATTTAGGTACGAGACGGACATCTTGCAAACTTCTTGTACGATCGTACCCCCGAAATCCCATCGTGGCTGTGTAAGCGACGATGTGGGGAGAAGGTTATTTGGGGAGGTTGTGCGATATGCTTATTTTGTACTCGATTTGGTTTGGAAAGGTGGATATGCTCGATTCGCTCGATTAGCTCGCGCGCAACTTACAAGGGTTGTGGTGAGGAGTTGGGTTATAATTTTGTGAAATGGAATGGGTGATGGGTACTTTAGGATGGATTATGGGATTATTTGGATTAGATTGTGCGATATCGTTTAAGATGACAAAGAAGGCATGTAGATGATATAGCGGTTATTTAGGTTTACGAATGTGTCGAAGGTTGAGAGTTGTCTGGGCATCCTGGATGAAATATCTGCAAAGGAACATACCCGTATGGAAGAAAATCGTCTAAGCATCGATAATCTTTCGAGGTTAAATAATAGCAGAGGAATGAGTGGAAGATACCCGTATGGAAGATATCGTCTAAGCTTACGATCAGTCCTGCTTACGACATTACCATGTTATACCGGCCCTTCTTTTTCTTGGTCAGCAAATTTGTTTGTCAGCCATCCTGTGGGTTCTTACTGTAGTTATTGATATATAGAGGTTTTCGTGCGTGATCGGTGAGGGGAGGAGTGCTTGGGCTTACTTGAGGTACCTTGTTACATGAAGGTTCAGTGGTTTTATAGCCGGACTCTTGGAGATGAGGGACGAGGGTAGTGATGATGAGAGTTTCGAGGCTGAGTTGTGAGAGTTTGGGAGGGAAGCTTGAGCTTGGTTAATTGAATGGGTGTAGTCGGTTGTAAGGTTGTGGGCGATTTGATCTACATTTACAGACTTGGTGCGAGGCCCTAAATACGGTACCCATGTATGCATGGCTTAGGAAGGAATAAGTCTCGGGGAGTATAAAAGTAAGTTGTTTATATAGGTGAGTCTATCATGAAGTGAATCGCTTAATTGTTGTATAAGTCTATGTAATAAATAGAAGAGGGACGAATGATGTAATCCATTTTCTATTTCACGAGACATCAGATATATATCCTGCAAGACAGTATGTAAGATTGAGGGATTTATAGTGATGTTTCGGTAGTTAAGTCATAGGACCTTTTGATGCGAAGTTCCAAACATGGAAAAGGAGACGGAATTTCTCAATGCACATGCCAAATGAATTCGAATTAGTCTAGGGTATCATTCTTGTGTCAAAGGAAGATATACCACGGATGAAAACCTATGATGATATTGTTGTTATTGTTGTTGGTGAAGGATGAAAGATGGCTGTAAGGTTGTTTCATCTGACCGGTAAATATTACCCTGTCGCTAGAATTTGACAAAACGCCAGGACCAATTTTGCAGCAATCTACATGGAAAATACACTTCAAGAAACTGGTCGGGGGAAGTATGAAACAATGTCCATCTAAACGCTGCCGTGTATGTAGGCACTTACTGAATTGCAACTGTCGATATCGTGGAATTTATTGAGTGGTATAGCTGCACTTCAGCGCGTATAATTTTTTCCACCAGGAGAAATACGAATTTCCGATCTGACACAAGTGACGGAGATGAAAGATCCCACGGTGCAGAGTTTAAGTTTGCATCTTTGTCATATCAGTGAGATTGTTCAACAACTCTTGTGAGCACCGCTTATCCTCTGGGAATTTGTTGTCATAATTGGAGTAAAACGTCAACGACTTTCAACTCCAACACGGAACGTCAATAGAACCCTAGCAGTAATAGCAAAAAAAGCCGAAGTTTTGTAAATGAGATACCATGTTTACCATCATATCTGAGAGGTATACACAATTTTCGTCTTAGACTTCTGGTCGTCTGCAGTAGCTGTTCCAATCCCGAGGATGATTCAGCAAATATTAAGAGCTTCGCATCAAAGAAGCATGCTTTGTATTAAGAGCAACGGGCATAGAACCGCACCTTTCAGGCATTAATTTCGGAAACATTTCGAGCACCGGGCAATATCGCAGACCCTCTTCACAAGTGTATTGTAAGTCTGTCAGGCCATCACCTCTCAGTAAGCAAACAGTCCGTCCAAAACAATATATCCAATTGACATGATGAAGTAGTTATACACAATCATCTCCATTTAAAAGGCCGTATGTGGCAGTTGAGAACGAAATATTCGAAGTTCGTTTTCCGCGATGTCACAATCAAAAGGCTAGCACTAGTGCACGACAAAACTGTGCTCACAACTAATTGTAAGATACACAAACTCGACCTCGCGAAGCCTTCCTATTCCAGAAATCAACTGAATGCACTCAGAAGGCGGTAAATCCGCAGCAACCGCTCTATCGCACACCTCATGCTACACAATGAATATGCTCCGTAAGAATCGCACATCAGGCATCAGATTTTCGCACCAAAACGCCCTGTACTCCGTCAGCAAAACAGACTCTCCATTTCAATCTTATTTTAAGCTGACACGTTTTTCCAATCTCCCGTCCACGAAGCTTACGCATCAGCGAATCACACTCGCTTCGTACCTTTTGACACTGCAGCACCACACCAACTTTCCACGTTCCATCCTTAAATCTAAACCACACACACGAACTATCTCGTATCTCCTCCTGTCTAATGTTCTGCGCCCACTAAAAACAAACTTCCCATCCCCATGAAACGCTAATCCCGCGTAAGCGAGGGACCGCAACTCGGTGTTGGGATATACGTGAAGATTAGTTGGTGGAGGAGATGAGCCTTGGAGATGGATTTCTCGAGGAGGGTGGGTGGTGGAAATAGAATGGGATGGGATGGGATGTTGACGTTTAGATGTGGTGATGTTTTGTTGTGGATTCCCTCCGTGGAATCGAAGTCCCAGACGCAGGACTGTAGTAGGTTGGGTCGAGATTGAGGAATTCGAAGGACCGTAATAGAAGAATTTGTAATTGAAGTAGAGATCTAGGTTCTAAGCTTTAGACAAAAGTCTATAAGCTTCCTTTCTTTTAGGTTACTGGTTTAGTCTAGCTCAGGATACACTAAAATCTCAAATCATGCTTAAATCTCTCGCCAAAATGCATAACTCTATTGCGATATTCCGTAGTCAAACTCATTGCACCACTCAAGTACGGGTGACCACTCAAGTACGGGTGCTCATGTTTCGCCCAACTAGCACAGTGAAACAATAAGTCTTTCACGACTTTTACTACGAGAAAGCTTCCCCTAACCACATAATTTAGAAAAGGCATTACCAGAAAGGAGAGGAGCACTACAAGAGATATCACTGCTGTCGTAAACACCACAACATCGAAATTGGTCACGAACTGTACTAACTCTTATCTTCCCTATTTTAAACAAACAATCCACTCAGCCCCGTGAGCTACGATCCATATTTCCCGCCCCTAATTCTATGTATTACAATCCCAACTCCAAAGCAATCGAACGATTTATATACTAAAACACAATGCCCCAATCTCACTGCGTAATCCCTTGATAGAATCTTATAGACACACCCCAGACAACCTTCACCCCAAGCGAACCGTTGGTCTGAGCCTCTCATGTACCGAAGTAACGAGTGCCATGTTGGGAAAACAAATGAAAAATACGACGCTCGCACGTAAACATGGAGTCAACCCAACAGTTGGTTTCAAAATTACGGCATACAGGCCGTCCTCCTCGGCCTTATTCTTAATTCAACGAATGTGGCAGTAGCAGGCAATATGAGTAGCTAATCCATCTTAAGCATATCAAGTGAGAACCTTGTACGACATAGCGCAGGTCGATTCACAGGACAGGCAGGGTACAATACCGTAGTCTAGGTCCACGCCACATGGGAACTTGGTGTCGAGTCCAGCCCTGTGCAGAATCGACGTGGATGCATGGAGCAAGCCGTCTACAGCGGAACACCCGCGCTGCAATTGCCCTCACTTTCATCACAGCATTCTCAACCAACAAAGCGTGAGGATCCTGTCCGCAGCACCTCGCGGTCGCAGTGGAGAGTTCAAATATATTAATGAAGGATCTTGGTGTCGCATTTGCCTTACGCGGCAATATAGTTCTGCGACGATTCAACACGATCGACGTGGTGTGATTCAGCCAACAACGTCGTGATACGGTTGATAGGCGGGGATAGTTATGCTATGTTCGGCAGCGAGGCGAAGTCGAGAGCGATGGTGACACGACATGCTATTCCCAAACAACAGACGAGAGACGCCATCCACATGGATGAATCTTTTGGGGAAACTTTATGCTGCACAAGCATAAAATGTGCAGAGTTGGCGGCCGGGGAAGAGAACCTGGTCGATTAAAGGCGGGCAACCAGGTGTGTAGTTGCAACATGGTGCGTTGCCAAGGGCACAGTAACAACCATAGATGACTTGGTCTGGTATAAAGTAGTTTATACCGCGTGAGGAAGGTGGTATACATGTGTTTGTTGTCTAGCGTAACAATAATCCCGGTGGAGAAGCAGTTACTGACGAAGAACATGGTTAAAGACAATATACAACCAACTTTTGACGGTGCATATATTTGTGTGGGGCCAATCACTCCAGATAACTTTAAACATCCAACCCAACATGGAGGGAAGGTCTGAGCCAGCAGCAAGGTTTGAAACCAAACATCTGTACCTTACATTGCGTAATTGACCCATGGGTATGTTGGCGCCTGCGGCCGTTGATAAGGCTGTGTAGTAAAGGCTCGGGTAATACAATATAAATTTACAGTATTTCTATGCAGACTGTGGAAGGTGGTTGGTATTCAGCCACCAATAAGGATCCACCACTCGTACACCATAGTAAGACGCCAACATTCCTTTTTGCAGGTTTGTTGGCGATTTCCCATACGAAAATCGCTTGAACACTTCTCCACTTAGAGCACGTAAATCAAAATGATCAATCTGCTATAGGCTTACGTGGGAAACATATGAGGGATCCTGAAACATCAAGTTGAGCCACGTCCGAATGACAGAAACAAGATCTTAAAAATTCTTGTGCCGGACAAGGCGAGATCTGCTCGCGTAAATAACGATTCCGGAGCCGAAGGTTACAACCAACGTCCAACATCTGCAAACTACGCGTTGTTAGTCATGATTGGCTGCCTCGATGTGAGGTTACACCTTCCGATTTCTCACGGTTCAGTTGTGATTGAAAACAATCAAAAGCAGAAGTAGGAAGTGGCTGAAGGGATAAACCAAAGTGTGCCTCGCCAGAAGAGGAAGGACAAACGTAGAACTGATCTTCGATATACGGCCGAGGAAACATGCCACCAACTGCATTGGAAATACAACAAATGGACATTTCCCTGCACGGTAACAGTTCAATAAGGAAGTTTTTGCGAATAGTCAACCCCAGTGAAGATGATATCGACTTTTCCAGCCGTTCTAATAAAATATTACAGTGCTTTGATTTGGATTGAGGTAAATTTCCAGCAACGTTTCCAATGATTGGTTGTAGTTGTGCGGATTTCATTAGGTATTCTTTTACCAACCCTGGACCATCGCAATATGATAAGTGAATACCGTAAAGACGAGAAGTAAAAAATCCCGCAAAATTTAATCCACAAGTTTGTGCAAAAACCAGTAAAATTTAAATCCAATGGATTTCGACCTCAAGTGACCACTTTCGAGAATATGCATAGACTCTGCAGGTGCAAACAAATGGAGAACTGATATTTTGGACTGAAGTATGGCCCGAGTAAAGCCTCCACTTGGGTCCCGAAAATTGCTGAGCCAAGATAGAAGAATGTTCGGATCGACACTCGCCAGCACTGCAAGCCATGAGATATAGCAAGAAAAGTCTCCCGAGTCCGGAAGTAAGTCCAGCCTGAACTCAAAATCCTTGTCAATAATGTATGGCCACAGACGACTATGCTGCCTTCGCCGCTGCATCGCGTACCTTATGACACAACCACATCGATGGCGTCAGAACATTAGGGAACCCTTAATCATAAAGCATTACCACGGAAACTGAGAATGGACAGACAAGAAAAGAATGTAACCAGTAAAAAGCCGCTGCAAATCTTTGAAGTAGACACTTTGAAAATGCAGATAGTGTGAAAAATTCCAGTGCAAAGCAGCGGCTGGATGAGATCTCACGAATGTGAGGTATAGGTGGTATTTGTGCTACCACACCTGCAGTGACAATAGCCTCGGTTCCTGTCTTGAATCTGGGAGCGTACGATTTAGGCGCCCACCTATAAATGGGCCAATGGTACTCGCTGTAGCAGCTAGAGCATTCTGCACGCGATACTGAAGCAACCTCAAGCAATGCGGGTGGTGCAGCTTCTGCATCGGAACATTTTATGCTTATGTACGGCACGGTGCGAGCCTTTTTGCCCCTCTCAATTCATCCCGAAAAATGTTGGTGGTGTTTTTGAAGTGCTCTGTCCTGAGAAAACGGGAAATCCGAGTAATCCGAGAAAACTTACCAGAACACTTTCGATGTGTGACCTGGCAGATATGTCCAAAAACGGCTGATTAAATTGTCTAATATAGGGTAGGGCCGAAAACAGTAGTTTTGAACGCAGGAGGGCTGTGCGTTGGTATGTGGGGTCAACACTGTTTCAAATTCGGGGTGCAGAGAGTGCGTCAAGTACCGGCTGTGGGGGTCATATATGCGGCAATCAAGTCCTATTTTCGACTTGCTATATTGCTAGGCATGCTCGAGACCAAGCCTCCTGAAAACAGCTGGCCTGGACGTGGGCAATTGTAGATCTTCCGAAGGCCTGTACTCAATCAGCAGTCGCCATGCCTCGTGAGAGTGATCATTACTCTTTGTGGTAGTCATATGTTTCCGAGAATCTCAACTTGTATTCGAGGTAGCGGTTTCACGTCAGGTGAAAGGTCGGCTGGTGGTCACAATATTTCTGTAGGCTTAGCATTCGCAACGCCCTACCCATCGTGGAAAAGTGTTGATCTCTCTAATATTTGGGACACCCGCCAAATATCCCAATAGACGATCGAAACCTAGGCCAAAACCGCCGTGAGGCACGCTGCCCCATCGTCTCAAGTCAATGTACCATTTCAAGGCACCCAGTTGGTCATCGGTCAGGGATTCCACGGGGCCAGAAGGTAGCATACCATGCGACTGCATCGACGAGATAAGGCTTTCTAGACGATGCTCACGCATTGAACCACCAACAAGCTCTCCAGCGTTCGGTAAGAGCAGATCAAAACAGTCAACAGTTTCTCCAGGTGATGAATCCTTCGTTGATGCAAGCATGTAGAACGGTTTGATGCTGCTTGGATAATGAGTGACAAAGACAGGTGAATCGAGCGTATTTGCAATATACTGCTCATGCTCAATGCTCAGACCTGCTCCCCACTCGGGCTTATGTTCAAAGTCCGCAGTAGACTCTGTTAACATATTGATGGCTTCTGTGTATGTGATCCGAGGCCATCGATCAGCGAGAATGCGCTCCCATCGGTGCCTTATGGTTTCCGAAGTGATCGCATCGGGGTCGTCGTGCCCGTCTAGTGCTCTGCTAGAAAGTATCTCTTTGCCAACTCGCGAGGACAGTAAGGGCTTGGTAACCCGCTGCACGAGTTTCTCCACCACATCCATAACGGAGCTCAATTCTTCGACAAAACTCATTTCTAGCTCCAGCATGTAGAATTCGCTAAGATGCCGCTTGGTGTCACTCTTCTCCGCTCGGAAGGTTGGCGATAACGTCCATGTATTACCAACAGACTGCGCCAACGCCTCAAGATGTAGCTGGCTAGAAACGGTCAAATATTTTGTTGAGCGAAAGAAGGTGCCATCATCCGTTTCGCTAACGGGCCCCTTATGTGGACTCGCAACATGGAAGACCTCGCCAGCCCCTTCGCAGTCCGACGACGTGATTATTGGTGTATGTGTTTGCGTAAAGCCTTCTTGGGATAGGAAGCTGGTTATTTCTGATATGCAATCCGATCGCAGTCTCAGCAGGGTCGTATTGAAAGGTATGCGGGTCCGAAGATGAGGCATCGTTCGGAGATACTCCAGGGATTGGTATTTCTTCTGCATCGGGTATTTCTGTTCGTTGTTCTCAGTGGAATGCAAGCCAGTGTGGAGTGCCTTTTACACGTACAGCTGCATCAGATACACCCAATACATCGACTTTCGATACGTGAAGCTCATGGCTTTGGGCTTGAGGATTTGGAGACTCTTTCCATTCACCGGTCAATCGGACTGCAGTACCCGTGGACAGACTGCGATTGTGAGCTTCTTGAAAATGGACAGAGATCGAGGTCATACCTTTGTGCCTGTTCGGGGCTCAATAGTGCCTGTAGAGATTCCAGTGTCGATCCGTCTCCAATTGCGACAAAAGATCTCCGTTTCTGATTTCTCACTGACCGAACATATCCATTGACTGCAACGTTACTCGAATTTTTCGGCCCGTGATCGAGCAGACGGGCGATTGGCAATGTCGCAGAGGCATTGGAGCGTAGAGCGGAGCTGCTGGAGAAGTGTCTGCCATTACATCTTTTTGAAGCTATTTTGATGTATTCAGTAATTCGTGGTCGGACCATGGCCATGCCGCTGATGATATTGAGTGGTCAATGGCTGGTCGCAGGGCCTCGCAAGCCGTATATCTATTGAGGTCTGTGGGAAGAGGATCGGATGAATGATCTAGGCAGGGAAAAAGAAATGCGAATAAAAGATTGTGGTCTCATTTGGATGATGAGGTTGTCAACAAGGTTCGGATAGACGCGCCTGACCAAGGGAGACGCGCCAGCCGCGGCAAACAAATGGTCAAAGCTCGCTTGCTCCACCTTATGGACGACGAGTCGACAACGCCGATACCCCTTTTTTGCTTTTTATAATTCGGTCATTATTCTCACACAACCTCAAACTCCAGACGAGCAAGCCACTCAATTGCCAGACCTCGCCCATGCTATGATTCGTCATATTTCAGTCCATTCTACATCACACCACTCGCTGCTATACCGGTCAAAGTTGGACATCCTCCTGCTCATACCCTACCCAGTCTCTATCGACTTTTGCTCGCTTGTTGATATGAAGATGTATCTGGGAAAGACCTCTCATTCCTTAAATGGCATCCAGTCCGGCTCCCGTCTACCCATAAGTTAAAGTTTTATGAGGAATGTAGCCTGCATGAAGTCCGGGCGGATTTGACTTAGGCTTTCGGGACCGCCCTTCAGTGCCACACACGCGGTACCGTCCCGTCCAAGGGGTCTTAAGCAAAAGCAATATCTTCCCGTCTCGATTGGGGCTATAGTTTGGGTTCCGCTCGGTCCTCGACGCACTTAATTACGATCCTGCACCTAAATCCCGTACGATGCATTCGACCACAAGATCTGCTTCCTCGGCAATCTGGTCCTACCTTCACGCAGCACAATTGAGATCTCGGGACCGGTCTTACGACCTTGTACTTCTCTCACTCTGAAAAGAGTACTCTCTTGACCTTGTCTGCTCGAACGTATGGAAAGCCAGCGCTCTGGACGATCCCTTTTGTGCTTGTCATTGCGGTGAAAGAGTGTCGATGAGCCCAAGAACCACGCTATTGAGATCAAACTGTCTTACTCTTGCCGCTCTAATTATCCACATTCGTAATTCATCCCGTCAAGAGGAGGGCCAAGGTATGCGTCGATCGGTGGCTGCTTGATAAGTTTGGACCTTTCCTGATCCCAACTATATAATGGGACCCATGTCCAATATGTCGTCCGTGGCCTTGGGTCCAAGAGATTCTTCAAAGTTGTCTTTGTTTATTCTGTTTGTGCTGCGTTTCTGTTTACATCTAATTCATCATGCCGCCTGGAAAGCCAAAACCCTCAGAGATAGCAGCCGAGACGAAGAAGACGTATATTCCATTTATCCGTCAAAACTATAGTTCAGAATGGCCATCAACATCATACCTGTGTCCCTCAGAGTCAATGACTGCAGGTCAGCCAACTGTGGATGGACGACTAGCACACTTTGGTAACTTTGCTGTTTGGTTTTAATAGTGCAAGCCTAACTCAAAGTAGCTTTCTACGAAGAGGATCCGGTTGATGTTGCGCTGAAGTGGGCTCCCACGGAAGACAGCGACATACCTGTGATCATGCCAGCAAATGATAAGAGACCAGGTGGAGATTGGGAAGCTGGTATTTTAATTCTACCAGGATATGCAAGAATTCCATCTAATGTTTTGTAGGAGTCATGTCTCCAGAAGAATGTCTTTGCCGGCGGAGCAATCTCTTTGCTACTCTAACAACACCTGCACCGCAAAGCTCCAATTCAACTAACTATCCAATTCCACCCAAATATGGCATCTATTCTCGAAACGTTGGTATGTTGCCAACCCTTACCGGACCATAGTGACTTGCAAATTGACTTACGACAGTGGTCTTTCGAAATGGACCTGAGAAGTATGAAACATGGCCAGAATACAAAGGTATGCGATTTTGCTTCTTCAAACTGCATGAGCATCTCACTGACAAGCTTAGCCCTTCCAGTTATCTCTGTGCCCCCTGTGAAGAGGCCCAAATTAGACAGTGCAGGTGTTCACTACTCATTCGGCCAGGAGAAGGAGCTCATGCGCGACAAAATTCGTACAGCGTTGAGAATTGCTGTCTACTATGGACATCACAATCTCGTTATCGGCAACTTCGGCTTGGGCCCTGGCTTCAGAAATCCGCCCGAAGAGGTTGCCAAAATGTGGCGAGATGCGTTCCTGCATGACCCAGAATTCAAAGGTCATTTCCAAGACATCATTTTTGCTTTCGAAGACCCGGAAGGACCCGGTGCCGTTTCCAGTTCATCTAGCAAATCTTCTTCAAAATCATCATCTTCATCTTCGAAATCATCCTCGATGTCTTCCTCTTCATCAGCAAACAAAAGCAGCGCCGCATCAGATTTAGCCATTTTTAGACATGTTTTCAAACCATCGAATATCCACCCTAATGCCTTTGCGACTGAACCGAATCGAGATGCCTACTCTATGGCGCAATACGTAAAGTGGGAGGCCTCGTATCAAAAATTGGTTTGAGGCGTTGTCGGATATTCAGATTTACTCATACTTCGTTATAGATCTAGAGTCGCAATGACACGGGAGTTGGGATGGGGTGTTTAGACTGGCTCAATGCATGCCAAAATTCAGGATCCGAGTTTGGACCTCAGGTATTTCTTTGCTCTATGAGTGGATTATTGGGTTAGAAAAATATAATCATCCTCAAACACTTAGCCTTGGTCGTCAAATGATGAAATCATTTCTGCAGCTGTGAGCTTGAGATACTGGAAAGACACCATGACGAATGTGTATATTGGAATGAAGACCAACAGCATACTCGCTTAGGTGTTCCTCCACAGTCAATGTACGACTCCGTGTACGTACAACCCTTCTCGATCTCTAGAAGCTTTTCGTACTTTTCGTCCTACCCAAACCAGTCCAACATCGGGCCATTCAGCCTTGCAGTCCTGTTCTATAGTCCCTCTGGAGCCGCACGCACGCAACCCATCCCACCGGTCTGGTCACATTACCTCCATTTGTAGCTCAATGTTTCTCGCTTGCCATACGCAGAACGATATGTCCACCTCCGTCACACCCAAGATCTCAACATCAAGCCTACCAAATAACGATCCTGCAAGCAGCCATATTCATCGAAAAAATTGTGTGCCGAGGGCGGATGGCTTGGGAAAGGGCTTCTGCAGCGGCGTTCCCTTTCGGTCTTGGCGTTCGACAACACATACGTTGCTGTCACACAAGAGACGTAGGGTGCTTCCCGAACAAGCTTTTTCCAGCATTTCCCTCGGATTCCATTTTGCTCCTGTGAGTGGACAGAGCGAGAGTACATGACTCTTTCCAGAACAATGTACCACCTCAGGCTCTTCTACACTTGAGCCTCCCGTCTTCCGTCGCACCATCTTCTCCTTCCAGTGTACACATTGGTCATACAGAGATCTGTAGCTTCGAATATCCTGTGACCAAGACAATTGTGTTGACACGAGTAGACGGGATACCAGATCCTGCGCCTTCCCGTCACCAAGAAGCTACGGAAATGTCTCCGTCAAATTATCCGACACATCGTTTTTGCGGACTCGACTGCCGGATGAGAGTGCCGACGAATGGAAAACATGATTCTGCACCACTTGTCGATAAATGACGGTTTGGGTATAACAGAATAAGTCATTTCCATAATGTGGAGGGAAGTTGCTGCTGCTTTTGGGGGCCAGAGTCTGGTAACGGTAGTGATGGTGTTACCATATGTATTTTCATCACTGCCGCGCTATGACAAAACTTTCTGCTGGATGAGCATATAGAATTAAAACATCCTTATCACCAATGACAAATAAACAAATTATTATCAGTCTTTGAAGAAATGAGCTGGTGCTTTGCGACACTGACTTGTCACCCTCTCCTTTATTGTTAGGGATATTAACTCTTATTACAGCAGATCGCATAGTATATGTATTCAAGGAAAACCGAGTCAGCATAGTTTTTGGAGCACAAATTATTGTTGATTTACCGTAAACAGGTGGCCTGTCATACCTGATGAACTGATGGTCATTATAGAAGCATGGCTTATCTCCGATTCCCCATCCGTACCACCCACCCATGTTCCAGCACCACAAAGGAAACCTGCTCATCAATCTCGTCCGAACCATAATAGTTCGTTTCACACATGGGACGACAGATTAATCTCCGATGTGGGGGAACGATTTCTCGCTTACGCACTCATCTGTTTGTTGCACTCCTGAAACGTACCCACATTTGGGGAGAATTGAAACGTCTGGAATTTGAGTCGTGTGTTTGTTTCGTATTTGGAATTGTTTGGATTGATTTGTGATGGACTTGGGTTGGGGGTTGGAGAGTGGTGAGTGCAAGGACCACTGAAGGAGTCCAGAGAGCAATAATTAATACTAGGTTAAGTTTCCCTTGGGACCTGAGTCCATTGTATCGTTCTGAATGTTCAACTCTTGTCTGTAGGCGGGAATTCTTGTAGAGAGGGCGGAATTTCCGGAATCTAGAGTAATTTTGATTCCAAGTTTAACACTATTGCGGAACATAGTCGAAGGCTGACGCTTTTTATCAAATTTATTGTTTCCGACTCCTTGCTTTGTGATGTTTGGTCAAAAGTCCTTGGGTGATGCTAGGTCCATATGTTATTTTACTGATCTCTTGGAACGGGACTTTGTGGGTCTGTCCTGTAGTTTCAGGGGTGCTTGTGTTGTCTGTAGGGTTTGGGGGGGGGGGGGGGGGGGGGGGTTGTGAACTCTGTACTGTACACTTCTTCAAACCAAAAATGGAACTGGTGAGCTTAGGTTTTCATATCTGATGTAAGGGTGTTTTCCTGTACAAGGAACATAACTACTTTTTCTTGATAGCTACGAACCCTGTCTAAAGTAGTAGCCACCGCAACATCTACGCTGGGAGAGTAAAGTGAAAGATCCAACAGAGTTTCATTCATACAGAGGGAGATACAGAACTTGCCACATAATGCAAATTAGTAGAAGACAATTCTTCACAAGCTTCGGTAGCGAGATAATACTTTCTTCCGATTCCGAACAATTCCTTAAAGGCGTGATAGACGAACTCAAAACGATACCGACTTTGTTCTTTTGCAGTCTTTATTTAATTGATATGAAGAATATTATGCCACGAATTCAGTGAGACTTGTTGTATCTAGATTCTAGGTAAATCCACTTAACATTAAGATATCTCCGCAAGTAGTGTTACGCTGAAACAGAATGTGATGTTACTCTGCTAAGCTCTGGAACTTTGATGTTCGTGTAAAAAGAGCTCGACAGTCTCGTTAAACGGTAGTGAAGGAAGATTTGGCAGCAAGCCCCCTCAAGCGTTGTGAAGATACTCATTTAAGTATGTATCACTGCTCAATCGTCGCCAACTGTCGGTCTCGCACAGAGTTCTCAAATTGTAATTTGATTGCGCAGTTGCCCTGCAAGTCATGACTTGGTGCACTTCTCGCTGGCGTACCCCGTCATACAGCTTGCCAGTATGCTTGATATAGTTTAGCTTTAGTTACTCTCAAACCTTTCTTTCAAGTTTAGATTTCAGTTCTTTCAGTTCAGAGCGCAGCAAAATAACTTCTCACATACTACCTGGGCAGTTTACCTCGCTTAACCATTAGGCATCATCAGCCAGCCTCACCTCACCCCCCACCTCGTGCGGGGTCACGAGCTCCTCGAATCTTCCGTGCAAAGAAACTGACAAATTCTACCCGTCCACTTTGTGCTCTGATCGGTGCCACCAAGATTCATTTATTGATATCAACCGATCATGGAGCCCCACTCACCTATCGCCAATGAAATGGACACGGGTGTATTCCAGTACCAGCCCCTACCAGTTGGAGAGCGGCCCTTACGGCTGCTCGACATATTACCTTCAGGCAGCGATAATACAATCCATTGCGCACTGAAAGATGACGACTTATCAACGGGCTCGAAAGTTCCCTTTTACGCAGTCTCCTACACCTGGGGCGACCCTCTGCCTGTCCAAACAATTAAAGTGAACGGCAAAGACATGGAAATACGGCAAAACCTTTATGATTTCCTGCTTGAAACGAGGCGCCGCCGTTCTAAACACCGTCAGAGATTGTGGATCGATGCAATTTGTATCAATCAAGACGACGTGGCTGAAAGAAACCAGCAAGTCCAGCAGATGGCGCATATTTATCAAGGAGCTGAGACTGTGTATACTTGGCTTGGTTTGTCGGATGAGAATAGCGATAGAGTTTTTTCCACAGTTCAGGCTTGGAATAGACAACGAGACAGTGGCTTGGGGACCAAAAATCTCAAAGAGAAAACTCGTTGTATCGGTGATGCTTTGATAAATTTCTTCTCGAGAAGCTACTGGAGTCGACTCTGGATTCTCCAAGAAATCTACCTTGCTAAGAAGGTGGAATTATGTTGTGGGAAAAGAGAAATGCCACTAAGGAACCTCCAAAGATTTTACCAGTCCGAAATAAACCAAGGCAGAAGGCTAGTTCATGGTTATCTGGCTGATCCTCCGGGTTTTCAGGTTTTCTATCAGTCGATTTTTTACCGAAAAGACACCAAGGAGCTGGAGATGATATTCGACTGGACTCAAGAGCATATGCAAAACATAGAGTGCAATCTACACACTATGCTTTTCAAGAATCTTCAGTGTGGCGACGTGCGTGACAAGGTCTATGGATTTCTTGGTCTGGTCGCAGATGCAAGAGATTTTAGAGTCGACTACTCTGTCTCTTACGCCGAACTATTTTTCAACGTTGTTCGGCATTTCGAAAGATTTGACACGATATCAAAAGCGCTGGTATTGATGAAAGAGCTTGGTCTGACGTGTGAAGATATTTCGAGTTATCTTGCGTCTTGTGAGCGAGAAGGGAAAATGGTGGATGACATCTGGACAAGGGCTCATATAGAAACCGTCGAAGATTTACAGAATATATCTGCGAGCTATGAGGAAGAGACATGGGAGTACAGTGGCCTCCAATCAACAATTCCTCATGAAACCGTTGACGGCCAAGTGACTTGTGGAGCATATCCTCACCGACTCGGTCGAAAAGATCTCGCCTGTGATTTTACTTTCGCCGACAGCCTATCCTTCCTACTCATTTTACGCCGCGAGGAAGTCAATTACAAGTATTTAGCAGTCTCGCAATGGAAAGGCGACGACGCCTTTCTTATGAACCTAGAAAGATATTCTAAAACCGGGGCTCGGTGGCCTGAGTTCTTTTACCCAATCTGTGATGAGCCTACATTTTGCGGTCTTGACTTTCCAGAATTCCGTCGCCCAGACCGTGGTATAAATCATTTCTCAATTCCATTGAGACCAAACATGTTTATGTATTTATTACAAGCAGCAGATGGTGCTGATAATTTACGTCCTAGGGGAGGTTCTGAAATGGAGAAGAATTTAGACACAGAGAGAAGGATGTTCTCTCGACTTGTTTCCTAGAAAAGTTCCGAATAGAAAGACGAAATGTAGTTATCAACAAAGCTGCTAGTACTGGTAGATGTGTCGTTATAGTAAAGCTTTTTTTTTTTGAGAAGAAACAATATAAGAGTACTATAATTCAGGATTTCAAGGAAATATTAACTAAGGATATTCTTATCTTCACATAATATAAATTTTCTTTATTTTTTCAACAATCTCTAGGTCTCGAATAACCACCCCACTTGCAAGACGTGTCTAGAAGCAACAGCTTCGAACCCTAGTGTCAACTTTGCTTTTGGAGGTTTTGACAAAGTAAACTCGTCGATATTTGGACAAAAAAAATCAAAGACAAGAACCCCGAAAATAAAGCACTCCAAAAATCAGACTCTCTGTCCTGCGAGCAAAATGATTGTTTACGCCTGAACCTCCCACCTGAGATATAGAGGATGGTTATCAAGCTCGTCCGCAATATGACAAGGCGAGAAAGCAGATAAGTAGTGGAATTGTGACAAATACAATTGAAAACTCTTGTCGCTTTTTGTTTTATGTGGCAGCGGACTTTTGTTTGTTGTTGAGGAAATGTCGCCGAAAAGTATGTCACCACCGAATCCGACATTCTCATACAGAAAGTAAATAAATCCATGAATCTACGTCTGTCTACTTCGAGAACAGAATTTGATCACTAAAGTCAAAGAAACTATACCACTCATAAAGTCTAAATCACAATCACAATAAAGAGCTTAACAAAGCTGTTCTCCATCGCTTTGACATCGTGATGGTGTTCCGAATTTGGTAAGGTATACTAAGTTACCTGCCTTTTTTATTTTTTAAGGTACCTACCTAGGAGTTATTTTCTTTTTTAGGTATAACGTGACTCGGAAAGGTACCTAGAACTCCTCGGCCCGTACTTTTGTATACGGGTAACCTTAGTACCTACCTAAAATTCTTTTTAGGTACCTTACCGGAGTAGATTATAAAAGCTAAGGTACCTAGTATAGCTCTAGGTATATACCTTAGTTACTAAATTCGGAACACTGGATCTTAGTGATTATACTAGTCTCTCAAGAAACACAATTTATACACCTGAAAACCAGAAAACTTTCCACAAGCCAGCTGGAATCTTCTACTAATTCTAACAAAGCCACTACATGAACCGTAAACTTGTTAGGATAAATCGGTCCTTGTAAATACTTTTCACACTCCCATCAATAAGACCCGTCAAGGGATAGTAGATACAGAATAACGGGATACAAGAAAGGGTTCATAAATTTGGGAGAAGACACTAACCCGTATTTATTGCAAATTACTGCGAATCTGAGAAATTTCAAGGATAGAGTAGTGAAGGAAGTCATGAGCGTCAAAAACTGATGAAAGTTGTGTTTATAAAGCGCCTCATGATCATAGGTGTTGAAGATAAGTACATTGCCTTCAAGGCTCGCCGACTATTATATTCTCTGGAAGGGTTTACACACTGAAAAGCACATTAGTGAGTAAAAGTAGTAAATGCACTCATTCCCGCTACTACTGCCCTTCGATACTTCTACTCTGTTCCACATTCGAAACATGAAAACTTTAGCGGGTGATGAAAAGTTGTCACCGAAAACCAAGTCACCACCGATTTCAAATTTTCACTTGGGAAATGAAAAACGTTGACAGAAATGGATCTATCTGCTTGGAAGATAACGTCAAGTCCTTGAAAAACAAAGCAAACACATAATCAATCACAGCCCCAACCTAGTTTCGCTCCCTGGAACCGCAACCAGTGCGCAGGATTGCAAGTAGATTGTGAGGATAATACGGAATTTTCTCTAAAGAAGTATAATTTATGCTCTTGAATACTAGAAACGATCAACGAGCCCCTATAGTGTATCTGAAGAAGGGCATGCATGTTCGAAGACCTAGCTTTAAAATAACATCACAGTCCTCTTAACGAGAACCAATGTCGTTTAACTATATTTAGTACTTCCCTACTCCCATGCTCTTTCATTCTACCTCAAACCCCCCATACCCAATTCAGCTGTCAGATAAACCACACCTGCAAAGCTCGACATAAAACCACTTCTCTCAATTCACAAGAATAAGTTAACAAACTCATCATATCTAAACGACCGGTTGGATTTAGAGTAGCGTGGTTTTTGTTTGACTCCTCACCTTTGATTTAGCTAAAAAAGCATACCTCGAACTACAGTTCATTTTTTGAGTCACAGGTCTTTGCCTTGTGAACTGACTTTTCAAATGGATTTAGTTGGAAGTTGTCACTGAAAACAAGCCCACCACCAAACCCCCACATTTTGTTCACAAAGCCAGCCATCTACACCCATCTCCACCACCCCCTCGCGAAAAACCCTCTTCTTCAACATCAAAATCCCTTTACTTACACAAAACACCCACACCCAAATCCCCAAGCAGCCAGTATACAATTTTGGCAGAATATTGTCTAATAGTTACAGAAATCACTTCCTTCATTCATATATCTTTTATACATTTAAATACAAGAAAATATTTGATAAAAATTGAGCGATACTGGGGGAGGCTTTTAACTGATATCGCCGAGCCTCGTATTTTAATGTTAAAGATTTTTTAGTTGTTTGACCAGTCACAAAAACCCCAATCCTGTAATCCCACCCATAAAACCCCAGCTTCCCCCAAGACTTACACCCATACCGCCAGCTAAAATGCAGCAAGGGGAAACATGTGTCATCTCGTTTTCCTGCAAATCCTCCTAAGCATCCACACTTCCACCCCACTCCGACTATTCAACACCACCTATTTTAATCCCTCTCCTCCGCTTCAATCCACGAGTTCCACCCGCAAAACCGAGGACGTTGTCACCACCGAAATTTAAATCACTACCGAATTCCTCGCTATCACCTCAACACATCTCCATCACTTTCGACCCTCAATAAAACCATACAACAACACCAAACTCGCAAGAACCACTCGGCTCTCGAAGCAGTACACCATCCTCGCAATTCCTGAATCAGACATTAGCACCACAACGACACATTCAGTTGCCCACCGCAGTTATCCAGTGCTCTGCTGAGAAAAGTTACAACCAGCACCCGTCTTTTATATCCACTCTTCTCGGGGATTCCAGTGTTAATTCGCATTCCAAAGGTATTGTATAGTCTATCCTTCTTTCAACCTAATTTCTCCAATTAACACTGCTCATATTTGAAGGGTCGCTATAGATACCACCCACTTATCACCTAACATCTCTTCAATAAGAGAAGCAATTTTCCGAAAGATCGGTCTGAAGAAAAGTAGAGGGCGATATATCACTCGTATTCTAAGAAATACAGTATGCAACGAATTTCAAAGGTTTTGACTCTTCTCGCTCGGAGGGGACGATATCAGGTCCGAGATAGACCGGTATCTTATCTCGTTCCGGATTGCAGGTAATACCCGGAAGACAAGAAATTGTGCTTCCTTGGAAGATGTATCTTGAGTGGATGAACATCGCTCCAGTCCAAACTAACGCCTTCCCTCCAACCCATCCCAGACTCCATATAAAGGCAACCCACATATAACGACAACCCAATTCCAATCACCTCTCAAATTTCCCTCCTATATCACTTCCATCACTCCCCCTCCCCCTCAACCAACCTAACCCCCATCCCCTTTCCTCCCTCCCTATCTCTCTCCCTCCCCTCCCCCCTCCGCCTCTCCACCTCCCCCACCAACCTCTTAAAATAAACCTCCGCCTCCACCGTCGCACTATACGCCACGGGCGTCCAACTCCACACATTCTTCCTCCCCGCATCCGCACCCGCCGCCAACAACGTCCTCAGAACCAGCAAATGCCCATTACTACTCGCAAAATGCAGCGCCGTATTCCCATCCACGTCCGCATTCCCCAGTAAGCCCTCTTCCGGGGCGAACGTCAAGAGAAGTTGTAGGCAAGTATCATGTCCCGCCCTCGCAGCTTCCATCAGCGCGTCACGGCACCGGACGTCGCGTTTTGGTATGCTCTCCGGATGTGCCGTGCACAGCAGATGCACGATCTCGGTGTGACCCGCGGCAGCGGCGAGCATGAGCGGTGTTTGGTGGTCTTCGTTTAGGGAGATGCCTGATTTCTCGTGGCCGAGGGATAAGAGGACGGCGACGATGGGGAGAAATCCGAGGTGGGCGGAGAGGTGGAGGGAGGTGTTGGAGAGGCCGTGGGGGGTGGAGTCTGGGTTTTGGAGGAGGAGGGGGTGGGATTTCAGGATGCGGGTTACGAGGAGGGGGTCGTTGGCGTGGATTGCGCGGCGGAGACGGAGGGAGGGGTCGATCCTGGGGGTGTTAGGAGGGGAAGTTGAAGCTATTCCCAGGTTTGGGAGGGGACTTACATGATGGTGGCATTTCACCTCTACCTCTGACTACTTGCTTGAGAAATCAAGTGAAGTAAAGAACTGCTTCCCTACGACAAGATCTAACTCAGCAAGTCTCAAAATCAAGATCGCTGTGTCAACAATCATAAATCGTGGTGTTTCTTCCCTCTCACGTTGAAAACATTGCAGTCAATCAAGGGTCCAGTCCAGTGTCGTCACCCCCAACTGCTCGCTAAATTTAGCTCCCACGGGAAGGTCCCGGAAACCACAGCAACGCCCAGACCTCTCCACACGCCTCCCACGTCTCAAGCGCGTTACACGAACCCCCCCCCCCCCCCCCCGAAAAACAAACAAACGGGAGACATGTTGCCGTCAAATATAGTCTTCGCGTCTATCCACGTGTAAGATGAAATGAGTAATCGGCTGAAGAAATTCCAAATCTTGGCAGTTGTATGATCGGCTGTCTGACAAGGGTAATGGTGGTTTGAGGTGTGTTAGAGATGTCAAGCTGTCATTAATGACAGAAGGAAGTTCAGACGATGGAAATGAATTAGACAAGATACTCATTTCTTTAATCTTCAGCAAAAGGGTTCTAACAAGCTACCCATCTATGACATTAACATTCTTACTTATCTCGGAATTTATAGACAGACAGAAAAAACCGTGACACATAAAAAGATCCCAACACGCGCGACAGAAAAATGTTTTCCAATCCCATTTTTTGTAGTAAAAAATGCTTCCCTGGGCATGAGATTGGAATGAAACCCCTTGACCACCTGCACATCCTCTCGAAATGATTAAAACTCCTATCCTCTCGTATATCCTTTCTAAATCTGATGTCCCTGAAAACCTTTGATCATATGCAATTTCGAATCATCTATGAAATGAAGTTTCGGCGGGAACGGTTTCGGTTACGTTGTGCTTGTCCACCGTTCTGTCCGCCATTCTGTCCACCGTTCTGTCCAGCGTTGGCTCCAGCATTTGCACCGGCATTGGCACCGGCGTTGGCGTTACCTCCAGCGTTGGCATTTCCTCCAGCAGCTGCGTTACCACCTGCATTGGCATTACCTCCGGCGTTGGCATTTCCACCTGCATTGGCATTACCTCCGGCGTTTGCATTTCCACCGGCATTGGCATTTCCACCGGCGTTGGCGTTACCGCCAGCATTTGCGTTTCCACCAGCGTTACCACCAGCGTTGGCATTCCCACCAGCGGCGGCACCAACGGTGAACTTGGTGCAATCATCAGGAGTACCACGTTGAGCAACGGGCATAAGGACAGGCTGATGGTTGGATGCCGAAGTCATGGTGCATACACGGTAGTTACCGGCAGGGAGACCTCCAGTAACGGTGGCACTGAGAAGACCATTTCCATTTCCAGCATCGTTGATACCCTTGAAGAAAGCGAATTGAGTGGCGTCCAGAGGTTGAGTGGGGTTCATGTTGTTTCCGAGATCTTGAACTGTGACGTGAGTGTGTCCAACGATCTTTCCACCCTCCAAGAATTGAGGACCGGCGTAGTATGTGGAATCGGCGTTGGTGAATGAACCAGCGACCAAGTTTGCGACCTGAACAGTGATGTCAAAGGTAGTGTCAGCAGCTTGTGCTTGACCACCTGTCTGTGGGTTAAGGATGATGGCGGAGATCATGTTGGCCTTGGCTGGAATATCTCCCATAGCTGTGTATTTGTTAGCACCAGGTTGCGAGAGATAGTGAAGCTTTACTTACGAATACCGTTACATGATCCAGCTTGAACTTGGAGACCGTTTGTCAATGTCTTGCCAACACAGTTGTTGATGAAGTTGTTTTGCGATGTTTTTGAAGCCGACTGTCCATCTGCCAAAGCGCCGTTCACACTTCCGTCCACGAATGAACCACTCTGGATTGCTTGTGGTGATAGGGTGGTTCCAGTTGCATCATTTCCTCCCGCAGCTGCAGCTCCATTCCCTGCATTGGCGTTTCCTCCATTTTGCCCATTGTTTTGACCACCGTTCTGTCCATTATTCTGGCCGTTATTTTGTGCCGACACCACCGCTCCGAACGCCGCAGCGAGAACTAATTGTTTGAAAAGCATCTTGAAGGAGGGGAAGAAGACGAAGGGCAAATATAAGGCGAGTATCAAAAGAATGAAGTTGATCCGTCGAGGTGTGAGGTGGTAAATTAAGATGCACGGTCAACGTGATCTCTTGACTGGCAAGATTAGAATGGAAAGGGAATTTGAAAGAGAGAAGCCCGCCAGAAAAGTACTAAAATGATGAAGATGGAGGTGGAGAGAAGAGTTTAGGGGACGGGCGAACTGAGTACTTAACCTTTGCTCTTGGCATCCGGGAGTCTGATCCTCTGGGTTGGCAGTGGAACCACGGAACTTTGAGCAGACAGGGAGTGGTACCGGCATGTTCATATTGGAAGTGGTGATCCCGAAGGCGCATTGGGCCCTTGAAACTGGACATGAGGTCTGAGATGTCGCAGTGAGCAGAAGCGAGTCTTCTCAAAAGGGGATGGGAGGGCTTCAGAAGGGACCGGCCTGCCACCACTCGACCCCGGTGAAAGTTGTCATCCCATGTGTAGGACGGCGCCGTCGCAGGCTTGAGATGGCAACTTGACGGGTTGAGGCTGGTGGATACGCCGCCCGAATTGGTGTTCGAGCAGTACAAAGCTCGCTACGTCAGGGGGTTGAGGTTGTGGTTGAGGCGCTTAAGCGGAAACGCGTGGTGTCTGAAGAAATGCTTGCTCGCGCCTTGGTAAAACAGATGTTGGCCATTGAGAAGTTCGCGCCGCCGATGCGCCACACGACAGGCGCAAACGAAATGTGAACGGGTGGTAGAAATTTAGAATGCGAATCAACATGCGGGTGCATCAATAAGCTGTGTTGGTAAAAGTGGTGTGGTTGTTGGTCTCGGATGGAGAGAGTTGGTGTTGATGCGGATGAGAAGTGAAGGATGAGATCCGAAGCCGAGAAGAGAGAGCCGCTCGGTAGGCTCACGTGATGTTGAACAACTGAGATAAAATTTAAGAGAGGCATGCAATCATGTGACTTAGACTGCCTTCGGGCCTGAGAATCAATTCCTCGATCCTCGCTCCCCTCGCACAACATGTTTCCTCACATCCCAATTGTTTTCAGTTACCATGTTTGATCCGTCTCTTTCGTGTCGCTCCTCTACACTTGATCGCCTTCGAGAAAGCATCCTCGCGACGACTACATATGCGCCGAGTTGACTCACCAGTTTCCATCGGTTTGACTCGTATCTGGAAAATGCAACACCGCGCACCACCACGCTTGAAGCTCACCCACCACCTTCCCTCCCGACACCCTTCTTCCCGAACTCAACCCTTCCGATACCCTCATGATACTTCGGCTCGCGCTGCACCCTCAATGCCCAGAGAGGCGCGAAAAGCGTGACTATTTCGCGATGACTTTGGTACGGAGGTACATCGACCCTCTTCGCCATGGCATTGACCTCCTCGTGGGCCTTACTGTTGCTTATCGGACCTCTGCTCTTCCAGATGAGCATCAAACATTACGACATGGGTCTCTGCAATGGGGCTGACGACACTGTGATGTCTTTGGCCGTCTGTTTGTGAGCCGCACGAGCTACGGAGGTACAACGAGCTAATTTCAAATACATCACCAGAAAAACAGCCCAACCAGATACTTGCGCCGCTCAATTACCTTTTATCCGTACTCGTATCTGCTCGGCATGCGAAGAGTCCAGATCTAGCCATCATCGAACAGCTGATGGAAATTATTTCTATTCTCAACATCTCAAGCATCTTCCATTGCGTGGGATACATCGAAATGGTTGTCTGGTTTGGTCAGCCTTGGCCCCGAGTCACATACAACAGCAATCTCACTCAAATCTTGCGATGCCAGCAGTACTAAAATTCTGCAGAGATCCTCGCGCGAACAGTCAACCGCACCTTGACAGATGTCGTCCCATTTCTTGCTGTCCGTTTCATGCGATGTTACAGAATCCCCACCCGACTTGCGCACGGCTCTGTCTTTGATCGGAACGGGAGCATTTGAGATGGATCCACTCTTGAAGCATAATCCGCCCAAAAAGCTTGTCTTGTATGATTCCCAATCACACGGTTGACATCCTAGAACGATCCGTTCTTCGAAGAACAAAACTGCCGCTCTTTACATCACAGTGGAGAGAAAATCACAGAGCGAAACCATCAACGTTTGAACCTTGGCAATGTTTGTCTCCAAATCCATCTGATCTTCCCATCTACCCTTACCTTACAAGGTTATGATCACCCCTTTTCAGTTCGTCTCAGCTTTCCACCTTGTCCAGTCACCTAAAATCGGACCACTTTCACGATTTCTGTGCTTTGCTGTTTGTGCCCAACCCATGAGGACGGCCGAGACATCGATTCCCAACATCGTGGAGAGCATTCAACGAGAGTCTAAATTAATCTCGTCTGTTCTCATTCTGCACAGCTACATGCAGAGCATTGAGATATTCTACTTGTACTTCCAGTCATTGGCATTCGATTGTTTCCATGTTGGTTGCAACCATGAGAGACGAGTTGTTTGACTAGGCAGAAAGGAATGAGTTTCGCAGCTTACTGCGATCTTACCTTTGTATATTCTATCATTCTCAGCGATTATTCTACCACGACACAGTCACTTGTCATTTCGTAAGTCGCTTTAGCCAGATGCTTTAAGTGCACATATATTCTTGCAATTGATCTTGGTTTTTTAGGCCAGGAACCCTGAAATTTCGTACAGTCTCTCGTACTGTACACTACTCTCGGCACTCATGTCTCTATGCTAGATCAAGTTCTTATCCTGGGTCATCGTCCAGTCACTCATAACGATCATGCTACGTTGATCACGAAAAGTGTTTGGTGGCGTTCCTTAGCATCGCACCCTTTTAAAACCAGAAACAGAAGTTGTCCACGCAATGCCAATGTTGAGCACTGATTTATCAAGGCTTAAACGCATCTCATCTTGGCGATTGACGTACACTAGCTGGCTCTTTTTCTCGTGGGAATGAACATGTGCGGCAAATCACACAATCGGCTGTTTCTGATCACCATTACCGTATTGTATCATCCCTTTATACTTTCTCATATTACTAACTCTCCACGTCTTTCCTCGGCTGATCAAGCTAGGTTAAGTACCACCGAGATACATAGTTCGGTGCTTCCTCATACCTAGAGCTACTTCTGCGGCGTCTGCTCACGATTATCACCGACGTGCTCTCATGCATCGTCACAAAAATCACGTTGTAGCTTCAACAACTGCCAAGAGGTATGAGCCGGTGATACGGTGTTCCAGAAGGGAAACCTCCTGTCAAATCCGATTTATTTTAACAAATCTTGATTATTCACAGGATAGCGACATTTCAGTACAAGCATGCGGCTCGTTCGATTGTACTTGTAACTTCGCCGTTCTTCTGCTCTTCGTTGCACGTACTCCACGTTGTTTGGTCAAGACTGACGAGTTCAAGCTCGATTGCAGTTCCTGTTCGTTGCTTAATGCAATTCGCGCGTCGGTGCTCACTTTCTTCTCATCTCCAGCTCTGGACAATGACTGGACAATCATTCAAAGGCAGTTTGGGCGCAATGATACCATGTGCCGATGTGCTTTGGGACGTTGCTATGTGTTTTTTCCTTGCCTCAAAGCTATACCAAGCCAGTTCTACCACCTAAGAGGTCCCAACATCCAAGAAATACTCTCGTTACTGGCCGAAGCGGATCGACGACTATCATGTCGCTGACACACATGGAGAGAGAGTATCGTTTCCAAACAAAATCTCGCGTTTTCTATTGATTGTCTCATGAGAAGGTAATGTGCGATTCTTCTTGCCTGATGGTGTGTAAGCAAACCTGGAGACCAGCTCCTAACAGATATGGTTACGTATCTGTGTCTCTCAACCTCCTTGGAGTTCGCAAATCGTAGGCTTTTGCTTTTGATTGGCTGTGCTAACCGCACATGGGACACCCACCAACTTCCAATTCGCTACGTGTAGGTCAGTCTCTCGACCGCTAAGTTAAGCGCCATGGCTTCAACATTTAGGGCTGGAAATTTGTGCTACCCGCAGCCTCAGCTGAAATAACCTTACAAGGAGGTCACCCCTTGGCCAGCCGCTATGCTAGAGCCACCTTCTCACCTTTCACCTTTCGCTCCCCAGTGAATGTCTACTATATTACAGACCCAGGTTCAACTATATTGCCTGCATTTTATGGTAAGTGACCTGTAAGTTCGTACTGTACATGTCTCTAATATTAAATCTCAGCCGTCCCTCCTCCGATGTCTGCCTAGTTCCTCTGCCTCGCAACAACCAGACCCACCATCACGAATTTTCAAGGCCAATAATTGCACAAGTCTGAGCATAGTCTTGGCTATACATGAGCCAGAATGGTGGATCCTGCCAGTGAACCAGAGCCAGATCAATACATTTCCGAAATCAAAAGGCTGCTGGCGCCACATGTAAACTCACGTTGGTCACTTGAGTCGAACAGATCACACCTAACAAAGGTCGCATACACAGACACCTATGAAGAGTACCCGATTGCCAGTCCCAAACAGCTTATAGCACAGGCGGCAATTTTGACGGATGAGGAAACCCTCAGCATTTGCATCATTGAAAACATATCCAAGGAATACGTCGAAGTTCTTGGCACAGAGTGGGGAATCGACCCCATGTTCTTTGTAGAGTACGCTTCCAATCCGGCAAAGAACGCATTGTGGTGGTCAAATAAGTGGGATTGGAAACCACCAGAGGTGCCTGGGGAACCCGATAGTCCTAATTCGCAGGAGCTTTCTTGGTCCGCGAAGAATCCTTCGTTTTTTAGACTACCCTCAGGATACTTAGACGGTGTATTCGAATACCACAACGAGACGCCAAATCTAAGCCCTTCAACGTTATCAAAACTGAATTCCTCGCCGAATCTTATCTATCGCCATTGCTTCAAGGACAAGGACTGGCCCATACAATCGAATACTCGGATCTCTTATTGTCGTCCTAATCGATTTATGTGTGAGTGTCCTCTTTTTTAGCAAGCCGATGGTACCTGCTAAAATTCTATGATACAGATTTGTTTCTAGTTGACGCACCAATAAAGTTCCCCGTCGGGATACTGGATCAAGAGTCACGATCATTCCCCACTTTGAGACTCCTGCATTCTAACAGCAGGGGAGGAGTCGAGCTACCACATATATATGATAGCTCTCGCAGGGAGTACAGTCTCTTTGAGAACCTCAAAACATTTTGCCATCACCACTGGCATCTCCGAGTACTTTTCGACCAGAGAATCGATCACTTTGGCTGTGATTACGTGGTCTATCCCAACAAATTAGTCCTACCTGCCACCCCCCTCATTTATCTCTGGGCAAGCTGTCTGTGGGAAGAAAATTTAAAATTCCTCGACAAGGAAATCAAGCGCATCAGCTTCAGGGAGATACGCAATCCTCGATTGGAAATCAATGCCATCTTACATGACCGCCGCGAAGACCTTGCGCACATCATCCAGGGTCTGGCTGATACGAACATGTATATCCCTCGTGAAGTCCATGAGTTCTTTGCAACACATCCAAACTGGCTGGACTTCACGCGCACTAAGCCCGAAAATTGGGACCGTCTCATCGCACAAGCCAACAAACTCGACGCCTTTCTCATAGAAACGTTCCAGTTGTTCATGAGTTCCGTCAGTGTACAGGATAGTCACATGAGTATCGAGCAGTCTCGTCTCGGTATGGAACAAGCCCGCCGAGGAAGTCAGCTCACGTACCTGGCGTTCATCTATGTGCCGTTGTCATTTGTGACGGGGATTTTTGGGATGAATGTGCAGCAGATCAATGGTACTGGCTTGAATGTTTGGGTGTGCTTTGTGACGCTTGTACCGCTGGTTTGTTTGACTGGGTTGGTGTTTTGGGGGGTGTGGTTTTATGGGAGATGGAAGGGGAAGAGGGAGAAGACGGACGAGGAAAAGGTTTAGAAGGACGGAAGTAGGTCTTATATTTTGGAGACCCTGGGTAGGAGTGGAGGGATTTTGCTCTGTGGTAGGCTATTCTGTTCATTGATATCCGCCGCTCTATGGTGGAGGAGATATAGTCTTCGGAAAGCCGGCAAATCAATCTTCTGGACATCGCTAGATTGAGAAGCATCATCTAGTACTCATGAAATTAACTTGAATACAACTATCTTTCAGGCGAGCGTGGGTCTAGACTTCTTTTTGTCACCTCGACCACAGGATTTAATGAGGTGTTTCCGTCAGATGATGTACATTGAATTGCGAATCGCAGCGTTTTCATTGGAGCTCGACAATAAGACATCCATCCATAAATGGTCTGTCAGACCTGATTACAGCGCCTGCCGTTCGCTTTGTAGCAGCTGGCTCGGAGTATCTCGTGTCAGTGCGAGCTGGGAAAACGCTAGGGATGGGGATGTCAGCACTGGGAATTTCGTGAAAACACTCCAAACCCATACCGGCTAAGTATGAGACGTTTACCCTCACGCTTTCTTCTCTCAACGAGAGACGACATGACTGCGAGATCATGGGAGATCTCTTTGTCGAACCCACCATGCTCCGGCACACACAGTTTCTCAGATGCTACACGGTTGATTCATCTGCGTTATACAAGTACTTTGCGTCATCAGCTGGGACTGAAAAATCTGCCATCTGTGAGCGGTGCGGCGGAATTCATAATTACTGGGTCGAAAGGCAGAACTATCAGACTCTGGAGTCCGCACGGAACTTTTCTGAGGACATTGGCAGGTCATGATAGCTGGGTGCGTGCTCTCGTCTTTCGTCCCGAGGGCAAATATCTGCTTTCGTCTTCACACGAGAAGACGTTGCGGTGCTGGGACCTCGGTCAAGAAGGCAAGTGCGTGAAGATTATTGGCGACACACATGAGCAGTTCATCACTTGCCTAAAATGGGCGCCTGGAATTACTAGACATGCAGGCACTGTGGAGGAGAAAAATGAAAGTAACGGGACCAAAATGACTGTACCTGGTGTGCAAGTTCGCTGCGTTGTTGGGATTGGAAGCTGAGGATTTTCGCGGATTGAGGTCAAGAGTTGCAGGAAGATGTGAGGTAGCGCTTCTATTGTGATTACCATTATTCGATTTTTGCTATGCGAAAACCATATACTGTTTATCGTAGAGCTTTCGAAGGTGTTTGGAGGAATTTCTGTGTGGGAGATGGTGTCGTTTTGAGACGATAAGTAGGCGGTGCTACGGTGGTTTACTTACTCATTGTTGAACTGGCCGATATTGTAGTTAATTAATGGTCCATTTTGATGGGTAGCAAGTGAGAAAGGTATGTTATCTTTGTTATTGACATGATTGTGGCAAATAGTAGTGGTATAAGTGAACATCGTGAAGAGAAAGCTGAAATGATTGTTCTTCTTAGCTAATACTGTGATCACAGCCATATCAATAGTTGGGGAGTAAAAGCACGATGGTGTGAATTACAAAATTTGCTGTTTCAAGAATTTAATAAACTCAAGAACTCCTTGATTAATGTAACAATCTGCCTCAAAGCTTATGAGATCGCAATATTTTATAGTGAAGTCGGTGATGAAATATATTTCTTGACCATCCAGCGCGACAAGCGGTCACATCTTACCGTAACAAAGTAAAAGCCTCCTCACTGTATTTAGTTCAAATCAGGTCCATAACTCAGTTTGACTGCGAAAATAGATACTTGCTGCGTAACAAATGCCTCTACCATTGGGTGTATCGGACGGAACCGAGACTTTCGGGGTCTACGTTTCGCCATCTTATTCCTACTCAACATAGAGCGAGCAAATTGTGGATTGAGTGAAAAAGCTCGACAAAGAGTCATCTCGGTTACTGTGTACTCATGGTACTGAGTAAGTATCTGGTTCGACGTCCTTCTATGCACCCTTCACCGCTTATTTCTTCAACCTGGTATAATACTAGGATAGATGTAAGCCTACATGAATTGAGGATATATACTCTCTCAATATAGGTTCGGATATTAAAATGCACGCATACGGCGAGTTCTGTACGATCGAAGACTCACTTGGCCGGTCAGCGCACGTGATCTGTTGGGCCCTTCCCCTCTGATTGGGCCAAAATTCGCCGAGTGCGAAAAAGCGATATGCCCTATATATCGCTTCAGCCAAACCTTTTCCCTTTAAATATATCCTCACTTCTCCCACTTGTTCTTGTTCTTACTGTCGGTATACATACGCTTTGTCAATTGATTGCCTACGTTCTCGCTGTATATCTGCAATCACCTCCTTACATATACGGAATCCTACGAATTGATCGACCACTGCGACTCGCATCGCGCATTCAGAATCCCCCGATCTCGACATCGACGACCCCGCGAAGACCACGTTGTTCATTCAAATAATCGCCAACAAACCCTCTCCCGCCATCTATTGACACTTACAGTTCATTCAACATGTCGTCCCCAGAATCTCGACCAGTTAAGCGCTCTCGTAAGCAGTTTCCGGTCTTTGTTTTCATTCGAACTATTTCGTCCGCACCGAATCGTGCATTTGGCCAACGACCAGACTGCGCCGGGCATTGGCACACATCGATGCGCGACCACGTTTTCGAGGTCAAGTAATCACGATTGCGGGTTCGTGAGGTCGTGGTGGTTGATGCCGCGGGTATCGCGCAAGTGTTGGTCCCTTAAACCCAACACTTGGACTTTGCCGGCAGAACTTTTACAACTACATCATCACTTTCTCTTACAGCACAACTCTTCCACGCTACGCTCTACATGTACTAATATTTCAACCCACTCACGTTCGTCTCCGCTGATCTTCAACCATGTCAGGAACACAATCATTACCTCCTCCTTCTCTGCCACAGCTTGTTGCCGAGCAGCATGTGCCAATCCCGTCGACCGACAAAAACTCCAAGAGACTCATTGTGGTTCTCTCCAATGCGAGTCTCGAGACCTTCAAGGCTGTAAGCTCCGGAAAGCCAGGAAGCGGTCGCGACGAGAAATATACCCTCCTCAATTCCGACGAACATATTGGCGTCATGCGAAAGGCAAACCGTGATATTAGTGATGCAAGACCGGATATCACCCACCAGGTCAGTATATCCTGCGGCATGACATCTCAGCTGCTCATCCCTCTAGTGTCTCCTAACCCTACTCGATTCCCCAATCAACAAGGCCGGGAAATTGCAAATCTACATCCATTCCGCTAAGGGTGTTCTCATCGAAGTCAGCCCAACTGTCAGAATACCACGTACCTTTAAGCGATTCGCAGGTCTTATGGTGCAACTCCTACACCGTCTGTCGATTCGATCCGTCAATTCTCAGGAGAAATTACTGAAGGTTATCCAAAACCCAATTACCGATCATCTTCCTCCAAATTGCCGAAAGGTCACCCTTAGCTTCGAATCCGAGATTGTACGTGTTAGGGAATATGTGGAGGCTTTAGACGAAAAGGAGAGTATTTGCGTCTTCGTTGGAGCCATGGCAAAAGGATCCGATAATTTTGCGGATCAATACGTTGATGAGAAGATCTCGATCAGCAACTACAGTCTCTCGGCCAGTGTGGCATGCAGTAAATTCTGCCACGCAGCAGAGGATGTATGGGACATTGTCTGAGATATCTCGCTCATCCCAACCACAACCGACCACTCGCGACGTCGACAACGACGACTTCCCGAGGTATAAAAAGTGGAGGAATGGAGAATTGGTCGATTTCACAGGTGAAAGCGGGACCTCCAACAGATGCCAACGATAACAACATCGTCAGCTATGTTAGAGGTCGCCGGGCTTGGGTGTCTGTGTGCTCTGTCTTTGTTTTTACAACCAAAACATCAGGCGTTCAACATCAGATCCAAGACGCTTTAGTCGTCTTCTGTGGTATCACTCAACTGGTCCACATCTCCTTTTTCTTGTCTTTTTGTATAAATCTTATCAACTTAGTTGTTGATGAGATAAACCACATGCTACTTGGCATGGTTTGATTGATGTCGTTTTAGGGAATTGGGCTGCAATAGGAATTGCTACCCTGCGCCGTCAACCGATAGCGATCTCGTCTAGCGAGGTCATCTACGGGTACTGGTTGCCTTATGTATTCAGAGATTGGTCCCATTCCATTGCGGCCTTGAAATGCGAACCGTTGTTGAATTGCTGATCAAATATCAGGCCTCATCGCTCATTCAGTGCATACATATCCGGCTTGGCCGCCGACCATCGGCGGGAATCGAGGAAATCAAACAGAAAATTGTGTAATTGGTAGGATTTCTTCGCCTTGATTGTTCATTTATGGAACGAATATGTTTAAAAGCCGGCTCGTTTCCTATTTGATGTTGTGCGAGATCTCCAACCCAATCATCTCCTCCAGGGCGGTTATGCATATGCGGGTCACCTAATGTAACGTCCTCGGGAGATCTACTGGATTTTGGTGTTTAGCAACGTGGCGGGCGGATGATTGTGCGGTTTTATGGGGCTGTGTCTTGTGGATTGCGGGTAGAGGAGGTTGAGTCTGGATTCTCCTGTTCTGTGTGTTTTCCGAGTCAGTGACGGTCATTGAGTTTTGTTTGTTTTGTTTCCTGAACTATGTTGTGCACTTTTCTATTCCTGCTTTCTTTCGAGATTGGTCAGCTTGATAATTCAAGTTGTCTCTGACAGCCCTTTCACAGTGGAGTCTGAAGGATGCAGCGGTTCGTCTGTACATATTGTTCTGACAAGTCGATGTACCTATGTGGGTAGTCATCCCGTCAAGGCCTCTATCAGCCCAATCGGTTCTGAGGCGGATACCTCACTCATCCGGTCCCAAGGAGACAGATCTGAACCACAGCATTCCTTCCAGCGTTGCACTTGGGAAGCAAGTTTCCCCACACTCTAGAATCTGTCTCGCTGAAATGTCTCTCCACCATCTCCACGTCGAGTGACACAGGGCAGATCGTTAATGGTCCACTTACTCCCCTCGCCCGTCTGGCGGTCACCGGCAGTAAGTGGGGCATTGATCGAGATCTAGTTGATGTTTCTTTACATTGTGTCGTTGAAGTGTCTTGAGTCTGTATTAGCAAACATCTCATTCCTTGAATTCAAGTCGTATCCGTAAACGTGGCGGACGAGAACAAGTACTTGTAAGTCTTTCACTTCTCGCTGCAAGGCTCCTTGGACAAGATTGGTGTCACGCAAACGCAGGGGTGCAGTCCTCTCAATGGCTAATGAATGGCTGGAGATGCGTCCTGCAGGACAAATCTGTCGCCTCGTTTTGAGGAGCATGCGGACTGTACATAAGGAGTGTACTTACATCTTCCAGAAATCTACGCAACTATCCGCCCATACTACCCGCCATTATTATACCTACCCCTCTTCACCGCTTCTTCTTGACGATCCTTCTTACATACTTACATCCTTACATCTTGTAATTCAACACTTGTATCATATCACCATGCCCAACTCCCCACCCATCCTTGAAGTCTCCCACCTTCCCTCCGCAGCCTCTTTCTACGCATCCATTGCCCAACCCCTCGGAATCCACTACCTCTTCTCCACTCCGCCCTCTTCTCCTCTCGCCCTTTTACATTACGGCAATCCGAGCACAAAAGAGATCATCTTCTCACTCACTCCGTCCCCCGTCCCAAGGGCTGCGAAGATATACCTCCCAGCATCAACATCCAAAGCGGTCATCGATTTTCAGAAAATCAGCGAGCAAGCGAATCCAAGGGATAATACGCAGGGGATTAGACATACGCAGGGGGATGAGGGCGAGGAAGTGGTGTGTTGCGCGGAGGATTGGGACGGGAATATGATTGAGGTTACCTTTTCGGAGAGGAAAGAGGAGGGCAAGGGGAGTCGGGTTGCGGAGTGGCAGGAGGATGTTGCGAGGTCAACGGCCGGGTCTGGCGCTGGGCCAGGGAACCTGAAGAGGGCGGAGACGTTTCCGAGGGGTGGTGGTGGGTTGGGAGGTGGGTTGATGGAGGAGAAGAGGCCTGAGGCGAAGAGGAGTGTCAGTGGTGGTATTAGTAGAGGGACGGTGATAGGGACGCTGCTTGGTGCGGCGGCCGGAGCGGCGCTGGCGTATGCGATGGTTAGGAGCGAGAGTCCTCAACCTGTTCCGGAACCGCCGGCGTATGAGTATAGTAGAGGGGAACATGGGTATAGAAGGGATGGGTATGGGCAGGAAGAAGGTGTTGTCGAACATATCCCGGCGACTTCGAGGGTGGGTAGTGTAAGACAGATGGAAAGGGTGGATGTGAGGCCGAGGTATGTGGAGAGGTATACTACTATTCCCGAGCTGGGGAGGGGGGGCGATGGGCCTAGGGAGTTGGAGACTATTGCGGAGGGCTCTTATATCTCGACGAGATCGAGACGGAGCAAGAAAGCGGAAAGTCATTATGAGAGGCCACTCGCTATTCTTCCGGCGCTGGAGGCGAGGGAGGGAAGTCATGTTAGTCGGAGGGAGGAGGGGAGTCATGTTAGTAGACGGAGCGAGCGAGATGAGGGGAGTCACGTCTCTCATCGCTCTCATCGCAGCTCAGGCAGTCGTCGGAGTAGTGGTGGGAAGAAAGAAAGAAGTGAAGCGGGAGGTGGAGGGAAGGAAGAGAGTTTCCACACCGCAAGGAGTGATGTCACTGTTAAACCCGCCACAACTGTGTACGTCGCTGCGCCCGCGTCACACGTGAGCAGCAGATCAAGGAGAGAGAAGAGTGGCGAGACGGTCGTGAAGGTCGGCGGCAGCGCCGTCTCCGTCCGACCGAGTCGTGTCGCGCTGCCGGAGAGTGTGGTTGAGGGGAGTAGGTCTGGCAGGAGTAAGAGTGGGAAGAGTCGAGTCGACGACGGCGCATCCCGTGCTTCGAAATCTAGGTCTGGGAAGAGTAGGAGTGGCAGGAGTAGACATGGTCATGATGAGTATGACGAGTATGCCACCTTCGGGGCGGAACGCGTTGAGTTGCCGGATTCGGTCGTGGGAGGCGGGAATTACGAGGCCAGTGTTGCGCCGAGTGATAGTGTTAGTTGTGTGGGGAGTAAGATGGAGAGGTTGAGGTTGGTGGAGAGGATGAGGAAGAGGTATGTTGTATTTCTTATTTCCCATCATTTTGGTTTCCTATTCGGCATGGCGAGGGGGTGGGAATGATTGGGGTAATGGGATGTGGTTAAAGGGTGATGGGAGGGGCGGTAGAGAGAAGAGCGAAAGATGTGGGTGTGAGAATGAGGCTAACGTGTGTGTGAAATAGTGCGAATTATGTGGGTAGATAACTCGAGATGAACGGGATATAGAATATCGACAGTGCCATCCCCCCTGGGTTTGGGGGGTTGGGATGGGAATACAGGACTTTTACGCTCTTTTTGGGATATTAAGGGATTTATGTTTTGATTTTTGGAGGGGTGTGAGGGGGGTGAGATGTGAGGGAGCTTTGTGTTAAGATTTTGATTTTTGTACTGATTTTGTGCGGGATGCGGCATCAGATTGGCGGTTCTTACGGGGAGCTAAGGGGTGTTGAGAATTGATGGGTAAATTTGGATTAGGGGTTGTGGCTTTATTAATGAAGATTTTTTACAAGCGGATTGCGTGATAAATTTGAAATCGCATCATCTTTGATGTCGTGTTGAGTGAGAATTTTGGGATTTGGGTTTTATAGTATGGATTGGGGTGTGAGGTTGTATTGGAAGAATGGATGTTGAGAAGTCGGATATTGGGGTTGCGGTGATAGGAAGTCGTGGAGGGTGAGGGGGGGGGGGGAGAGGAAGGTGATATGTCTATCTCCTTGGCTTATAGATGGGAACTCTTGTCCTAACAGAGCTATCTATGCTTTTCTTTCTTTTAGTAGGGTGGTGTTTCTCCTTTCTTAGTTTTGTTATCGTATATTAAATCTAAGGGCTAATGGCGATATGACTGGGTTTTCTTCTTGCGAGGTGCAGGTAAGATGTATGTCTTGGGTCTTTCCCCCCGGAGTGGGTGGGTGTGTTCTGTGTGTATGCTGGGATACAAGGGAGTGTTTGTCTTATAATTTATCTGGTTCGGTAGTGTATCTCGATGTGAAAGCTGGGAAGTGGGAATGAAACAATGGTTGTGTAAGTTGAAGGTTATACGAGTGGACAACTATGGGGATTCTGCTTCTTAGAAGAGAAGAAAGGCTTCGATGGTGGAAAATAGGGGTTTATTCGTTAGCGTATGTTGTTTTAGTACGGATTTCCGGAGGTAGAACGTGTTCGAGAAAGGGATTTTAGATGAGGAGTTGGTTTAGAAATTAAGCTACCAAAGAGACAACATTCGAACCATGTCTTTTAAAAGTGTAATAATATGGGGAGTCAATATTTTAGTGCGAAGGAAAAATGGGTTGTTAAAAGAAGTGTTGCCCAAAAAAGATAATAGAATAATTAAAATATTTTAAACGACTATAATTCAAAAATATCTTCGGTGTTCGATTTCACATCTACAACATTGGAGGTAACTTCGTGATAAATTTTGAATCTTTCATCATTCTTACTGAAAGATACAAAAAAGGCATTGTTTTTTATGGAGATGTATGGTTTTTGCATAGTCGTTGTTATATTTGATTGAGGAACTCTCTTAGTACCTTTTGCTTCGGTTGAATTATCCCAGGTTTCTGGGACTAGTGATATTTCCATCAAAATGTAGAAGTGTGAAAAAGGGAGTGGTGATTCGGTGGTGAAATAGATTTCAGTGGCAACTCTCTTTTCTGTTATGATTTAGGTCTTTGGTTCTCTAAACGTGAGTCGGAGTATTCAAGAGTCGTTAAATCGTCTCGACGTTTAGAGAGTATATTATTGATGCAAAAATAGTATATACGAACTACAAGATCTTCTCTTGAGTCTCGAACGACAGTCAGAATTGCTTGGCAATACTTTCTCCCGGCTAGGACATTTTTGTAGCGATGACTACGGTCGATCCTTCAATAACTTACTAAGCGTTCTTTCGAGCCTTGAACAGTTGTATTTGAAAACAATTTGCCTGCCAGACACGATTGAGGGAAGAGAATTTGTCTTCCGTTAAGCGTCTAATGAAGCATTTTTCATTTGTTTTTCGGATTTTTTCAGGGAAAAAACCAGAAGCCTTGTAGGACTGCTTAAATAATTATCTTTCCAATAATTCCGCAAATTCTGACTAACGAATTAGTTCTAACGCTCTTTTTATAAGAGTTGAGCCTTTCTTTTATATTTACTCCCTTACTAAAAAATGCTTGCACGTCTGATTCAGGGTTTTCTACTTCACACAGTGACTGTCAATTTTGATCTAATTACGCTTACGGAATATATTGATTAGCGTATGAACTTAGTGTGTAGGCAAGCATAAGATGTTAGTGTACAAATTCAGACTTATGATTAGAAGGTAGACTTGTTTCGGTGGTACATTAGAATTCGGTGACAATATACTTCTCTGTCGTAGGGTAAGAACTTAGTTTCATCAGAATGAGTTAAGCGTATCTTGGGTGATTAAGAAGCGGAAAATGAAACAATAAAGACGTCACCTTATATATTGAACTTATTCAGCAAGCTTGCTGGCTTGTTGTTCTAGGAGCAAATGATCTCCGGTTTTGGTAATAAGACTTGTAGTAAGGGAGGACATTTTATTTCTAGGATTGCTATTTTGAGTTTTGAAATATACTGGCTCTTCTTAACTCATAAAAATAACGAAATTTATTATTTTAATGTTAATGCTAATTACACATTTTAGTATTATATATTCTTATGTTTACCGCAATTACGTACGTGTGGCTTCAGTCTCGTGTGTTACTCCTCGATTTCCCATTTCCACATTTCCTACTCGACTAAATGTTTGAAGATTACCACTTCTGCACAGTTTTCTTTTGGCAGTCGTAAAGCTCAGCGAAATTCATGATTAAACATTAGAGAAAGCGCAAATCGACTTTGATGAGCCTTCTCTAGTTTGATGATTTAGTAAGGGAAACACAGAAGCGGCTGCAGAAAACAATTTTTGCGTCTGCCTTATCGTGGTGCGAGTGGATATCAAGCGTCAAGATTTATGCTTAATAATCATAGTTGAAACCTGTATGTTCGGAGAGCTCTGGTGGATAAGATGCATCTCCACTGCGTCATCGCTTGAAGTATCGACCTCCTGAGTACCGTGATTCCTTTCGATGAAGCGAGATTTTCTTTTTCATATTGCCTTTAGATGGGACGAGTGAATCTTGCTAACTTGGCTAGCAATTTTATCAAGTGAGACTAGATGGTGATATTGCATAGCGACACTTGCTTAAGCATACCCATTACGGGTGTCCTTCATGCTGCTATGGACCGATGATTCTGTGGGGTACCGCAATCCGGAATTTGATACCAAAGCCTTTGGCCGCCACGAAACACCTAAGGCTGAGGGGATAATACCATTGAATCATATTTTCCAATCCAACGTATTGGAATTTTCGTTATTTTTTCGTCAGTGACCACCCGTGAATCACAAGACTCTGCATACCCCCAGGTACATTAATGCCAGAATACGACTTTTCAATACTCCCTCCCCTAACAGGTAACTCACCATTTTCAATCCGAATAAAATTGTATATTTATTTATAATACCAAGTAGCCCCGACCCTTTGGGCAGAATATTCAGTTTACACGATGGAGGTGTACCGCCAGACTTTTGATGGACCTCGGTTACTGTTTTTCATGGGCAAACAAACTACGCCGCACCCCTTTATGGCTAGACTCGCCGAACAACGTAAACGCTGGGGCCAAATAGGATCGATTTGAATCTGCCCCTGTTTCTGGAGTGGATTGAAAGCTTAGCTTTTGTTGGTTGTTAAGCTGCAATTGGTGCTTTCAACCCCAACTCAAAATGTCCGCTTAGTGCTTACACGCATCACGATTCACCACAACATGATTTCCAAAACATAACCTCAGTTCTAAGATATAAAATCTTATCCATATTCCGATGAAATAGCCATGTCTTCAAATAAAGAGAGATCTCGCATCACCTTCGACGAAGCTACGAAAGTAGTGAAACTTGACTCCAACATATACCGAGTCAACCTCCACGAAGATTTCTCCATTGGTGCAGGTACGGAATTTAAACCTGCATTCTGACCTCATTTTTAACTCGATTTAGTTCCCAATGGCGGATACACATCCTCATGCATGCTCTCAGCAGCTCGCACCCACCTCTCCTCTCGAGAGCAAACCGACATTTTAACAGCCCATTTCGAGTACCTAAACCGCACAACGGCTGGTCTCGCAATCATCACGATCGAAGACGTGAAATTGGGAAAACAACTATCCACACTCCATCTCACGCTCTGGCAAGATGGACTTCTGCCCAAAGCTCCGTGGATTGATGCATCGACCTCACGACGTTCAGTCTTGGCATATGCTACACAAACCAACCTAGACACCGCAATGGGAATCAGCATGCCCACTGGTTTTGAAGTTACATCTGAAGATACATACCCCCCTCTACCGGATTTCGAGGGGCTGAAATCAAAGGGCGAGGATGCGAAATGGGAGATCACGACCGTCCCGGATATTTATCCGGGCCGGTCACTCAGGAATTGGGCATTTTATATCCCGAAAGGTGAACAAGTGATCCCAGGGGTGTTGGACACTTGGATGAGGAGGACGAACGGGGAGATGATTGGGACGGGTGAGCTAGCTTATGTGGTTGATTCCTTCCCATATAATCTCCACAAATTCCTCGCATCGCCAGAAATGCGGAAATTCATCGAGGATTCGGAAAAGCCAAAACCGAAGACCGAGAAGAGAGGAGAGAAAGAGGCGGGGAGTGATGATCGCGCGACGTTGTGGTTTCCTACCGTGGTGTTGAATTTGGAGGTGAAGAAGAAATTGCCGGAGGAGGGGACGGAGTGGTTGGCTATGAGAGTCACGAGTAAGCAGATTAAAGATGGGAGGTTTGATTTGGATGTTTTGATTGGAGATGCGGAGGGAGAAATTGTGGCGTTGAGTCATCATGTTGCTATGATTTTGAGTATGGGGAGGAATACTAGGAAGCGGAAGGGTGAGAAAGCTGTGTTGTGAGTAAATTCGGTCGAGTTTTGCGTTAAATTGGTAAATCCTTACGCTGTGAGCATGAAGAGCAAATTTGTTTCGGTAAGCAGGTGAAAAGATAGCTACGCTAAATAGAAGATTAATGATGAATTGCTTCTTATTCTCGTTGAAGACTCTTCTCGGCCAAACTTCAAAAGCCTTGGATTATGCATCATGAGAATTAGATTCCGACTTGCACAGTAGATTAAGGAGCTAAAGGTTACTTAAACATATAGGCGACATGGGCTCGAATAATTGATAGATGATAAGCCAGTGTGTAATTAGAATATAATCAAGTTACAAAATGACTAATTTTAGGAAGGAGGCTAGAAACTACGATATTCCTAAGTTTAGCGACAAGAAAGCCTCGTATAACTTTATTAAATTCGTACGATGAAAGAGTTTAATCTAAGTAAAGAATAGGCACGTAACTAACATATCTCCCAAATAACCCGATTAAATCTTCCCATACACTAAAACACTCCAGAATTCAAGATCCAGATTAGAAAACGTATATCAAATACATTGAAACCCCCTCCTACCAAAGACAACAACCGAATGCCCTTGTGGCGATTGTCTCATGCCGAGCCGTAGAAGGTATTTTGTTTCTATATCAGATCCATCAATTAGAAAGCGGTGGAGATTATAAACACACAACCAGTAAAGTGGAAACCGAAGTAGGTAATCATTTTCACTATTCAAATTTCGAAAGCTCAGTTTCGGCAGTGACTTTAAATTCGGTGAAAGATTCTACTCTTATATACTAAAACCAAAAAACCCAATTAACACTCAACGAGAGATCTTTGCAGAATAAGTGTACCCACAAGAGTATAATCTGCGTACTAACTTACTTCTAAATCATGTCATAGAATCCCAAGTAGAAGCTCTTCCGATGAGGTGAATATGAAAAGGTCCTGTTATGAAAAATTTACAATTGTGTATTCTGGTATTTAAAGTTTCCTTCAACGAGTGTTATCCTTTATTCATACCTCCTACACTTTATCCAACACATCTACCTCCCTCACCTGCCACACCCCCTTCCGCAATCCCCCTCGCAACCTCCCCATCCATAACGCCATGCACATACGCCGGGCTAATAAGAGCATATCTCTCGTATCCTCGTCTGCGACCCTGCGGACAATTATCGGGATACTGAGGCCATACGCAACCATTATTAGATCACCTGGCTCGGAGGTGATGGAGACCATTGCGTAGTAACCGTTACTTGATATGCTGAACGTGTAGCCGCGTAAGGTGTTTTGGAGGCGGTCGAAGACTAGACTCGAGTTTTTGTGCTTGTATTCCAGTGGTCTCCAAACTTCCCGGGTAATGGCCCGTTGACATGGAGAAGATCATCCAGAAGTACCCCCCCAACGCAGAGCACATTATGAGGTTCGAAAATTGGTGAGAACGTTAACACTCCCTTGTCACTGATAGTATTACTGTATGCGCGCTCATTGTTGTTGCATGCCAGCACTATTATTTGCATGAAGATCTTGCCGAACTCGGGAGAGCATTAGAAGTCTGGAATCCAAGAAGGTAGGTCATGATCAGAAGGTCGGTCGGAACGATAGGTGGTGCAAATAATGTTTAGACTCGGTCCAGTAGTGTCGATAATCATTTCCCTGGTCGCTTTCACGTAGATATCACGAACTGACTTGGAATAGTCTACTGTGACGCTTTCTGGGTAAGATGAAAGTCCAAGAAGCGCAAATATCGTGTCTCGGGGGTCTGTTGCGGAACGATCGACATTGTCCGTAGCCAAAGACCTGAGACTTGTGTCATCGTGTGCGAATCCCATAAGTGACTCGCACTTTTGGGCGTGACTTCGTAGGAGGGTTAGGGCGTGGACTTTTCCTATTGTAACTCCAAGATCTTCCATAACGTTGCCGGACACCGTCGAATGCCCAAGAAATGGCTGCATAACCTCAGATCGTGAGAACATACTTTCAAGAGAGCCCCGAATCATTGATCGGTGGCCACATATAAGTAGCGCTTTGGGAGGATATATAATCTCCTAGATAATCCACATGCGAGACCACCACGAATGCTCGGTAGATAAGCAAAGCAGAGAGCGCTTCCGTGCTTCTGTGACATTTTTCCATGATTTCAAATTACGCTCATTCTCGATTGTTTTGAAAGCCATGTCGCTAGTCTCGGTGGGTTCACCCAGCCAAACAAGCATGGCGGAGGCTTGACGATATATTTGTACCATTCGTTGAACTTGGACATTCTTTTCAGCGACATCGTTTTGATTGATGCAAATGGCATCTACCCATAACATTCGGGATACGTTTTTCTTTGTGAGATACCGTAATATGGTAACTAGATTTGATCTCACCAAAAAAGAGCGATCATTGATGTAAATCGAGTCATTTGACAGAGATTCTCCCCAAGAATAGGAAAGCGCTTCATATTCCGGACGCTTGCCTTCGAGATACTCCACATCTGACCACCACATTGAGGTTCCCACATCTTGAATGTAGAGGTGATGCATTCGACACATGATAGAATCTTTGAAGCCACCTGGGAGGAGCTCAATGAGACGTATTTGATCCCAGTCGCGCTCTATCGGTGGCGTAGCATGTTCCTCTGCCAGGTGTTGTCTATCAACTCCAGGTCCAGTATTCTGCTCGACATCGTATCGTGTATGAAGTTTGTTGGCGGCGTGATTCCATTTTGTTTTCAGCTTCCTTCGAAGTCCTTCTTGGCTTCTTTGAAACTCGTCCTAGCAGCTATAGGTGAGCATTCATCAGAAAGAATGTATTTCTACCCACATTTGCAGCGCATTGATGCGGCTGATTATGGGTCTCCTCTTCAAATTCCGTGATTATCGGCTCCTCTTCCAGCTCTTCGGATTGCAATGGTGGGTAGTCATAAAAGACATCTTCTTCGAGGCGGATATCAATCAGCGGTTCATAGACGTAGCTTTTGTTTGACTGGAGCGAATTTGGCTTATCAGGCACAGATATCTGCATTATGAATGCCGTTAAAGTTCGAGATAGAGATGATTCGGATTTAGAATCAAGAACGTAAAGATGCGATGAAACGCCTCGCAGAGTCACACGCATTCAGCCGCAGCTGCTAAAGAGACATGGCACACCATTTGCGAACAATCGAGCAAAGATTGAAGCTGTCTCGAGACAGATCTATTGTTATGCAAGGAAACCTGAAGTAAATGGTGATTGCGAGTGCATACACCTTTCTAGAGCTGATGCTTTCCTGACGGACAAAACTGATGTGGAACAAAACTCCCGACATTTTGCGGGATGCTGGAGAGACCCACAAGTTAATCAAACACCTGATATATTCCAGATCAGTCCTGCGTTCTATTCGGAGGTGGGAAAGGAGAGTCTGCGTTGAATTTTGTAATCTGAAGCTTTGTGTTGGAGATTCAAGGTCGAAATAAGGTAGTCGAAGAGACAGCTCAGAATTTAGCGAGGAGACTAGCGGCCCCGCTGCACTTCGTATACAAACTTGGTAACTACTGTATTAATAGAACCCCAAAATAATAAACTATGCCACAAACAAGTTAGAGTAATTAAAGAACTGCCATTTCCAAAAAACAAACTGAATGTTATTAGCTTTGTACAAACTGGAAATGACTGATGGGGAGAATAGCCTCCTATCTACTCTACCGTATGTACAGATAATTAAACTTTTGTCTTTCCTTCTTAAAATCCCTGGAAAATGTCTTATTTATACTCGACATTAAAAAGGAATACGAAAAAAGTAAAGTTTCACTCATATGTTTATTCATCCTTCCACCAGTTCTATTGTACTTTACCTAACGAAGCCTTATCCCAAAGTACAACTCTCCAACTCCATTACATCTCTCAAAATAATGTCACATAATTACACTCACATGGCAATTCCAGAAGAACTCGACAAAAATCTTGTAGAATGTAAAATTGCAGTCTCACGATTCAAGCATTGTCGAGGAGAAAAGGAGAATATCCATCTGGGCACATGTCAAGCTTCACGAGTTCCACTGATCTTCAGGGGTCATCGGTGAAACATCGGCTGCCTTTTTTACCCATTACGTAGCCGGCGCGTGCTAACATCTTAGAACAAAACTACTCAACACCATGATTTCGAAATCTTGATAAACACCAGAGATCATTATTTGAACCTCTGCTTAACTCCTGGACTCTTCTTGGAGTGTATAGTCCCTCCCCATGGAAGTTCCAGGCATGTCCTCCATCCGCCGTCGCCTCCTCGGAGGAAATACACCTTCCGACAGCTCCCGCGAAACCACCCCTCCAAAAGCAGAAGAAGTGCGTCTCGCGCCCGTATCCAAGATCATAACGGACTCGTCCCACAAAACGAAAACGCGGAAGCGCAGGAATGGGCTTATATTCGTGCTGGGTGGACTTTTTGGCATCGTGGTCGCAGGTTTCTTTGCCGGCCGATCCGATCTGATCGATTTCCCAGAGTTCTCGGAGCTTAGCATGGATAGTCTGATGGATGTGCTGCCTGCGAGTTTTGTGAAGAATGCGCGGGATTTAGCGCAGGGAGAGCGGGAGGCGGTGAATTATGATTCGTTTTCTGTGGGCTTGAAGTTGATGGCGCAGGGTGTGAAGGCGCATCATCCGGTTATTATGGTGCCGGGCGTGATATCGACGGGACTCGAGAGTTGGGGTACGACGAATAGCTCGAGACAGTATTTTCGGAAGAGGCTGTGGGGGAGTTGGAGTATGATGAGGGCGTTGGTTACGGATAAGGAAGGGTGGAAACGTCATATTATGCTGGACAAGAATACGGGTATGGATCCGCCGGGTGGGATCAAGCTGAGAGCTGCGCAGGGATTTGATGCGGCGGACTTTTTCATTACGGGATACTGGATATGGAGTAAAATCTTAGAGAATCTGGCGACGATCGGGTATGATCCGACAAACAGCTTCACGGCTGCGTATGATTGGAGACTTTCTTACGCAAACCTCGAGGTTCGAGATCAGTATTTCACGAGGCTAAAGATGTATATTGAGATGGCGTACCAGGTTGCGGACAAGAAGGTGGTTCTAATATCTCATTCTATGGGGAGTCAGGTACTCTTTTATTTCTTCCACTGGGTCGCAGTTGCGGATGGAGGTGGAGGAGGAGATAGCTGGGTGGATGACCATGTTGACTCATGGATCAATATCAGTGGTTGTATGCTTGGTGCCCTTAAAGGACTACCAGCTGTGTTGTCCGGTGAGATGAAAGATACAGCACAACTAAACGCTTTCGCTGTCTACGGACTCGAAAGCTTCTTAAGCCGAGAAGAGAGAGCCGAGATCTTCAGAGCCATGCCTGGTATAAGTTCGATGCTACCAATTGGCGGAGACACCATCTGGGGTAATTCAACCTGGGCTCCAGATGATCTTCCAGGACAGAATGTCTCTTACGGTCCATTTCTGAATTTCAAGTACCAAAACGGCACGAGTTTCGCAAGAAATTATACTGTCACCGAGAGTCTAGAGTATCTATTCAACGTCACTGAACCTTGGTTCGTGAACCAGATCAAGAGAAGTTACTCCAACGGCATCGCCCACACAACCGCCGAAGTAGACGCCAATGAGAAAGATCCACGAAAATGGATCAACCCACTCGAAACCCGTCTCCCCCTCGCTCCAAACCTAAAAATATACTGTTTTTACGGTAAGTTTCCCCCCCAAATTTTGAATATATATGACTAACTAACACACTCAGGTATCGGCAAACCAGCCGAACGCTCCTACTTCTACCGCAAATCCGACTCCCCCCTCTCAAACCTCAACATCACAATCGACACCGCCCTCACGCAGGGCAACATCAACCACGGCGTCGTCCTCGGCGAGGGCGACGGCACCGTCAACCTGCTTTCCCTCGGCTACATGTGCAATAAAGGCTGGAACCTCCATCGCTACAACCCAGCCGGCGTGAAAGTCAAAGTCTATGAAATGCCGCATGAACCAGACCGCTTCAGTCCGCGAGGCGGCCCGAACACCGGCGATCATGTGGATATTCTGGGACGCCAGAGTTTGAATGATTTGATTCTGCGGGTGGCTGCCGGGAGGGGGGATGAGATTGGGGAGAATGTTGTTAGTGATATTGTGAAGTATAGTGAGAGAGTTGAGGTGCGGGAGGAGGAGGAGTGGTTGTAGAATTCGATGGGAGTGGGTGGGGCGATGTGGCTTTTTGTAGATATGGGTGGAGTTCTGTCAGCCTTCTTTGGAGTTTTATTTAGAGAGGGGATTTTCTGGGTGGATGGGATATACCCCTGGGTTTGGTTTAGATGGTGTAGATCTTTAGTAATGGTAATTTATTGTTCTGCTTGACTATGAGTGGTTCTTGACAGACATATAGTGCTGGGTTCTAGCCGTAAAATCGCGTCATTAGCTACTACTTCCCTTGCGTTTTCCGCCCTAAACTGTCCTGTGAAATCAACTATTGTAAAGTATCGCGGTAGCAGCTTGTGCTGGTTAAAAAGCAGTGGCGAATAGAATTTCTTGAACTCAGAGAGCATTCTTGTATATGAGAGATGTACGTGTGTTAATGATGAACTAGATTGGGAAAAACAAGACACGGCACGAACTCCCGGATCTTCCAAATTCAATAAAGCTGCTTACCTAGGTAGTCATTGCTTAACACTATAAAAGCTCTATCCCTCCTATAGATTCTAGAAAAATCATATGATATAACTATCTATTAACAACCACTTGGTTTATTACCTTTAGGCTTTTACTGCCCAGTTTGGTCCGTCAGTGATTCGGCTTTCAACGTACAATCACCTTTTCACATCACAGAATTTATCTCTAGTTTTAATCTGTATCTTTATATCGGTTCACAATCCGTTTTAAACCCAACAAACAATCTATATGTAAGTATCAGCAGTAGTCCGCAGGTCCTCCTACTTGTATTTCTTTCCGTGACTTTCAAGCAATACTTAATAAGGCAGTATCATTTTCACGTTTTGCAGTCTGACACTGTCAAATCTTTTGTAAGTTTTAACATATTCTATTTTTGTAATTTTATATCGGTTACATGAGATACTCCTTAGCCATAAACCATCTATACAGAACCCCCCATTTATTCGTCAAATCCTTTATTACAATCAAAACACAAACTCCCTACGCCAGCTCAACAGCCCCATGCCCCGGAACCTTCCCAAGATCAACCACCCCATCAACCTCCACCGCTCCATGCGCATCGCCATCCACTTCACTCACAGGCCTATACACCCCTCCAGCACCACCCGCCACAGTCTTTTCATGACCCGGCTGCGATGTAACCGGAACCGGGCCACCAGTGAGGTTAGGCACAGACTCATATTTCGAGTCGCTGGCAGCCTCAACCGCTTTCCGCCTGCGATTTATAAACCACAAGAGCGCGGCGATAGCAAAAAGAGCTGAGACTCCAATTCCTACACCCGCGCCGATTCCAGCTTTCGCGCCTTCTGAGAGACCGGAAGGACGTGACATTCCTATACCAACTTTTGAGGTGCCCGCGACGGCTGGTGGTCCCGCGGTTGTAGCGGCTGCGGAACTACTGCTCGAGGAGGCTCTGGTACTTGTTGATAGACTAGCCGTTGCGGTTCTGGATACAGTGCTTGAGAAGGTCGCGGTTCTGATTTGCGTAGATGTGATGAGAGCGTTTTTCTCGTTGATGTGAAAGCCGGGGGTGCGGATGGAATTACTGGCTTCTGCGTCGCGGTCGTAGGGGGGACTTGTGCCATCTTGTCGTACCATGAAGCGTAGGAAGAAGCCGGTTCCGCCGTCGATGTCGACGGCTGGGACGTCAATTGTCCAGTCGAAGCTACCGGGATTTAAGAGATCGATATTGTCTGAGGAATTGAGTCAGTACTGGCTCATCTCCGCAATTCTTGTGTTGACTTACTTGTAAGTCTCAATGTGAAAGTCGTTTGATCTGCGGTAAGCCACAAATCGACATTGTCTTGCGTCGAATTGATGACATTTTCGTACGGCCAGGCATTCCACGAGAGTCTAATTAAATCACCCACTCGATACACAAGTTTCGTATCGAAATCAAGCAATCTGCCATCTGGATTCGTCCATATCAAACTCGGATCCGTATTCGACGTCGCAGCATCGCAAGTTGTAAAAACCGAACCCAGCAACCACGCGGTAGCAAAAAGTCTCGAAAACTGCTTTCGCATCTTGAAACTCAGATAAAAAAACAAATGAAGGAACAGAGCAGGAACAACATCCCGCAAGGGCGAAGACGGGTCCTGAACCTAAATATGTAAGGACAAATTAGCAATGCCACTGTTGCCATGCAGGTCAACACTTCGCCTCCAAACCAGTGTGTCCCTAAACACGAGAGATTTGAAGATCCCAACGTGTGATTCGTGCGCAGCTGCAGCGACGAGAGATTGTAAAACCCTTGACGTACAAGATGTTGTTGGTTGTACAACGGGGTCGGGTTGGCGATTGCGTTTTTCTAGATCTCAAGCATCTCGGAAGACCGCTATGATTGTGTAGCTATTAGAAATATGATGCAGTCGTCTTCATAGCAATGTCAAATCAAGACTTCACATTTCAAATGCCAGCACGAAAAGCCTCGACTGTTGTCCCTCACCATGCCTGAGCGTCAACGATACAACAACAGGCCGCTCATGCAGCCCTGTCAAATGTAGGAGGACATTGAACCAACAAACAATTGATACGCGATGATTGGTTGACTGAACCAACATTTCTCAAACATCGACAGCGCATTGGACCGCGCCGCACCGCGGCCCCATCACCAACTCGGTTGTATTCCCTATGAGGCGGAGTGAGCTTACTCGTATATCGGCTAGCTCGCTTCCAATCAGGAGTCGTTCATACGGTTGGGATTTGTTCTTCGTAATCTCGTTTCGATCAGTGATACTTTACTTCTTGAAGAGCTTGCGATGATCCGGGACAGTCCAATAATGTTGCATATGCTTGCCGCGAGTAGTTAAAAGTCAGAGTTGCTGATAAATTTCTGAGTCTTTAGATTCAGTATTAAGACACTTGTCTCAACATAGTGTTCACGATCTTCTCAACTGAGTTCAACATGACCAAACTTTATTTAACAAAATAATATCAGCCAAATCAGAGTACTTCAAAACATAAGAACTAAGTACAAAATTTCAGATGTCAAGTGCTCAACATCGCACTCTGTATCCGTAGGTATGTCAACTAGCTACCGCTGAGTAGCCTTCGATCAGTGAAGCTCCTGGTTTCGTGGATATGATCAGTGGATGTGATTACAGGGAAATGGAATCAATGCCACTTGACAATCAAAAGTGCATGCAAACTAAGAAAGAGGGTTGCTCAAAGAGCCAACAAAACATTCAGACGCTAAGTACATTAAGCTATGCAAAACTATGGTTGTAAGGGGTATATTTTGATACATATTTGAACGCAGCATAAAAATGGTGCTAGAACCACTTAAAATGACAAAATAAAGCAGAATAGCACGTTGTCGGCGCACTGCATGGATAACGGCCTACGCCACAGTTCTTGGACACGGCAATTCTGCTCTTGAGTATAATTTATCACTGTCCCATCGCTGCTTCCCATCATTTCACTGATGTCTTTCGTCCACGTTTAGGGGACTGTTTCTTAGTGATACCAAGTGGTTTAGAAAATTTTGACGTCGACGTCTCCTTCCGCTTCAAGTTAAATTTTCTTTTTTCTTTTTTTGGTTATTGAGGATTGGTGAAGCTCTCTCGGGTGTTTCTTTGATGACTCTTTGCCGTACACGGTCGCTCCGACGTGGAATTGAGACGCTTGTAGTCGCTTCAGGCAAAGCTGAGTTATCGTTGGCAGGTTTGGGTTAAATATGATGGCGCCGTCTATTGCCGATTCCTTATTTCTACGGCCTAATGTTCGTGTCTTCGGATTGCTTTGACGATATACTAGTGAGGTTTGGGCTGATATTAGGTAAAGTAGGCTGGATGAGTTTTGGGCTGCTTGTCGTATCAGTTTTCAGGGAAACACTCTCCGTATATGGAAGTTCTTCGCTACCGCTCTCCGGAAGTCCAGGTGTTGGAGGGTCAGATATACCAGCTTCCGCGCACATGATGGCGAAAAGGGAAGGTGATGTAGTACTATCTGGCCTACCCCATGGGAAAGGATCTTGAACGAGATACGAGACGTTGCCGAGTATTTCAGTATTTGGCAACTTTGAAGAAATTGGGCTGGGTGCTACATTTGACACAGGCGACGTCGAAGGTGCAAGTGACACCGGGTCTAAACCCGACTGCAAGTCTAACGAAGAACCGACAGCCTCAATAACCTTCAATTGATCATTGTTTGCCAAATAATCAGCCTCCTCTCCGAGAATATCGAACGCGAGTTCATGCTTCCATGACATGCCGGGAAGGATACCCCACCTATGACACCAAATCCCTTGCCGCATCCAGGATGCTTTGACGAGATTATACGCCCGAGTGTTGACCTCGTAATCACTCGCACTATATGCGACTACCTTATCATCTGGCGGATTCTGAGAGCTTCGTTCTTGAGCTTTAGACATCTGGTAGAGGAATTGGTGATAAGGTCGAGAGGCCTCCCGCTGATCGTGGGCCGTCAATTGGCAGAGATAAGTTACATCCTCTTTGTTTGATATAGTTGCTTTCGGAGCCTTGATGGTAGGTTCTCTCTTCCGACGCTTCTCTCCTTTAGAAAGAGGGGTTTCTAATCCATCGACATCCGAATCATCAGACTCGGCGTCAGGCGGTAGTTCGTGTTTCCACCTCCCAGCATAGAAGTAAGCGCCAGACATCCACTGCTCAAAACTCGGCCTCCAGAGACCTTGTTGAACCCAAGAAGCCTTGACGGATTCTCTCGCAATTTCAGAAACATCTTTTGTGCGCCGACCGAGGCGATCTTCTTCTAGCGATAACTGGTACGCGAATTGCTTGGCCGGTTGAGAGGCTAGTTGCTGCTTATGATACATAAACTCGATCGAGGATTGTCGTGCTTCGTTTTCTTTCGCCTCAGCTCCGGAATCCGATGACTGAACAGTCAACGAACCTCAAAGAATTGACGCCTGTGGAGGGCGATTATATCGAGCTCTTTCCTTCTCGAGTCGGCGAGGGTTTGTTGCTAGACGCATGAGCAATTCATCAAGTTGTTGCAATATCAATGGAGGTTTTGGTGGTACCCAAGTATCGGCATTCTGTTTTCCTAGTTGTAAGGGAGAGACCATAACGGCGCCCGAGGTTACAGCTAATGACAAATAGTAAATAGAAGCAGTAGGGTGATGGGGAGAAAACGATGCGTGATGCAGTTGTAGCGACGGATACAAGTACTCGTGCGCTGGTCGACACAGTAGGGCTAGACCTTGACTTTTCAAAACTCAATCTAGGGGAGTGATGATTCACTGACAAACCAGGAGGACACTTTACATATATTTCATTCACCAGTCTCAAAATTTCAATCAGATATAGACAATCTACCCGCAAGCGTCGCAAGACCCAATTCAAACAACCGCCCATCTGCGTTGTTGTTAGACCCATATCCGCCACATAAAGATAATCTACTTACTTTGCACGCTCGAAAAATCTAAATATTCGAATCCACGCTTATAGTGATGCACCTCGCGCGCGCCAGATTCCTCAATCTGGACCAAGTAAGTAGGGGAGGCAAAATTTGGCCGTTGACCGGGAGTCTGAAGCGAAGTGGTGAAATCGTCTGCTACTGCCTGGATTTAGTAGACTGGCGTGGATGGGGAAGGAGAATATACGTTCTTGACTCACAATAGAGCAGCCGTTGTGACTGACGATTATGAGGCGGGGTCTATTCTTGGTGGTATCACTGACGATAGAGATTTCGGCGTCAGACATATGAAATACTTCACAGCGGACCTGACTAGCTTGCCTACAAGCCGAAGATGGTCAGTTGATTCTAAAGGCGATAACTATCTAGCATCGCGCGTAGCTTTCACTTACAGTTTTAGTATGCACTTTTCATTTTTGCGAGGAGATTGCAGATGCATAACGAATAGCTCCATTGTCATCTCCCCCACCTGTCTATTGAATTGTTTGGTAGCTAATCGAAAACATCAGCATACGTTTCAACCTTAGTAGTGGTAATTTGACGAGTACAAACCGGTGGTAGTGGTAAATTTGAAGACAACGTCTGCGCAGCTAGCAATATCTGAGTTCTCGCCTGCACCTAACCCAGTGCATTCAACAGATTTAAGTTTTACATTGCCTGCAGACTCGTCTATTAGAACCTGAGTATCATGCCGTACTGTGGGATCTTAGTAATTTTTCGACACTTAATAGAGGAATGGAGTTCATACTGTGTAAGGTTGTGCTATTGATATCTCCGTTGGCCTCAGATTCCTGTTCATCGAAAAACACCGCAATTTCAGCACTATCTACATAGCAGAATGCATTAGGAGGATTGTTTTGCGTGTTGTTGCTCAGTGCTTTATAGTGCAGCAGTTTTATAGCTTCGATGGAGCCTCGTGTGTAAGATCGCTGACCGACGGAAAATGTAACCGTGTCTACAGATTTTTGGATGTCGGTTGTGTCTCTAAGAATAAAAGGACGTATTAGCTTGCAACATAGGTAAATTATGAGGCATGATTAGTGGACATACCCCGTGAGATGAAGTATACGCCATTCGTGTGTGGCTGGGTTGAAATGGGCAAGCATGGTGCTCAGACCACGACTTAACATTGCACCAGCCATCGCGGCTCCAAATTCTTGGATAAATGTTTCCTCAAACTCAGTCATGACTAATTGGAGTTAATAAACGTTAGTTCATATAATAAATGTGCTAGATGAGAGACAACATACTGCGCAGTGGAACTTTCTTAATGATTAACGAGACAAGTCGATTGGTCGTCTTTTCTGTGGCTTTGTAGAGCATCCAAGATCTCACTTTACCCATCAATTTTAGTGGAAAACTGAGCGGTGATACTAAAGAGGAGCCAAAAGTTTAGCAGTTTCGTCTAGTTCATTGGTAGAGTTTTGCAGGGCTGAAGAAACTATACTCACATCCATATGTTGCAAGCTTCTCTTGGTGTGGTGGCATGTCATTATGGGGGTCCACGTTAGGACAGCAACACTTGAACAGATTCTCTGACACTTGTATGTTATCGGAAGGTCTTTCATTCCACTTTGGATGCAGGGAAGCACAGTTGCAGAGAAGGATAAGACCTTGATCGGCTTCCACGTACAGCTCAAACCGAGGGTCTCGTGATGGCAGATTTTGTACCTGGCTAATGCTGACCTCGCGTTGGGTAGGAGATGTAGTCTCTTTCAAATTCTCTACAAACCATACATGGATTTCTCTTAGCATTGTCGAAACCTTCTCCAGATTGTCTTCTAGCCTGACTGTTTGGGAACTGTGTTATGTCAGCTTATTCTCGGCAACTGAGTTTGCTATCGAACAGGCGACCCATACTTGTTGACAACCCCTAACACTAAGTTCAAGCTGTTTATATGAACGGCGAGCTGACTCCTCAAAGTGGCAAGATCACCGCCTTCAGTAGTCCAAGCCACTTTCTTCCAGTTGTCTTTCAGAGTACGTTTCCAGCGTTTTAGTATTGGCTCCCCAGACTCGCGCGATTTTCCTATATCGCTGTACTTCTCAACAATAGTCTCGAGATGCTTTAACGTTTGTTCACAACTCCGCACCATAACGCCTACCGAATCGCTTGGCTCAGTCTGCTCTGGAAGTGTTGCACTTGCAGGGTGAGACTGGGTTAAGGAGAAAACAACGTTTCCTTCGGAGTTTGCGTGCTCTAGCGCATTTAGCGCGATGCTTAATGAATAGAGCTGGTTTTCGACTTCATGGAATTCGGCTGGCGCTGATTTGCGGCCTTTGGTGAAGGCACGGCCAAGCTTCAATGCTAATTTTCCCATGAGATAGACATCGCCTACGGAAACTGGAGGAGTCATGCTACCAATGAGTGAGTTAAACTTCTCGGAATTCAGATCTACTTGTAGATAGAGTTCTGTTGCCAGCCCTAGAGGTCTGCAGGCTCAACTAATGGTATAAGAAGTACCGTCGAGGCGGAGAGGCACTATAATGAACTTTCCAATTTTGTAGAGCAGCGCTTTTGCGCCCGACCGATTATGAAGGTGGCCGAGAGCGATATTAAACCGTTCTCGAGTGTATATGAGGCTGCGTGGATATTGGACGGCTATGCACCTGACGCCCGACTCAAGTGATAGACGGTTGAGATACTGAAAGTTTTGAGGCTGGGGACGCAGTGTAACATGGACGGAAAACACTACAACCATATGATCTCTAACATCGGATGCGCGCTGTTGATTAATTTATGCAGCCTTGCCTGTTTTCCGCTTGCTCAGAAGGCAGCAATGATAAACGTCAATCATCAGCCTGCTTCTCTTTTGTTCTCTGTCGTCCGTCGATTTCCTCTCAACTGCAGGTTTTGTTCGCCTTCATTGAGCTGTTATTCTTTCCGCTCCAACAAAGCCTCTATTACTCGCCACAGTATTCAACGCAATGGATTTGCGTGTAGGCATATTCTGGGATCCTCGAGAGCCACCGCCCCCGGGGGTCGATGCTGGTGTTCGCAATTTTGCACAACGTCGTGGCCATCGACAGCCTGGTGATGAAGTGCCTACTTTGCATGTTGTGGACGAGAATCGAACTCACCAGCGTGACCGTCCATACCGACGAGAAGGATATGATCGCGATTACGAGAACGAGGTTGCTATATCCGAACCAGAAAGAAACAACCTGCCGCCGCTGTCCGTGTCCCTGACTGCGCGAGTCGTCGAGGATACAGCAAAGGTCACCGTGACACAACTCTTCTGGAACAACACCAAAGATTCCATACGGAAGGGAACATATACGTTCCCGCTATCCAACGGGTGTACAGTTACGAGCTTTAGCTGCCGAATTGGCAAGAACAGGATTGTGAGGGCTAAGGTGCAGTCGAAGCCCGAGGCTCGTGATGCATTTCAGGAGGGTCTCCGCGCCGGCCGGTCGGCTGGCTTGCTCGAACAGGACACCCCCGAGATCTTCACCACGACACTTGGGAATATTCCTGCCAACACAAAGCTAAGCATAGAAATTACATATGTCACCCTCCTCAAGCACATATTTGTAGAGAATTGCAGTACGACGACACTGACGATTCCTACCTATATCGCTCCGCGCTATGGCAGTCCACCTCCCGGCCTCCAGGACCTGGCTGCAGCACGACTATCTCATGGCATATCTATCCAGGTAGCAGTAGTAGCGAAAGAGACTGCACTAAGAATATCCAGCAAGTCGCACAACATAAAAATTGAACGAGAAATTGGCAAGAATACATGCAACAACTGGGCCGAGTTTACAGGGGCAGCCGGGACACATGATGTTGCAGTGTCTTTGGTAAAGCTGGAAGATGGCACGGCATTCCTTGCCCGCGATTTCGTTCTCGAAATTGTGAAAGAGTCTCAAAATGGCTTGGAAACTCCAACGGCCTGGCTTGAGACGCACCCTTCACTTGTAAATCACAAGGCCTTAATGCTCACGATCCCTCCGCAATTCACGCTTAGAAAGCAATGTCTCAATCAAGACGGTGAGGTAATCTTCCTTGCTGATCGATCAGGATCTATGTCGGATAAGATGCAGTCACTTAAATCTGCCATGAACTTCTTCCTCAAAGGCATACCGCAAGGTCGCAAATTTAATGTCTGGTGCTTTGGTAGTAGCTGTACCTCACTCTGGCCACAATCTGTCGACTACTCCGAAAGAGCCCTCCAAATTGCCATAGACTATGTCACTTTCCAATTTGAATCTGACATGGGCGGCACCGAACTTCTCGGCGCCTTGACAGCCATCGCCGGAGGGACTAAGCAGGTTTCACATATGGTTGACGTAGTGATGATAACTGATGGGGAAGTCTGGAGACACGACGAGACTATCAGCTTTGTTAGGGAGACCTCACGATCCAGCCAAGGCAGAACAAGATTTTTTGCGCTTGGTATTGGGAATGCTGTATCGCATGATCTCGTAGAAGGTATAGCCAAAGCTGGTGGAGGGTATGCTGAGGTGATTCCAGCCGCGAGCCAAGGCGGATGGGAAGACAAAGTTGTCACTATGCTGAGTGCAGCCTTATCCGATCATATTGGGCCATTTCGGATCCAGTTTGACGAGCAAGATGGGGCAAATACCCTAGGAAATGTCCTTAAAAACGGTGAGCTGGCTTAGCGTCGCTTTACCTCATAAATATCTACTGACAAAGTACAGCATTCAATCGCGGTCAAGCAACAACTTGTCTCTTACGGCCAGATACCCTACAATCTCCAGCCGACATTTCGACGTTGAGCCCTTTCCTACCAAACCGAGCTTTTATACTCTTTGAATCTGCGAATGTAGGCCCTTTGGATCATATTAATATCAAGGCGACTATTCCAGGCGGGGAAGAAATCATTAATCGTGTGCCCGTAACTCTACTTGAAAAGAACGACTCGACTTTGCACAACTTAGGTGCCAGAGCGCTTCTCGGTGACCTAGAGCAAGGGCAGAGTTGGATTCACCTAGGCCTAGATGCGCCTTCTCGAGGCTCAATCGACGAGCAAAGACTCGTTCGTGAAGAAGGGGAAGCCCTGGGTTGTAAGTGGTCCCTTGTCTCGAAATGGACCAGCTTTTACACGGTCGAAGAACCGTACTACGTCGCTGAGAATTCTCGGATCCCATTCTTGGACGCAGACGACTTAACAATTCGCGACGCTGTAAGCGACTTAGGCCTACTGCGTCAGAGAGGTGTCGTAGCTCAGCGAGCAAATTCTTTGCCGACGGGTCTTCCTGTATCTTTGGCAGCTGGGCAGGAAGAACATGCATCAGACGATGACGAGGACGCGGCGTCGAGCACACACAGGTTGGAGAGGGCAAAAGATGGCGAGAATGATAGTGGCACCGATCATGATGGGAGCAATGGAGATGAAGGAGGCTCAGAAGGTGACGTTGTATACCAGGAAAACCTTAATACGAAAGGTCGGAACGCTGATAGAGATGGAGTGGCCCAGGAAGGAAGCCCAGATAATCAAAATGATGCTCCCACTTCCAACGCCGTATGCCACACTTCAATGCGCCATGTCTCATGCCGGGTTCCCTGTAGAGCCCGTCTAAAAAACTCCCGTCGATTACGAGATCGGAACAGCAAACGCAGTTCGCAGGCTAGTTCTGTGAAACGGCATCCAGACAATGAATCACCAATGAGAATGACGAACTCTACTGTTAGGCAATATGGGACACATTATCATGGCACTTCCATGGAGTACTCTCGCGACTCAGGAGATGCTCTACGTAACTTCGGAATGTCTTATCCAACGATCCTATCCGTCAGCGACTCTGCCACGACCAACTATTTTACGGTCGACGCCCCTAGCTTCAATATGCCTGCTTCAAGTGCAATGCACCCTATTGAAAGCCTCCCCATCAAATCAGCACAGCAGATAGCCGATGAAGATAAAATCTGTAATCTACTTTACTTCCAATCTTTCGACGGCAGTTTCAAGTTTGACAATATGGAGCACTTGAAGGCTCACATGGGAGACGGTTTCGCAACCATAGTCCAACACCTCCAAGATCAAACCTCCTTTGTGGTGGCTGTCACAGTAGGGGTCATGTTGCTCCTAGAGGAAAAGTTCGAGCACTGTCGAAGTCTGTGGATGTTGGTACATAAAAAAGCCACTGATTACCTCGAAAACCAGGGACTTTCAGAGCTTGATCAAAAGCACTTGCTTGAATACGAAAGGCAAGAAGTCCGACAGCTTAGTACGTCGCATATGCTGGGGGTGGCACCTTGTGCACAGTTTTTCTCCCCGCCAAGCTATGATGAATATAGTGGAAGCTATGACGAATATATTGGAGCGCAAAGGTCAAAGACGTCTGGATATAAACAGGAACAGTCGTGGTGTTCGCGTGATGCTACCGATCAGGATGAAACTAGAGTGGATGTGGGTGACAAACAAAGCGCCGGAGGAGTTAACTCTCAAAGTATCCTGAACACGTAAGGTACGCGATGCCTTTTTGTACACACCAGAAGTCTTCGTGCCTTATTTGATCAAACATTACGAGCCTGGTAATATTGGTTACAAAAATCATGAGATCATCGAGATGTCGTGCCGGCCGTTTGTCTTTTTCAAAAAGGCCAACACAAATCGAGGAAACATGTTCCAGCTCTCAGAGCTTGGTCCGTATAATTCTACATACCTTTCCACGAGTAGTTAATTGACTTGAATTTCAGAGACCGATAGCTAGAGCATCACACTTTATTTTTAGCGCATTATCCTACTTCAAAACTGCAAATCGCATGAGAGCTTGCCTTTTATGTTCATCAAGTCCAAGCCGTTCGGCGTTTCAAGATCAATCTATGAACAGGTGCAGTCGATCTTGTCAACTGGCCTTTATACACCCCAATTGTTCTCGTTCGATGACAACGACAGCGGTTACGGCTAGTCTTGGAATCTATTCACTTGCGGATCAGGAGATATGATACTCAGTTGGTGGTAACGTTCTTCTAATGTTGGAATTGACTCTTGGGCACCGCGCTCGCATCTCTGGCATTCTAGGCGCTCTTGTTTTGGAAAGTATTTTATGAATGAGTTTCCAAACATTATCGAAATAAAACTTGAGCGATTTTTCGTTTCCTAGCCATGTCTCCAGAATTTTCATCACATTTTCTCGTTCTTGCCTCGGGCTTTCCTACTTTCCTTTTTTTCCTTCATTGCAATGCACTAGACGGATATTTCCATGTCATCGTCGTAGCAGGTCTTTTTCTTAAATTCTACTCAGAACAGATAGTCTACAATGCGGCAAATGTTGCAATATTCTGCTTTATGTTTGTTACATTCTCTTTCATTATTTCCAAAGTCAATGATCCAATCAGGTCTATCGTCTAACGACTATTCTTCGTTCATCATCGAGAAATAAGCGGAATTTCACTTTTTGTGGCATACTAGAATTTTGAAGCTCACCTAATCTTACTCAGCATTGTCGCTTAAATCAAACTATTGGGGCCATGTTGACATAAAACACCAACAATCCTCCTTTCATAAGCCACGTTTGAGCCGCACATTTATTTCTTATACGCATCTACGAAGATTATTGGAGGGACCGTCTAAAACTCAGCCCAGAACATGCGCCTTGACATTCTTAAATTAACATGCTTCATAGGGCCGAGTCTGATTGAGAGTGTGGGAGATATATACAAATAGCTTGCTACATCCCTGATTCTCGTACTCACATCTCGAGACCCAAAAATCAAGATTCTAACCCGCCAAAATGCACATCTCAAAAGCAACTGTTTGCGCTGCCCTTTTCATCACCCAAGCCAGCGCTCTGTGCACAGAATGGAAACCTCTCGAATGGACACGTGACGACTTCAAAACTTACTCCAACGTAAAGCCAATCGAGCTCGACTCACTCTACTGCGACGAAAACCGAACCGAGTCTTGTTTCATTTCAAAAAAGACATACAACATCACCGCGCCACGCCGACTCGAATCTGTGGCCCGAATCGAAGTGGAACGCGACCTCGACAACACCATTTCCCCCGCCGACAAAGACAATATCTTCCAACTCGCAGCGAGCGGACATAATCTTACATTTATGACTCGCAATACGGTACTTGAATCATCACATTTAGCGAACAATTATTCGGAGGTCAAGCCGGGGATTAATATGACGCTGGGTTGGAAGCCGTTGTGGTCATATTCCACGGGCGTTCTGGGGGCGTGTACGAATGCTAGTCTGGATGGACTGAGGCTTACGGCGGTCACGCCTTATATGGTTGGTGTGTGGGAGAATAAGACTGATGGGGGGAGCGTTGTGGAGGGACAGAGTGTTGCGAATGGGGAGGTGTTGGCGGGGATATGGACGGTGGGGACGAGTAATTTGACGCAGGAGAGGATAAATGCCGAGATAATAGCCGGAGCTTATGGTGTGAATTCGACGGTAAATGGGACTGAAGATGGGAAGAGTGCTGCGGGGATGGTTGGGGTGAGTGTGTGGAGTTGGGTGGCTGTGGGGGTTGGGATTGCTTGTGGATTTGCGTGTCTGTAGGAAATGAGTTGAAATATGGAACATTGGCATTCAAAGTATAGAAATCTTGTAATTATAGACCATGTTACTCTTAAACTACGATGTCACAATATCTGATACTTCACCAGTAGGTGACACAATTCCCCACGAACCTAACACATTCAAAACCAGCTAACTTAACAGTATAACTTAGATTCGTAAATCTAGTAGGATAGACTCGATTTACAAAACGTAGATTATAATAATACTAACAGCATTTATGTTTAGATATCATTCAAATAATGAAATACCAGGCTCCAAGTTTCTAGCTATATAGAGTGTTCTCAGTTGGCGCTTCTAACATTCAGCTATATGTTTTAATGGAAGATATCTTGATTCATGTCACGGAGATTAAGCACTATGACGGTATAGGATATTATCGTTAAGTATATCTGTTAGCGACAATAGTGACACATTAAAACTGGTATAACATACTTATGTATCTCACAAAACACACCCTCCTACCATCCACCCCGAACACAAACCACCACCCAAATCCAACCAACCCACATCCGCCATACAAACCCTCAAAAACACCCATTTCCAACACCACAAGACCTGGAAAAAAAAGGTGTCCTGTTAGTCTTACACTACTCACATCGCACATTCCTAATTTCCGAGTCCTCTTAAGAAAAGACTGGAATCTACTACATCGATGAAATCAGAAAATCAGACGTCACTCTCCGAAAAGATAACAGGTTGGTGAGACACGTGACTATCCAGGGGGGCTGGTAATTGTACTCAAGCGCGGGTTTGACAGAGGGTAGGGGATTTATTGTATACGCGGGGTATTTCAGACATTTACAGTTCGCGACCTTGATATAAATGTGGAGTTCCTTTGGCTGATATTTTGTTCAATTTATTGCCATCGAGTGTCTATGAACGCAATGTTGTGTACATTCCAACAGTACATTTTCGTTATTCAACCCACACCTTTCGTAAGGACTTGGACACTGTTCAAGAAATCTACGCATAAACTTAACTTCCTTCACTCCCCACAGTCGGCGTAGCCACATCATCAATCCCATCCGGTCTCGCAACAAAATTCCCATCCTCATCCCCCACACTAACAAGCCTAGCATTAGTCCTCGGCCCCGTATACGTCCTATCACAGATTAGCCATCTTTCCGCATCTTTCAAAAAACACAAAAACCTACCTCCTCGCCCCCGCAAACCACCAAGTAAGACTAAATACCCCAATAAACGCCCCCACCGCAACAGCGTAATTCATATTAACCGCCGTGACCGGCCTGACCGTCGGGAACAGGAGGACCACGCTAATGAAGCTGACCCAGGTGAAGGTGATGGCGTTGATGGGTTTCTGCCATTTGCCGAGCTGGTAGGGACCGGGAATGAATTTGATGCGGTGGGCGTAGATGTTGCGGGCGAGGATGACGAGGGCGTAGGAGAAATCGAGGGCTGGGGCGGTGATGTTGAAGATGGCGACGATGGTTTGGGTGGAGCCGATGGCGATGAGGACCATGCAGATGCAGAAGAGGACGCAGAGCCAGACGGCGTTGACGGGGGTTTTGGTGTGGGTGTTTACGCGGGAGAAGAAGCTGGGTGTGTTAGTTGATGAGGTGAGTTTAGGGAAGGGGATCTACCTGGAGAATGGCAAGGCGCCATCTCGAGAGAAGGCATAGGCCATACGGGTGAGAGCTAGCATTGCGGAGAGGCCGGTGAAGGTTTGGACGACTATAACCCAGAACCACATCGCGGTTCCTCCCGCCTGACCACCAGCGTTGAGGAATAGCTGCGCCGCAGGCAGGCCGGTTGGTGATGTGACTACCGAGTCAAAGTCATCGATACAGAAGCATAGCGTGACGGTTAATATCCAGCCAAGAATACCGCTGATGGTAATTGACCATCTGATGGCTTTCGGTCCTTGAATGGCGGCATTGTGGGTTTCCTCTGACATGTGAGTGGTCGCATCGTAGTCTGTCATGACCCATGCGACGGAGAGAAAGCTTAAGAGGAAGGAGAACCCGGTTCCCCAACCTGAGCCATCCTTGAACTCGCCAAATACCCATTTGGCACTTTGAAGTTTTGGTGTGAGTGTCAAGAGTGCGATGCAGATAGAAATTGTGCCGATCACATTGATCGGGCCGAACCACATTTCAATCTGGTGAAGTTTTCGTGTCGTTAATGAGCAGACGATTCCTGATGCGATGAGAAACGCGATTGCGAGCAGGACAATTTGAACGGGTGTTCTAGAAGGTTAGCATGTTACACAATGTTATGAAGTATGCTTACGGTTTGTACGAGTAGACGCCTGCATCTACATCGAAGCCTGAGTTCATCGTAGCTGTAGCCAGAATCATTTGAGAGACAGTATACCAAACACTTGCTACACCAGCAGCTTGACCAAGGAGATTCAGCCAACCGACAACCCATGCCCATAAAGCTGCATGTTCAGGAGGAACCACAGATTTTGTGACGAAATACATCCCTCCTGCCGTGGGATATGCAGAGACCAATTCGGCCACTGAATTCAATTAGCTTTCTCATTTCTTGACTTTGAAAGGTAGAGCAAACCAGAAGCGGATGTAAATGATGACATGATCGATCCAATCAACCACGCCCATACTGCACCAGCAGGACCACCCAAGCTGAGCGGCACTCCGAATGTGGCGGGTTGGGAGCCAAGGACTCCTAGGACAGATACTGCGTATGATAAAATTGACCATTGATTGAAATGCCTGTTCATATCCTACAAATGTCAGTATAACACAACCTCATGAGCGGACAGACCTACCTGAGCATAACCAATCTGATTAAGCAGCCTCTCGTCATCATCTTCAATAGTAGCCATTTTCCTTTGAAATGGCTTCGTCGCCTCCTCTGCCGGGACGGCGCTGGCTACTGCCTCGTTTTTCTCTGTTGAAGAATTCATAATAAGCTACTCTTCCACAATGTGATCAAGTATACAAGATCCCGGATTTTCCGTGTCCCAAAGACTGGAAGATGAAGAAGTGGGATGAGACTGGGGGACGAACATATTAATATATTGGATTGATGAACTCTGCACTGTAACGTCAAGACGGACATTATGAGTGACGCTATACGTGCTCTAGTTTCGGCGGCGCAAACCTCAATCATTCGCAGGACGCAACGAGCAGTCTGCAAGAGCGACTTGGGTCTGGGAAGTCTAATGCAATCAAGACCAGGATCAGGACGCTCTAAAGCTAGCCAGAAATGTTGTCGACTACCATTCGATGCAGGGTGAAGGTGGGCACGAAGGTTTTAAGCCCAAAGGCGTTGTCGGCATGGCGCGAGCGTGTGTTGTACGTACAGAGAGAATGATATTGGAAGAGAACTGGTGGAGCCCGGATTTCAATTTTCGATGAAGTAAGGTGCTGAACCGTGCACCGGTTAAATGGCCTCCCTGCCAAATCCGGGGGGATTTGATGGGGTTCGCGGGACAAGGTTCGTCCCGGTCCTGCAGGACGGCCCCTCATGCCGTCCTCTAACACCCGTTCATGCTTATGTTGTAGAACAGAATGTCAATGAAGATAAGACGATGATGGAATTGGTACGACAATGAAATGAAATGATTGAAGCTGACCGATTGGATGTTGTAACGTTTATTGAAATGCTTGACCGGCATCAGTACTCTGCCTCCTGGGCTCGGGAGCTATATCCGCGGTCGCTGCTTCAATGCGAAGATATTTCTTTGTGTAACTGTCCTAATCTGGGGGCAACTGCTTCAAACTTATCTCCACCAACAACGGAATCCTACTCTCCATGTCTGAGCGCCGTCATTGGACCTATTTGAGTCAGTGAAAGGACGGAAAGTTGGTAGCACATGTTGGTAGCTTTTGAGAGGTCGAATCGAACGGCAGCCATAGGCAAACCGCAACTATATTGAGAATATATCACATCAGAGATTGATGATTCGTAGAAGATTCCGGGTCTGCAACCATTTCCATCCGGGAAGCGCCTCAATTCAGCAGATTGTAGATAGCCAATGTGGTGGGAGGAGTCCGAACTGTCGGGCCATGCACCCCACCGTTTGTGTGTATCCACGCAGATGGCTTGACTATAAGGGAACCAATAAAATGGCTTTGGAGGCGAATAGCCATATGTCTTAGACAGTATAAAAGCCCAAATCGATATCCCCAGGCTTTCCAAAAAAATACAAGGGATTCGTACGTCTTTGGCGGCATGATATATGGTCTACCTCTTGGTCGTTTCTTTCCCCTCTTGCTGTACATCTGATATTTCCATGATGCTGTCAAGGACATCGACCTAGTAAACCACACGATCAAGTTGTGAAATGTTAGACGATAGCAGATATTCAAACATATCCAGAAAGAATACTTCCACCTACTCCTTGACTAGCTTGACCCTCTAAGTTCACAAGACCATACGCTCAATCGGTTAGATAAGACGGAGGAATCTCTCGACTTGTTCCCTCTTCGTACAAGGCAGCCGGTTGTCGGAGTCACGAGGCTTGCATCTAAGACCCGAACCATGCAGTGTAGTGTTGCACAGCAGGATGGGCTAAGAGAAGGCTGGATGCAGCCCCTGAAGGACAATGTCGTTGGAAAAAATCATAGGAAGTAGATGATTCGAAAATTTGATGACTGTCTTTTTGAATCGGGTTGATTGATGTATATGTTCATGAAGCAGCCGACTAGTCGCCCTGGGTATCATTATATCAATAAGTTGCCCTGAGATAGGACCCTTCTTCGAACGCCTTTACCCAAACCGAAGAAACGCCTCAACCAATGCAAGACCGGTGATCCAGGAATATGTGGTTAGACATCCAGCATCGATCTTATTTGTTGCGGGTTGGCAACGAGAGTGGTGCCACTATTTGTGCTTTGGCTCCGATTGCTAATGGGCCCGCGGGGATCATTTTCTTGACTTAACCGCAGTTCAGTCATATTTCGACCACGATCAGCTATTGGCTCATCTGTGAACCTATCTGATGACTGGCTTGATTCATTTTGGACTGGAAACAACAAACTGGCTGCTAGCCGGATCGCTTCAGGACCTTCCGGTTTTGCTTTCGACCCTGTTATGTCCGTACTCATGGGCTCTTTCGATTTGCTGGACGGCATATTGCCCATTTCAATGCTGCTTTCTAGATTCATGTGCGTAGCTCTGCCTCCACCAATTTCGTTAACATTCCTTGCGATGGCATCATGAACATTGATAGCCTGATTGTTGCCATGGAGTCGAGACCACCAATGTGGCTTTTTAGTGATTCCTATTTCATTATCGGCCTCCGCACCGCGAATACGGCGCTGTCGAATCAATTCTCGGTCTTCGTTGTAATCAACATAGCCGGCAATTTCGTAGACCAAGAAAATGAGAGCAATAGGAAGCCATCCTACGAAGAATACTATCGGTAGATTTGGGTCGATATTAAGAGGTGAGATCGAGAAATCGAAAGCAATAGCTGCCTCATAGCCAACCATAACAAGTGAAAGAAGCAATGTTAGCAAGAACTTGGTGGGTGTGTATTTCAAGAAGCCAAAAGTTCTATTGAACATTCCACGATTCCGCGGCTTGTAATGTGTTATTGAGTGATGAAGTGAAAATGCTGTAGTAAGCCAGCCGCAGAATAAAAGGAAAGCGGCGGCTTTGAAGCGAGTGTCAGTGGCCACAGATTCGGCATTCAATCGTGCTTGTTCTGGATCGCGTTGTTTTTCGATAGCGGACCATGAACGCGGGATTACCATGAAGATGTTCTGGAACTGTCAGAAATTGAAATCAATTTTCCTGGAGCATGAGAATTTACCAGCCATGCGAAAAGGTAAAAGGCCAGCGGAAGATAGAACTCGACCTTTGACCTCCTATCATCCTGTCTCATTGCAAACGGATTTGGATCCACAGCCTGCCTCTCCTGCCAGCTCCCCCAATGGCGTACGCTCTCCCACACAACCGCCATTGTTGTAGGGAGCATCAAAAACCAGAAAAAGTTGGTGAGGACGATCGGAAGCTCCGGCAGGTAGTATCTGTCGACATCGATGCTTGTGATTCCACTAATTGCTCCAAAAGCTGCCGCAACCAGCATCCAGTACCATTGCCATCGTCTTCCAACCGCTCTGAACCGTTTTTCCAATGGCAGAAATAACCGGCCATGTTTCCGCAGATTTATAAATGTGAACACGATGCTCAGCAAGAAGAAGCAACCAAATCCTAGACTCCCTCCAGCACGGGGGCCAATAGATCTAATCGCGCTATAGCATGAAGTATCGTTGAGAAATGTGCCATTCTGTAGGAGGTACGGAGTGTACGGTTCGAAGACGAGGTAGCAGCGCGAGCCGTTCGAGAATGTGCCATTGGAGTAGTAGGTATAATTCCAATGGTTCAACGTCGTGAGATTCCAATGTCTGCCGGCGATGAGGGTGTCGCTGGAGTTGTCTCCTGCTGCGAATGCGAGGAGCTCTCGGGCATTGACGAAAGTACCCATGGTCGCGAAACAATGACGGCGCGATCGACTTCGTAAAGCTGTATTCGAGGGCCCGTTGGTTATTACTACATATTCGAGATGCTAGACTTCCAGGCGTCAGTAAATATCATACAAAACATAGAAGATGATGAATACAGAATGGTTGAATGAGGTGGAGGTGGGGGAGGAATGAGGTCTAGAAGTCCCAAGCCATTGTTGCACTAGAGGTCCAGCTGAATCCCGCAAGCTCCGGCAGTCCTGAGGACTTTTGTTTTCGACTTCCTCAATAAACAGTGAAGAAATGACCCGATGACCTCGTAAAATGACAGAACTACAAGACGAAAATCATCAAATAATATATCAATCTGGGAGAATGTTGTAATTATTTACTTCCAAAACAGAAATATTGTTCTATGACACCGGTGGAACCTCGGACCTCTCTACGAGCTGTGCGGAAGCTGTTGTCGCTCGAGCTGCACAACACAACACCACGCCGATAAACATGGATCACCACCAGCTAGACGTCACACCACCACCTTCTTTACCACCATGGCAAGGTTTGGATCGTAGCAACGACATCCAAATGGCTGGAGCCAACCATAGTCATCACCTCAATCATCCATAATGGCCGCCGAAGAAGAAGATACGTCGTACATCGATTACGAAACTTTCCTATCCCCCACATTCTCCCCCTCCGAATTTGCGAATTCCCTCGTTCTCACAACCAACAACCCAACCGATACACCTCTCGATCTCTCCACCCCACTATCCAGAGTCTTGTTTGATGCGCAAGAAATAAACACACACATTGATACCCTTACGACGAAAAGCGCATTACCCCTCCTCACACATACTAAGGAGCAAACGGAATCGAGCGCCCGAATAGTGCAGGAAATAGATTCACAAGTGTCAAGTTTAAACGAGGGATACAAGAGATTAGAGAAGGAAGTGCTGGTGCGGTATGAGACTGCTGAAGAAGTCAAAGCTGTAGCTTCGAGGTTGTGGGAGACTGTACGACTTGGAAGATCTGTGGGACGATGTTTACAGCTAGGAAGACAGCTTGAGATACAGCTGGCAGAGGTTGCAGGGACTGGAAATCCTGTAAAGACACAGCAAAAAGAGGATCATAGAGCATTGGTGCGATGCTCGAATTCGTTGCTGAGTCTGCGCGAGTTATTCTCCAAAACGGGGCCTGGAGAGGAGGGGTTTGGATTGGAAAGAGTAAACGTGGTTCAGACTCTGCAAAGCTCACTCACATCACCGGCTGAGAGAACCGTTCTTACGAAATGTCAGCAAATCATCAGGGAATTCTCCATGAGCAGTCTCTCAAGCGGTACGAACACCGCCACATTCGCACAAACCGCAGACACAAAATCTAGAACGACTTCCGCTCTCATATCACTTTACCTCCTCTCAAACACCCCGGATACACCAAAAAGCGGATCCAAAAAATCAGAACGTTGGGAACCAGATTTCCTCATCCAAACACTCCAAGAATATCTCCGCACAGCACTCCAATCTTCTCTTGCCTCCATGTCCAGAGCTCTCGCAACTCTCCCAACCCTCGACCGAACCCTCCTCGAAGTTTCCGCCCGCTGCCAAAACATCCTAGCTCTAGAATCCGTCCTCTCAACCACCACACCCCCACCTCACCCTCTCCTCCCATCCACCATCGCCGCGCCCCCAAACTTTCTACAACCCCTTCTCTCTAGTCTCGAAACCGGCTCTTTGGCCTCGTACTTCTGGCGCACGTTAGCTGGGGGTCTAAGTACAAAGGTGATGGAGATTATGAATAAAGGCGGCGTTAGCGCGAGGACGTTAAAGAGTAATCGAAACCATGTGCGCGATGCAATTCGGGAGTGTGTGGTTAGGGGGAGTCAAGCACCAGCTGGGGTTGGGGAGAGGAAGGCGCCAGAGGGGAATTGGGAGAGGGAGGTTGCTGTTATGGTAGGGAGTGTTATTGGGGCTTTGGGTAGATAGGAGCGGTGGTTCATATACCGATCCATAATCTTGGAAGGAATAACGATCTGAAAATGACGTCTATTATGATTTTCTCGAGTCAACAACCACATCACGCTGACATGAGAGATTAACATCTTCACTCCTGATAGTATCCCCGTTGTTTCCGAGGAATTTATATCACGCATAGTGACTCACTAACCTTATTCTAAGATCAATCATCCGTCTTATCAACATATTTTGTGCTTATTGTCGGCTGCACTAATCGACTGTCTATTCAGAGTCATATATTCGTGATTGATCTTACTTGCGGAACTTCCGGGAATTTTGAATTTCTCACATAGGTTACTGGGTTTTGGAGGTATCTATTACTTTTAGCCCACCAAACAGCGATTGAGGTTTTGCTAATTCTACTTAATACAGTATTATTTTTTACTTTCATCTTATCATTTTCTTTATTTCAGTCTCGTTTTAGCGGCAAATCGAGTTGGCATATTCCAAGAAAATATCCAGACAACGAGAACTTCTCGGAACGTCAATTGAGTCGCTGACAATCATTACATCTACAACAAAATCAGGCAGTCTCTGCTATGCCTTCGGAGTGATATGATTTCAACATTATTATTCTCCGGACTCGATTCCTCCCGAGAACAATTGTCATCTAGTGGACCCACTAAGGTCGAGATCGTGGCTTCTGGTTTAGTACACTCCACTGTTGGAGCGATGAGATAGCTTCCTTACAAGTGGATTTGGACCCCGCTTCAAGACGTCGGGAGTAAGGTTGTATAAATATGTATCTGTTTCTGTGGATTGAAAGAAGGGCTTGAGTATTATTTTGTTTTCTTTCTCGAATATCTCATATCCTTTTCATCACACCCTCAATCCTACACACACAGACTAGCCACCCCCATCAAAATGACCGACAACAAACCAACCCTCCACCACCTAAACGTCCGTCCCTCCTTCCCCTTCCCAACCTCAACTAAACCCCCCTCAGAACTCCCAATCCCAACGCATCCTCTGGCTCCTCGAAGAACTCGCCATTGACTACACCCTCACAACCCACACCCGCCTCCCCAACTTCCGCGCCCCACAAACCCTAACCTCCATCTCCCCCTCCGGCAAAGCCCCCCTCCTCATAACCGGCGCCGCCGATAACCACCGTCTCATCACAGAGTCCTCCGCAATAATCACCTACCTCCTGCGCACCTTCGACACCTCTCGCAAATTCACCTCCGAGGACTGGATCCGCGACGAGATCCTCTGCTCGCAGATCCAATCCGAAGCGCCCGTGCGCTTTGCGCTGTTTCTGGACCTTGGGATTATTCGGGCGGAGGGTCCGATGGCTGGACTGGCAACCAGTTTTTCGGGATTAGGAGAGTTGGAGAAGGCGTTGGGGGAGAGCGAGGGCGGGTTTTTGGGGGGTGAGAGGCCTGGGAGGGCGGATTTCTTGATGGAGTGGAGTTTAAGTATGGTGAGTCAGCGGGGGTGGGCGGATTTAGAGGCGTTTCCAAGGTTGAAGGGGTGGTTGGAACGGGTTTATGAGAGAGAGGCGTGGAATAGGGGGTTGGAGAGGGGGAATGGGTATGATTTGAGGGTTTTTCCTAAGGTGGAGGGACGGTAGGCTGGGTGGGAGTTTGGGTGTAGGTGTAGGTGGATTGTATGTATTTTTAACCTCTTTATATTCTTGCAGGGTGATATTTCCTTCGATTCGCGGTAGACTACTTACTCTCCACTAGCAACCAAGGCACCGCATTTCTCGCAATTGCCATGCTCAATCTCCTTAACTTCTGTTGAAACATTCTCTTTCAGCAACACCCACTCCTCCCACCCCTCTTTCCTCCTCACAAACATCGCTTCTACTCCATCACTCTTATCCGCTTTCAGCTCAAGAACATCCGAGCGGCTGCAAGATATCAAAATCGTATTCATATCACTAGTAAGCCGGCTGACACGCCTGACAATTGCAAAATAACTAAGCGGAACGAAGCCCGACAAGTCCATCTGTTTACGAAGGGGCTCGTCTTGACAAAGATTGTCGGGCGAGAAGAGATATTCCCTGGGATGTATTGTTAGCAATTGGTGTTAGTAGAAAGGGAAGGGGGAATGTTACAGGATAATTTTTACTAGACCTGATAAGGTGCTATTGTTAAGTTTCGCACTTCCATACTGCTTTGGTGGTTCTCGCATAGAACCATTCGGTGCCGCTTTCGTTTGCCAGGTTTTCTCCTCAGGCATAGCGCGTCCGGGAGGCCTGTAATTCGATCCACCATCTTTCGAGTCTAGGTTTGATGTTTGCTCCTTGCTATCATCTTTCTGAAGCTCCTCAACTTGCGTCGTGGGGGCGTATCCGGGAAGCCATCCGCCATGGACTGAGTACACTGTTCCATACTGACTAGTTCCACCCGGCACATGAACGAGCTCCTCTACCCATCCGCCGTGGGGTGACCAGAAACTGTTAATGTCTGTTGCGAGTATGCGAGGCTTCTGCCGCTTCCCGTATAAGGTATGGTCATTTTCGGCTGTTTGGTCGTCATAAGGATGCTGGGCTATGAAATTTTCGGGGCTTGGTGAAATTGCTGGCTGGTTCTGTTCAATGTCCGGGGCAGGCTTCACTGCTCTTCGACTGGCTCTCTTGACCTTTCTTTTCTTCTGCTGCACTTTGCGATTTCTCTCTTTCTGCGCAGTTGTTTTTTTTCGAATGTTGGGGACAAAAAGCGTTGAGGGATGAAAGTTTACGTCAAGTGTTTGAGGTATCGTGTATCCTCTCCCACTTTCATCTTTGCAGTGCCGCTCTCGGCTTCTGATGAGATTTAAGAACCACGGAATTGAATTCCTTTGTGGCTCAGGTGGATCTAAGTAAGGAGCTGCCATGCTGTCTCCTTGATTGCGGAGAACCAAGAAAACCAAGTCGTCCTTCTTCCAAGAGAACGAGAATCGCCGTCTCGCTTTCCATTCCCTGCAATTACGCTTCGCTTGCCTCCTTTCGGAGGCATCTTCCTGAGTGAAGGAGTATACTCTGATCTCGTAGAATATGCTCTCCGCTCTAGCTTGGTAGATATACCCATATTTGTCAGACTTCTTGACTCGAACAATTTCGAGCGGCTTTTGCGGGTTTGGCGGTGTCAGAACACTATCTAAGAGGCCGTGTTTGTCTTCGATGACAGCACTTTGTACCGACTGGCCAACGACTTCATCTTTGGTTGCTTGAGGAGCACCGATTTGTGACATAGTCGCTTTCTCGTCAAATGACACCGACAAAGGGGAGGTTTCTTCCTAAGTGATCGGTGTCAGTTGATATCGATTAACAGCAGAAAACCATACCTTTTGCGATCTTTCTACATTTTTGGTCCGCTTAAATGCGTTCAGCATTTGTTTTGGGACCTTGGAGCCCTTGTATGGAGGGCGAGAGAGCGCCGCTTCCTTTTGTCGCTTTGCAGACCCAACGATCTCCAAAGGGTTCTTTTTCGGGACAAAAGGGCTAGCTTCGGGGTTTGGTTCTCGTGATTCTTTCACGGGAGGCCGAGTAGGTAGCTCTGTAACTTCTTTCTGTGGCACTGCGCCCTGAGAGCCCTTGTATGGAGGGTGAGAGAGCACTGCTTCTGTTGGTCGTTTTCTAGACCTAGTGATCTTTGCGCTGTTCTTTTCCGAGACAAAAGGGTCAGCGTCGTGGCTAGATGGACGTGACCCTTTAGTAGGAGGCTGAGTAAGTAGATCTGTAACTTCATTCTGTTGTTTTAAACCTTTGGATTGAGGATGAGAGAGAGCAGCTTCATTCTGCCGCTTTATAGACCAAGTGATTTTCACGCTTTTATTTTTCGAAAACAATGAGCGAGCTTCGAGATTAGTTAACCCGGGATTCTTTAGAATGTGGCTGAGGAAGTAACTCCATACCTTTCTTATGTGGCATTATTATTGCCTGACTGTAGATTGTGTTGTTTTTGGTAACTTCAGGACGATTCAGACAGAATTATGTTATCACATAATTCCACCAGGCTCTAAAGCGAAAGACGTCTGCCGCTATATCCCCGTGCTAGGCCGGTTCCAGGGGTGGGCAGCCTTGCACAAACAAGCCACGAGTTCAGGGGGCGGCAATACTCCAATGGCCAGGCGAATCGCCTGGCTGTTTTATGATCATGTAACTACGTTAAAAATTATATTATAAGGTAAAAGCCAAATTTTCCCCATGTAAATATGTGTATAATTTAGTATATATTTGTGTAAAGAATAGCCTAACTTTAGGCTTTTTCGTTATACACTAATGTAGTTACCTTTAACCTATCTATATAGAGTAAAAAGTTATACTTCTAGCGACTCTATTCTTATAGAATATTCTATATCAAGTAGTTTACAATGTAAAGTATATAAGTAAAGTATATTTTACATTATATCACAATACTTTATCATAAACAATGCAAGATTATGAACTGCAGGCCAGGTGAAATTGTGGAGAATTGAGGCCTTCCCCAGCATTGACTGGCTATCCGCGTATCAATCGACCCCAAGCAGCGGCTGGTGAGTGGCTAGGCGTTGTTGTGGCTTCCGATGATTTTCAGCCGTGGGCGTTATCCCCAGTCAGATTTTGAGACAGAAGAGGCCGCCCGAACGCCCAAGTGCCCAACCAAGGTAGTATGCGGCGGGATGGTGGCTCGTTGGCAGCCATAATAAGGGCGTCCAACCCCCAGGTTTTGGTGATCTTCACGGTAATCTTCTTGCTGTCAACGAACGAACAAAAAATCAAAAAAACACTTACCTGTGGTACTGTCTCTCGCGTACAAAACATGCGAAATGGATTGCTGATGCTCTTATGTAGGCCCTACTCCGGGGACTGTTTGTAGTCTCCGGTACGGTTCATAGCTGAGCGATGGTACGGTGATCGAGAACCCTCTGGAAGCTTTGATACATCACCTCCATATGTATTCGCTGAACCGCTCAATCCACATGATTTCCCTGCTTTGTGGGGCCAATCAACTACATCTCCCCCTCGTCAAGATATTCATTCCCATGTCTCGAACTCTACTTCTGTCAATGCATCGCAAGAGATATCTTGGGACTCATCCTTTGATGAGTTCTTCGATTTGTCCGGTGGTCTTCAAGATTCCATCGTCGACGTGCCATCGCTCCCACCAGACAAATTGCAATGCAGTCAATGCGGTCGCCTCTGTAAAACAAAAGGCGCTCTCAAGTCAGTTCCCAACTTCCCAGAATTATAGTTCCAGTGAGTAACTGACCGTCTTGCAGTAAACACCAGAAGTACCACGTCAAGTCATGGAAATGCCCTCACCTGTCTTGCGGCCTCACTTTCTCCCTCAGAAAAGATCTGGAACGTCATAAGAAATCCAGAACTCACGGAGCAATGGGGCCACGCCATTTCTGCGACTCCCTCACATGCAGTTATGGTCGCAACGGGTCGGAAAATGGGTTTCCTCGTCGAGACAATTGTCTTCGACACAAGAAAACCTGCAGGGAGCGAGTTGGGTTGGACAACAATCCAAATCATATTGATCAAGCGGATCAAACAATACATTAGCTCTGGGTGATGCGAATCGTCAGCGGTACGAGAAAGGCCAACGCACAGTGATGAGTCTCGTCCTATTGTCAGTTGCTTGTCTTGTTAAGAAGATACCTGGCGGTTCGGCGGATGAGTTAACGGTTGCATCCCAGATATTTCGGTGGTTGGAATATTCGGGAGTGATTGAGAGCGCCGCACACGGCATAGGGCCTACACTTTGGCAGTTGTGTTAACCATCATGGCGGACACTCTGTCTCGGCGTCAGGTAATACACGTACTCGCGAAATCAACGCTTTTTAGTTTCAACAACGACTTGTCTGCGCGAAGCATAAGCAAGACACATCCTCCAAACTTCCTACGGGACTTCGGTAACATTCTCGCAACTAGCTCTGAGGACAGACGATTCCATCCTTCTCACCTGTCAAGTGTACCCCATGGTATTCGACGTCAAAGCTTCTTCGCAGGAACGGACACTGTATGGTCTCTGGGGACGTGAGAGACCGATGATGGATAAGAAAAAAAAAAAAAAAAAAAATAACCCCTTCGACAAGGCAGACGCCTCTACGTGGCGCGGAGGACCAGTACTATGGAGGCAAGGATGGACTAACATCAAAACCAACTTAGGAAGCCAAGAGCTGTCGACACTTGCGACGAGTATTGACGGAGGAGAGGGAGGGTTTGCAGTCCCTTTTTTGCGTCACGGGACGACCGAGGATAGGGAGGGGTGCAGTATGGGCCCGATGGAGCTTTGTGATGAGAGATAATTTGGACGCTGCGGACATTGTCTGTAGGAAGGTATAGTGCTGAGTAATATGGTATCAGGGGAAAGTAGTAATGTATTGGGGCTAAAAGCACAAGTGTACGACTAGACTTTAATTATTAGAAATTTACATTTGATTTTCGATCAATACATCCGGCATCAAAAAACAGTGCCACTGTAGCCTAGAAAAGGCTGAAGCCAAAGTTCTCTGCAAAGTTGCTAAGCTCGCATCATTTGGCATTTCGCAGTAGAGATAACTTATAGCTATAAGTAAAGCGACTTACATTGCTAGTATAAATCTTTTGTTTTTATTCTCGGGTTCCTAAAAACTTTTACCGAGTAACGCTAAATTTATAATACCACGACAACGCTTCTAGAAGATAAATACTTTAGTAATGGATTATAGAATACGTAATGAGTCAAAGCTTATTGAATTATAATGTTTGTCGATGCTAGTAAAAACCCCTTATTCTTCTTGATGGGAAGCCTGTAGTCACATGACGAGCACCTGACATGGCATAGCCGAGGCATTTAAGGAAGCTCGTCACTTCTACCTTCCTAGAGCTAGACAACACTCGGTTTTCACTATATCTCTGAAGACAGGGCTGGCGCATAACGCGTGTTATATTCTTATATCTTGGATCACTTCCTTCTAGTAATTTTGCTTATCACACCTTTCGTCTTTTCACCTTAATCTTCAAACTGGCATCAGGCTTCGTGGTCCCCACCATAATCTTGTTTTGAATCTTCGTGGATAGCTTCTCCACGTCGTAATTTTGCACCAAGTACGCCAACATTAGCTTCATTTGTTGCGCAGCAAAGAAACGGCCCGGACATGCATGACGGCCGTGTCCAAAGGGCAGAAATTTGTCTGTTGTGGTGACGATAGAAACCTTGGGCTCGGAGAGCTCTGTTTGTGTACCTCTATATTTTTCACGAGCCTTGGAAAAGCGGAAAGCTTGAAATTCGTAAGGTGAAGGGTAGAGCGCAGCATCCCGGTGGATTGCATGCGCAGGCACGCAGATTCGAATGCCAGGGGGGACGGACAATGGACTGCTGCTATTTGTGCCGTTGGCATTGAATTGAGTTCCTTTGGGATCGACGACCATACGAGTCAACGATATATATCCAAGATCGGAATATCTCATCGACTCTCGAATTGTCGAGTCAACGCATACAAGGTCATCAAGCCCGCTCTTGGTCCACTGGCCACCATTCGCTTGAAGCACGCGTTCACATTCTTCGCGAAGACCGACTAGAAAGTCATCGGAGTTGGGTGAGCGATAAAGATCGAGGATTGTATGGGCCATGGACATGTGCGTGGTGTCGATGGCGACAAAATTGAGCGCTAGTAATCGTTGGGTGATCATTCGAGGATCAAGCTCTTTGGGGTCATTACGTGCAAAGCTCTCTTCAATGATCCATTGAAGTACATCGAGCTGAATCACATGTTAGTGGAGATACCCTGTTGATCGAAAAGGAATACACGACTTACCGGCGGCTCCCACTTGTGTTCAGCATCCGCTCGCTTCGCAGCCGTATGCTGCACTCTTTCTCTTATCACCGGGAGACAGACTCTCAAGCAAATATCACGGTGTTTGCGATTCGAGTAGGTAATGAATGGTGCGAGCAGAGGACGTAGAAGTGGTGGAAGCATGCGCACCATGATTGCGTTCCTGCCGACCCCTTCGGAGTACAGTCTAGAGTGCTCCAGGAAGCCCTCATCCCGACAAATCTCCTTCCCAGCGAAAATTCGATTCAAAGCCTGCGTAACAATTTTCTCGCAGGTTTCTGAGAGGTTCACCTCCGAATAAGACGTGTCAGTGCCCCAGTAATGGCAGAAGCTTTTATCAAGCTCCTCGTTAAAGGCGCTTATTAAGAGAGGAAGCTTGCGATTGACTTGCCGAAGAAGGATATCATATTGTATGGGCACATCGACAACATGACGGCCGAGGGAACCTGTCGTGTATTCATGCATGAGCTGCTCTTCGTGGATAATCTTCATGTCGATCTCCGAATCCGACTTTGCGAGAAGTTCCGGAATGCAGGAATGAGGTAGCACGAGCCATGGTTTCTCGGCGATGACAGGCAAAGCAAACGCTTTGTTCTGCTTTGAAAACTTAGGCCTTGTTAGTTAAGGTATTGCTAACAGCTTCGGGTCTCTCATGTTCTTACGCCCTCGTAGCCGTCGCTTAGCATCTGGCGTATGTTGCCGATAGTTCGGACTTTTGCTCTCATCTTGGGAAACCATTCTTCACGGACACCTGTCCATGCTTGAGAATTCCAGAATCGGCTATGAACCGTGAAGCGTGTAAGAACAAAATGTGCGATGACAACTATGAATAAAAAGGTGAGGATGCCGCCTGATAAAGTCTGTTCACCGATGAGGAGCTCTACGCGTGCAATAACTTCCGAAAGCATTTTGCAACATGCATACCAACATGTGTCAGGCCACGAGCTTCAAAGTCGACTCCTTTTGTTTCAAATATTAATGAGCACAATAGCCCACTGTTCAGGTGAGGAGTTTGGGGACAAGTTTGCGATCACCCTAATCAAAACAGCAGTTTTCCAGAAGCACTGTGTGCAAAAAAAAATAAGAGACAACGCTTGTTTTGATTTCATATTGGATTTCTAGTTTCCTGCCTCAACAATGCTGCAATTACATAATCCGAACAAAACCTCAACATAGGCTATATTATGCTTGAGCTGCTTACCTAACCTGAATGTGTCTCCAACGCCCAAAAAGAACTCACTTCTCGTCCCACAAGCCACCTTTGGTTGCTCACCACAAGTACAAGTCTATAACATCCGTTTCCTGAACGTATTGCAGAAATATCTCGAACGCAATGATTGCGGCACTCTTTACCACAAATCTTCAGCTTGGAGCAGTTGGGGTTTTCATATTTGCACTTCTCGCCTTTGCGTTTAACAAACTGACAACCTGGGAATATTCAATCCCCAAAGAAGTACAATGGGTTGATCGTCGCACACAGCCTTTTTCCTATCTTCGCGCGAAAGCTCGAGCTCTCGCAAGAAGCAAGGAAAATACGCTTGAGGCGTATTTTCGGGTACGAAAAGAAAGCTTCGCCCCAAGGTTATATTTTTACTTACTCGCATGTAGTTCAATAAACTTGGCAAAGCTGCAGCATTGGCGGTGCCTTTCGGCCGTCCCTTGTTGCTTCTGCCACAAACATTCGTCCGTTGGATTGTCGACCAACCGGAATCCATCATCAGTTTGGATCCGATACACGACGACTTCCACGTCTTTGTCGGCGGCGATCTAACTGGTGACCATACCGTGCAGGAGCTGTTACGCCGCGAGTTAACCCTCAATCTGGATAAGTTAATCTCTGTGATCAACGATGAGATAGTTTGCGCTTTAGATGATGTACTGGGAAATTCCCCTGAGTGGAAAAGTACTTCTCTTGCGGATGACCTGAAAACGATCGTTGCAAGGACCTCAAACAGAGTCTTTGTCGGCAAAGACTTATGTAAGTTGATTCATCCTACGCTCATAAATGTTCTGATTATAATTTCTAACAAGTACCGCAGGTCGAAATAAACATTACATAAGCACAGTTAAGGGCTTAGCATTGGTGATTATGCCAGAAACCGTGCTCCAGGATCTCATACCGCAGTTTCTAAAAGGACCGCTTTCCAGGATAACTAAAGCGTTCAACAACATCTACGGTATGAAAAAATTCTCGTCGCTCCTGCTTGGGGTAGTGAGACAGCGATATATTGATGTGAAGGACGTATTGGAGGGATCTGGCGACAAAACACGATTGCCGGATGACTTATTAACATGGATGGTGCAAAAATCAATTCGTAAAGGAGAATCTTCGGCAAACATCGATAAATTATTAGTTGCACGTATTGCGATGGCCAACTTGGCTGCTATCGAAACTACCACTGCTGCGATGACTAGGAGCGTCCTGGATTTAGTCACGCAGGGTAGTGAGGGAGGTTTCCTAAAAGCTGTTCAGGAAGAAACATTGGCCGTGGTGGAAGGATGCAATTATGAACCGAGTAAGAAAGATGTGCTGAAACTTGTTCTGACCGAAAACGCTATTAAGGAAGCTCTCCGTCTCCAGGTCGCCTTTCCAGGTCTCATGCGCCAAGTGGTGGCTCCAAATGGTGTCACGCTCGAAAACGGCCTGCATGTGCCTTGCGGCACTCGACTGGGAGTATCCGCGGCTGGGATTCATGTTGACGAATCGATCTATGAAGACCCCACGACCTACAATCCAGGCAGATTCTTGGTCAGAGACTTGGATCCTCGAGGTGATCCCAGTCCGATGTGGAAAGGGAATGAGAATTACCTCGCTTTTAGCCTGGGGAGACGCTCGTGTCCTGGGAGATGGTATGTGACTGATCAGTTGAAACTCACACTCGCACATATCTTCTCCAAGTACGAAATTAGATTCGAGAAGGCTGCAGAGACGGCAAGTGCGCTTAGGAAGATTTTGCCTGGTGCTCCTCAGGATCGTGTCATGATCAGACGTAGGTCAGTTGGCAAGAGGTAGTCTTGTGATGTATCTGAAAATGAATGATATAGAGTTAAACTTCAATGTTCTACTCGTGTCGGACTAGTCACTACGAGTTACATGCTTTGTGAGGGAATGACTTTGTCATTTTCCAAATGACAAGTAAGACAGAAAAACCAATTTGTGCGTAAGTAGTTTATGACCCACCACCATATCCAATTCATCGTTCGTTTTCAAATTATTTAATAGCGACCAACACGAATAATCTGAAATGGCTAGTGATACAGTATTCTGCGCCGCGCACTAATGGAGGTTTTCGTTTAAGATGACTAAGCCTTCCGTAGCATTAGGTGGCCACAGAGAAAAAAGCCTATGTATATTTCTAGAAAGTACGAGGGGAAACTTTTCTCGTTGCCGCAATCTCTATCCACTCATTATACAACACCCGCCCAGATGGATCAAAATCCAATATTAATTCAACGACACCACCATCGCCAGAATTTCGCACAGAAGGCACCTCCAGCGCCCTTGTTTCTGATACATGATGGAGGCGGAACAGTTTTCTCCTACTTTCTTCTAGAATCACTTGGGCGTACTGTCTACGGAATCTCCAATCCAAATTTCGAAACTGAGTCAACATGGGAAAATGGCATTGCGAGCATGGCGGAATACTACGTCAATTTGATCAAAGCTACTTATCCTTCAGGCCACATACTTCTAGGTGGTAAGCCAAAGTCATTTCCTGGTTTTACAAAATTTGAAGCTGACGCTTTTCCTAGGCTGGTCTCTCGGTGGTCTTATCGCTATCCAAGCGGCACACATTCTCTCCAATGATCCCGAACTGAAAGTTGTTGGTATCGTTATGATAGATAGCACATTTCCTGTAGAAGGGCAATTCAATAAGGCGCGCAGACTTGCGTTCATGGCAGAAACATCTACAAGTCCAGACATGAAAGAGAAGACAAGAAAGTGTATGGATGAGGCTCGAATACAAAGCAGAGAATGGAAGGCTCCATCCTGGCGGAGTTCTGCTACTGAGACCCTGGATAATCATAGCCAGACTATCAATGTGCAGATCCATGATCATGTAACGCCTACGTGCCCTCCTACAGTACTAATTCGGGCCCTTGACGACGGCTCTAATAACAGTCGAGATTTGAATGAAACGTCTCCTACGGAGACATCCAACGACAGTGAAACGCAAGCGTTAGGGTTCGACAGATATCAGAACTTCAACTTGCGATATGTAGTGAATACTCCAGGTGACCATTTCAGTATTTTCAACAAGGAAAACGTAAGCAGAAAGATTCTCACATTAACAGAACTACGAGATCTAATAGTAGTTTTATAGGTTAAGGAGCTGAGCAAAAAAGTCAAAGAGGCATGCGATAAGCTTGTAATGAAGTCCTAGAGTATTTAGCGTTATTGAACAGTACGCTGTACACTTCACAATGTATATAAAAAGCGCTTATGCCAAAGTGGTAGAACTCGTAAGTTGTTGATAGATACACTTGAATCAATTGTCCCAGAGGCTTCAATGTCTAAAGATTTGATTTTATAATTCTAAGTTTAAGGTGATCTCAAGAAAAAGACAGGGTGATGTCGAATTACCTTACAAAAAAATTCTTTAGCGTGGCTTCGTCAATGGAAATATCCGTCTAGGAACAGTAGAGAGAATTGCAATTAAACATGTTTGAGATATCATGAAGCTCATTTTGACTTGGTATCCTATTGAACGGATTGTGTCTGCGCGAGGGAGCAAAAACTTAAGTGGTACAAGATTCTCCGAGCACAAAAGTTGATAATATAGACTCAGGCACAGATAGCATTTACTGGTGATTTTCATCTGATCGAAATCGTCAGAATTTTCGAAAGAACAACAGAGTCTACTCCACCCCTGTATAGTCACGCAAAGAAATGAGTGACTCTTCTCCGTCTGGTCTATAGCCCAATGGCCGCGCAAAGGCATCGAACTTTCTACAGTGATAGTCCTTATACAGCCACACTTTTCCATCATCGGAAGTGATTTCAGCCTCCTCGTTCGGGCGTAAAAAGTACGCAATCGTATACTTTGTTGCTTCAGGAGCGACATCACTAGGTAAGACCCTATGAAGCGAGGGAAGAATTTTGCCCCGTGAAAGGAATTTCAGCGAATCTCCCAATTGTACGAACAAGCATTCATCGCTAGGATCAACCCATATCCATTTCTGAGTGATGTTGTCAAGAGTTTGCAGTCCTCGCTGGGTCGCAGCTAAGATGGTCAAGCTTCCAACGTCCGTATGTGCAATATGCCCGAAATTCCCAGACTCTTTGGGCTGAGGGGGATATCTTATTAAGCCCATGTTTGTGACGCAAGGTAAAGAAGTGTTGTGCGCATTGAGCAATTCATTCCCAAGTTTAAGACCCTCTGTCAGTCGCTGCAATAACATTTGGGCTGTTCGTTCGTAGTGTTTGAAGCAGTCGGTGAGTGTGTCAATATTAGACATAGCCAGAGGAGGACAATTGAGTTGCTCTCTGAATTCGGAAAGGAGAATCTCCTTTTGAGGTAACTAAAACTTCAACATGAGCAATAACAGGTAATCTATGCGGTTTAGACCTACAAAGAAGAACTCGAATCCATCAGGATTTCCTGCTTTGGCACCCTCTTCACTCCCAAGAGGCTTAAATCTAGTTTAAAAATTAGAATAAATATTGTTCGATTGACTCTTAGATTTTGACTTACCCTGTGGTTCGGAAACGTCCTGTCTTATGAAAATGATACGCCGCCTTCACATCCTCAGGACTGTCGAGAATGCTCTCTGCAAATGACTCGAGAAACTTGACATCCTTTTGCAATGCTTTCGCTTCCATGCAATCGAGCTCCAACTCAAGAAATCCTTGGGTAGTTGCCGCTTCTGCTAGAGCTTCAACATCTTTGTCGTTACCGCGGAGAAGTCCAGCAAACGATATCTTGTACATGGTGAAAGATGCAGCGAGCAGTGGTACTGTCAGCTAAAGATGGGCATTTCTGAAAGGATGTGAAGGGGTAGTTCTTTAATTATAGAGCTAACGCATGATGGCAAGCAAGTTTATAAGCGACCACTAGGTGTCCGAATATGCAAGTCACGGATATTATTAAAATCATCATTGCTATTTTTTCACTTCTATTGTTAACTCAGATATAATCCATACAGCACAATATTGTTGATTGAAATATCTCTGTTGAACTTGGATGCTTGTATGCTCCCAGATTTGTATCCTACTGGTGACTACTGTCAACCAGAAAAGCTTCCATGTGAGCTCAATACCCTTTAACAGTGACAAAACTTGGATTCGTTCTCCTTCATATCAATGCCTTACTCATAAAATCTAATCTAAGGTGCCTTCATCAGTAGATAGGTATCTTCTCTCTCGCTAAACTTCGCTTCGCCGTCTTTCATCTCATACTTCCTCTTCAAACCCTCAATGGTTAGCAAACCAAGCGCCTCAATAGTTCCCGCATTTAAAATCTCCAAAGTACTAAACTCTAGCCCTCCAAAACTTCGCTTCATCCAATTCCGTATTTCGATTGTTACGAGAGAGTCGACACCTAGTGCCGCGAGAGTCTGCGATACATCGAGGTCTTCGATTGGTTGTAGCATGAATGTGTAAATGCGAACCCCAATTTCATTCGTCACAAGATCAAGAGAAGCCGGAACATTAAGAATAGAGGAATCGGTCTCGACAGAAGACATGAAGCTCTTCAGTTGGTCTGTTGCATTGGTAGTATTGGCCGAAGTCGAACTTCCAGTGTTGAGATAGGCACCCATACGTGCGTCTCTCTTGAACGACACACGGTTACTGGGATCCGAAAGCGACTTGCTAGACCGAACACCGATCAAAAGCTGATTTTGACCAGGGAGACTCGGTTTCACTGCAGATTTTGCAACCGCCCAGTTCAAAGAGTCAAGAAAATCTTGCTCCTGAAGAAAATAAGTCCCAGCTCCACGAAGTGATTCCTGGATAGCCGCGTTTCGGCTGACATAGCCAATGTCGCCCATGACACCAATGTCGACAACAGATGCAGGAAGACCAAGACTATGACGATATTGGACAAACGCATCGAGGAATGTGTTCGCAGCCGCATAATTAGCTTGACCGGCATTCCCAAAAGAGCCACTGAGAGAACTAGTCGCTACGAAAAAGTCGAGATCCTTCGGAAGCGCATGGTGTAAGTGCCAAGTTCCTTCGACTTTAGGAAGTACGGAAGTTTCCCAATCAGAGCAACTCATCTCCAGGAATGGCTTATCGTTTAAAACCATTGACATCTGGAAAACACCTTTGATTGGCTTCGATGCACGTTGGACTGCATTTTGTACGTCCTGAAATGTTGCCACGCTTCCTGTAAAAGCCTGCACCGTACAATCTTGACTCTCAAGCTCACGGAAGAAAGATTGATCCTGATCGGATTTGCCCGCTGATCGTGACAGGAAAATTAGATGACGTGCTCCTCTCTCGACCATCCAAGTCGAAACAGCACGACCTAAGCCACCGAGCCCACCGACAAGTAAATAACCAGCATCCGGATTCAGTTTTAACTTAGGAACAATTGAAGCGAGAGGTAGATCCGTGTTCTGTTCTGGGATTGTGACTACAATCTTGCCGATGTGAGATCCCTTTTGCATGTACCCTAGAATGAAGTTAGATCTCCGTCACAATAAATGAGTTTGGGATTACGAACGAAAACTGTCTTCGACCTTTGCTCCTTCGAATACCTTCATTGGGGCGATGGGTTTAATTAAACCCTTTTCATAAAATTCCATCATCTGGACAAGTAATCTATCGACTTTTAGTGAGTCTTCCCGGGAATTGGATGTGTTAAACTTACAGCTGACATCTAGCAGCGTCGAATTTGGCAAGATCAACTCCAAAGAAACTTCGGTTGCTCTCAAATAGATCCATATTCAGCTGTGCTTTGCCGATGAAATCGCGCTTCCCAATCTCAACCATACTGCCATACTCAGCTACACACTCCCAAGATGCATGTAGAAGCTCGCCAGAAAGGCTGTTGAGTACTACGTCAACGCCCCGGCCATTGGTGGCGGCTTTGATAGCCGGTAGGAACGAGGTGTCACGTGAGTTGAAGATATGATCACGAGAAATACCGAATGTGTCCATCAGGTAATGGACCTTTTCTTCGTTGCCGACGGTTACGTATATCTGTCTGCGTTAGTAATTCTTCTATATGACAGTATTGCGATGCATAATACGGAATGGAGGTTCATACCTGTGCGCCGACGATGTTCTGGCAAATCTGGATCGCTGCTAAACCAATTCCACCACAAGCCGAGTGGATCAAGACACTTTGACCCTTTTGTATTCTTCCAAGATTTAGAAGAGAATGAATGACGGTGGCATAGACGCAGGGCATCGTAGCTGCTTCTTCCCATGAGAGCGTTGATGGTATCTTCGCGCATCGCAGTGCTGGAATTGCTGTTCTTGTGGAAAAGCAATTCTGATCGATGTATAAGACTCGATCCCCGACTTGGAAATCCGTGACCTCGGAACCAACTCCCACCACGGTTCCTGAGCCCTCGAGGCCAAGACCATCCCCACTCACGATACCCATAGATACGAGAACATCCTAGTGCGAAATGTTAGAATGAATGAGTTTCACACCAATGTTCAAAACACTCGACGTACCTTGAAGTTCAAGCCTGCACATCTAGGCTCCACGATAACCTGATCATGGCCGACCTTGTTTTGGAGATCAGGTACCCATCTCAAGGTCTGCAACAGTCCAAACCTGCCAATCTCAAGCTTTACTGCCTGGGACTGCGAAGCTGAAACTGCGAGTTCTTGCTCAACTGACACGGGATGATATCTCCCAATATTCACAACTCCCTTCGATAAGACAAACTCATAATCCGGGTTCATATCCGATACGGAAGAGCTGTTTTTGAGTTTGTCAAACACATTCGTAATGGCGTTATATGCAACCTCATCGACTGTGTCTATTTCAAGGGTGGCAATAGATAATGACAATTCAGAGCGAAGGGTTCTCGCTAAACCCAAAACCATACCGAAACGAGGATCATAAGACTCAATTTGAGCTGATCTAGTTACCCATAGTAGGTGATTCGTTCCAAGGTTTTTGACAAGTCTTTGAAATAATGCCAAATCCGTACCCGAAATCTTTTCAAACATTGGAGTCTCAAGCTCAAGTAGAGACACAATGTCCTGTCCAGCAGGGGGTTCTTCCTGAATTGTGCAAAGATCGACTGAGTAACCTTTGTTTTCTAGTGAGAATTTTATTTGCTGAATATTCAGGTTGGGTTCATAGAGAAGAGTGATTCGCCGAGCAATCCGGTCCACCTTGGCGGGTCGGGAAATTATGTTGGCATTAAACTGGTACGGCTGCTCAGCATCGTATACTGTAGCGTCACAGCCGGAAAACCCAGCCTTTCGAAGCTCAACTGCCCATCGCTCAGGGGAGATATAGGGTTCATTGGCTCGACCATCTGCCTCGCCAAGCCACCAGCCCGGTAAGACACCCATAATTCTAACGCGAAAACGTATTAGCGATTTTCTTTTGAAGACGATGTGAAACTTACAAATTGGCGAATTGAACCTGCGGTGAAAGCTCTTGCAAAAACAGACGGCCATCTTCAGCAAGCAATTTGCGGGCATGACCTAGTGTGGTGTTCAGGCTTGGTGTTGCGTGCAAAACATTCGCTGCGATAATCAAATCATATGATCCTTCTTGAAACCCTTGCTCTGTAGGATCTTTCGATATATCGAGCACTTTATATTCCAGCCCATGGTAATCCTTGAACCGCTCTTGAGCCTCAACGAAGAAGCCAGAAGATATATCGGTATAAGTGTAAGTTGAGTACATCCGTTGTGCTGTCGAAGTCAGCCCTTTGAGGACAACAGCTGAGGTGCCTCCTGTTCCAGACCCGATTTCCAGGACCCGTAAGTTTGGTTTCGAATGCCCAGCCGCTGTAAAGAAATCGATGCAATCCGTTCGGTGTTCCAGACTATCATAGAAATGTGTGAGTCCATTTTCAGGAAGTAAAACTTCTATACCATCAATTTTTCCCACCATGATATCCTCGCAGTTCTTGACAACTCGAGAAATTAGTTCTCCACTTGTCGCTACTTCCGAGTTCGATATTTCCTTGGACAGTTCAGCGATGAGCATCTGCCGCTCTCCAGCATTAAGCACAGTTAGAGCCTGTGCATCTTCAACCAAATTGTACCGGTCCTCGGATGCTCTTTCAACCTGGGCATTAATCCAAGAACGGAATTTCTCCAAATACTCAGACTTAGTGACAAGTCCAGAAATTCGACGACCAATATCAATCATGGACAGTAAAGTGAATTTTTCGAGAGTCTTTGTGGCAGCCGTGGACTGCTGTCGTGGTCGGATCAGGTTGTCTATCTGAACAAAGTCAAGATCTGGTTTCCAGTCAAGCCTGGCACCTGCGACTGTGTCAAGATCTTCGTCTGACGAATCTTCCTCGATAGGTGAAAACTGTCCTCCAATTAAAGATAGGATAATAGCATCGCCTGAAATAGCTACCACGTCCCCAGATATGGTGCCAGTAGAGGTTTGGGCACCACAAGCTTCGGCCTTAATCCCACTTGTACTTTTGCCACCACAGATATAGAGCTGATCAATGCTTGTAGGAACACATAGCTTATTGATATTTCGCAGAGTGCCCTCACATGTCGAAACAATGAAGAGCTGCAGGCAATGGTCTATAGTGGCTGGATGAATGGCGTAATGTGATTCTGACAGCTCCGATTTGGACAGTGTTGCTGAAGCAGTCATCTTTTTTGGCAATGCAGAAAGACGTTCTAGCCCCTGGAAAGTGGGGCCATAGTTGAGACCGACTTTCTTCATTGCTGGGTAGGGTGATGGAACCGAGCGCGGATGGTCCTCAATTCGGCGAGGGAGTTTGAATTTAGGGTTGTCAGTTCCGGATCGAATTTGGCCACCGCAATGCTTTATCCAAAGACTCCCATTGTACGATGAGATAGAAAAGTCCCACCAGACAGAGTTTAACGTGTTGGTTAGTCTTACCGGTCGCAAGCTAGTTATCATCTCAACAGACTTGGAGTCCGACATAACTAAGGCTGTCTGTATAACAATGTTTCGGAAAGTGAAATCTTCGGAAGCGGATATTTGTCGTATCGCTTCACAGGCCATGGAAAGATACCCGGCACAAGGAAACACTACGTCGTTGATGATTTGATGGTCTCGGAGCCAAGGAACATTGTCAAGGTGTAGTACATTTCTCCACTCCGGTTGAAGTTCGTTGCCTTCCACTGTACGAGATCCAAGGATTTCATGGTTGGGATATTTTCTAAGTCTCCATTGCTTACTCACTCTGCTCTCTTTCCAATACTCCTGATCATGGCACCATTGGTATAGTGGCAGGTCGGTCAAGACTGTTCCATTGGGGGCAACTTGCTTAAAGTTGATGGAGATGTGTTGAAGGTATAACTCGCCAATCATCTTGAGTATGCTTTCGCCACAGTCCTTCCCACGTTCCAGCGCCGTAACATACGTGTCGTTCTTTCTTGAATTGGCTTTCAGGATCTGTCTGATGGGCCCAGCCAGGGCAGAGTGGGGACCAATCTCTAAGAACAAATGGTCTTGAGCTAGCGTGTCAAGTATGAGCTTGATAGCCGAATTGAAGAGGACGGGGTTTTCAAGGTTTGACCGCCAATATGCAGCATCGAGTGTTCCGGATTTACTGACGACTTTCCCAGAGACGCTAGAGAAAAATGGCACTACTGGGGTCGTGCTCTTCAAGTGAGGTCGAAGTAAAGCTTCGTACGCCTCTCCTAACTCTTTCATATGATCTGCAATTTGGAATTAGTATAGAATAAGATTGTTTAGGTCTTTGCAATAATTGTAGACTTACGTGAATGGTATGCCATTTCGACCTTGAGAGGCCGTAAGAAGACATCGGGGAGTGCAGTCTTGATAATTTCACAAGTCGCGTTTAGCGCATCCTCATCGCCAGAAAGCGTTACACTACTTGAACTGTTCTCACAAGCAATTGAAACACCCGGGTTCAAGAAGGACATGACGTCTTCTCTTCCCAGACCCACTGCCGCCATTCCCCCACGGCGGGAAAAGCCTTTCGTGACCTGACCTCTGTAGTAGGCAATAATGATTGCTTCGTTTGCTGTAATTGCGTTTGCAGCATATGCCGCGGCAATCTCACCACTGGAATGGCCGACTACGGCCGCTGGCTTAACACCAAATTGCCGTAAAAGGTTGACAAGTGCGACCTGGATTGCAGTGACAAGTGGCTGAGCAAATTCTGCTTTGCTGAGACAACTTACCGACTCATGTTTCAATAACTCCTCCTTGATGTTCCAGGATGGTGGATGGTCCAACTTTGAAAGAGTATTGTTCATCAAGTCAATGTCTTGGCTAAAGGATGGAAAGTCGGCCATGAGTTCTTTTCCCATCTCAGCCCACTGGGCTCCCTGGCCAGTAAACACCATTACCAGTGTTGGGGTCTTCTTTGGCTTGGTAAGAGGTGAGAATTGCAAGGTTGATAATCCATCTGTGACACAAAATGCACGATTTGATAAGTGTTCTCTGCGGTTGCACAAGTTGTATTCGATATTTACCAACTTCTCAGGGTTTGTTTCAATATACTGCTGGTGCTTGACTACATTCGCTCTCAAAGATTCTGTATTGGTTGCAGAAAGCACCAACAGAGCTGGTCTAGGTTTGGAGTGTCCATTGACTGAGTGGCCATTGATTGAGTTTCCATTGGCAGAGTGTCCATTGATTGAGTGTCCATTCGTAGAGTGTCCATTGACTGAGTTCCCATTAACTGAATGTCCATTGACTGAGTTTCCATTGATTGAGTGTCCATTGGTAGAGTGCCCGTTGACAGAGTGTCCATTAACTGAGTTGCCATTGATTGAATGTCCATTGACGGAAAGCCCATTTGTGGTGTTCCTTTTCGTACTACTGATACCCATAGACGCAGGGCTGTCGAGGATGACATGTGCATTTGCTCCCCCAATACCGAAGGAGTTGACACTAGCTCTCTCGGCTTGGACCTTCGGCCACGGTATTGGTTCAACGGCTACCTTCATATTTGACGCCTCGAAAGGAATTTGTGGATTAGGAGTCGAAAAGTTGATATTCGGTGGGATGGTTCTATTCTCAAGTGCCAACACCGCCTTCATAATCGACGTCACTCCGGAGGCGCCTTCGCTGTGGCCAACGTTTGGCTTGACACTCCCAATATAAACACCCTTCTCACTACTAAACACTCTAGCAATAGCAGTTGCTTCTAAAGGGTCGCCGATTTTCGTACCCGTGCCATGTGCTTCCACGAAAGCTGTCTGGGTAGGGTCAAGACAGGCTTCCTTGTATGCTCTTCGCATCATTGCCTCATGACTTTCCGAACTTGGCAAAGTTATACCCGGCGTCTTTCCATCACAATTGCTTGCTGTAGCTCGAATCACGCTCCGAATATTATCACCGTCTCGTATGGCGTCGCTCAGTCGCTTAATATAAATAGCATTTATAGCTTCCCCTCTGGCGTAACCATCCGCCGATTCATCAAAGGATTTACACGCGCCATCGGGAGAAAGGACACCTTGCTCTGTCATAGCGATTGACATGGTCGGTGAGATTATGAGGTTTGTTCCTGCAATGATAGCGCCATCGCAATCGCCAGCTTGAATGGCCCTAGCAGCTTCGTGCAGTGCAATCATAGATGACGAGCACCCACTTTTTATCGTAAAAGAAGGCCCTTTCAAATCGTACTCGTAGCTAACTCTGTTGGAAATTGCAAAGTCTTGACCTCCAGATATACGGTACATCCCCTACAAATGTCAGTCTGAGTACAATTGCTGCTGGCATATACATACCGCATCTTGGCTGTCTTTTGCATGGATATCTACCCAGTCCTGTGAATCTGGTCAGAAACGTAACCTGGTTCATAATGGAAAACTGTACTTCTCCCCAAACGCCAACATAACATCCTATATTCCCTCCTCTCCAGTTTGATTGTCCTGCATTCTGCATGCACTCGTACACGACCTCTAACAGCATGCGTTGCTGAGGATCAAGAATTTCCACTTCTTTTTTGCTCATCGAGAAAAAAGAAGCGTCGAAGTGTTGTAGATCGTCGGTCGGCCCTAAGAAATGACCATGTTCCATTTTTACAGTTCCAACTCTCCCCGAAGGACTGTAAAAAGCCTCAATATTGAATCTATCACTGGGAACTTTGCATCTGGACGATCTTTTTTCGACCAGCAAATTCCAGAAGTCTTCAGCTGTATGAATTCCACCCGGTAGTCTCATCCCCATACCCACGATAGCGAGAGGCTCGTACGCCATGTTTGATGGATCAACGCTACCACTGATGTCGCCCATCTTTTGTGATGTCTATGTTAGAGAAATGGTACAAATTGAACACGGAAGATGAGAACTTTGTGGGAGGAAAGATTAATTAACAAAGCTTGGTCATTATAAGATCTGAAAAGTCTTCAGGCTGGCCAGTTTGGATGTATGGTATGGATGCTGTACTATATCCCCTCCTTGCAGAGAACGCAGAAGATATGCACGTCTCATTTCTGTGTCAGCTTAATTGTATATAAGTTAATGAAAGCCTTGATTCGGTTTATGTAACACCGCGTGTCACATACTCACATGCAAAGAGCTACACAGCACGGTTTGGGTGAATACCATAAATGTAAGACCCGGGCACAGTTCGGGTGTGTTCCGGGTAAGAACCTTGGGTATATAGGCAGCGGTTCATTCCTTACCATATTCCTTGTCTTTTTATATGCTTGGTGCCAGACCTAGTAGTACCGGACAAGCCACCGAAAAACCACATACCATTTCCTTGGTGCTCGTAAACTCGTGTCGTTACACACAGATACGGAAGGCATGGTTAGTGTTACGTTACTTCAGCTGAAATTGACAAAATTGACTACTCTTGTCCAGTGTTTTTCGAGGCAGTGTTATAGACGTAACAGCTCGGGGCATCTGCTGGAAAAAGCGCTGATAATAGTAAGAACAACGGTAGTAAAAAGAATAGTGCCTATAATAGGAGGGACTGGTAAAGAGAATCGAACATCTAGAGTTGCGATGTAGCTCTGTCGGACGCGAAAATAAGGGAAGGCCAGGTTGTAGTTCAAAGCGATGTTGACGTGACGCGTCGCGCTTCGGCAGCCAGTTTTCTGACCAGGGAATTAAGCACGTGCCCAGTCCCGTGATTAAAATGACTAAGCGCCAACGCCGACGCGTGTAGGCTAAAGCTCGAAACGCGCAGCTGACAAAGTTCTGACGAGACAACACGCAGCTTCGCTGAGCTTCGCTGTGAATTGCCACATTCTGGCTTACAATATTACACAACGATAGGAATCTCTACACCCCCTGTGAGATATCGACTTAAGTGAGAGCCAGAGAGCAGCTGCTTATTTCTGTTTTCATGACGGTTGATACAGGACTATGACGCGAAGATGTCGCGTGCTTGCCCGAATTTGGATTGCAAATCTTCCTTTTTTTTCCATGCCAAAAGTGGCCCAGGGAGCTTGTACCAAAGCTCCCGGAAATGGTATCGGCTGGACGATGAGAGGAGGATAGTTGCTCTTTATACTGAGGCCTATACCTTCGTCCGTCAACCCAGGATGACAGTGGAGCCACATAAAATTATTGATATTCAGCCTCCTTATGGGAGTTGAAGACCGACCCTGCCATGTACCGCTTGGTCTTTTTGGACAAGCTTTAGCTGACCGGTCCGTTTAGATCTTAGTCATATCGCAATAATTGTTACTGTGGCCTAGATTTACTTTGTTCAACATCTAGACAGGCGCGATGTTTCAACAGATGCCATACCTCCTAGTCCTAAGGTACACAAGCTAGCGATACCACTTTGCAGCACCGATGAGATTTTGGTAACAAAATTTACCTTGTACAACAACCGCAACAACTTGTGAACGCCTTGAGATAGAGGTAAGAGGGCCCTGCTCTTCGAGACCTTCAGAGTGTACTGAATGTTTTTAAGGATTTCTCTTGTACGATTATGACTCCATCAAGAAGCTTGGAAAACGGGGAGAAGCAGATGAACTGGAATGAATCACCTCAGACTGCGAGTCCGAAGAATGTACTTCGTGATTCTAACAGCAACGGCAATTATGTCAATGGACATGGCACGAATATCAACGGCGATGGTAGTGATGGCGTTGGAAATGGCATTAATGCCAATGGAAGTGCGACAAAAATAAATGGAAATGGCACGTATACTAATGGAAATGGGGCTCATACTAACGGGAATGGTGTTCATACTAATGGCCATGGAATCTCGCTCGAATCTCAAACGTCTGATTCGAAGGTCCATTCAACAAGCAAATTCAAGGAGGAGTTCAGGGCCATCTGCGCGAAAGTCCTCAAAATCGATATTGAGGAGTTAGACGATACTTGCTCTTTTGTTTCTTTGGGAGGCGATTCTATATCGGCTATCAAGCTTGTAACGGAATGCGAGGTGAGGGGCATAGAGTTGAAGACTGTTGATGTTATTAGTACACATACGATTTCGGGGCTGTTCGCTACAGCAAATTTTCGGCCCTTCGGAAAACATAGCAACGGCAAAACTGGTATCAGCTACAGCCGTAATCAGGAGGACGATGACCCTTCGCCATTCGCGTTATGGACCGCTCACCGGGATTCAGATTTAATCGAGAAACGGCAGCGACTGGAGGAGATCGCGGTGTTATGCGGTGTTGAAACCGAAGAGATTGAGGATGTTTACCCTTGCACACCTTTGCAGGAAGGTTTGATAGCAATAACTACGCGGCAGCCAACAGCGTACGTGCAGCGTCGTGTATGCCGTCTGACGAACGAAATTGACTTGGAGCGATTTTGGGCAGCTTGGGAGACGCTAGTTGCAAATGTGGCCAGTCTACGAACCCGAATAATCATGGGGCCTGGTGGCCAATCACTGCAGGTGGTAATCCGCGAAAAGTTGTTATGGCGGCGAGGATCGAATTTGGGAAGATATCTATCGCGGGATCGTGCTGACGGAATGATGCTCGGACAGCCGCTGGCACGGTTTGGTCGGATACAAGAGGAAACCGGAAGTTTTTTTGTTTGGACAGCACATCACAGTATTTTTGACGGGTGGAGCGCATTATTACTTTACCGACAACTTTTAGCAATTTACCAGCAAAGTTACGTTCCTCGTCTGGTACCCTTCTCCCGGTTCCTTCGCTACCTTGCCGAGCAAGATTCTACAGCTGCAACACGATACTGGCACAGTCAGCTTCATGGCGATACAATGGCAGATTGGCCAGCATTACCCAGTTCAAATTACCAGCCACAACCGCAACATGTATTTCGAAGTAGTATCAATCTTCCACACGGGTACAAACCAGGAACGATTATGATATCTAACCTCCTACGAGCGGCTTGGGCTCTTGTTATGGCGCAGTATTCTGGTAACGATGATGTAATATTTGCTGTTACCGTCTCAGGTAGAAGTGCACCGGTGTCACAAATAGCAGATATTATTGCCCCTACGATTACTACTGTTCCTGTCCGAATACGTATAGACCGCAGCATGAGTATCGCGGAATTGTTACTGGAGATCCAGAGCCAAGCGGCAAAGATGATTGAACATGAGCATACTGGCCTTCAAACGATTAAAAAGCTGCTTCCTGAATTCGGTACTGCATTGGAGCTACGGAATTTGCTCATTGTACAGCCTGAAGCCGAGAGTGATGATTATGTTTATAAGGAGTTCCCTGGGCTCGAAGCTATACGGGAAGCGATGGAAGACTTCGACAACTACGGTCTCAATGTCGAATGCATATTGGGAAGCCAGTCAATTGAAGTTCTGGTCAACTACGATGATCATGTCATCAATACTATGCATTTACGGGATGTTATGGGACAGTTCACATATACAGTCCAATGCTTGTGCAATCCATCGGTCAGCAAACTCTCAGTCAACGATGTGGCTACGATCAAGACATCTGATCAACAACGAATCCTTGAATGGAATGAGCATATTCCTCCGAGCGTGGACAGGTGCATTCACCATCTGGTGCAAGATCAAGTCAATATACAACCAGCTAAGCTCGCAGTCGACGCGTGGGACGGAAAATATACATATGCTGACTTGGCGAGAGAAAGCATAAGCTTAGCTCACCACCTAGTTGGCCTCGGGTTAGGACCTGAACAACCAGTAGGACTCTGTATGAGCAAATCTAAATTTAGCATCGTCGCCATGCTAGCTATTTTATATGCAGGTGGCTCGGTCTTGCCATTGGGTGTTTCGCATCCGTTCGCTAGGACAAGTGGCATTGTTCAAGAGGCTAAAGTTAGGATCGTTTTGGTTGACGAGTCGCAGCGAACTGAGCTGGCTAAGTTGGCGACAACTCTGATCGTGGTAGACTCGGAGCTCATTGCAGCCTTGCCATCTGAAGCGAAACCCCCTGAGACTGGGGTAACGCCTGAGAATGTTGCGTGGATTCTTTTCACATCCGGAAGCACTGGGACCCCCAAGGGAGTGGTTTTACAACACGCATCGCTCTGTACCAGTCTGATAGGCCACGCAAATACGGTAGGAATCAACAAATACACGCGAACCTTTCAATTTGCCGCTTTCACGTTCGATGTCAGTCTCTGCGACATTTTCAGTACTCTCCAAGCCGGAGGATGTGTCTGCATGCCGTCTGAAGATGAGCGCATGAACTCATTGGCAGAGGCTGCGAGTCGAATGGAAGTCAATTATGCAGAACTCACTTCCACAGTGACGGAGACTATAAGTCCATCCCAGGTACCTTCATTAGCCACTCTGGCTCTCAGTGGGGAGGCTCTAAAGCCTTCGGTTCTGTCCACTTGGGCAAGACACTCTAGTGTGTTTAACTCATATGGCCCGACCGAATGCTCGATTGTGGCGTCCAACAGCAAGCGATTATCAAATGTTGAGGAGGCACAAAATATCGGAGGACCAATGAGCTCAATATTCTGGGTTGTGCAGGCAGCTAACTTCCATCAGCTATGTCCCATTGGGGCACCTGGTGAGCTCCTTATCGAAGGTCCACTTCTTGCGAGAGGGTACCTGAATGATGAGGTAAAAACGGAAAAAGCATTCATTATCGACCCTGACTTTACTAAGCAGCTGGGGTTGAGTCCTGGACGTCGTATGTATCGCACTGGTGATCTTGTTCGTCAAAATCAAGATGGGTCACTTATGTACTTGGGGCGCTGCGATAGCACACAAGTCAAGGTTCGTGGACAGAGAGTGGAAGTAAGTGAAATCGAGTATCAAATTTCACGCCAGCTACCCGAGATTCAAACCGTGGCCGTTGAGATGTTGCAACGAGGCACGCAGGCCAGCCTTGTGGCGGTGGTAAATTTTGCCATGGACTCCAAATATGCCGCTCCTGCTGCTTTCGACACAACAACAACAAAAACAGAAACTATATTTTCAACCGATGCGCTCCGTGCAGTCTTCCAGGATTTGCAGTTGGCGCTCTCTCAGGTGCTTCCTGCCTATATGATTCCCACGTTGTATGCACCGATGTCTACTATACCGATGAATGCATCTGGAAAGCTTGATCGACGGGTCTTGCGGACAAAACTCGATTCTATGTCATTCGACGAACTACGGGTCTACATGGCTGATGACGGACCGAAGGCTGCCCCGTCTACCGACGCAGAAAAGCAGGTCCAGAGTCTGTGGTCAGAGGTGCTAGCTATCAATCCACAGGACATAGCGCTAAGCGACAACTTTTTTCGCATTGGCGGTGATTCTATAGCGGCAATGCGGATGGTGGCATTGAAGGCTTCTCGCCGCTTGCGGCTGACTGTTGCCGACGTCTTTCAGCACCCACAATTATCGGATTTGGCTTTTGTGATTCAGAGACGACTACAAATGGTCGAGGATGGGGTTCAAGAAGAAGACTCGGCTCCGTTTGACTTGTGGGCGAAGTTCAAAGTCGATGGTCTTGATAGCACGAAGCGAGCCCAAGAACTTGCAATTATCGCTACACGATGCGACATCAGAGTGGACGACATTGAGGACATCTACCCTTGTACACCTCTCCAAGAAGGCCTTATTGCGATTACTACTCATCAGCCAACAGCGTATGTGAGCCGTCAAATCTACAAACTAGCGCCTACTCTAGATGTCGTTCGATTTCAAAAAGCGTGGCAAACCTTGGCTCAAGTAACCCCGATCCTCCGAACTCGCATTTTAGCAGGATTAGATACCAGTGATGTGTCGCTGCAAGTCGTTGTGCGTGGCAGCATCACGTGGCAGTACGGCGCAGACTCGGGCACCTTGAGTGACTATGTTGCCCAAGATAGAAAGTCTGGTATGAGACTGGGTCAGCCATTGGTGCGATTCGGCCTCGTCCGGAACTCTAGCGAGCAATTCTTTATCTGGACCGCCCACCACAGTGTGTACGATGGCTGGAGCGTGTCTCTGATGTATCAGCATCTGTACGATATCTACTTTGATCAGCGAATACCATCCACAATACCGTATGCTCGGTTCATCCGTTATCTCATCCGCCATGATGACGCCGCAAGTGAAAAGTACTGGCGAAGTCAGCTTCAAGGAGAAGTTGTGTCCAACTGGCCACCGTTACCACGTGCTGACTATCAACCGAGACCGCAGCAGCGTTATACATGCGATATCATCCTGCCGGATCACACAATGAACGATCGGGTAAATTCGCTTTTACCGAGTGTGCTTCGAGCTGCGTGGGGTGTGACAATGAGCAAGTATACGGGACAGGGCGATGTAGTCTTTGGAGTCACTCTTTTAGGGCGCAATGCTCCCGTTTCGCAGATAACGGAAATGACGGGACCAACAATCACCACTGTACCAGTAAGAATCCACTTAGACGGTCCACAACCTCTCACTATCAACCAATTCCTCCAAAATGTACAAAAGCAGGCGGCGGATATGATAAATTACGAGCACGCGGGTTTGCAAGTAATCAAAAAGCTTGTTCCAGAGCTCAATTCAAGTCTGGAGCTACGAAATCTGCTTGTCATTCAACCTGCTTCCGAGACAGATGGCACCGCTTTTCCAGGGCTAGATCCACTACCTGTCGATCTAGAAGGTTTCGACAGCTACGGACTCACAATCGAGTGCTCCATTTTATCTGGATTAGTCAAGGTTGAAGCCCGATACGACGAAAATGTTATCGCTACTCCACAGCTTAAGCGAACAATCAGAACATTTGAGCATGTTGTGAAACAACTACTTGATGTTCGCAACAGTGTATATCGTCTAGAGGAAATGTCTTGGCTGAGTGACTACGATGAGGAAGCTATCGCGAACTGGTCGAAGGCCACCCCTATTCGCGTCGAAAGGTGCATACATGAACTGGTACAGGAGCAGACTAAACTTCGTCCAAATGCCACAGCTATCTGTGCTTGGGATGGCAATCTCACGTACGCTGAGCTTGATATGCAAGCTACATGGTTAGCCCGATACCTGACAAGCCTTGGAGCATGCTCGCAGCGGATGGTTGGCATTTGTATGGATAAATCCAAGTGGGCAGGAGTCTCGATGCTTGCGGTATTAAAGGCTGGAGCAGTATTGGTACCTCTGGGTGTTAACCACCCAGAAGCACGTATCAAGGCGATGGTCGATGATACCGACACACAAATAATTTTGGTGGATGAGAAGCAGCGAGATCGACTTTCCATTCAAGGCGTTAGACTGATCACAGTCGACGCTGATATTCTGAAGAAATTGCCTGTTCTTGCTGAAAAGGAAGAGCTACTAGGTAGCGTCAATCCCGACGATGCCGCATGGGTCATCTATACGTCCGGTAGTACTGGCAAGCCGAAGGGAGTAGTATTACAGCATGTCGCCCTTTGCAGCAGTATACAAGCCCACGGTGCTAGATTTGGAATGGGAACAAGTACCAGGATGTTGCAATTCGCTGCGCATACTTTTGATGCCTGTATCCAAGACTATTTCACTACATTGTCTTGGGGCGGCGTAGTTTGCGTCCCAAGCGAGAACGATCGCATGAGCGATCTGACAACCGCTATGTGCCAAATGAAAGTCACTTTTGCCACCCTTACCTCCACTGTTGCACGGCTTATCGACCCTCATAAAGTGCCCTCGATGCAAAAATTAGCTCTGGTGGGCGAACCGGTCAAGGCGGATGTCGTGAAACAGTGGCTAGGCCACACCATAGTTCTCAATGCCTACGGACCTTCAGAATGCTCTATTCATTCCTCTTGTGGAGAACCCCTAGCGGATTCTACCAAATCGGCAGTCATTGGCACAGGAATGGGCACAAGACTGTGGGTCGTCGATGTGGATTATAACCAACTGTGTCCAATTGGAGCCCCTGGAGAATTACTTATTGAGGGTCCATTGCTAGCAAGAGAGTACCTCAACGACCCCAGGAAAACGAAAGCTGCCTTTGTTTCGGATCCCAGATTTGCTCAGAAGTTTGGTTTAGCACCCGGAACCCGCATGTATCGGACAGGAGATCTTGTTAAGCAAAATGAGGACTCGTCTATTACGCATCTTGGGCGACGTGATACGCAGATCAAGATCCGGGGGCAGCGCGTGGAAGTTGGCGAAATTGAATTTCAAATTGCACAACATCCTCAAGTTCGGACTGTGGCTGTAGAACTACTCGAGCAAGACAGCAACGGATCACAAGTAATCCTCACAGCGGTGATCGAGTTTACCGAGGATAGTGAGTATCGCAATGGACCAGTGACTTCGTCGGGGTTATTGACGCTCACTCCTTCGCTGTCGCTTGCATTTGAAATGCTACGAGGAGCGTTATTCCAGGTCTTGCCGTCGTACATGCTACCGAGCATGTATGTTCCAATTGTAGACATGCCCATGAATGTAAATGGCAAACTCGATCGCCGTGCAGTTCGCGACCTTTTGCAAGCTATGACGCCTGATGTTCGACAGCAATACCTATCAGCTAGCGATCACAAAGTGGCGCCTTCCACGAGAGAAGAATGCCTAGTTCATTCTCTTTGGACTGAAGCATTGAGCCTTTCCTTTAGCCAGGTGGGTATCTACGATAATTTCTTCCAGATTGGTGGCGACTCGGTCGTTGCCATGCGTATGGTTGCCACAGAATCGGCTCGCGAGTTACAATTGACAGTAGCGGATTTGTTCCAACATCCACGATTGATTGAGCTAGCAGAACTTCTCGCCAAGCGCTCTGTTGACAAAAAAGTAGAGGCAGACCCGGAACCATTCTCGCTGTGGTTGGAGCCGCAAATCGGATCAGAGCAGCAACAAGAAAAACTGACGATGGTTGCCAAGCAATGTGGAATCTCTGTCAACCACGTCGAGGACGTATACCCATGCACACCGTTACAAGTAGGTCTTATGGCCATCACAGCACGACAGCCATTAGCATATATCGACCGCCAAGTTTATAAGCTTGCAGATACTATTGATTTAGATCGCTTTCAGGCAGCTTGGCGAGCTCTTTCAGACGCAACTCCGATTCTGCGAACACGCATTATCACTAGTGAAGGACCGCAGTCGTTTCTTCAAGTTGTGGTGGGTGGATGTGACCCGTGGAGGGATAGTAACGATCTAGAGGATTACATGGCTTCGGATCGCGACGTGGGCATTGCCCTTGGTAAACCACTTGTACGAATGGGCTTGGTTCGAGAGCGAAACAGTGAAGAGCGTTACTTCGTCTGGACAGCTCATCATAGTGTGTACGACGGCACAAGCGCTCTTCTCATGTATCAACAGCTTGCAAGTATCTATTTCCACGGAAGCCTACTACCAACAGCGCCCTTTACACGATTTATTCGCTATCTCGCTCGGAAAGAGGTAATCGCGGCGGAAAGTGCAGCTTATTGGGCTGATCAGCTCCAAGGCGAGGTTATGGCAAATTGGCCTCCGCTCCCTCGCATCGACTACCAGCCAAAGCCACAGCATGAAATGACGCAAATCTTTCGACTTCCTCAGTTTGAGTCTCGGAGTGTTGTGACCATCTCTAATGTCATTCGTGCCGCTTGGGCTCTCGTTATGGCACAGCGCACCGGTCATAGTGACGTAGTCTTTGCGGTGACAGTGTCAGGTCGGAATGCACCTATTTCTCAAGTCGACAGTATCATCGCACCTACCATCAGTACGGTGCCAGTTCGCGTCCAAATCGATTGGACTCAGGACGTAGCTGGATTTCTTTTCGCTATCCAAAACCAGGCTGCACAAATGATAGATTACGAGCATACCGGCTTGAGGGCCATCAAGGCTCTCGTCCCTGAGCTCGGTCCGACATTGGACATTCGAAATGTTCTGGTAGTGCAAACAGCTGAAGAACGAGGAGCGGCTGATCATTTCCCCGGCATTGAAGCACTTCCACAGGGAAAAGAAAATTTTGACAGCTATGGATTGCTTACTGAGTGTACGCTCGGTACGGACGGCGAAGTGAGAATCGACTTCCGCTATGATGACAATGTCATACCTTCTTCATCGATCAAAAGAATCTCCGCGCAATTTGCACACCTTGTGCAGCAGCTATGCGGTAATGCCACATCCACACTCCACCGGCTGAATGAGCTTGTTCTTATCGCTCCTGAAGATCAAGAACAAATCATGAAGTGGAACCCCATGCTACCACCTCGGGTGGATAGTTGCATTCACGAGCTGTTTTATAAACAAGTGATGGCCAGACCTCAAGCAGAAGCCGTATCTGGGTGGGATGGCGAACTCTCATACAGCGACCTAGCTGATGAATCCATACGTCTCGCCTATCAGCTGATCAGTCTAGGCATTGGCCCCGAGATGAAGGTAGGCCTGTGTATTGACAAATCGAAATGGGCTATCATTGCGATTATGTCCATTCTTTTTGCCGGCGGAGTTGTTGTTCCCCTTGGCGTTACACATCCTCTGCCTCGACTTGATGTTGTTATTGAAGATGCTTCTATCGATCTGATCCTCGTCGACCAACATCAACGGAAGCGCCTTGCCGCTCTCAGTCAAAATGTAAAATTAATCACAGTAAATGACGCGTTGCTGAGGACCCTACCAGTCCACACAGAGCCTCCTGTGACTGGAGTGGTATCTCGAAACGCTGCATGGATTATTTACACTTCAGGTAGTACCGGCACTCCCAAGGGCGTTGTGTTAGAACATGGAGGTTGTTGCACAAGCATGAGAACACAAGGCAAGAAAATGAACTTATCAGCCGAGACACGAGCTTTACAGTTTACACCCTTTACTTTCGATGTCAGCATCTCTGACGTGTCTGCGACCCTGATCTATGGTGGGTGTATTTGTGTTATATCCGAGAGTGACCGTGTCAACAACCTACCAGGAGCGATACGGGAGATGAAAGTCAATTTTGCTAGTCTCACTCCGACCGTAGCCCAGATGCTTTCACCCGCTGAATTGCCATCATTGAAGACATTAGCATTGACCGGGGAAGCAGTTAAACCAGAAGTTGTCGAGTTATGGATGAATTCAGTGGCACTTTACGATACATACGGACCATCTGAGGGCTCGGTCTGTACATGCAACGGGCCACTTTCAAGTCCTGATCAAGCAGACAATATTGGATTTCCGATGTCTACACTACATTGGGTGACGCAGCTACACAATCACAATCAACTTTGCCCTATAGGTGCCCCAGGCGAACTTTTGATCGAAGGGCCGCTGTTGGCTCGTGGCTACCTTAATCAAGCGAGAACCAAAGAATCGTTTGTCAATGATCCAGCGTTCACCAAGCAACAAACAGGTCTGCCCTCAGCCAGGCACATATACCGTACAGGAGATCTGGTGCGTCAGAATGAGGACGGTTCTTTTATATACCTCGGTCGACGTGATGATCAGATCAAAATACGAGGCCAGCGTGTAGAAGTTGGCGAGATCGAATATCAGATTGTTTGTGAATTACCAGGGACTCATTCGGCAGCCGTCGCTATGCTGCAGGATGGCAAAAACATAAGTCTGATTGCAATTGTAGACTTCAAGAGTGACAGCGAACACTACCCTGGAGAGTTAGAATCACTTGGAACGCTAGCTCCAACTCCTCAACTAAGAGCCGCTTTCAATGAGCTTCGCCAGTCGCTGACCAAACTTTTACCGTCCTATATGGTGCCTGCAATCTTTGTGCCAGTGGTGCAGATGCCTACAAATATTTCCGGCAAACTCGATCGACTTGGCGTACGTGCTCTGCTTCGAGCGATACCATCTGATCACCTAGCACGATATATGATTGACGAAACCTTGCCATCGGAGACACCTTCAACGAAGATGGAGAAGGTCATTCAGTCTCTATGGGCTGAAGCTCTAGATATTCCGATGGACAACATCAGCGCCCATGACAACTTTTTCCAAATTGGCGGCGATTCAGTCACAGCAATGCGAATTGTAGCAGCAACAACACGAACCAACCAACTGCAGTTAACGGTTTCGGATATCTTCCAAAACCCAAAATTATCGGACCTGGCGTCTGTGATGACTGAGCATAGAAAAAACCACTTCGACGTCATGGACGAAGATCCAGAACCGTTCTCGTTATGGGAGGCTGTGATAAGTGACAATTCGAACGAGCAAAAACGACAAATTGAAGCCATTGCACAGCAATGCAATGTTTCTGTCGACGATATTGAAGATATTTATCCATGTACGGCACTTCAAGAGGGTCTACTAGCTGTTACAGCTCGTCAAACGTCTGCGTACGTCAGCCGTCAAGCATATGTCCTGTCTGATCAAATCGATATATCTCGCTTCAAAGAGGCATGGCGCAAGTTGGTGGCGGGGATACATATATTACGAACACGTGCTGTTGTTGGACCAGATTCTTTATTGCAAGTAGTAGTACGGGATGAGATCACCTGGCGACATGGCTCGAATCTAGAGGACTACATCCAGCAGGATAAAGAGGAAGGTATAAGACTGGGTCAGCCGCTATCACGTTACGGTCTTGTTCAACTACCTTCTGGCGAACAGGTTTTTGTTTGGACAGCACATCACAGTATATATGATGGCTGGACCATTCGCTTGATGTGCCGTCAACTCATCAGTCTTTACCGACAAGAGGAAGATATATCTACATCTATTCCTTATTCACGTTTCATCCAATATCTCACTCAAATAAATATTGAGGATAGCATCGAATACTGGCGTGAACAGCTCAGGGGAGAATCAGTAACCGCAAATTGGCCTTCGCTTCCTCAACCCAATTACGAGCCCCGACCACGACACTTGCTCAGAAAGCATATCTCATTGCCTCGTACTGAGAACCAAGGTATCGTGATGTCAAACATATTGCGAGCAGCCTGGGGTTTGGTCATGATCCAATACTCTGGTGAGAACGATGTAGTTTATGCAGCTAACCTGTCTGGTCGCAATGTACCAGTCAGAGACGTGGCTGAAATTTGTGCTCCAACAATAACCACGGTACCTATACGACTCCGCTTGGACCATACTAGCACGCAGACCGTGGGCGACTTCTTGCAAAATATTCAACAGCAAGCTATTGAGATGATCAACCATGAACACACTGGTCTACAGGTGATCAAGTCGCTTGCCCCAGAACTAAGCGATTCCGTGTTGAAGCTTCGAAACCTTCTCGTCATCCAGCCTGCGGCTGAGAGTGACACACATCTCGACTTTCCTGGAATTGAACTTGTCCCATCGGATATCGCGGACTTTGACGCCTATGGAGTCAACATTGAGTGCACGTTGGGACAAGAGATTGCTGTTGAAGCACGCTACGATGAGAACGTCGTTGAAACCCCTTACATGAACGGGGTCCTAGATCAGTTCGTGTACATTGTTGGACTATTATGTGATCCGTCAGTTAGGACACAACAATTAAGAGATGTAAATCTGCTTAATTCCGAAGATAAAACGCAGATCTCAAGATGGAATGCAACTGTACCTGAGCGTGTCACTAAATGTATACACGAGCTCGTGCAAGAGCAGGCACTGGCACGCCCAACGGCTTTGGCAGTTCAAGCCTGGGATGGAAAGCTCACCTATGGTGAACTAGACAATCTAGCTAATCGACTCGCACACCAACTCGTTTCTTTTGGCATTGGATCTCTCCCTGATCAGATGGTGGGTGTATGCATGGAAAAGTCCTTGTTCGCAGTGGTGGCTATGCTAGCAGTACTCAAAGCTGGAGGTGTTGTCGTTCCATTAGGGGTTACTCATCCCATAACGCGGCTCGATACTATTATCCATGACACGGGGATTACCGTGTTACTTGTGGACGCTAGCCAAGACGAGCGCCTAGCTGAACTAAGTCCTACGCGAATCTTGGTCAATTCAGATCATCTGTACCATTACCTACCTGCTCGGACACAACCCCCTAAGACCCCAGTCAACCACATGGACGCAGCATGGGTTATCTACACTTCAGGAACAACGGGCACTCCCAAAGGAGCCGTCTCGGAGCACGGTACTCTGAGCACAAGTATCAAAGCCCACGGTGCTAGATATGGATTTGGCCATCATACACGGAAACTCAATTACGCAGCCCATACCTTCGACGGCACAATCGAAGACTTCTTTACGACTCTTTCGTGGGGCGGAGTATGCTGCATACCTTCTGAAGAGGACCGGATGGACAAATATAAATTGATGGAGTTCATGAATTTGACAAAAGTTAATTCTGCTGCCATGACGTATACCGTTGCCAGTTTGCTCTCTCCAAGGGACCTGCCAACCTTACATACTCTGGTACTGGGAGGGGAGCCCGCAACAATTGATGTCGTAAGTACATGGATGACAGAAGTCAACCTGTTCAACTGTTACGGCCCGTCAGAATGTTCAATATTCTCTGCCGCCGCCGGCCCAACCAAGAATACAAACGAGCTCCATAATATTGGATTTCCTATCGGAACGCGCCTGTGGGTAGCTGATATCGAGAATTATCACAAGCTAGCTCCTATTGGAGCTCCAGGTGAGCTTCTGATTGAGGGCCCTCAACTAGCCCGTGGCTATTTGAATGATGAAAGCAAGACTAGCGCTGCCTTTATCGTTGACCCGGCATTCACAACACACTTTAAGCTACCACTTGGGACTCGAATGTATCGTTCTGGCGATATTGTGCGTCAGAAGAACGATGGTTCATTAGTCTACGTCGCAAGGCGTGACATGCAAGTGAAAATACGCGGTCAGCGAGTCGAGATAGGAGAAATCGAGTCCCAAATTTCGCAGCATATCTCGGAGGCTCGTACTATAGCTGTAGAATTACTGAAGCTGGGAACGCAAAGCCAGCCAGTCCTGGTTGCCGCCGTGGAATTTGCGGATGGAAGTCAGTATCACACTGGCGATGTCACGTCTTTTGGTATGCTTGCACCAACTGAAGCAATACGGGAAGCCTTCATCAAGCTCCGGGGAACTTTGTTTCAAGTCCTCCCCGGATATATGGTGCCATCGGCATATCTAACTATCGCTGAAATGCCTCGCAATATCTCGGGCAAGCTTGATCGCAAAACTCTGAGGACCATGCTAGAAGCTATACCTGCTGACGCAATCCAACAATATCTGGATGGAGAAGCTAAAACATTACCGTCAACTCAAGTGGAGCTTCAACTACAAGCTCTTTGGGCCGAAGCTCTAGGCATAAGCGTGGACGGAGTGGGTGCTCATGACAACTTCTTCCAGCTCGGAGGCGACTCTGTTGCTGCGATGCGTATTGTCGCGATGAGTCAAGCTCGTGAAATGGGACTGAGCGTCGCAGATATCTTCGCCTACCCTCGTTTGTCCGAGTTAGCGGTAATTTTGGATGGACGAAAAAACAGCAATGAGGTATTCTACTCGGATCCGGAACCATTTGCTCTCTGGCCACGCGCAACGAACAAAGTGTTAGACGAGAATACGCTGCTGGCAGACATCGCATCCAAATGCAATGTCACTGTGAACCAGATTGAAGACATCTACCCTTGCACGCCGCTCCAAGAAGGTATGATAGCGATTACAGCAAGGCAATCCGCTGCTTACGTGAGCCGCCAAATATACGCACTCGACACAACAGTGATTGAGCTGGGCAAATTTCAGAGAGCCTGGCAGGTGCTGGCCAATGCAACTCCAATTCTGCGAACTCGACTCGTGATCACGCAGAACGGTCAGTCGATGCAAGTGGTACTTCGCGACACAATCGCATGGCGACATAGTACCGACCTTGACGCGTATGTGAACGAGGACCGTGCCGAGGGAATCTCCCTTGGCCAGCCGCTGTTGAGGTATAGTCTCGTCAAGCAAATCACTGGCGAATGTTTCTTTGTCTGGACAGCTCATCACAGTATCTACGATGGCTGGACTATGCGTTCGATCTGTCAGCGGCTTGTTGAGATGTACAACAATATCGACAATTCCAGCTACCAAATGCCTCAATCCGTACCATACTCGCGTTTTATTCATTATCTGACTCAAAGTGATAAGTCGGCCGCGGCAACCTTCTGGCGTCAGCAACTACATGGCGACATAATGGCTGACTGGCCATCTTTGCCTAGTATCGATTACCAGCCAAAGCCACAACATCGGGACAGGAAGACGATCAGAGTTGCAGGATCTACCAGCAAAAATATCCTGACTTCTAACATACTTCGAGCAGCATGGGCCTTACTTATGTCGCAATATACAGGACATCCGGACGTTGTATTTGCAGCCTCTGTCTCTGGCCGCAATGCCCCCGTCTGGCAAATAGGTGAAATTGCTGGTCCAACCCTGACTACGGTACCTGTCAGAGTGCAAGCCAAACCTGGCATGACGGTGAGACAATTCATTCAAGAAGTGCAGGAACAATCAACAGCTATGATTCGTTTCGAGCACACGGGATTGCAAAATATCAAAGCCCTTGTGCCTGAAGCAGCAATGGCTTTGGAACTACGCAATGTTCTTGTGGTGCAAATTGCGGAGGAAAGTGATCATCGCATTGACTTCCCAGGGCTAGAGGCTCTGCCAATGCCATTTGAAGATTTTGATAGCTTTGGCATCCATCTCGAATGCACGCCAGGATTGGATGACATTGAAGTCGAGGCTCGCTATGATGTCAACATCGTATCGGCCCCACATATGAAGAGAGTCCTCAACCAGTTCGAGTATGTGGTCCAAAAATTCCACGACTCGGAATACAGCGATTTCTCCTTGCAGAGTATTCAGCTCAACCCACACGACGAACGCCAAATATTGGAATGGAACGCAACTGTGCCATCGCACACCGAGCGATGTGTACATAATTTAGTAGACGACCATGTCGCCGCTCGACCCATGGCCCCTGCGATCTGTGGATGGGATGGAGATTTAACTTATCGGGAGCTCTCGCGAATAGCCACTTCTCTCGCCTTTCATCTTCAACATGAGCTGGGTGTAGGACCGGAGCAAAAGGTTGGCGTGTGTATGGACAAGTCGAAATGGGCTGTGGTCGCCATGCTTGCGGTGATGTACGCTGGCGGTGTAGTTGTCCCTCTAGGAGTCGCTCACCCTCTGACTCGGATCAGAGGCATCTTAATAGATTCTGCGTCAAGCGTGGTATTAGTCGACGCCACACAAAGAGAGAGGCTGGTTGATTTGCATACCTCGTTGATATGTGTCGATGCCAAGCTCATAGCGCGTCTGTCAAGCCAGAACCAAAAGCAGAACCAGACACAAAAGCTGCAAGTAGAGGTGACCCCTGGTAATCTAGCCTGGGTGGTCTATACCTCTGGAAGCACGGGGAAGCCTAAAGGAGTTATGCTGGAGCACAGAGCATTAAGTACCGCTCTTCAGGCGCATGGATCTGCCTTCGGAATGGATACTAACACCCGCACGATTCAGTTTGCGGCTCACACATTTGACGCTGCTATACAGGACATATTTACAACCTTCTCCAAGGGTGGCTGCGTCTGTATTCCATCAGAACATGATCGCGTCAACAACCTCACTAAGGCAATGGCTTCCATGAATGTGAACTTCGCAAATTTTACCTCGACTGTTGCGTCAATGCTTGTGCCAGAAGAACTTCCGTCCCTGAAGACCATGATCCTGGCTGGTGAAGCCGTCACTCCGACTGCAGTGGGACTCTGGTCGCAACACGTTACTATCTTCAACTCTTACGGTCCTTCCGAGTGTTCAATTAACTCATCATGCAGCAAGCCCGTCAAGGAAGTTAGTCAAGCATCGAATGTTGGTTTGCCATTGTCATGCTGTTTTTGGGTTACAAATACTACCGACTACAACTCTCTCTGCCCCATCGGTGCACCTGGGGAGCTTCTAATTGAGGGTCCGATTCAGGCAAGAGGCTATTTGAATGACAAAGAGCAAACAAACAAGTCCTTCGTGACAGATCCTGGCTTCACTAAGAAATTAGGCCTTTCCGGACGTCGTATGTATCGAACTGGCGATTTAGTGCGACAAAACGCAGATGGTACACTTACCTATCTTGGTCGTCAAGATCTTCAAGTTAAAATCCGTGGTCAACGAGTAGAAATTGGCGAGATTGAATATCAAATCAAGAAAAAGCTACTTGGTGCTCGCACAGTTGCCGTTGAGAAAATCGAGCAAGGCGGCCACAGTGAGCAGACCCGTCTTGTAACTATGATGGACTTCAAGGATACGAGTGAGCATTCTCATAACCCCGACATTCTTGCTTCTGGGGCATTATCGCCGACGCCCAAACTTCAAACCGCGTTCGAAAAGTTACGCCAATCACTCAGCGAAGTCTTGCCATCGTACATGGTTCCGACTTTCTACGTACCTGTGGCTCAAATGCCGGTCAATGCCTCGAATAAACTTGATCGACGAGCCGTCAAAGCAGTTCTTGCCAGTCTGACACCAGACGCTTTGCAACAATACCTACCTGGTGGCACAGATACAAAACAGGCTCCGGACACCGATTTAGGACGACTGATTCAAGGCCTTTGGGCTGATGCACTCGGCATTAGTACTGATACTATCAGCATGACTGATAACATTTTCCACTTAGGTGGAGACTCCGTGACAGCAATGCGCATAGTGGCAGCGGCATACTCTCATGAACTTCAACTCACTGTCACAGACATATTTCAGCACCCTCAGCTTGCTGATTTAGTAAATACCCTGAGCAATCGTTCGCTTGAACGCAACACTGAGATACAGGAGGATCCAATGGCCTTCGAACTTTGGGAGGAGGCAGCTAGCTGTAGTACCGAGGAGCGGAAAAGGCTTTTGACTGAAGTCGCAGCGCAATGCGGCGTCGCTGTTAGCCATATTGAGGACGTCTACCCCTCAACGCCGCTACAGGAAGGGCTCATGGCTATTACTGCAAGACAGCCTGCCGCTTACGTTAGTCGTCAAGTGTACACCCTGGCAAAGACAGTGGATCAACTCAAGTTCAAGATGGCTTGGCAGGCTTTGTCTAGTGAAGCTCATATTCTTCGCACTCGGCTCTTGGTTGCGCCTCACGGCCTTCAAGTTGTGGTCAATGACAGGATCGATTGGCATCATGGCACGGATTTGGAAAACTATTTGCAAGCTGATCGCAGAGCCGGTATGTCTCCTGGGAAGCCATTAGTGCGGTATGGCTTGATTAAACAGCCATCTGGGGAGACATTTTTTGTTTGGACTTCTCACCATTCCTTATATGACGGATGGACTCTCCGCTCGCTTGGTAAACGACTTCTTGATCTCTACAACGATGGTAGCCCCCAGTCTTTTGTTCCATTCTCACGCTTCATCCGATATCTTCAGTTTGGTCGCCCTGGTAATGATGATACCGCAACGTACTGGAGAAACGAACTCGAAGGCGATATCGTTACTGACTGGCCATCCTTACCACGCTCTGACTATCAACCCCTGCCACGAGACAATTTTAGTCGTGCTATCACGCTCCCTGATAGTCATCATTCGGGCAGTGTGGTTATGTCCAACGTTATCCGCGCTGCTTGGGCTTTGGTCATGAGTCAATACGCAGGCCACAACGACGTGGCTTTTGCTGCGACAGTATCAGGCCGGAATGCTCCAGTGTGGCAAATTGAGGATATACCAGCTCCAACTATCACCACAGTGCCATTACGGATATCTGTAGATCCGATGCAAACAGTTGCCGAGTTCCTAGACACAGTCCAACAACAAGCCGTTAGAATGATTGACTACGAACACACCGGGCTACAGGGGATCAAGGCGCTGGCACCAGACCTGGGACCTGCCATAGACTTGCGCAATCTGTTGGTAGTCCAGCCAGCTGCTGACAGCGATAGTAATGTCCAACTCGACTTTCCAGGGCTTGGTTCTGTATCAATGCCCATTGAGCCTTTCAACAGCTATGGCCTCACCGTTGAATGCAAGCTCGCATCACATGAGATCGTGGTAGATGTTCATTACGACAAGGATGTTATCTCTTCTGCGCAATTGAAACGTGTTATAGATTTCTTTGCTTGTGTAGTTCAGCGGATTCTCACCCAATCGCCCAGATCATATCGAATCCAGGAAATCGTGGCGATTGGGGAAGAAGACTTACAACAAGTCTTGGCATGGAACTCGACTATTCCGCCCAATGTGGATAAATGTATCCACGAAATGGTACAGGCGCAAGTGAAGAAAAGTCCTGCGGCGTTAGCGATAAGTGCGTGGGATGGCGACCTTACCTACGAAGAATTTTTCAAGAGCTCTGCGCGACTTGCACACCACCTTGTTGCTCTTGGAGTGAATACAGGGAGCAACATAGGAATTTGTATGGATAAGTCGAAGTGGGGTCCTGTCTCGATGCTCTCAATCATGCAAGCAGGAGCTGCCATAATGCCATTAGGAACATCGCACCCGCTCGCGCGGATCGAGACTATTGTGCGCAACTCCGAAGCATCTGTCATCATTGTCGACGAAAAACAAAGACAACGGCTTGATCAACTCTACACCGAGACATCATTAACTCTAGTGACTGTGGATTCCAAATTCTTCAAACAGCTTCCAGCTCAAACTAAAGCTCCTTCGACTGGCGTCCGACCGAGTGATGCATCTTGGTTGATACACACGTCAGGAAGCACAGGAGTTCCCAAGGGTGTGATCATTGACCATGTTACAATGTCGACAAGTCTCCGGGCACAGGGATCCTGGCTAGGATTGAATCAAAAGTCAAGATTCCTGCAATTCTCCAACTACACATTTGACAATGTTATTACCGATACATTTGCCACGACAGTATTTGGAGGATGTGTTTGCGTCCCATCAGAGGACGCTCGCATGAACAACTTACCCGGATTCATGGCTACAGCAAATGTCAACGTCGCCATGCTCACGTCTACTGTGGCCCGACAAATCTCACCTTCACAGGTGCCATCGCTACACACACTAATACTGACAGGTGAGCCGGTACGCGCGGACGTGGTCAGTACTTGGTTAGGTCATGCGGATATCTACAACGCTTACGGACCTACGGAAGGCTCTATGAGCACTTGCACCAAGCCGATGATGAGATCCGACCAGGTTTCGAATATTGGCTATCCGTTAGCCACGCGTGCTTGGATCACGCAGCCAGATCATATTCAGCTTTCCCCTATTGGAGCACCCGGAGAACTCTTCATCGAAGGGCCCCTTTTGGCACGAGGCTATCTCAACAATCCCGAGATGACTCGTGATTCATTCATAATTAATCCTGAGTTCACCAAGCGTCTAGGCTTAGAGAATCGCCGAGTATACCGCACTGGAGATCTTGTCCGTCAAAATGAGGATGGATCTCTGATTTATCTTGGGCGGCGGGATTTACAAGTAAAAATTAGAGGCCAGAGAGTTGAGGTTGGTGAAATCGAACTCCAAATTATTAAGCACACGCCAGGAGCGGAATTGGTAGCTGTGGAGTTGATACAGCAAAAAGATACCAAAGAAGAGAAAAGGAATTTGATCGCAGCAATCGAGTTTGCAAAAGATAGCGAGCATTGCCACGGCTCGCAAAACACTCCTGGGCCGCAAATACTGGCACCAACAGATGCATTACGCGATGACTTCGCACGTTTGCGGGGGCTTTTGTACCAGGTTTTACCATCTTATATGATACCGTCAGCGTTTATACCCACTACCAATCTAGATCGAAATTTGTCCGGCAAGCTCGATCGAAAGGGACTGCGCGGGTTATTAGAAGCTCTGTCAAGTCAACAGCTGCGACAATATTCTGCCAGTGGAGGATCTAAAGTGAACCCATCTACTACCATGGAACGACAATTACAGACACTTTGGGCTGAGGCACTTGGTATTCCTGCAGATCAGGTCGGGGCACACGACAACTTCTTTCAAATTGGTGGTGATTCTATGGTTGCAATGCGTGTTGTTGCTGCATCTCACTCGAAAGATCTCAATCTGAGAGTTAACGATATATTCCAGCATTCATGTCTTTCAGATCTGGCAGTAGTATTGACCGACCGACTAGCTCACAACTTCAATGGTGGTCAAGATGGTCACGCCCCTTTCTCTTTGATCAAGACGGATGACATTGACGACTTTCTTCAACAAATAGCAAGTTCCGTCGTTGGATGTGCCATACAGGACATTGTTGATATCCTCCCAACTACTGACTTTCAGTCATCGATCATCGATACAGCTTTGGCGGCACCTAAATCTGGAACATCTCATTTTCTCCTTGACGGAAATGGCCCATGCGACACACGAGCGCTCAAGAAGAGCTGTCTTGAGCTGATCCAGGCCACCGATACATTACGTACAGGTTATGTATTCGATCAAGGCAATTTGCTTCAAGTTATTCAAGCTTATTTTGAGCCGGAAATCAAGATCTACGAGACTGATTCAACTATCGAGGCTGTCACAGAGGATATAGTCAGCAGGGACATGTACCAACCCATTGGCTTGGGTCGACCGTTCACTCAAATCGCAATTATTCGAGAGACTGCAACATTGAAACATCGGGTCCTCCTCCGTCTTACTCATGCAGAATATGATGCTCATTCCATGGGTTCCATTTGGCAAAATCTTCGATCACTGTATGAGGGTGGGTCAACTCGGCCGCAAGCTAAGTTCTCCGACTTCTTGTACAATCAGAGGCAAAGCATAAATGCCGATACCTATGACTACTGGCGAGACCTGCTAAAAGGATCATCCATGCCTGCAATCAACTTATCGGCGAAGAAGATTGGCCAATATCCATCGAAGGTCAATCAAGATCTGTTTCGCACTATCGAGACCCCCGATTTGATGGTTGAAGGCAGAACTAGCGCAATGCTCGTAAAATCAGCATGGTCTCTCGTTCTAAGTCAATTTTTGAGAGTTAATGACGTCGTGTTTGCGGACACTGTCTCAACACGAACCACGGTTGATTCATCTCTGATGGACGCAATGGGCTGTTGCGTCACTCTCATCCCATTCCGAGTCACGCTAGAACAGCAATGGACAATCAAGGATTTGCTAGACAACGTGCGTGATCAACAGTCACAAAGTATGCAGCATTCTCAACTGGGATTTCGTGAAATTCTGCGTGAGTGTACAGACTGGCCTGCCTCGACCCGCTTCACATCTGCCCTCAACCACATATCCAGCGGACCGGAATCCTCTATTTTCTCAATGCGTGGTGTTGAGTATAGCATCTCAGAAATGGAGATCAAAGATCCTCTGTGGGAAATTGACGTTGGAATTACTACAATCCAGCGCGGTAGTGAGCTCGAAATACGATTATCTTACCTGCCTGCCAATATATCAGAAAGTGTCGCGACTAGCCTCTTAGACGCGCTTCACAACACTTTGCAGTTCATCCACAACAATCCTCTTTCACCTGTCAAACAGGTATTGTCGTTCCATACCGACATGAAAATACAAAACGGGTCATCAAATTAAACGGAAATACACCAGGTGGAATCGACGCAGACACCGCCACAATAATCGGTGGTAATATTTTGCTGCGGATTGGTGCGAGGCAACGGTCGTCATTTCTTATATAGGCGGCAACGTGTTGGACGCGTGTCAATAGTCGCGAAAATGAGGGGCTCGGCTCTCCGGGCTTTGAATCAAGAAGATTACACATTTAAGAGTGCAAAGTGGGAATATGGCTAAGAGAGTGGTCATTACTGTCTGGGATTATGAAGGCTTGGTTGAGACAGTCTTTTCTTTGGTTGTTTTTCGTCCTCTTGGAGTGATTCAAGAGGTTTTTTGGGCGTTTCAGGTTGATCTTCATCGAAGAGGCGTTTGAGGTGTTTAAAAGGTCTAAAGAAAAGGCTTTGGTGTTCTGACTGTGTTGAGAGCATAATAAAACTTGCGGCCATCGCACTCCAACATGCTTATAAGGGAGAACCGCATTTTTACTCCTCCCCTTTGGAAACGAATAACTTTTGTTTAATAATCAAATTGTGCCAAAATCTTTAATAAAAATTAATTCCTCGTAGCTAATCTACGCGCTTTTGTTCATCTTCAAATTTCCAAGTCGATTGTTCCATATAAACTCGAAAGTCACGTGGCCCACCTGGTCCTGGATCCTCGCTTAGCTCGATCGGAGACAAATGGCCCCAACTCTTACATGAACATAAAAAATATTTTAGATACATGCCACAAGACAGATTTTACATTATACATACCTTCAATAGTCCTTATCTATCTCTGGCGGACTTTTGTCGCGAGTAAGAAGGTGTGAGATGAGTGCTACGAATGCTCAATCGGCTTACTCAGCCATATATACCTTGCAAGGACCACCAGCATCCTGGCCGCCGAAGAAATATAATTTTGCAGGCGAATTCTTAGTCCACAACATCTACGACGTCCACAGAGACAAGTCCTCATGAACTGGTCATACCCTGTGCGTATTTCCACGAGATCGTCGCGCTTGAGTCCATCCACCTAGGGAATCCGAACGTAGCCAAACCTTTCCACGACCTTGTTTGTTCCGTTCAAATCTCGATACTGTTTTGGCTATGGTGGCCCAATCGACGCAATGCCGGACCGAAGTGGAAAACGTCTTTGGACCACAAGTAACAGAGTGTTATGACAACTTCGATTTTACCCTGCTGTTTGAAGAGAGCATACTTTGCCTTGCTCCTTTGCTGCTCGCACTCTCACTAGTGTTGGTTCGATCGTGGCAACTGAAGACCCAAACATCAATAATACGAAAAGGTTTACTGTCAGTCCTCAAGCCAGTAAGTGCGACAGGTCAAGAGCCAATATCTAGCCCCATCTTAGTTATATACTGATGAATGGATGTCTTCTTTTTAGCTATGTTGGATATCTTTTGTACTACTTCAATTGGTGCACCTCATCCTCTCGTTGACGTTGAGAACATCAACGACAAAAGTTTCCAACGCAGTAATAGCCATTGGCCTCCTAGCTTCACCTTTTTTCATTATTTTGTCTTTCTGGGAGCACTACAGGTCTGCATTTCCATCGACCATTTTAAACGTGTACTTACTCGCCACCATTCCGATGGATGCTGCTCGAGCACGCACACTATTCAGGATGCCCGAAAATACTGCCATCGCCAGCATTTTCACGGCAATCGTGTGTTTCAAGTTCATAATTCTTACTCTGGAAGCTAAGGAGAAAAGTAATTTGATCCGGCCCGAATTCAAACATCCTTCGCCAGAGCAGGCAGCGGGAATACTCAATCGGAGCTTCTTTTGGTGGTTCAATCCTTTGCTGTTGACTGGGTCTAAGCAGAGACTGGCAGTAGATGATCTTTTCTTCAACGACGATGGTCTTACATTCGACGCATGGCGTGATATAATAACTCGTCGATGGGCCAAGGGTTAGTCTTCGCACTCCACTCCATTATCAGGTTGTTGACACCCTCCCGTAGCTGATATCTCAAAACCTCATGCACTTCTCAAAGTTATGCTAGCCACATTCAAAGGGCTCCTTCTGGCTGGTATTTTGCCTCGACTCTGCTTGACTGGCGTAAGTTTCGCGCAAGTGTTTCTGGTTAGTCGTGTTGTAAATTTTATGGAACAGCCTGAGACAACCACGAGCAATAAGGTAGCTTATGGCTTGATAGCAGCTTACGCTATTGTCTACATTGGTATAGCAGTATATCAAACCATTCGTAAAAATTTACGGCACTTACTTACGCGTCATAGGTCATGTCGACAATGTCTCAACACAAGAATTACCGTACCATTGTCGCAATCCGAGGTAGCGCTGTATCTTTAATATATCAGCATACATTGCGTTTGACTAGCTCTTCAACGTCGACTAGCTCCTCTTTGACATTGATCAACAACGATGTCGAGCGCATGGGTCATGGAATGAGAGAAGTACACGAGATCTGGGCTAGCTTGATTGAAATCGCCCTGTCTCTTTGGCTACTTGAGGTAAGACTGGGGGTCTCGGTCGTTGCAGCTGTTTTCGTTATAATAGGTAATATATGCACGCTTCTCGGTAAGTTGCACATTGTTCGTCTTGACTAATAAAATGTTGTGCAACAGGTTGTGTATTTGGGTTTGTGAAGATGGGCCTGCTTTTGGGCGACCGCCAGAAGGTCTGGCTTGAAGCGATCGAGAAACGCACCAGCTCGACAATTGCAACACTCGGCTCAATCAGAGGCATCAAATCAACAGGCGCAACGGATATCGTCCAAAGAATTACAACGCGTTTGAGATTGGATGAAATTCGGATCTCTTTGAAATACAGGGAACTTCTTGTCGGCATTGTGACATTGTGTAAGTTCAAAGATTTCTGCTGCCTGTGCTTGTTTGCTAGTAACACTATTTATACAGCATATGTCTCAACTACAATGGCTCCGGTGTTTGCCTTTGCAACATACAGTATCATATCCAACAGCAGAGGCACCACACCTTTATTGGCAGCTTCTGCATACACCTCGCTAACAATATTCTCGCTTCTCGGTCAGGCCGTCTCAAAATGGATCAGCTCTAGCGTGGATATTATAACTACGATCGCGTGTCTTGAGCGAGTGAGACAATATTTAGCAACCAACCTAAGAGTTGATCCCAGAACAATCGAATCATACATTAAGCCCATCGATAGTTCTAATTCGCCCAGATTGCGTAATTCAGATATTTCCCAAACAGAAATGCTTGACATGGGATCTGTCGATCAAAGTCAGTACCATCCAAATAGCGTTGGAGAAGTACTCAGGGAAGTGCCGCTCGCTAAGATGATGATCACTATACGTGATTGTTCGGCATGTTGGAGCAAGGGCTCCGAAATGGCAATATCAGAAATTAATCTTACAATCCTAAAAGGAAGCCTCGCAATGGTGATTGGACCCATTGGAAGTGGGAAATCAACTTTACTGAAGGTTATACTTGGTGAGATGCCTCACACCACAGGAACGGTAATCGTAGGCAGGTCTGAAGCTGCTTTTTGTGGACAGTCGCCGTGGTTGACAAACGTCAGTGTCAGGAACAATATCATTGGTGTGTCTTACCTCGATGCAAATTGGTACAATACAGTAGTGAATGCTTGTGCCTTGGATCGAGATTTCGAGCAACTTCCAGATGGCGACAATACCGTCATTGGTAGTAAAGGTGTTTTATTGAGTGGAGGACAGAAAAGTCGTCTTGTGAGTGTGTCTTTAACAACCAAAAGGTGGCTGCTGCCTTTCTTGTTCCAGAGTCTAACTTTTGGTAGGCTTTAGCAAGAGCACTTTACGCAAGGAATGATCTTGTGATTCTAGATGACGTATTCAGCGGGCTAGATGCAAAAACTGAACAACGTGTGTTTGAATCGGTTTTGGGATCTCATGGCATACTGAGACAAGGAGGTACGACAACAGTCCTTGCTACAAACTCAGGTATGTTCTTAGGCGCTTCACTTACTGGCAAGTAGCTAACATTTCCAGTTCGCAATATCTCGCTGGCAGATCATATTGTTGTAATGGGATCAGATGGCAAAATTACCGATCAAGGTACATATCAAAACTTGGTCTTTGCAAGTAGCTATCTCGAGAGCCTTGGCACCCGACAGAAGACGCTCAACATAAGCGATTCGGAGAAATCTAAAGACGATACAGTCTCAGGTCTAGCTGTTGCAAGTGCTATGCATCAGCCCGTTGACAGTGATAACAGGGGAGATAAAGATCTGACCATCTATAAGTATTACATCGACACAGTGGGGTGGGTAACGTGGTGGGTGTTTGTATTGCTTTGCTCTGGCTTCGTTTTTGGCTTGGTGTTTCCACGTTCGTATTATCCCCTGACCTATTGTGCGGTCATAAAACAGCTAACTTCAATTGAAGAAATTTGGATTCAGTTCTGGACAGAAGCAAATGCAAGACAAGCTAACTATCGACTTGCGTACTATTTATCGCTGTACGCACTTTGGCCGTTGATGGCTATTGTAATATTCCTTGGAGCTTGCGCGTACGTAGTGCTATACTTAATCCTCTAAAACACAACACTAACTGTGTCTCTAGGTGGCTGATGATCAGGATGGTGTCAAAGGCTGCCATTCAGTTCCATGGAATCCTTCTGAATTCCGCCCTAAGGTTCGTTTAGCTCTGCAAGACCCCATTACATCTCAGTCCACTTATGCGGTTATATAGTGCTCCCCTGGTTTATTTCTCTACAACAGACAGTGGTGAAGTGTCGAACAGATTCACTCAAGACCTAAATCTTATTGACATGGAACTCCCGACAGCCCTCATTGGTACCACCGTCACATTTTTGTCGTGCATCGCCCAGATTGGAGTTATCATCTACGGCTCAAGTTACGTAGCCGCTGCAATTCCTGCACTGATAGTCTTCCTTTACTATATTCAATTGTTCTATTTGAGGACGTCACGGCAGTTGAGACTTTTGGAGCTAGAAGCAAAAGCACCACTTCTATCACACTTTATGGAATCTATCCATGGCTTGGTCACCATCCGCGCGTTTGGCTGGACTGAAAAGTTTACCCATCAGAATCATGATCTGCTTGAAAGATCCCAACGTCCTTTTTACCTTTTATATTGCGCCCAGCGATGGCTCAATCTGACGTTGGAATTGGCCGTTGCTTTCCTTGCCATCATTTTGGTCAGTATAGCCTTGACAACCAGAGAATCATCCGGTGCGAAGATTGGTGTTGCATTGCTCAGCATTGTAGGATTTGGACTTAACTTGAAGACCCTGGTATACACCTGGACATCATTGGAAATTGCGATGGGTGCTGTCTCCCGAATACGACACTTCGCAATTAACACGAGCTCTGAAGATCTGCCTGGTGAAGACAGAACTTTACCACCAGACTGGCCGCACGAAGGTGTGATAAGATTCCAAAGTGTATCCGCAGCCTATTCGTAAGTAATGAAATTGGTTTCGGAATTAACAAAATCAGCGTATTGATATTGCTGACGCTCTTTACAGGCCTACTTCTCATCCTGTACTCAATGATCTTTCATTTACTGTCAAGGCCGGCACAAAAGTTGCCATCTGTGGTAGAACAGGGAGGTAAGAGTCAATTTTGTGGAATTGGAATTAACAAGTCCAAGAACGTGGAGAATTAATGCTAACACCGGAATGCAGTGGCAAGAGTTCAACGCTTGCGGCCTTGCTAAGACTGATCGACTTACGAAGTGGGGCAATCACAATTGATGGAATAGACATATCTACAGTTGTGCGACAGGACCTCAGGTCAAAACTCATCACACTACCACAGGAACCTTTCTATTATCATGCCTCTATTCGAGACAATCTCGATGTCAGGGGCCAGTTCTCTACCGAAGAGCTTCTCGACATCCTCGAGGTCGTTGGAATGCGGGAGGTGATCGACAAGAAAGGTGGCTTGGATGCCATGGCGAATGCAGACGTGCTATCTCACGGCCAATCGCAGCTTCTTTGTCTGGCTCGTGCAATACTGCGTCCGAATAAGATACTCATCTTAGATGAAGCAACAAGCAGGTAAGCCCCACACACCTCTAGGACCAAGATTTGGGAGTTGCATCTTTTGCGGCTATATACAGTGCCTGACTCACGTATGACAGTGTTGATAAGAAGACCGAGGAAAAGATGGTTGATATTATCAGAGAAAAATTCCAGGATCGAACCGTGATTAGTGTTGCTCACAATTTGAACACCATTATGGACTACGACGAGGTCATCGTGCTCGAAGCAGGACGTATTATCGAGCAGGGAAAGCCATTGGCACTCGCTCTTGAGCCATCATTTTTTGCATCTCTCCTGAAGGCTGCTGATGGCGAGTCTGAAGATGCCTTAGAAGAAGAGACTATCTCCAATATAGCCTCCCCTCGCTCTAGGTAGGAGCACTCATAGAAGAACCATATCCGCTCTTTGCAAACAATGACACAATTTTGTCGTAATCTTCCCCTCCTCGGTATTTATAGCAGTTCCATTAATGCGACGCTGGCATTAACTCGTGTTATGCCATATTGGAATTTCTGAGACTGCTATAGGTAATAAAAAAGAGATATGAGATGGAAAATAATAAAAAGAATTAGGGGGTCACGTGTGAGTGTGATAGGGGTAGAATACCGTCACGTGTAGAAGGCTGGGCGCACGGCGCGGTACGTTGTAGCGTCATATTTAATCAAATATGGGCGCCCTAATCCGCCCCCTTAATTATCGGTCAAAGATATATATGTTCAAGCATAAACCTCTACCATTCGAGACTCGTCTGCATTCCATCGCTAACGCCCTTCAACTGCAACTCTGCAAGTTCTGACGGCCTCAGAGAACTCTTGGTGTTGCATAGCAATGCGAACACATTCTTGCCATATTTCTTATATGCGGTAGCTAATCCGTTGTTTTTAATCAAGGACAGCTCCATGTCATCGAGCACAAAAGGGAAATTCTGCCCTTCAAGTCGCACAACCCGTCCAGGAACATCAATTTTAATACCTGCGCCTGTTTTGGCGAGCTCATAGAACCTATCGTCTGCGATGTTGATCCCCAGTAAACCGATGGAGGGTTGATTGCGGCCGTAAATGAAAGAGAACGACTTTGCAATCACGCACTGCACACCCAGTCCTAGTCATGCAGCAGTCATTAGCCACGAGACTAGGCTATTTGTCACGGAATTATGGGCATCTACATGAATACATCAAGAATTTGACGGTATGTGTGGGCACAAAAAAAAGCACAAGACATACCTTTCAAAGCCCGTGGTGCTTCTTCACGAGATGAGCCGCAACCAAATGCTTTTCCAGCTACGACTACACGCATACCTTGACGTACTTTGTCGCGGAAGTCGGGGTTAGTGAACTCCAAGGCATGACTGCCGAGAAGAGTGTCCGTCGGGCTCTCGAGAATGAATGCAGCAGGGATAATCTCCAACATTGTTAGCACGCCTGAAGTCATCGTCTCTCCGGAAACATCAGAGAGGTGAAGGAACAAGTCTCTGCTTACTGCATCTGTGTCGACAAAGTCACCTAGAGCATATATCTTGCTCTCAATAATGTCGAGGTTACCACATTGTTCTCCTTCGCCCCCGCTTGGTGCATGCATTTGAGTATGCTTTTCAGTCAAAGGCGATCGAAAATGCAGATATGGTTCCACGTATGAGGGCATCACGGATACAGAGCGTTTTACGCTCTCTTTTTTCGAGGATTTGACTTTTCGCACTCGGTTCTTGTAACTTTGACAGCTTTCAAGTAGCGCTTTGTACCGATCAGGGGAGACTTGAGCTAGCAGCGCTGCAGGGTTGGTCAGTCGCATGCTGAATGATGATGCAGCTACAGTCGCTGCGGAGCAGATATGTCCGGTCGACCCTATGAAGAAATTAGCAGGAATTCAGCGCGGCAATGGAGAGCATGATGAACCTTTGCCCATACGATTCTTGAAATTTCGATTCTGGGATGAAATCCAATTTTCTCCCTCACCAGCTCGATCTGCTCCCATTCCGAGGCACAAACTGCACCCGACTGCCGGTTGTTCAAAGCCAGTTTGTGCGTATATTTCTAACAGTCCCAATTCTCTCAAGCTGTTAACAATAGGTATACTTCCTGGAACAACCATGCGCTTTCCTGGAGCTAAGCCGAGGCCATTCTTGAGGCCAGCTTCGAGCACCAGCGCCCCAAGGACCAACTCTTCTTCAGTAGTAGTGCAGGCGCCTATAAAGCAGCCCTCGAAACTCATGTCAAGTTTCTCCGACACCGGCACGACATTGTCCGGCGACGGATGCAGAGCAATGAAGGATTCCACCATTGTGAGGTCAATCTGAAATGTAGCTGCGTAAGAAGCGTCCTTATCGGGTTGAAAATAGATAGAATTTGACTTATACTTGCTTTGCGGTCGACCCGAAACGAACGTGTTGGTGACTTCGTCTGGAACGAAGATACCCGTGACACCGCCAAGCTCCTATATTATACTTGTAAGTCTCAACGATTAAGCAAACGGACCATGCTCACTCACCGTACACATGTTAGTTATTGCAAAACGTGCATCGCAGGAAAGAAATCGAGCTCCGAGGCCACCGAACTCTACGATTCTGTCCGCCGCAAATGTGTTTCGCTTGAGCTCTTTTAGTATATATAGTATAACATCCTTGCCACGAATGTACCAAGCTGGCTCTCCAGTGAAGTCAATTCTGATGGACTCGGGGACTTTGATCCATGTTTCGCCTGTCGCAAGTGCTGTCATCACGTCGGCTGCACCAAGCCCGATTGCGAGACAACTGACAGCTCCAGCTGAGCAGGTGTGCGAGTCAGAGCCAAGCGCGAGCATTCCTGGTTCGGCCCGCTCGCGCACAAATTCTGTGTGAAGAATGGTGTACTACCATGATATTAGTAAGTGAGGCTCAAAAGTGACAGAATTTGTTTTAGAGACAAACATTCGATCCCTGGTTCTCTGTCATCTTAAATTCTTGCTTGGCGTCATTCAAACCGTTAAGAAGCTCTCGTACGCGAGGTTGGTCATATGTCCGTGGTTCAACGGTATGATCTCCGGCCAGCCAAAAACGATCGTTTCGCCAGACCGATGGTAGTTCTCCAATACTGACCATTCCATGTTTCATGCCCTATCGAGTTGTCAGTTGATTCCCTTGCTTGTAGGTCACTCTGAATTTGATATAACGCACCACCCAAGATAACTCACTGGCTATGATCCAGTCTATCGAGACCCTTACCAATTCTCCAGACTTTAAGCCACCAGATGACGGCAGTGAGAATGCGTGATGAGCCAATATCTTTTCCGCCAATGTCATGGCCCGAGTATCGGGTGATTTGACCGGCAAGGGAGCCGGTAACTTTCTGGCAGATTCTTCGGAATTCAACGCTACTAACCACGCTTCAACCAGAAATTCCAAGTCCTCGAATGAGTCGTTTTTAAGCTGCCTGTTGGTGACGGATTCGCCATGTTTAAGTGCCCCAAGCTCTCTGTCGGTGTGATATAGTTGCAAAGCGTGACGGAAAGCGCCCGCCTCGGCTTTCTTGCCAACGGCATCAAGCGCTTCACACAGACGGTTGAGGAAGTCTTCTATGTAGAGGGTTGTCGAATCGTAATGGGAATCATCTGATCCTACGACGAGTCTGTGAACATCCGGAGCTGAGATAATAATTGATGCTGTCTCATCATTCGACTGCTCGGTTAGCACAATGCCTCGAATACGTGCCAGAATTTCAAGCAAAGAACCAATCGAATCCACTGCTGCCGCTGGAAGTCCGTTTAAACTGTATGAAATTGTTGGTTTCGGCATTTTGTATCTTGCGTTTCTTGATTTTGAGTGTGTATTTACTAGGAAGAAAAACCCAATTTGACTGTGAAACTACATGAAGGTAAGTATTGCCTAGACATTTATCTAAGGCGATCTAAGATTACCATGATTTATAATATCACGTGTGTCGTATGGTTGTGGATATATTTTATGATAACCATCTGTCAGATATACTCTTGCTTACTCGGCCAATCAAATGGCTAGGATCTGTGAGTCACTCACTTTCAACCAACAAGTGCATTCTAATTTATGATTAAAGGTTTACTTTAAAAAGCAAATCGATTAATTCATCAAAAATTACCCGAGGCCCGAATACTGTATGAAACTGACGCACGTTTGATTTCGCCAGCATCTATCTGCACTCCTACGTGATAAGACTCAAGATAATTTCTACTTTGAACTTTATCTTTCAATTCAATACGGTGCATCATGACGAAGCAATTTGACATCGTTGTTTTCCCGGGAGATTATGGAGGTCCTGAAGTTATGGCAGAGGGTATCAAGGTACTGAACTCACTTTTCTTTTCGGATACCAGAATAGTATTGATGGATGCATTCTTACTGATATCTACTAGGTATTAAAAGCGATTGAAAGAAAACATCAATCGGATGTATCCTTCAACCTAAAATATCATTTAATTGGTGGAGTGAGTTCATCGGTAGATGACATTTGGCTTTGCCATTGCGCTCTGCTTCCCACCCAAATCTGGTTATTGCTAATGCAAAATAGGCTTCATTTGATATCCATGACACTCCGATCACGACAGAAGCTCTTGAAGACGCAAAAGCGGCCTCAGCCGTTCTTCTAGGTGCTGTAGGCGGCCCAGTAAGTTCTTGTTCCCATGCAATCAGTTTCTAAAGATTGATATATTTTCATGTATCGAGGAAAGACATGTTTTAAGCTGACTTGACAAAACGCAGAAATGGGATGGAACACCTGTACCAGTTGAATCGGGTCTTGGTAGACTTCGAAAGTTCTTGGATGCCTTTGGAAATATCCGCCCAGTCAACTTCATCGCTCCTTCTCTAGTAAATTGTTCTTCTTTCAAAGAGCATGTAGTTAGTGGTACAGATATCACCATCGTCCGCGAGCTCACCGGTGGTATCTATTTCGGTGCTCGCCAAGAGCATGATGGCTCATTTAATTCAGCATCCGATCTGGATCACTACGATCGCGACTCAATTGTACGAGCTGCCCGCCTAGCAGGAAAGTTGGCAATGTCGAGGCAACCACACTTGCCAGTGACAAGTTTAGACAAAGCTAACTTGCTCGCGGCTTGTGGTAGGCTGTGGCGAGGTGTGGTAAAGGAAGTCTTTGAGACGGAATTCCCGACAATCAAATTGAGCCATATGCTGATTGATACTGCTGCAATGAATGTTGCGCGTCGTCCAACGAGCTTGAATGGTATAATATTGACCAGCAACATGTTTGGCGACATTATTAGCGACGAAGCGAGTGCTATCCCAGGAAGTCTGGGTCTTCTTCCAAGTGCAAGTCTATGCGCGATTCCGACTGTTCTTGATGCAAGTAAGGTTCGCGGCATATATGAGCCCATTCATGGTACGTAGTATCTGTCAAATGGCTGTTAAAAGAATTCCTGTGTCACACGATACTGATCGAGATCTAGGGTCGGCACCTGACATAGCAGGTCAGGGAATTATCAATCCCACAGGCATGATACTTTCCGTGGCTATGATGTTACGGTACTCCTTAGCAATGCCAGAAGCGGCTGATTCCATCGAAGCAGCTGTTGGAAAAGTCATCGAAGATGATTGTCGAACATCTGATATAGGTGGGCGTGCGTCCACGGCAGACTTTGGTGATGCTGTGGTTATTGCTTTGAGGAATTGTCTTGATAAAAATTGAAGACCATAGTTGGCAAAGATCATTGCTCGTTTATACCCAGTTTTCTGTGAGGAGCATCGATATCATTTCCTAGACAGATCCTACCGACGAGTCTGATTATGAACGGACTCTGACACCTCTTTCCCAGTCGCGATATACAGTTAGTAATGAATTGAATTTTTTTCTTTTGATTGTTTCCTTTTTAGAGATATAACTCAAAACAAATGTGACAATGTAACAAGTAAAAGAGATTAATATCAAGGAAAGCGCGTATTGGGTGAGAGGTTGTAAATACGGCAAAGTCCCGCGATTTGCTAACATTTGTAACTTGCCAATAAACAGAAAGAAAAACCTTAAGTCAGTATAAAACATACTCTTGTATTACTAGAATGGATCTGTACCTCTATCAATTTAATACCAGAATAATTTCAGAACATCAATACCCCCAATGAAAGATTTTATGCCTTCTGACTAAAACTGTATACCTCAAGCGGCTGTATTATAGCATTGACACTTGTTTTAGTATCAGGAGTCTCCGTTCCTGGCTTTCGCTTCATCGATGTTAGATACGACTTCATGGTGGCCGTCAGCAAACGTTCAACTTAAATTCCAGCGAAAGGTTCAACTTACTCGTGCCGCTAAGAGGAGAGATCTATTGACGGCTTCCTCTCTACTGAGGGCAACACCCACGCCCCATACACAAGGGGTCGTCTGCTCAATCTCACACTGCACAAAAGCTACATTCGAAAGCTGTTCTCCATCATGGGATGAGATAACATGAGATGATGCCATGGTACAATGGACGTCAATTCCCATCGTCTTGGATATATCCATAGCTGCATTGTTTGCAGGCGCTGTAGCATCTTCGAGTTCTTGCTGCATATCAATAGTCTGGCTGAAGCCGCTGTGGAGACGTTTGAGCAATTGAGTATTGTATGAGCTTTTCAAATCGTAGATTTCCAGGAAAAAATCGCAGATCTCTTCTGCTGCTAAGCCTCGTTCCAATGAGACGGATCTTTTTTTGATTATTTGACTGTAATGAGCAGCTAATTCGTTGGGGATGTTGAAACCTAAGCCTTGCTGGATTAACCAAGCTATCCCGCCTTTACCACTTTGGCTGTTCACCCCAATGACAGAGTCAAAAGAAAATCCCAGGTCTGCCGGATCAAGAGGTAGGTAAGGTACACGCCAAGTACTACTAGGTATTTTCTCATTTGACGTCCCGTTAATGATCATGCCTTTGGACATCTGGGTTAGGCCGGATGGCATCGCGGCTAAGCGACCACGTTTTGCTAGCCCTTTTCGAATCGCGTCTTGATGAGCGCCAGCAAAAGCTCGGAAGTAAAAGTCGCCAGAGTACGGCTGGCGTGGGTGAACAGGAAGATTTGTGACTTCCTCATAGACCCGACGGATCTCGAGTAAGTCGGAAAAATCAAGGCCGGTCTCAATGCCTTGCGTGAACATATTCATAGAACAAGTGATGAGATCGAGATTTCCAGCACGCTCTCCATTACCAAACAGACACCCTTCAACCCGATCGCCACCAGCCAAACAAGCCAACTCTGCAGAAGCGACGGCTCCACCACGATCATTATGAGTATGAATAGAAATGCACACTTTCTCTCGTTCAGTAATGTTACGCGAGAAGTACTCCACTTGATCTGCAAATACGTTTGGTGTGGTCGCTTCAACACTTGTGGCGAGGCCCAATATCACAGGATTGTCTTTAGATGGCCCCCAGGCAGTTTTGATTGTCTCTCCCAGCCGCAGTGCTGCTTCCGGACGGGCGTTGGCAAAATCCTCGAAGCCGAAACCAAAAGACCATTTTGTGCGGCAGTTTTCGGGGTCATCTTTCGTGATTGAACGGGCATATTCTACGCATCTTTTGGCTTGGTCCAACCATTCTGCTTCGCTTAATTGAAGCACAGTCTCTCGGTAATTATCGCTGGTGGCCAAATAGAGGAACAAGATTGCTTGTTTTGCGCCCTTCAGACTTCGCACTGATGTTGCAATAGCATCTTCTCTACAGGGTGAAAGGACTTCAAGCGTCACATCGTCGGGTGTAGCACCTGGTGTTTCTATGAGCTGGCGAGTGAAGTCGAATTCGGTCTGTGATGCGCAAGGGAAGGAAACCTCGATTTGCGTGAATCCTATCGATACAAGTAGCTGGAACATACGCCATTTCTGCTGCAATGTCTACGTCGCCAAATGGTCGGTCAGTAAGATGTGTTTGAAACGGCAAAGAAGGAATATATTGGTATTGCGTGCATTTTGAGGAAGGTACGAACCATTGGGTTTGGAAGCGCTTGATTTCCATCTCTGAGATCTGTAGACAACCAAATGGGAGACTTGGTCAGTTTCTTCGATGGCCACTGTCGATCAGAAAGCTGTATGTTAGGCGCTCGTTCGCCATATTTGCTGCGAAGGCTCTGCCCACCAGCACAGCAAGTTGCCATACTATATCTTTCGTCCGTATTCTTCATCTTATTCCAGACTACAACATAAGGCTTGATTGTGTTTTTAAGAAATAAGACTGGGTTTGCCGAAAGTTGTGATGGAGGAAAGGCGTCACTTCACATCGATAATCTTGGCATTTGGGTATCTCAGCAAAGTAGAGTTGTTTTTAGAATATCGAATGAGCTGTCTAGATTTTTCTGACTGATATGAAGCAATAAATAATGTGTCAAACATGTCTACGATTTACTGCTTTGATCAAACAAGGCAGTAAGCAAGTCTATCTTAAGCGAATGATATCTTTGGATTTCGAGGGCGGACTAAGCAGAGTATTTAGAGTTATCTGAATCTTTCATGGATTACATATAATTTTCAGAGACCAGGCCAAACATACAGGTTTCTACCGCTTCAATTGGCGAAAGGTGACATTTTAGTGGCGGTCATGTGTGTGGCTTCCCAGAAAGTCCAACCAGTGTATGCGCGAGAATTTAAGTGGAGTGTTGGTAGATTGAAGTATTATAGTGGAGCCGGCGACCAGTTCAGTTTGTCAAATTGATAGCATAGAGCATAACCCTGTGATTATTACGAGATGGTTGTTTATGATGAATAATTTCGTTCGCTTTTTATGTAGACTATGTATGGCCAACAAGCGCTTAAGCAATTTGATTCATTATTAAAGATGTTGAAGATTTAAACCCTCAATATGATAAGAGTTACTCCAGCTCATGTAAGATTCAATTTCCATATTTTTACTGTACATCAGTTACCGGATTATATTATGCTATGTATTGCTACCCTCAAGGACGACAGCTATGGCTTAGTGACTAACTTTATCCAACTCCTATCGTCAGGTACAAGGCCTTGCTGTATATCTCGGAGGGCTGTGGATAATCGTGAAAAACAAGATGTTGGTGATGAATACTCGACGGAATAAACAACATGTTCGCCTGTTGACCGCCGTAGTATCGATTCTACAGGTACCAGAACGGCGGCGGTGCCAGCTGCATAGACCTCAGAAAACCGAGCCACCTCCAAGAAAGATATCTGTGATAGTTAGTTGGAAGTAACATTTTGTGAGAAGATTCATTGAGTGCAATGCTACTCACAGGCCGCTTTTGAACATGCCAATCGAAAGCTCTCGCTAACTCGCAGATGCTGTCAACAGTTATACTTGACACAACCTGCTGGCTGTCTGATACCACAATTGTTGGAACTTCCCCGTCATTTAACACTCCAATAAACCCACTCGTGGAGAATTCGTCGATCAAGCTGTGGCTGAGAGAGTCGAGATGCAATGTAAGATTGAACCCTTGCTTTTTTGCTTCGTCAATCAGTCCTAGGACAGGCCCATAATTACCCCCGACTTTGACGTTTCCTGTGCCTAATGGAGCTGCACGATCAAAATCCTCGATCACAAGCACGCTGGCACCTTCTTGGGTGGCTTTGCCGTGAAGAGGTGACACTGGGAGTACGTAAACGCAAAATTTGAATTGAGACGCTAGGAACAACCCAACGGTCGGACTTGAGGCGAATGCCATGGGTCGTATATACAATGACGCGCCTGTACCGTGAGGCGGTACAAAATCCGTATTCATGCCAACGGCCGTGTTTACAGCTCGCAAAAATAAATCGGTAGGTACAGGTGGAATGGCGACACGAAGAGCAGAGCGTGCAAACCGCAGAGCATTTTGATCAGGTCGAAACAATTGAACGTCACCAGACGGATTTCGAAAAGCTTTCATTCCTTCAAAGATCTGTTGACCATAGTTCAAGCCTGGCGCAAGACCATGAACTGGAAGATACGGATTGGTGACGAATACTGGTTCGGTCCAGCAGCTTGTCGTCGTGGAAAAGGTGCATTCGACATGGCCATTCACTTTTATTCAAAAAGCAATTGAATCAGTAAAAGACACACCATCATATGCTGACACAAATTCATGAGTTTCTACTTACCTTCAAGAGGTTCAAATCCCAGGTGATCCCAATCTGAAAGATATGTCAGACTAGAAGCATCACCGACCGTATGGGAGCAATAACTTACCTACACCAAGAAGCGGCGGAAGAGGAAAATTTTCTGTCATAGCTGTCAATGTTCGCACAATTTTCCTTTTCTGTGCCTTTTTATGGGTGAGTTTAGATGTTTATATATTATACCTAGGAAGTCAGGATAGTTCTCACGTTCTATGAGATTACTTAAGCATCATTAAACAAAACATCAGCCAAATGCAACATTTGATGAATTTAAAAAAGAAATGTAAACTTTGAAACCCTCACAGCAGTCCATGAAGAAATATACATGATACATTTTGGTTCAACTTTCTACGCATATGTGCGTAGAAGTTTTGTCTGATTGTACTCTAGCGCATTCATATGATCGTTGTACTTGCTTTCTCCACCTCTGCAAAACTCTGGAAATGAGTCAACTAGTACGTTTCTGTCCGGTTTGCCAAAATATGCAACCGAATAGCGATCAGCCAAAACTTCGTCAGACTTGAAGTTTTTGCCTTCGGGCAGATGCACCCGATGATTTGCTGATCGTAATCGCCTGTTTGTCCAGCGTTGTAGACAGTCACCGACGTTGACAATAACTTCGTATCTGCTGTCCGATTCCACAGGGATAAAGGTGCCTAATTTCTTCTGATCCTCAACTTGTAGGCCGCCTGTAGAGTCCTGCAGCAAAAGTGTAAGGGTTCCAAAGTCTGAGTGCTCACCAATTCTCATTCCAAATTTCAGGTTCTCGCAAGCTATGGCAGGGTAGTGATTCATCCGCAGCTCACTTGTATCGGTCTGATGTCTGGACAAAAGAAGATCCTCAGGAAGACTCAATCCGGTTGAGATTGCTCGAAGAAGCTGAGTGTGGAAATTGTAACACATCTCATAATAATTTTCCATGAATTTGCGAAACCCGGGCAAGTCATCCTCATCAATCCAACGATTGGGAAAAAGTTCATCATCGGCTGCACCTTGATCGAAAGACTCCTACTTGCGGGGTCAGAACTCATCGGTTTAAGAACCAAATCTCATTTTTTAACATACTCGGTATTCAGGCACGAAACCGTCGGTTTCTTCGTCTTTCTCGAAACCAGCGATTCTCGATAGCTGTTCTTGTCCGACAGCACTCCAACCACGATGCGGGTTGGGTGCTGCAGGGTGACGTGCCTTTTGTTTAATATGTTCAGGCAAGGCAAAGAATTTTTTGTTCTAACCATGAGTTAGTATATCTTTCTCTTGGGATTGTGCTTGAAGTGTACTAACATATGAAAAAAGCTCGTCTATGACAGCGTCTGGAATAGATGTGTTCTGTATTTTGATAAACCCCCAAGTTGACAAAGTTTCACAGAGATTGTGACAAAACGTTCTGTGTTGCTCTTGACCGCCATACTGAAAGTCTCTATAGTCGAGTGTTTGAATTGCCATGGTGTTGATAACTCTAATTCAGTCTTTCCCGATGTTGGATTCGAATTAAACACGAGAGTGATAATGTGAACACTGTGTCAGCGCTTTAATTTATATCTTAAGCGCGAGTTGTATGTTTCGTCTGGAGTAAGATATGAGCGCGCAGAATGATCTGATCTCCAATAGACCATGCCTGGATTCCGCTCCGGGCTTTGTAGAAATTATAGGCTAGGGGGCCAAGTATTATGTCAGGAATCTTACTGGTACTTTGGATTTCAACGGTGCGGTATTGTGAAAAGTGCAGAAAGTTAAGCCACTCACCTCCACCGGGCAGCCAGCTAGCTATTCAACGCCTTTGTGTCATGATAACAGTGGTTTATATTGAAAAAACATCTGCAGCTTTGATACAAACACCACTTTGATGTATGAACTTTCCCTTGGCTGAGTTAATTTTCACCTGTATCGGCGGACACAATGGATTATATCAAGCAGGCAGAAAGCACACAATTATCCTCTCTGTCCCTATCACGACTTGAAGGAAACAACGCTGAAGAGTCAAAACGACTGTTGGAAGCATGTGCGCAAGATGGCTTTTTCTATTTGGATCTACGGGATCACAAACAATTACTAGTCGACTACGAAGCCCTGCTTGAAATCATCAAACAGTACTTCAATGAACCTCTGGATCAAAAGATGAAGGACGACCGCAAAAGTGATACCATCGGCTATGAACCAGTTGCAACATCTGCCGGAGTACTGGACGGGTTACCAGATTACTATGAATCTTTTAAGGTCAATTATTCCAATGCAAAATTGCTATCGAAACAATGTACTGACAACTTTTAGGTCTCGTGGAATCAACTCAGAGATCACGTTCAAGAGCTACCTACTGTTGTCGAAACTAATATCGAGGTTTTCGATCGCTTTGCGAAGTATGTCCATAGCATACTTCTGATGATATTGTCACGTCTTTCCCAAACCATGGGTCGCAATAATGACAACCGCTTCGAATCTTATCATAGAGATAGCATTGCTACCAGGACGAACCTCACTTTTCTGAAATACCCAAAGCAAGATACAACAGAACACGGTGTAGGTCACAACAAGCACACAGACGTTGGTACCTTGACTTTTCTCCTCAGTGGCCAGCGTGGTCTCCAAAGACTTACACCAGAGGGTTGGTGTCATGTAGAGCCACGTTCAGGTTTTGCAGTAGTCAATGTTGGTGACTCTTTGAGATTCCTCTCGGACTGTGTACTCTCATCTGTAATTCACAGAGTACTGCCCGTCGGCGCACATCAGACCGAAGACAGGTACACATTGGCGTATTTTCTGCGCCCGGAGGACGATGCGGTATTCAAGGATATTAATGGGAACTTGGTCAGTGCAAGATCATGGCATGATCGCAAGTTTGATCACTTCAGAGCATCGCACAACCAACAGAAGAATGACACTATCTTGATGGGTGGTATGGAAGAGAATCAGAAGTTCTTACAGTACAAGTTCCAGGCTTAGAACAAGACTTTTGCAGTAGTAAAGTCCCATAGATTCTTAGCAAAATAAATACTGAATATATATTTGCGCTTGCTGAAGACTCGATATTTTTATCACAATGTCCTATTAAGTCATATCAACTGGGCAGTGATTTTGCAGGATAATCAAAATAACTAAAAGGAAACACAAAATCCTTAATCAATTTCCGTAATTTAAAACTTTGTTTAGTCCACCAGGCCAAAAGAACTCCATTGTTTGCTTTGTTGGTCAAGTATCCAAGTACCTCAGATAGAATAGGGGGAGGTGTTAGTATAAAATAAGCGACTCTTAGTCCCGTTATATCTACTCCAGAAACATCGGGGTCATCGAAGGCCGATGAGCGGGACAATCATATCATTAGCAATCAAATAATCCAAAATGTCTGTGAATTCTTTGGTTTAAGTTGATGGTTTCGGATTTAACCACCTGCTCTGAATTAAGTCAAAATACGATATTTAATTCACAGCAATGAGGAAGATTAAACAAAAGTAGTGCTTCACTATTGCAAAAAAAGCGCAAGTACTTCCATGATTTTGTGATACTATATATATGTGACAAATACAAAGATTTCATCTAAGCAGAAGAAGTGACGAGTTGCTGTTTCAACTTGAACTTCAGAGCTTTTCCGTTGTGACTCTTAGGGATGGCATCGATGAACCTGATGTTCTGACGTAGCCAGTAAGGCTCGCTCAGTGTGCTCTGAATGTAACCACTTATATCCTTCTTGAGACTCTTCTCGTCAATATCTGTCATGACCTTTTGAGAACGCACAACAAATGCAAATGGACGTTCTCCCGCATCTTCGTCTGATATTGCCACTACTGCCGCATCATCTACGGCGGGGTGAGCCACAAGATGCCCCTCGATCTCAACCGGAGGAACTTGAATACCCTGTGAAAGTTGATTATTAGTGAAAAGATTTTATTCTGAATAGATAAGCGGTCAATTACCTTCACCTTCATGATGTCTTTCTTTCTGTCCACAATGAAGAGATGACTGTCGCCTTTGGGGTTTTGTTTGAAGGTTGCCACATCACCAGTTCTCAGCCACCCATCAGAATCGAATGTTACATCTCGTTTCAAATCGTCATCTAGATATTCTTTCATAACGCTGGGAGAGCGAACGAGAAGGTCCCCGGCTTGTCCATGAGCAGTGATGTCTGAGCCATCAGCATCCAGAAGTCGAGCTTCCACAAGTGGGAGGAGACAACCAGTAGACCCTGGATATTGGCTGTTGGGGCTAGTCCAAGACATACATACAAATGACTCAGTTAGACCTAAGATATTGTGAGCTGGACGGGTGATAAATGCAATTACGCGTGGTGGTTGTGCGTACCATAGCCAGGGTTTATTTCCCATTCCGGACAGAGTTGATTAATTGCTTTTGAAACTTGTTCGGGGAGACTAGCGGAGCCAGTGATAACACGCTTCACTGAAGATAGATCGAACAGTTTGAACAGGATCGGATTTGTGGCAAGTGCACCAATAATAGTAGGCACCTAGTACCTTGTTAGCCAGCATTTCAATTTTCGGAACACTTGCAATCGAGGTATTCGCGATCACTTTATTAGTCTTACCAAATACAATCTAACAATACGATATTGTTGGACTGATTTCAAAGCTATTTGCATATCGAATTTGGGATGTAAGATGATACAATCCCCTCGAAATGTCACAAAGTGCTGAACCAAAAGACCATAAGCATGGCTGAGCGGCAATATGCCTAGAGTTACATCTGTTTGTGAGGCTGTCGTATAAGAATCCATCGTTGTGCATTGCAAAATATTCGCCATCACGTTCGCGTGGGATACCTTCGCAATTTTCTGCGATGTAACATTAGATTATCGTAGCTGAATCCGGACGTTATAATGTATGGACATACCAGAAATCCAGAAGTGCCACTAGTCGGGCAGAAATAAGCTAGGCGTTCCTTGCTGTCAAAATCTTGTAAGTCAAGGGGTTGAAGGTCGGGCAAACCCTCTCCATCGGCGATCAACTGGGATATTGTTGTGTTGGATATCTTGACCGGCTGCTCTTCTGGCAATGGCAATTCTACCAAGAAAATATTGGAAGGATCTCCATTTATCGCGGTAAAAGCAGCTTGACATTGAGCCATCAATGGCTTGCAAGTAAACACGGCCTTGCAATTGGCCTTCCTCATCAAAGTCTCAAGTTCAGACGCTGACGATGTTGGATGTAGAAGCAGGCAGATGCCACCAAGTCGATGGATGGCCCAAGTGAGAGGGACGTAGTCGATCTGAACGATGTCTTAGCAATAAAGTACATGTTTGAAATGTTCGTCCAGGAAAGTTTGCTGTTGCAAAATCCGGACTTTTCACATACCGAGTTCAAGGAGCAGACAGCGACAACTTTGTCCTCGGGATTGCCATGATTGAAATCCCAACCCAATATCTGACTTAGACTTTTTGAAAGAGATTTTACGTTGTGTCTGATGTCCCTTATCGAGTACGACTTGCCTGTATAAGCACATACTGAGCTTGGGCTGTCCTCAGATACGTCGTTAAGACCATGGCCTCTTCTCATAACAAATTCGCCCACGAGCTCATTGTTTGGAATGGGCATGAGGATGTCTTGACACCATGATGGCGATGTAAATACCATGGTGAGTGTAGTATGAGAACGATAGTGAGAAAAAAGTTTTTCGTGTATTCAGAAATGTATTTTAAACCACGCGTATAGTGGGCAAGGGAACTTTTGTTGTGCAAGCAAGATTCTGTTTGATGAACATAAATTCCTAAAAGGCAGATGATTTAATGATCGCTCGGTGACTGGAGAAGTTCAAGAGCAGGATAGGATGAACTTATGGAATTGAAAATTTTGTCAACTCTTTTGAAAACTACCTACCTAAGGTAGGTAGGTATCAGTGACACCTTCAAGACCGGTAAAGTCAATCCACATCCTGCAGGTCGTTTCAAAATGGCTGGACAGAATAAGTGTTGTTGATAAAGAGCAGTGAATCTCTTCCCTACAGAGTCTTAAGGCTTGTGATGGCTTAACCTTACGCATGTAGTTTTGCGATGTATATTATGTCATGTCATCCTATTCTCCTACAGTCTAAAGAGCTTGGAGAAACGCTGAATAAGCGGGTTTGCACGGACCAAGGACGATAGCTTCGGTAGGGGAGGCTGGGGGAGGATAGGCCGGAGGCACAGCCGGCGGCACAGCCGAAGGACAGACAGCCACTAAGTAGGTAGTGATACAGCGCTAGCAGGGGATCCCAATAAAAATATCATCGATACGAGGATACGGTAACATCATCAAACATGAATTTTACGCGTCTTCTTACATTTTCAATGTTGCCTGATGCGAATTGAGCTCGATTTCACATGGAAGCGAAATGTGCTTTTAAGCTATAACACTCGATCCGGTGATCTTTTGTTAATCCCAAATCATTAAGAATATTGACCATCACGTCAAATAAGAGGAGCAAGTAAAGAGCACGAGCTACTCCCAAAAGTCAGCTTACCGGCCCCATTCTTTACGCAAGATCGGATCGAATAGCTTGCCGTTTTGTGTGGGCATCTTCTGCAATCGACAAATGATTTTTTTTACAAAGCTAACTAGAGCGTTGGAATTTGGAATCAAAAATTAAGATGCTCGTACAACTCTTCTACTTGGAGGCTTTCATCGTCGTCTTACTATGCAAAATCCCCCAAAGCCAGAAAAGAAAATCGCTAGATACTATCACAATGGGTGATACCATGTCTTTTGAGCGAACGAGATATTAATCACACGTAGAAGGTAGATACGTACACGGAGGTTACCCACACAGCAGTAGAACGGTGGGATCCTACTCTTTCCATGTGCACGTGACGAGTCGTTCTGGGACTGAAATTGTTGAGGCTTCATGAAGGGTTAGACTAAATCGTAGCAATTGGACAGTACACGCCATTTAACTATCTCAGTGTGGATGGTTTTGCTCAACATACGGTAATTTTACACTACAAAACATAAAGTCACGGAGATTTTGCAGCATAAGGGGGGATGATACACCTCGGCTAATTGAAATATCTGCCCTGTACCGACCGTTGACTTTTTTATACTACGGCTCCTGGTGTATATGTATCTGGTCAGTAATGGCGTGTGATAGCATAGTGTGACAACCCACAGTGCTGGTTTGGGTCCTCCGCCTCAGACAGACATATCCCATCCTCGTGGATATAAAACACGAAGATATAGATATTATCGTTCATTTGAAATTTTTTGGAATCTTCCGTATTGGAAGACAAGACCATACAACATGAGGATAGAAACTCTTGACTTCTCTAAGTTCCATGTTGGCACCGATGCAGAACGCTACGAGTTCTCAACGGCACTCCTAACAGGTTTCGCCAATGCAGGTTTCATCAAGCTCATCAATCACGGATTCTCGCAAGAAGAGATATCACAATTGTTTGAGGAGGTAGGATCAAGTTCAAATAGTAGCTTGCTCGTAGCACTGACTGGAATAGAACCGACGTTTTTTCGATTTGACCGATTCAATCAAAGCACAAATTGCGAACGAGGATGGTCCAAAACCTCAAAGGGGATGGAGCGCAGTTGGTGCCGAGAAGACCGGCCTACTGAATACAGGAGGCAAAACCAACCTCACAAAACCAGACATTGAAGCCCCTCAAGACGCAAAGGTACACCTAGCTGATGCCGCCGAAAACTGGTTAATACAACAATCTAACTGAACCCCCAGGAACACTTTGACATCGGTCCATCAGAAGATACGGAGTTTCCCAACAAATGGCCGGACAACGAATTGATTCCTGGCTTCCAACCATGGCTGGAATCTTTCTACGAGAGGAGCCGGTATATCAGTTTCGCATTAATGGAAGCTTTAGAGATCGCTATGCACCTCCCAAAAGGCGCCTTTATCCAGAAGTGCCAAGGACATGCTAGTGAACTCCGTCTTAACCATTACCCAAAAATCACCGTCAAGACACTTCAAGGAGGTAAAACAAGTCGTATTTGGCCTCACACGGACTTTGGCGTTATCACTCTTCTCGCGCAGGATGATGTGGGAGGACTCGAAATTCAAGATAAGGACAACCCAACCAACTTTTTACCCGTATCAAGAGAGGATGTGTCTGAGCTGGTTGTCAATATTGGTGACACCCTCGAAAGGTGGACAAATGGGTTTTTGAAGGCGGGACTACACCAAGTGACCACACCACGCGAAATAGTGAATCAGAGTACTGAGACTGTGCGCCCAAGAAGATCCATTGCTTTCTTTCTTAAGGCTCACAGACAGATGTCGGTAGGTCCATTGCCTCAATTCGTGGCAGAGAAGACGCCTGCAAAGTATGAAGACATCACAGCTCTTGCGTATCAACAGAGGAGGACCGCAATTGTTTACTAAACGAATATCAACTCAAGATTTCGAGAATGGACTGAAGCTGTCTTAATGACTTAATAGAAGGAAGTCAGATATTTTGATACTATCAGTGGTTGCTTAGAATGTCCTCTTTTTTGTGCGGGTTTATATAAACAAGAAGCAAATTGCCTTCGTGACGTAACAGCTAGGACCACAGCTTATCCGCCGCGTTGGCCAAACAGACCAAAAAAGCTCATTTTATATATTATTTTGAATTACCTCAAACGTCGAAACTTTATTTAATATTTAATAAAGTTAGGTTATTTTAATTTGACCAACTTATATAGCAGCTCTGGCTTTTGCAACTTCTACGTTACTCTGAAGGTATATAACTTTTATATGCCAATAACTACAATACCCCGACTTTTGTACTCCAACCCAACGATGAAGTTATGCTACCTCTCTAATTTTAAAGTGACCAAGTCAGATATGGCTGTTTGATATCATTTTGGAAAGACTGGCAGAAAGTAACTTTTTGTTGAGTTTTTCCGAGCTGGCCAATAGGCTGGGGCTCTGACTTTTGGCTGTTACTAAAGTGCCACCGTTTCCGGGCAGTGGCGGAAGAGCCGTAAAAAACGATTCTTGTCTGTCATAATGTGCGCTTACAAACTATAACATACTCGTGAGTCGTCAATTTGTGAACGACGTTTCTTTCATACTGTTTCGCAGAGCTCAAGCAGTCGATCATCGTCATGTAAGCCGTCCGTCAACGAATTTTCATTCGTTTGTTCGAGCTTGTACCTTTTAGTGACGTTCCTTCTCATCAAGACATCATACAAGTCTTTGGAAAGAATTCGGCTCATTTTGGATAGGAAAACTCCACGTCGCTCCTTAAGGTAGTCCAAGAATATCTTCAAGACATCACTTGGCAGTTTTTCAACACTGCAAGAAGTTAGAATAATATCTCCAATGAGCTGGATGTGAAGTCAATGCTTACTGATCTATACTTATCGAGAGGTCTCCTGTAGCACAAGGAATTAAAGCGAGGATAGCTCCAGGAAATGTTTCTTCGAACTGATACCAGTTTCGTGCACACGCCAGTCGGTTCCTCAACTTCGTCAACTTTCTCGTGTACTCACATCCGCCAGCAGTTGTGATACCTTCCGAGTCGGGACTAAGATCAGGGTAAAGTGTTTGCATCAGATCAGTTAAAGCCCGAGTTTTTGACCGATACTTGAGCCGTTCTTTGGCGGATCTTGTATTTGCATCGCAATCTGCATTTTCCCCTCTTCTCATCAGCTCTATCCTTTCACAGTCGTACTTCAACCTCCTCTTGGTACCCTTGACGGCCAGTTTGGCGGCTTTGTGATTCGATTCAAGCTTTGATCGATGATCCAATAGTCGTACGAGATGATAACGTCGAAGTATATGTGATAGTGTCGTTGTTGCATCTAGCTGATCTAAGACACTGACCGTCGCGGCCAAATCGTTCGAATCGTGATAAGAAGCGATCATGCTATTCTTTCTCGAGAGGTCCAGAGCATCCCGGAGTTGTCTGAGCGCATCAGGGCTGCCGACAGCGTAGAACAACCGCATGAGCAATGAGGATAAGTGCTTTCTATCGTCGCTCAAGCGTTTGTAGAACGTTTCGAAGACTTCCTTCGCGTCCGAAAAGCAGCCGAAGGCGTATTCCACACTCAAGTCTGATGGTATAGTATTTGCTTCGATATTAATTTGTGTCGAATTTGCAGGCGAAGTAGTCAATGGTGTATCTCTCGCTTCCTTCCGAACCATTTTCATGCTGCGCCTCTCTGGGAGCTGTGAGGTTGCTCTGCTGGCTCGCGGTCCGATTTGTTGGTCACATGGCGTTGCCTCTGTGGTCTGTCTTGGACCTTGTTTTCGGAGCTTTCTTTGTAAACCCCTCACTGGCGTGGGCTCCGGCGTAGGTTCTTGAACGCTACTACAGGCCCTCTCAAACACCGAAGAATGACTCGACGATGGGGTGTTTGCAAGAAGGCCACTATTCAGAGAATTTGCGCTTCCTGTATTGGTTACCGTCGACTCGGAAACAACGCTTCTGGCAACCCGGCTATTTGAAACCGTATGCATCTGATCGAGTTGGGGAGTAGCACCTGCTGAATGGCCATTTATGGGGCTGGAGTGCGATTCCAAACTAGACCATGTCATAGTGGACAACCAATTATCAAAATTAGGTTCACCCTCAAAGAGGGTCAAGAATTCGGCAAATTGATTTTCATGCTCTTGAGTAAGAGGGAAATTAGAATTTCGTGAAGACCAATCAAACAGACTTGGAGACTTCATCGAAACTCCTTCAAATGACCAATCCCGTAGACATGAGTCGGGAATATGGCCTGTATTTTGTGACTCAGCTGCAAACATATCTACGCATGCAGGATCTTCCAAGGTCATTTGATTAGTATCACCAGAATTTTGATATTCTGCCGACGCAGTGCCCCCGGTAATTGACGGTGTGTTCTGTGAGTAGTCTGCCATGGGTTCATCCAATCCTACATCAAGGCCAACTGTTGGAACAACATCTTCCGGAGCATCTGTATTGTATAAAGGGCTGGCATTCGGGCTGGAAGTAACTTCTGTGGAGGAGAGTGATGAGGCTGTTTCCAATATATCTCTGAGTCTTTCTTCGACAACCTTCTTTGCTTCTCTAAAGTCGCTTTGACACGTAGTGGAAAGAGCGACCAACAGCCGATCTCGAAAATCAATGCAGAGCTTCTTTGTTAGCTTAAATCCAGCAACCCCTCGGATAATCCTACCATTTCAATGACCTCCACACTATCTTCATCCTGTATAAGGTCGCCACCAGGGCTTTGGAAAAGGTCCATAACGCCAAGACTGAACAAAAGTCGCTAATGGATTCTAAGATGAGCTGCACTCCCTCACCAGTATATGAGTATAGGCACAACCAGGAATATATATACAAGACGCTTTTTCTATGGCATTGGCCTACACCAAAGTACGTAAATCCGAACCAAATAGCAATTTAATCCAATAAGCAAGCCAATCATTTCCCAGCCTCTGGGGCCGCGGCTGCAAAGGTCAACCCTGGAAGAGAAAAAATAGTAGTAGTCAGAGTGGCCCTTGTGAATCAATCTGCATTTCCTTTCAAGTGCCAGATATCCACCTGGATTTTGGCACCTTGTCGATTGGCGAGAAGCCTCCAAATTCTGAAGCCTCATTGGATACAGCACCTTGCAATGCTTATTTGTCTCTGCTGTGTGCAGAATCGCACAATAGAGACAAATTAATAAGTTTATACACCACCATCACGACTATTGGTTACATGTACGACCTAAAGTCCGTTTTCGACATGCACGTAGTTTTTTCTACGGAAGCAAAAACCGTTAAATAGCTGGCGGCAGGCGCCGCACTGTTGCATTAGTCGAGAAGCCCATCTGGCAGGGAAATCCTCACTTGGTCGAGCATGTCATTTTCATCATGATTCGTGGCATACCAGGATGTGGATCAATTGAGTGACTGGTAACATTGAGGTATTTAAGAACTCAGCCTTTGCCAAGTAGGTACCTATGTATCTTGGTAATTTTAGTAAGCATATGATGCAACAATCACTTGCTTGATAATACTTCGTCAAACCTTGAATAAACCACAGAGGAGAATCCGTGCATTACAGTCGGCTTTACCTTTTATAGTAACGATAAGTCAAATCCTCTACTTACTATTGGCCACAGAGCCCTTGTTTACCGTAACTTCTAGAAGACCCACTGTGGTTTATTCGGGGGTATACGAAGTAGGTAAGGTTGAGCTGGGCATGCAAGTCAGCTGACATGCAAATAAGCTGACCATGCCCCACCAAAGTCTCACCTACTCGACGATTTCAACTGCAGCACGAGATTATCTCCAAATGTGGGTCCTATAGCTCTTACAATCAGTGCATACAGTTCAGGCAATTTCACAAGCCAAAGCCAAGTTGCACGCCAAGTTACCCAAGCTTAAAAAGTCCCAAATTAATCATTTCATCCGCGGTTTCTAGGCTTGCGTACGGGACAAGAGTCTTCATTCGCACTTAATAGTTGGGATTGTCACATGACAGCTATGGTTCTGCGACCGAAACGAGCTGATAGTGGGGAAACAGGCACACCTTTTCGATGAAACGCCATTGCGGCTTATTCGACTTGAATTGATGTAACCTTACGCAAGCTCTTTTAGCCTCGCGGCCCGGATATAAACCCTGCCCATTACGTAACGCCCCGGATGTAAAGCCCTCCCTCTCCTCCCGTCAAACTTAGGGCTCTCTGCCTTCTGCAGCGTATACAGTACGAAGTGTCTAGAGTTTAGTATGTAACGTACGACTGGTTTGGTTGTACGATTCCCTTTCTTCAAATCCTAAATGACACGGTTTCTCCTGCAAAACAACCGGTCAAATCCAGTTGTGCGAAATGCCAAAGATATATGTGAGATTATGACAATATACAGTACAATTACGCGTACCTCATGTTCTGAAGTCAAAATACACATATCGAATGATATAGTGAGCTTCGTTCCTGGTGTCATCTTGGTCCACTGGTGCTTACTTGGACTAGAGTAAATACAGCTAGTACAGTACTTGCTGTTGTGATCGCATCGCATCGGGAAAAGAGCCGCTGCTCTTGGCCAAAAAGCTTGAGTTGTATCAGCCGTCCTACCCCGCACATTGCTGATATCAATGCGGTGCTGACGAGAGCAGTGAGCAATATCTGCCTAATGTTTAATTGCGGTGTGTTGTGAGTCTCATCTAAGGTGGGAATCATCACAAAAGGTCAAACCCAGTTTTAGAGAATTGAATCATAGAGTATCCCCAGTGAAATCAGGGTTCGCTTCTTGGGCCATAATCAACCTTCTTGTGCGGTTTGCCCAGTATGACTTGACCAGGGTGATGCGAGTTCTAATGATCCTCAAGGGACACCAAGTGACAGAAAACCTGATATCATGTAATACAAGTGCCATCATTGCACGAGACAGTCACCGCACGCATTACTAATGGCCGAGAACTGGTTTTCAATAATAAAAGCCTTTGAAAAGATTGATCCATCGAAAATGTTACAACTAATAGATTCGATCTCGATATACAAGTTCATACGCAGAACACGAAGGGATTACTCTACCTATCAACAATTGGCTAAGTATTCCTGCCCAAACTACTGATTGACTACTCTCCCTCTGATTCATTCAATTGGATCTCGAGCTAGTATGTAATCAGTCTATTACTATACGCAGAATAGAGGTCAGGCTACGTCTCCTCCCGCCTCGCTTAGCTCCACCACAGACTACAAGTGCCTCGACTACACATAAATACTCCCCTCCAATGGGGCTACGGCATCACTGGACATAAAAATAAAACCATCATACCCTTTTACACGTTGAAACATAATTCGTGGTACTCTCCACTACCCAAAACTGCGGGTATTTGGTTGATATGCGCGATCAAATTGAATGGCATTACGATGCTGGCTTTGGCAGGAGTCAAAAGCTTAGAATTTCCAGAGTTCTTTGAGAATTAAGAAGGCAAGACCGTATCAGTGGAATACCGAATGTGCATTGATAATAGATGGATAGCAGAAGCGAATACAAATAAGCCAGACAGGCAAAGCACACAAGCGAGACACTTCGTGATATTAACATGTACATAGGCTTTTATAAAAGCTAGTGCTAGCTCAGTGGAGCGGGCCACTGAGTATTTTAATATGTTGAGGTGCGGCACGCTGGTCAATTCAAGAGACATGGTCGATACTGCGCTCTTCGGCAAAGCGGCTGTTGTAGATTCTGGAACCGAGCCTGATAACGTCAATTGGTAATTTGATTTTGAAGCTACTGTTCACAGCAGAACTCTATGCCACAGCTATAAGGGTTTGAGAAAGCCTTGTTGACACATCGAGACACCTTCCATTCAAGATTGCCTCTTATACTTACACTCGATTTCACAAATGAAACGATAGTCTGCTAGAGAGTCCAAGCAGGTGTGATTAATTAAAGGGCCATCAAATAAATTATCGTTTGTCACTGTGCTTGTAACTACGCCGAAGATGATTATTCCGAAAAGAAGAGATGATCGTGTACACACACTTAGGGCATCTTTACTTGCTTGTATATAATTCTTACTACATCTACACATATTTTATGCTTAATCTCTCAATGCGAGCTAAATAGTGCCGATACCATACTAACTAACACGCAAAAGTTGAGTAGAGATTCTCGTCTGCAAATTTCTCGCCCCAAATTCGATTTTTCCCGCATACGAAGAGGCAGGTAAGAAGAAGTAACGGCTCCCAAAGGATGAAATCTAAAAGGTTAACAGTTCTTAATCAGTTAATTTTATTATTTCGAAGTAACTAGGCTCTCTTCGATAAGTAATCTTCGTCTGCATAATCATAGTCAGCAAAATAGAACACATTACAATACGGCAAAATTTAGTATGACATCTTCCTTACTTTGCGCAAAGTCAATGGATTCTAACGCCATTGACGGCCGCAAATTGTGTATTATTTTGATTCCACTTACTGTAAAAGAGAGCCCAGAGTTCTCTGGCGTATCCTCCTTGGCAACCAGGAAGGCCCAAGCCGGATATAGATGTACATCTTCTAGACGTCGTTGGCGACCGTCATGTACAATAACATTAAGGACAACATGTTTAAAGATAGGAATCTAACGAGAACGTTTTGCAGAGCCAGTTGTATCATGTCCCGCTGCGTGGAGTGGGACCTTGTTTAGCAGAGCGGTATGATTCCACCAGATACGATGCGGTTTTCGATGAAGGACATTTAATGAATTGGCAATCGGCTGCACTATCGTTCTCAAACCTATTCAAGGATTTCTAGATCCATTAATCCCCCTGTTATACGAAGTTGAATATGGTCAGGGACAAGGCGAGGTAGCTTTAGAAAGAAAGGTGATAGTTCTCGATAAGTAAGCGTCGCAGCGATATTCGCTAATCTTTATTACGATAACTGGTATATACGATGCATGGCTTATTATTTCGTCCTCCGATGACGCAAAAAGAAACCGGTCGAATCTGGGCTGTGTGAGAATTTTCAAGGTCTCTTCCTATGAGTTCTATCAAGTAATGTAGCGCTGATCTAAACTTATGTCACAGTCTTCAGGGTATCGAGTTGGTTTCAAAATTTGTTGTGTTTCTCTGCAAGATCATGAACTTTAACTGGAGTTTGTATGCGTCAGCTTGTAGCTTTTTAAGAGATCCCGCAATCACTTCAAAACCAAGTTCCAAAGCTGAATTGATCAACAAGCCATTGCTCAGCATTCAAAGCAGTTGCTAATATATCAGAAGGCAGTTCAGAAATCGTTACGAGAACAGATTTCTTATCCAATGTTCTGGTGGTCACAAAAGAGCGGTCTGTAAGCAAAGGAACTAGAGAGAATGTTTTGATGGCAGCCTGAAATGCCTGTGGGCAGTTCCTAGAATTAGTTTGCGATATAAGCAAGCTCTTACCGGGTTCCAAACGAGTAGCTCTATACTAAGTATATCCTTAGTTCTTCTTGTCTATACTTATGTAACGTAGAGAGAGAAGAATTTTGGTTTGAGTAAGTATGACGACCTCGGACCGTTCACAGAAACCCGGAAACGTGGGGAAATGCGGGGTGCCCCGTTGTGGCTTGTTTAAGCTTACTTTTCGACACATCCGGGGGCTATATTTATTACAGTACTGTGTTGATTGTTCGTATAATACACGTAAAGATTTTCTTCTTTCTCTCTCTCTTCCTTTCTGCTTTTCGTGTGCATCTTTCGTTCAACTGTAAGTACCTCTATCCTCTCCAAATAATGTCTGTAGGTGGACGCTGCCAAGAGTAATGAAATTTGAAGACGGCAACTGGATGCGACGAAATGTCCGGTACGGAAATAATTAACTGAGTCCGTACTACACGATGCAAAGCATTCTCCGTTCGAGTTAAAAAAATACTCGTCGTATCTTCCCAATATTTGAAGTATCGTGTGCCCACTCATTTTCACGTAAATAAACAAGCTTTCCACCGAGTTCGCTGTAGTCTATGTCAGCCAAGCATTTTGCGAACGGATATCGCTTCCTCATTTGTTCCAGCACGGTCTACCAAGCCCTATTCTTCCATGCACAGGCCTAATCAGCTCGACAAACGCTCGTATGGTGCCGAATTAGGATATCTAGAACGTCGTACTCGTGCACATTAGCGCCAACGGACCCTTGGTGGGGAACTGGACATCAGATATAGGGAGTATAAAAGGATTTCCAAAAGTACCTTCGCATCTCGATGTCAGAGAGTTCTCGCGTTAGAAATGCTACCAGGACATTCACTCACGATGTACACCTCCGTCCTCGCAATCCCGGCCCTCCTCCTCCTCAGCGACCACGTCACGGCCCAATGCACAAACTTCACATCCACCTCCCGTAGCTCGGACACCTACTCATTCTTCACAAGTTCGAACGACGTTGCCGTCGAAACACTTTACTGCAATGAGACACTCTCATCACCATGCTACATTACCCCCAAAAAATACGCTATAACCGCGCCCCGCAAACTCAATATCTCCAGCTGCCCCGCCGACGAAGAATCCATCTACCAACTCGCGGCTCAGGCCTATTCATCTGACAACTTTACGTCTTCTGAGTTCATCACTCGAAACACGTCGCTCACTAACGTCCATGTCGGTAAGACTCTCTTGACAGTCGAACCGGGAATTGGAAAGACACTGGCATGGCTGCCGTTCCAATTGTATTCGGCGGGGAGGTTGAGTGGGTGCGCGAATAGTAGTCTGGAGGGGGTTTACGTGTTGGCGCAGGCGCCTTATGAGGTTAATGCGACCAAATCCACAGAGAATGGACAGCTTAATGTGGATGGGAGGGTGTTGGCGGGGACTTGGTCTGCGACTCAGAGGAATATCACGGCTGAGAATGAGACTGCGGCGGATAAAAAGAGTAGTGGGTCAAAGGTTGGTGTTTGGGCTTGGAGTTGGGGGATTGTGGGATTTGGGGTTGCTTATGGGGTTGGAATTTTGTAGGAGGTGAAGTAGGAGATGTACGAAAGTACGGTTTAGTAATTTATGTTCAATGAAATATTTTCCTCGAACTCACAGCTGAGAAATTTAAGTGCATAATAATGTATGTTAGTTACGGATAGGCTAGATTTAGAGCTGGAATACATATTTCAGCAAGCCCCTAGCAATCGTCGCTGTTTTGGGTGTAGTTGTTGAAAGAATTCAGTCTTCAACCAGCAATGTCGCTTGCTTCAGGTCAAATGAGCATCTGACGAGCAAGTGAATTCGAGTTATGTTTTTACGGAGAAATAAGGTGGGCCTCAAACTCAAAGTTGTGACCTGTATGTAACTGCTGATTGATCTGTCCGAGTAAAGTTACTCGGCTAATTCAACATGAGCATTTCTAAGTATTGTTAATTTGATAGCTGAATAACTAAAACTCAATGACTCGGAATAGCCTTTAGGCTCAGCCTTAATTTATGCCTGCTTGCACGTTATCTATTCGCATCTAGTTTATTTATATATCTTTCCCTAATTAGTAACAGAGACTTAGTCAAAAATTAAGCGAGCCAAGACATTTATACAATTGGTAAGAAACAATCTACTGTTATCATTAAGTTGGATAAATGAAACTTCGTACTCTCATTGAGGTATGTTTAATTCACGTCAGGATCGCTATTTAATTTATAGACAGAATTAAGTGTTGACCACGTGACATGTTGGAGTGCTCGTTCATCACGTGGTAAACTGTATGCTACATTTAATTGTCGTAAGAATACTACCACTATTATGACCTAATATACAACTATTTTCGTGTAAACAGTACAAGAGTTACGTATTATGTTAGAGTAAGATTTGTAGTGACATTAGATCCGCCACGTACGCGTGGGGTCGTCGTCTTTGGAGCAACTTTGTTTGCGTCCCACTTTTATTTCATAATAACAACCAAGGCCTTAAATTCCAACAATGGCACACTCAGCTTAATTAAGAGAAGTTCTATCACCAGGTCTTCTTCTAAAGGGTCATTCTTTTCTCTGCGTAACGAGGCTCAATGAGGCTCCGGACGATAGGCGTACTACTGGGCTAACAAGTCTTCTAAATATAGATCAGGCTGGCGGCAATCTTCTTCGTTTTTCATCCTATTTCAAGGTCTTTGTCTTGATTTGAAGCTTCTTCCCGAATGAGTCCTTATTTTTGCGACACGATATTTATGAAATCGAAGCAAGCAGTGTGACATTTGACCGAGAATGGTGTTCACCGCTGCCTCAAAATCGGCCGAACCGGCAAAAGTTCCCGATACGAATATCCCAAACTACGTGGCAATGCAGATATTCGATTGTTTTCACTCGATCCAGGAGTCTTAGAAAGTCCTATCAAAGGATCCATGATCACCGTTGACATCAATACCATTGGAGATATCAATTCTACCAACACTCTGCTCGATGCGGAGGGATATACTGCTCTTTCATACGGATGGGGCTCTGCTCAACCAAGCTATGAAGTCTTCATAGCTGCTCAAAATGATGCGAACGAGTTCAGCCTTTTGGTTCAGCAACAAGTCCACGAATTTCTGAGTCACTTTAGAAGTCCAATCAAGGCGCAGTATCTGTGGATTGATTCGATTTGCATAAGTCAGGGAGACAAATCCGAGAGACAAATACAAATCCAAGATATGCACCAAATTTACTCTGAGTGCCGTATTGTGGCTGTGTGGCTCGGGGCCGAGTCTAATAAGGAAGAGGTCAAAATATTTCAAGAGCTGGCAAGCTCTTCAAATCACGATGTTTCTCGGCAAACTTTAACTCGGATGCCTCCCGACGCGAGAACGATAGTGCACGAATCGGTACTCAGATTCCTAAGCCGATCCGGTTTGCAAGAAAACTTAAGGCTTTAGTCTTTCCAGGAAATTCTAATTGCACCACGTGTACAACTGTGTATGGGAAATCAACGGATGACTTTCGACTTTAAACAGACCTTGCCACATTTGGGTTTGCAAGAATCTAATATTCTCACTTCTACTGGTAGCAAAGCTCGGGACACTTTCCCGGATGCCTCGTCCGTTGGGTCGATTTATGTAGCTGCATCTGGCGATTCCCGGAGTATTTTCAGTGATGAATCCCGCGAGACATTTTCGACGCACACTAGTACCATAGGCCATTCCAAAGAATTGGTCTTGTCTGAATTGGTACATTTTTTTGCCTTAGACAAGGAGCTAGTTAATACCTACAGATTGCTGACTGGACCGGAAGCGTTCGGACCTCTTCAGCAAATGATTAGAAACTTGTTAAAACACTTTGCTCTGGAACTATTGGTCGAGCTCGAAACAGTGTTGAAGGATATTCCATCATTCATCCTCGAGCAAAGGCATCGATTGTCACGTCGCGTGTGTGAACTGCTCCAACCACACCATGCAAGCATCTCGCAAGATTTCTTAGAACAAGATGTTGATAAAAATGATATCTTGAACAGCTACTTTCGTTCTATGCTAGACGCTAGAGAGTCGAAAAACAGATTTGTCGAATACATTTCAAGTGATAGCTCAGATTCAGAGATGGAAGAGTTTCCGAAATCAAATTTGACGAAAAGAATTAAGGATCGACTTCTCAGAACGCAAGCAATGAAAAAACTTTCGAAGAGATCTTGATAAGTGGGTTCGAGCAAGGTTTTCGAGAGGCAGTGAACTGGAAGAAGTCGGGAGACTTCGCCACCTAATTTGTTCGAAAATAATACTACCACAAAGAGTCATTTCAATCTGGGAGGATCTTGTCAAGGAAAAGCATCTTGAACGCAGTTTTAGACAACAACGGAAATTCAAGGCAGAAGGTCATTTTAGAACAAAAGAAACGTTCAGAGGTGCGAAACAGCTTCGGGACATCATTGCGAAGAGAATTATTGTGCCACAGAGAGTCATCGCGGCACTAGTAATACCAAGGTCGAGAGTAGCGACACGCGTTGGAGTTGCTGACAATATGTCTAATCTCGACTACCACAAAAACAAAGCGCTTCAAAGAGATTTGAGACAAATCATCAGCCGAGTTGCTTTCATTCCGGAAACGCATATTAGAGAGGTATCAGCTATCACCACTGAGCCGTATTCGACCTTGGAAGCATACAGAATAGGTCTGGAGTCATTCACGCGAATAGACTGGAACTGGTGGCCCATGAAACCGTTGAGGAGACAGATAAAAGGAGATCGAATTATAAAGTGGCAGTGTGTAGGTGAACCCCCATTTTATGGACTCTCATTCTACTACATCTAAAACACCAAGTAACACTGTTGTCTAGGATTGCAATCTCACGAATTACACCAGACTGTCGGTAGAAGATCCTGCAGAATTGAGCGCACTATACGTTTCAAATACGCTGCACTCTCCTCGAGATGCGAGTCATATAATTACTGCTGCAAGTCCAGGAACGGGAACATCTCAACCACCTCCACCTTCACAGAAGTCCACTGCAACATCACATGTTCCTTCTCAAAATGCAAAAAGACCCGTTTCAAATCCTCTTGGTAATCTTGCACCTACTTCTCCCCAGCAGGCTTCATTACCAGGCCTCCCGTCAAATGCCCACGTACTGCAAATGCCAAACTCAGAACATGTGCTCCTTGCCGTCCGCCGAGGAACAGACCTCCGCTTGGTGCAAATTATTAAGACATCTGTACTAGCGACGGCATATTCTTCGCTCAACTAAAGAAAGCTTATTTATCAAAACGCGGGCGTTTGCGACGCCTATTTGGCCTCAAGATTTACAGTCACTGCGAATTCGTAGAGGTAACGGACTCAGATCACATTCAAGCCAGCTAGCTAACAATTCTTCAGTTCGAAAAGCCTCTCTACAGAATCCTCTTCCGTCGCCAAAAAGGATATCCCCATGACTACCCTCCCAGACTTCCACTGTATAGATATCGCCCTATCAAAGCCGTTAACCCAGAATGGCATGACCCCCCTGTATCCATAGATGAGTTTTACCGACGCTTCTACGGATGCGAGAACTGCATGACCAAGACTCTCAATCCTTTCCATAAATGCTCTCATTTCTGTCCCACGACAATCGACTGCATAGAGCGCGTTCCAAAAATTATATCTTCATTTGAAATGGAAACTCAGGGTAGGGATCAAGCATGGGGACTACGTGCGATTGAATCGATCAGTGGGTTGGGAGTTTTGGCGTATCATGTCTGCATCTTAAGCGGTCCGGTGATATTTTGGGCTCTGTGGCTGTGGTATTGGGATCATCAAGCGGATTTGCAAAGTGCGAGTGTGCCATTTACTTGTACTCTTGGGTTGTTGTCTTTATTTTGGGCTTCGATCAAAGGGTAATGATGGAGACTATGGGTGCTTTAAGCTGAGTCAATGTAGTGATGGAACAGGAGACTATTCCTGTTTCAATTAATTTCAAGATCACTGATGTGACAGAGAACATTCATGCGATCGCAGAAACAGTAAAGATAAGGAACAGCAAAAGAGATGCTTTATTAGGAGATGCGATAGGCGCATCGATACATTGCGCCGAAAAATACATTACTTCCTCTGTCAAACACATCGAACTCTCACACGCCTGGAATCCGCCTCTCAACAGACATATTTATCTATTACTTTTAATATCGACCTATAACTAACTATTATAATAATTATCGTATCTAATCTAATCTATAGTTAACTACTATAGCTACTACAATTTATTATCTACCTAGTAAAATCTCTTAGTTATACTATCGTAATACCTAGATATAGTATTTTATTAACAATAAATTATCCTACTTCTTAAATACTTGTTTATTCTAGTACTTAGGGTCTAGCGTTTTTGAAAAATTAGTATCGATAGTACGACTCTCTAATATGTATTATCTAGTATAGTGGAAAGATATTTATTGTAGTCGAGCACGAGGGAGTAAAATGTGACATTCTTAGATACCTACCTATTTAGACAAACTCCAACCCACAATCGACTATCAATAAAATCACCCATTCTATTCCAATCCAACTTAACCCAACTACACAATATCTCTTGGCTGACCATCCCCGGAGAGCGCCGACCTAGCCATTCGCCTACGAAGGTGTTCCGAGAGCCTTTGTTGCACCGGCCCAGGCGTATTTACACCCCTCACGGTCTGCATATTACGACTCCGACCCTCCATCTCCCCATCACTCAACTTACCATCCACGAACCTCCAAGTATCCGTCACGACCACATACTCGACTTCCTCTCCGGATCCATGATGCGCCCATTCTTGTCCACCCAGCTTGCTCGTGCCCTTCCATTTGGACTGTTTCAAAACAGTGCCCTCGGCGCTGAGGTATCCCTCGACTTCGTTTCCCTGAAAAGCACCCCCTTCTCGTCTCACCGGCAACTTCCAGCTCTTATTCCGAGTGACGATGTGCATCATTTCTGCTTGCTTCGAGCTCAGAGTCTCATACTCCACCTTGAGTACGCGCAAGCCAGGACTTCCTTTGAAGAAGCGTAACCAAGCTTCATCCATTCTTAACGGCGTGTTGCTTTCCCAGTACCACCAGTCCGAGTACCGAATTGTGATGGTGAGTTCGGTGGGGCGGAACTTGGGTATAGAGAATAGGTAGAAAAGACCGTTTCCGCTCTCGAGCCAGTACATTTGCGTGAAGAAACGTACTTTCTGGAGGGCGTGCGCTGCTTGCGGGGTGAGTTTCTCGAAGAAAGCCTGGCAGGCTGAGCTGGTGGAGCGACCTTCTGGACCTCGATCTGCTGCATGTTAGCTATTATAATGAGGGCATGTAGAAAGCTCGATTACCAAACCAAAAAGCGTATTCTAGCTCACGGAGAAATACTTGCTGACCCTCGGTGTAGGCTAAGCGACAGGTTCGCAGCAGCGAACTACTACTTTTGTGAGGCGCGGAGAAGCCGGGTCTGTACCAGTATGAATCTTCCGGGTATGCTGCTGCTTCATCTTCACTTTGCATGAGTGCTAGTTGGAAGATTTGATTCCGGATTTCTCCTGGTAAGATGCCGAATAGTGGACTTTGAAGTTGCAAGTTTGACGGGGGAAATGAGTGGTTAGACATATTGACGAATTCTGCAGTACCTATGATGTGTCTCGCGGGAGGTCATGTAGATAATGATGAATTTATATAGACAGAATTCGGAGTTCGAGCTTGTGTAATGTTGGGCCAGGCTGCTGCGGGTGCCTACTGAGGAAGGACGAGGTGGGGCTGAAGGACGAGGTGGGCTGAGTATGTAACGGATTGTCCAATGGGAACGCACTATGTGCGGTATACAACATAAAATCAACACCTCCAACTATTGCGACAACAACTCACGTTAGAGTTAGGGAGTGGAGGGTGCTTGTGAGGGTGACCGAAATATACTACGACTGCATGCAATGTTATGAAAAAGTTATATGTAACTTCTCTCGCGACATAATCTTAAGTGTTTGAATATTAGTAGAGAGTCAATCCGCAATTACACGTGCGGTCTTGAAAGTCGTAAAGTTATAGACACTTGGATATGTAGAAGAAAGGATTAACGGATATAGGAATAGATAAGTAGCGTTTCAATTTACTTACCTATTGTATAGTAGAGTCGTATATATTACGAAACTTACCGTTACCCGTAAGAGGTTTACTTTAACAAAGTAGTTTCCTCTTACATAACAAGACACAGAAACGAAACTATCATTACATTCCTAAAGCCTATACTAATAAGCACTATTACCTTACCTTATATTCCCCTTATTACAACGAGCCACAATAACCTATCGCGAACCTTACAAAGTCGTATACTACGTTCGGTACCGCGCAGCCTCGGAAACGCACAATAATAATTTTAATAATATCCCCTAGAGATCTTCATATCTTAACACATTCATCTCCCCTCAAAAGGTACTAGAACGTCTAAGTCTCGTTATCCTAAATGCGAGAATTTTGGAGACACCGTTCTAACTAGTTAGAAAAACATACAAAACCTCGCACCTTGGAAGGGTGGAATTTTAAGTATTGGATTATAGAAGTCAGTGGTTGGGGGGTTGTCATGGGTGGAGGTGTTGGAATTTGGAGATATTGAATTGGGATTTTGAGGCGGGGGAGGAAGAAGATGGGAGGGAGTATGAAAAGGGAGGGAGGGGTTAAGAGGGAGGGGAAAAGGGGGTTAAGCGAGGCGCGGTACCGAAGAGACTTAAGTAAATTAAGAGTTTAAGAGTAATTAAGGTAGAAGGATCTAATAACAAATAGTAGGAGCTCTTAAGAGAAAAAACTCGGGCGAGTTACGATTGTCTTAGATACGATTCTTATTCGTTAAAAGTTACTCTATTCTATTTCTCGAATTACTTTTCTAAATTATACGTAGTTAGCGGGGAATTGATGGCTAAGCGGAGATGGGATGGGAGGGGTAATCGTGTTCGATTCGCGGCAGTTGCATCGACATCTACGGAGTACTTTCTCTCTTCTTTTACTAACAAGAGAACGCGAGTTTTTCTTTGCACTTTCGCTCTTCGCGAGATTTTTTTTATAATAATTTGGCTCGTTCGCTTAAGTAAGGGAAGGGCGTTATCGTGCATTTCGTTCCCGAAATATCTTTTCGGTACTATAATTAAAGAAGCATAAATTCCAAGTCCCCTTTGTACAAGTACGCTCGCTTTCTTATGTGGCTCGATGGCCTTAATTTGTCAAGTCACCAGTGACTTACCGCACCACACAATCAAATTCCACACAAAAACCAAAATCCACAATCAGAGAGGGGTTCTTGATAATAAACTAGCTACTTTGTACCTAAACCATAGCCCATCCCATCAATTAACGAACATGCTTTAACCCATTAACATCAAGCTGTATAACCCATCCATCCCATCCCATCCCATGCCATTCCTTCCAGCAAAGCATAAAAACATCAAACATGCCACCACCAAAAAACACAAATCTCAAATTCCATCCCAAAAAGGATCGCATGGGTATAGGGTATGTTTGTATCAGCTAAAAAAAAGAAGAAGCACAGATGAGACAAAAGAAACCTTGCGATCTGGATCATCTCATCGCAAGCGTTGCATGTAGAAATATCATACCCACCAAGAAAAAACATTGCCTGTATAAAAGCCCAAAAAATTCAGAATTCCTGATCCGATCTTGATCTCAAGAACGAGAGTGAAGTGAAAGATGTAAAGATGCAGAATAGTCATAACATGCAAATCTGAATAAAACATAAAACAGAATCGGTGCAACATCTCGATCATGAAAATCAATACAACGCCCCTGCAAATGCTAAAACGCTCCCAACCACCCAATCTTCTGGATCTTATAATCAAGCATGGGCGTGCCTGATCGTTTCGTGTACTTCGTGTATATTCGTTAATGTCGTGGCGTACTAAAAAGACGCGGGTATCTTATGAAGAATGAAGTGAAGGATGGTGTATATACAATCCATTCCGCCCATATAGGAAATTCCATTTGTGAATCTTCCCATCTGTACCGTCTTGGTAACTCGTCTTAGTAAATTGGTTGCGCGGCATTTTCCTCACTGGTTGCAACGGCGACCAGTGCTTCTAATCTTAACATGTTATTATCAGGGGATTTAGGGCCTTGATGTTGATGTTGAAGCTGTCCCTGTTGATTCCTTGGTGCGTACGTGTAGGATCCATCGTGTCCTTGTTGTCGAGGATAGAGTGGGTAGCCATTGGATGGTAGGATTCTGTCTGGTTGCACTGGCATGTGCTGGTTCCCATTTCGGTTTTCAACCCAGCCACTGGCATGTACGATGCTGGGATTTACCTCCACGACATGAGAGCCAGGCGTTCCCGGAACACCACCTTCAGAGCTGCTTGAATCGGCCGGGGAAGTTCGCTGGACTGGGCCGCCATTTTGGACCGTTACTGGGCCATGATACCATCCGTGTCGCTTAGATTCCTTCGGGGTGACGGGTGGAGCGATGACGGTCTGCTGGTTCCAAGCATTGCTCTGCTGAGCTCTAGCAGAATAGGGAGATTCTTCAAATCGAACAACTGGTTGAGATCTAGCTTGTTCTGCCTGTGCCAGAACGGCCCTGTTCGCTTCTGATGCCCAGGAACTCGCAGCGTCGGTTGGTGGCGTGCCTTGTGCGATGTCCAAACGATTCAGATTTCGGTTTATGTTCATATCCCAATGTTGGCTATTTGGTCTCTCAGCCTGATATTGTTCTTGCTGTACAGGAACTTGAGCCGCACGGCTTTGGACATCAACCATCATTGGACTCGGTTGTCGACGAACCGGTGTCGTCGGACGCGGTGGAAGTGGGTCGAAACTTTCAATACCAGGAAGACGCATCGATTGTAGAGGTGGTGCATTGCTCGGGAGTACCGATTGGGGTTGAGGTGGTGGTCCATTGGAATAGTAATTTGGAGTGGTGACGACTTGCAACCGACTTGTGAACCCAGTATTAGTGTCAGGGTGCCAGGTCCTACGTCTCCACGCCTCATCCGATGCACTTGATACAGAGTCTCTTCGCGACCAGACAGAGCCGCTGGTTGAGGTGGTTGGACTAGCCATGATGCTACTGGATGGGGAAAAGGAGCCTGCGTTGGACGAGTTGAGGGGAGTTAAGCCCGATGGTCCATACGAATTGCCATGGGGGGACTGAAATGGGTTTCCAGCTGAGGGTACGGATAGTCTTCTACCAGGAGTTCGATGATCGTTATATAGACTTTGCGTACGGGAGTGGCTAGACATTGGTGATTGAAGAACAGATGCACCCCATCTTGGACTATTTTGTCCTGTCGAAAAGGTAGCCGAGGTTGGTGTGCTAAACCCACCTGGTGAACTTGGTCGATAGCCAAATTGGCTTGGACTGTCGGGTCGATATATCTCTTGTGAAAATCGATTTCGTGAATCTCCTGCCATGACCAAAGGCGGAGGTCTTCTTCTCGGATCATCTCGCTGGCTGTAGGCTGAAGACACAGATCCCATACTCGCAATACTTGACGCAGACAGAGAGTTTCGCGTATGTCCCCTTCCCCCGCCCTGACTATTCGTTGTCGATGCTCTCGATCTACTTCCGGGTGGTCGCACCCTGTCCGTACGAACCTGTCGCTGGAATCTCGTACCCGTCGCAGCTAGCGAGTCTTGTGGTATCTCCTCGTTCAAGTGAACAGTCTGCGCATGTTGTCTTAGGTTATCGAGTCGTGAAAATCGACGAGAGCAGTGGCATTGAAAGGGACGCTCGCCAGTATGCTTTCTGCAAGTTTGTTAGATTGATCGATAGACCTTGTCGTAATATTCACATACCTGATATGCCGGGCAAGATGTTCACTGCGGGTGAAGCTCAAGGAGCATGGCGGATAATCTGTGCAGTAAAATCTTTGCGACTTCTTTTTCTTTGAAGATTTCGTTCCATCTGCGTTGATTACACTTTCATCATCTGATCCTTCCTCGCCGTCTTCCGAATCTCCACCCATATCTACATCTTCTGAATCTCTCGATTTGTTTGAATATTGTGAATCGCCTCGCCGTAGGACTTCTTTCGGTTCTTCGTTTTCGGGAATCGAGATCGTGGATGGGAATGGGGATGCTGGGAGAGGGCGTTGGCTAGCTAGAGCGCCAAAGTTGGCTCGGGTTGGAGTTGTTGCATCGTCTCGGTGCATCGCGGAATGTGTGCTCGGCGCAGTACTCGGACGTGGAGTAGTCGGCGTTATATCTTCTGCGTTTCGTACGTGCGAATCGGGGGCGAGGGATGTGTTGACGGGACGGAAAGTTGCCATTGTCACAACTCTGTGAGTTTCGGTCTCCGGCTGCGGGCTGGCGAGAGGCTGGGAATCCTGTTCGACGAGGAAATGGAGTGAAATCACTCGCAGGAAATCGGATCGAAGGGATGAGGAGAGGTCGAGTGGAGAGAGGCTGATGACCTTCGTATCAACGCATCAGAACATACGAGATGACAATGGCCTAGGTAAGCTTGGTCAGGTACGACACAGGCGTTGAGCCGCAACTTGGGCCTCTCCTGTTGTCCGCGTTGTTTGAGCGATACCAGTTGCAGCAGAAGCGTCGGGTTCGTCTGAAGTGATGCTCGAGTACTGTACTGCGGTCAAAGTTATTCTCCAGGTCAAGGAGAGTTGCGACGTCGTGACGTTGAATGATAAGGAGAAGAGGGGCAGCGAGGGATGGATGTTGGTGGTTATGCGACCGGCGAGGTGACGACCAGGATACGCAAAGCCAATCCGGAGTTTACGGGACTGGCGAAGTGGGTTGAGAAAGAGTCCGATGTTGTTCTGCAGTTGAAACCTCGACAGGTGTAGATGGTGCAACAGCGGACGAAGATATCGGATTGTTGACTGCTGGAAGGCTCTGCAGATGACGGAGAGAGAAGATGAGGTGAGGAGGAAGCGTGCTCCGTACGGTTATGCCAGGAGGTAATAGTGGTGGTTGGAAGAAGGATTGGCACGATGAGAGGAACGGGGGGGCCTTGACGGATTATCACAGTAGTGTCACGATAAGCGAGCATCCTCCTTCTCTCCTGCCTCCCCTTTGTATTCGTAAGCCAGCATTAGCAACGAGGGGCAAGGACGACGGGACGGATTGTTTTGCCAAACTACCAGAAGTGTGGAGGACTACGGAATAGTAAGATGTTGGAGTGAATAGTGTATGAATTGCACAGCCGTCCGGGAGGTTCTCTTTGCAATGATTCGCAACCGCATTGCGATGTCCGTCGCTATATCAAGCCGCTACCTCGCCCGGCTCTCTTAGAAAGCGATGGCTGAACTCCAAAACGAGCCAAAACCAGCCTTCCCGTTCGTCAGGTCAGCTCAAGCGAGGAAGGACTATTACTTCGAAGTATTTTTTACACGAATACGCCCCCAGCACCGAGTCACTCAGTCAGTTGGTAAACGCTTTGGTCACAAGTCAAGAGTTACAGACGGTCCGCTTTGACCCAACTACAGCTGCAGTTCCCGAACATGACATGAGGAAGACTTGCATGTCAAGTATCTCAACGCCCGTCGTCCAGCAGCGTTTCTGCGGTTGAGTCCCGTATTATTTGCGTCAGTTTAGTAGCGGTGCAGAAGGAAGGCTGCAGGTCGGAAGTTATGAACAGCATCTCACAGTACTGTATCAGCACCAAAGACGGCTCGAGTGTCGTTTGGCAAGACGATCATGGGCTTCAATTCGCCAGACCATGGATACTTGATGGATACTTGATGGGAAAACATCCACAGCAGAACTGCAGCGCCACCCAGGAGGCCAGGTTCCGAGTCCGACAAGTGCCATCCAGCGCATCACAGACATCATCACGACACGTCCCAGCCCATCATCTTCAAGTGGAGTTTTCTGGCATCTTTTAGCTGTTCTTTAGCTCCCTCTGAGCTCCGTTTCATGATCTTCGGTTCCTGGACGGTGCCTGTCCTTACCGAAAGGGTTGACTTGCAGTCTCTCCTCGGGCCTAAAGGACCTAGTCGTCTGCCTATGCTGCACAGCTGCATTGCCTCATCACCAGAAACCCGGTCTGTCGTCTGAATGGTCAACGGCGAGCGAGTACAGAACCAGTCGTCGAAGCATTTCTGAGACCGGACACAGGCAAACATATAACTTTGACGTATATTGATCGAGTCATCCTCTATCGCCAGCCATCCCACTTCACTCCATGTGGTGCACACGCCTCGTCATGTTGTCTAGAACTCACGGCATGTTCACCGACAAACGAACGTATCTCCAACCACTCACCAAGACAGGAAATGGCATTATTGCTCACTGCCGGCGCACTGTCGCATATCATATATGTTGACCCTCGTAGACGGGAAAGCATTTCAAGGTTTGCTTGCCTTTTTCACGGCTTGTATCGGATGTGGAATATGCCCGATAAGGCAAGGCGATTGTGATGGAGGGGTGATGGAGGGGAAATGGAGGGGTGAGTAGAGTCGCCAATTCAACTTCGCCCACCAACTTTCCTTTCCCTTTCTTTGGCCGCTTTTTTCTTGCCATGACAAGATAACGACTTTCATCAACTGCTTCAACACTGATAATGTTTGACCGATCCGGTCTGCTATCCAAATGAGCAACGATGCACAAGTACACCCGCTTCACCGACACCGAACAACCCCTTGAAGGTGGACGACATGGCCGTCCTTCCAATCCATAGATAACTCACGGGCAATACTCATACTTGTACCATGGCTTATAATCCCGGACGATGTGGATGGACGAGTTTCCAACGATTCGGGCTGATGAATACCACCCTCCTTGCGTTCTGGATGCTGCACGACTTTACACCACTCTTCTCCTACAGTTAAGAGGCTTTTGGAAACCCGAAGGTAACCCGATCACAATGCGATTATTGTTATACGTGTAGAAGAACTCGTATGCTTGATGTAACATACCCCAGGAATTGCAGTTCAATATTACAATTCTCCGCTTACCTATTCAGACACATCATCCACTAACCAACCACCATCCAATGTGCGAGTCAGTATCAAATCCTCCCATCAGCTCCAGCCGCCACCTTGCGCGATGACAGCAGACTTGAGACAGACTCTTTCCCAGTCACTGCAGACGCAGGCACAGACTCGACTAGATGATGCAAAGCAGGGCAACTCAAGGACAGGTTTATTGGGCATCGTGTGAGTCTCATCGTAAGCTGACAGGTAAGATTGGGTAGAATCTCGTCGTTCTTCCCATCCATCAAGTGACCGCCCGGTGTCGCACTGCATGTTGGGCACGCCACGTCCCTATTCTTCTCCACTCGCTTAAGGGGCCCCCCTTCAGTGGTGGAGGCCGGATATGTTCGAATTGTTTGTCAGGAGATGACCTGCAGCCTTTTTCTGTGTATCTCTCATAGTTCCTGGTTCCTGGATTCTGATTCCATCACGATACCGCACCGCTTTCGGGTTGGATAAATTCTTGATACATATACCGTGGTTTGCGAAGAATGGGTTCACCGGTTGCAGATTTAGATTCGGGCTAAGCTCCACATCCAGGTACACAAGGAATCCTGCGATGGTTTACCTTTTTTTTTCTCCCAAAAGCTTCCGCATCACATAATTGGATCCAGGAACGTCCATGGTTTTTATGGGTCGCCTTCAGCTCCTCGGTTTGAGGAGTGGACCTCCTCTTTTAAAATCTGGTTGTGTTACCGTTCTGGTCTAGAGGATGAGCTTGATTGGTATACCGACAAGTGTCCGTCGATAGTTGGACGTGAAATCAGGTACGGCTAGCTTTTGGTCGAAGCTGTCCTGGTGGCTGTGCGTGATTTTATATCGTCTCTTCACAAACCGGAAATTAAAATGGATTTACTTGGACAGCTTTGGTGTACCTAGCTATACTCTGCTGGCTCGGCCGGCCCAGTGGCTCGATTGATCCGAGCCTCTACTATCTCACACTTGCGTCGATGCCGATGGCTTTGTTGATGCGAATGTGGTATACGCTCTTGCTAGACCATTTCCCTCCTTTGAACCTCGACTCTGTGGCTTTGAGACGAGATTTCCTGCTGCACATTCCAGCTCCGGAAGCCCTCATAAAGAGCTGAACAGACGCGAATCTATTATTAATTGAACGAGGGAGGCTTTCATATAGTGACAAAGAGATGTTTTCAAAATATCTGATCAATCTTGTGCGACAAGATATCATGATATTTTTTACTATCGCAGCCAAATTACCCTTTGCCCATCCAGGTTGCGCATGCAGCTGGGTGTACGAGTCCTGTTACTAAGTCTCATTTTCTTTCAGATTGCATCTGGAACCGCGCATTCGACACGGCTATTGTCTATTATCGTTGCCAAATTGTCGAAAGCGGATGGCTTGAGCGGATGCGTCAACTCAATGTCTCACTTTGCGCCACCATCTTTTGGAACCATCCAACCTCTGTATCTGTGATCCCGATGAATTTGCTATATTCGTGCCACTTTTTGGCCGGATTCGAAATAAGAAGGTGTCGATTCTATGTCTGGCAATCGTAGTTGATAATCGCGGTTTATCTGTGAATGGAATTTAAAATTGAGCAGGACTATTAGTACGAAGTTTTTGCTGCTTTTCTGGCTGAATTCGTCTGGAAATCCTAGAATGCTTCCAGCTCTAGATTTGGTCTCTCCATTCCATGTTTTCGCACGCATCCGCTCAAGCTCTGTGCTTTGTGTTGATCAGAAATGTGGAATCTGGCCGCTCGTCGAATCCGGCGTTCATCTTTGTCTGCCATGTATCAATTATCGCACAGGGCAAATTTCTTTGTTGGTAATTTACCTCATACTGCCGTTTCGCTGCATTTCACGATTGGAAATATGTGCCGGAGAAAAATATGCGACTTCTAGAGAACGATCATCACCATAATGGCTTCGGACTTAGAGATTGATTTGAACCAGTTGACGGAAGAGGAAGAGGAAGAGAATTACTCGGAGTATCCTGAAGAAGAGGGTGGTGAATTCGAACACGAAGAGTTGGTCGAAGAGCAGTATGCTCAGATCGAGGAAGAACTGTACTCTGAGAATGAGGAAACTGAAGAGGAAGAGGAGGGATATGTTGATTTCAGTATCAGAGAAGATGTGGATATGATTGAAGCACCCGAATTGAGTCCTTCGGGCGCGACCTTTGGCGACGATAACGAGTCTGATGATGAGGATCTTCAGACAGATGAGGAGATTCAGTCACAAATTGCAACTATTCGTCAGGAAGCCAACGAACAGATGCTCAAAGACAAAGTTATCGAAGAGGAACTTCTGAAACTTACTGGTCAACCGTCAGAAGTGGATGAAGATGATGAAGGCAATGGGAATGCCACGACCTCTGGCGAACTAGCTTTCCAAGACGACAGAGATACCCTGGAAGCTCGAGTCAAAGAAATGCAACAACAAATCCTCACATTCGAAAGAGCAATCGAGAACTCAACCTACACAAACCCAGCTCTTCAAGAAGAACTCGACGACCTTCAAGACCGCATCTACAACCCCAACGACGGCTATGAAGCCGTGGTCAAACGCCTGACCGCAGAACTTGGAGGCATCACGGCGGATCGCGACGCACTGCAGAAACAAATTGCGGAATCACAATCTCAAGCGCCCGAGGGCCATCACGTTGGGTATGCTATCAAGTCCGATGGTTCCGGTTTTGATTTTGACTTTTTTAGCACCCAGCAGCAACTTGGCGGTGAGGAGGACGACGGACGGATTCTTCTGGTTAGTCCGAGACAGACCGTTGACCCCCTGGGCCAGCAGCCGACGAATTGTGAGAATTGTGAGGATCTGCAGAAGAGGTTTGATGGGGCGCAGGAGGAGTATCGGGCGGATGTTGTGAGGTTGAGGGGGGAGTTGGAGAGGGAGGTGGAGGAGGCTAGGGGGTTGAAAGGGGGGGTGGGTGAGGGGGAAGAGAGGGATGGGGTGATTGAGGAGTTGCAGGCGAAGAGGGAGGAGGTTCTGTTTTTCACGCGGGAGATTACGAAGTCGGAGATGGAGAGGCAGGGGCTTTTGAGGGTGAATCGGGAGATTGAGGGGAAAATAAGAACATTGGAGAAGGTGAATGAGGAGTATGCGAAGAGGATTCGGGAGTTTGAGATGGAGGTTGAGAGGAAGGCTGATGATGAACTTTATCGGTCGGATGTCAAGCTTGAACCTGCTATCAAAGACGAGGCCGAACAAGCGGAGATTCGACAGCTGAAAGCGAGGATCGAGGATCTTCAGAAGGTGGTTGAGCAGTATGAGACGGAAGTCGTGGCGCTAAGCGAGGTTGCGCAGGCAAAGGATACAAGATATGAGGAGTTACTTGCTTCCACGGCAATCATGATCGAGTCCGAAAAACGCATGCTCAAAATCGAAAAAGAACTCCGCCAACAACTAGCAGAATCCTCTAGTACCTCAGCATACTCCGGCCCTTCAGCCACAGAGATCAATCTACTCCACAAATCCCAAGCCGACATCCAACGCGACGACGCCCACACGCAACTCAAAGCGCTCAGATTCCAGATCCAGGATTTCTCTACCCAGTTCATGCACCTTGAGAAGAAGACGTATGAGTCTGGCCTCGCGCTCGAGAAGGAGAAAGAAGAACGCAGGAAGATTGTGGCGGATCTGCAAGCGAGGATTGGCAGCGCGAGGAAGGAGAATCATAGGTTGTGTGATCAGATTGTGGAGTTAGGTGGCACGGTGGATAATTTCTTGCTGGGCACGCCGGTTAGGGGGGAGAGTCCGGGGAGGGATGCGGGAGAGGAGAGGGAGAGGGAAAAGGAGTTGTTGGGTGCGAGGTTGGAGGGGGAACGGTTGAAGGGTGTTGTTGCGCGACTGGAGGTGGAGTTGGAGGGGGTGAGGGTCCAAGAGAGGGTTTTGAGGAGGGAGGTGCAGGAGGTTGGGCGTCTTGAGGGGATTGTGGAACGACTTACGGGGGAGAGTGAGGTGTTAAAGGGGAAGCTAAGCGAGTGTGAGAAGGATATCATCCGTCTCCAAGATACTACGCAAGCCCGTCCGGATCTTAGCACTGTCATCCCACCCACCGACGTCAAGGTCACGACGCTCTTCACCGAAAGCCTCGATAATCTCAACACGCTCATGGCGCAGATCCTCGACTCCAAAGCACTAGAACACAACCTCTCGCTCCTTCTTCAACAACTTAAAACCTGGCTTTCAACGCATGAAAGCACGTTATACACCCTCCTTACGGAGGTTAAGGCGAGGGAAAGTGTTATCCCCGACCTCGAGTTCCGAATTGCGGATTTGAGGGCCGAGAATAAGGGGTTGTATGCGAGACTTGAGGAGAAGAACGAGCGGGGGATGGTTGGGAAGGTGAAGAAGGTTGTTAGGAAGGGGGAGAAGAAAGGGGATAAGAAGGCGGTGGGGATGAGGGAGTTGAATGGGTTGGGTGATATTCCTATTGTGGAGAGGAGGGGGAGAGTTACGAGGGGACGGCCGAATTATGATGAGGGTCATAGGAAGAGTGTTGTTAGTCCTGTTAGTGAGGGGTTTGTTGAGGATGAAGTTGTGAAGGTGGAGGGGGATGTGGATCGGAAGGGGGAGGAGGGGGGTGGAGTGGTTACTAGTAGGAAGGGTGTAGTTACGGGGAGAGTTACGAAGAAGAAAACCGCGAAGGGAAAGAGGAAAAGTTCGAAGGTTTTGGATCCTAATTTCATTGTTGATCTCACCGCGGAAGTCGAAGAGGCTGTTGAAGAACCTCTGCCGGAGGACGTGGGGAAGGAGGTACTAGACGAGGAAACCCAACCTTCCAATACTTCAAAAGCAGATCAAGTCACCAAAAAACGTACCACCACCACCGCCACGACTAAGAAAAGCAAAAGAAAAGGCGCCAAAGCTCTCGTTCCCAACTTCAAAGTCGATAAAACAGCACACCCCGAAGAAGAAGATGAGATTCTGGAGGCGGATATCGTGAAAGAGGATCTAGAAGTCCTAGATACGACTCCCGAAGTGAAGAGGGGGAGGAAGAGGAAAGCGAGGGTTTTGGATGGGAGGTTTGTTGATGAAGGAGTTGTGGGCGAGGAGGAGGAGGTTTTGCCGCTATAATTTCTTTTTCCTATTATTTTAATACATTGTAATATTTACTGCTGCTGTTTCAATGGATTAGTGTACAGTGTACACTATTTATGAGTCTCCTGATCTTGATCCTGCCCCTTCATAACCCATCCACTATGGAACTTGGCGAATTCCTCTTCGCCTTCTTTACTCTGCATTTTCTCTTTCATGGCGAAGGGTTCGGGGACGTTGAGGCCGCGTTTCTGGGATTTATTAGCATTCATCTACTCCACTTATCATACCATTCCTCTGTGCCATCCCCTTCCCAAAAACCTCCAAACAAAAACAAAAACAAACATCGAAAACTCACCACCGCCCCCCGTTCATTGATCCTCCCCACCCACTCCCTCAAAACCCCAAACTCCTTCCCCTCCTCCCGCTCAAGATACACACCCGCCCACTCGGCCCAGTTCACCCACGAGAAACAGGCGAGGTCCGCGATTGAAAGTTTGCTGCCTACGAGCCAGGGGCCGGAGGGAGCGGATAGAGATTTTTGGGATGCGAGACGCGTTTCGAGGATTGTGTAGAGACGTTTGGTCTGTGTGTTTTGTTAGAGAGGAGGGAAGGGGAAGGGGGGGAGGAGGGGAGGAAGGGGAAAGGGAAAGAAGGGGGAAGGAGAAAGAGGTACTTCGGTCTGATATCGTTTAATAGCATAATCAATCTTCGTGGGGGCGTAGCGGTAGAAATGATTTGCTTGGCCTTGCATGGGACCGAGACCGGATTGCATCCATGTGAGCCATTCGATTGTTTCCCAGTATCTGTGGATGCGTTAGTATGATATTTCTTGAGTATTGCGTCTCCTATATTTGGTGTTTTCGTCCTAACCCCCGAGGTGAAGTTAAGCTAATTATTTGAACTGACTTCTCTGGTACCTTTCTTTTTCTCTCTGATGTCCCCTTTTTATCCGATGCTCACCTACCCACATACCTAGTTTTCTCTCACCTTTCGTTCGCAATCTTTCTGTCCCCTACTTCCTCCCCTCCCCTATCAAGAGATTTGAAAGGAAAAAACAGCTTACTCATCACTATCATAAGCATAACTAATCTTCCCCTCCCCATCATACTTAGCACAAAGATATTGCATAATAGCACCCCCCTCAAAAACCCTCTTATCAAGCGGTTTTCCATCTTTCCCAATCGTCTTGTCTACTATTGCTGGAATTCTACCATTTGCTGTTACTCTCATCAGCGCACTTCTTATATCCCTCCCTTTCCTAATCCTCCCCTTCCCCTCCCCTTTCCATCACCTCCCCCAATAAATCAAACAACAGAAAAAGGAGGCTCACGATTAATCTTCAAATACCCCTCCTCCTTCTGCATCCCCTTACTAATATCCACATGCGTCGTCTCATACTCCAACCCGAGCTCCTCGAGCGTGATGCTGATTTTCTGGCCGTTGGGCGTGCCTGCGGTGTAGAGGTGGATTTTGGGCGTGGCAGAGGGGGACATTATGAGATCGAGAGGAGTATATCGGTAATGGAAAGAGGAAGGTTGATAGAATTGAATGTAAGAGGCGAGTTGTGATATGAGGATTAGGGAGGTTCTTATGGGAATACCAATACCCGGGCTTGTTAAATTAATAGTCGGATACGTCATGGATGTGTAGATCCGATCATGATCCCATCTTCATTTTGGAAAGAATTAACAAATGAGGAAAAAGGTAGATTTCATGCCAAACGACAGACTTAATTGCTGAATCTCATATCATACAAAGCGTAAGGGGGTGAAAGGTGCCGGGTAGGAAGTGGATATTTTCAGAGTCACGTGATGTTGACTTGTTGCTTGAATTGAAGCATTCCCATCTACGAAAGAAATTATCAATTCTGACGTTGAAACCACACAATCTACTGAAAACCAAACAGCATACCTGCTCATCCCAAAAGCAATCCGCCTACTTCCCCCTCCTCACCCCAAAAAACCCCCCCAACCCCCCCCACTCAACCCCCCCAAACTTCTTTCCCCCACTCCCCTCAACCAATCCCTCTCTAATCCAGCCCGGCAACTTCCCACGAATCCTCTCCCCCTCATACCTTGAATCAACCATGATGATAGCCGCGTAATCCCCTTTATGTCTGATGGCGCGGCCGATACTCTGATTGACGGCGCGCATGCAGGCGTTTTCGTAGAAGGAGAGGGAGGCGGTTTTGGCTTGTTGCTGGATTTGAGCTGGGGTGAGGGGTGTGGGGGAAGATGGGGTGAGAGTGGAGGAAGAGGTTAGAGGGGCAGTGAGGCGTTCGGTAGTCGCGGACTCGATGTATTCGAGTTTAGCTTTCCAATCCGCGGAATTGATGTTAGGGAACGGTAGACCGACAATAACGACGCAGCGACCGAGTCTATCCGAGAAATTGATCCCCTCGGACATCTTGCCGCCGATGACGCTGAGTAGGAGGCCGCCTTTCCCGGTATCGATTGCGTGAGCGTATTGCGCGAGGACTTGTTCTGCGGACTCGGTCTTGGATTCTGAGAAGATTGGTTTCTTGGCTCCAAGACGGTCGAAGAGTGTTGGGGTGCTGGTAAGTTGGGACCAAATTGCGACGATGGAAGAGAGGTAAGCGTAGGATGGGAAGAAGACAACGATGCCGTCTGGGACGACGGTGCAGATGTTGAGGACGGCGCGGGCGAGCTCGACTACCATTTCGGTGTTGGAGCGGTGTTTGTAGGTGAAGTTGAACTCTTGGCCGGTTGGGCCGCGGGAAAGGTTCCATGCTAGGAGGTTGGATTTGGGGATTACGTGGCCGCAGGAGAGGGTGACTATTGAGGTTTGCGGGATGTAGGGGAAGAGATGGGTCGTGTAGTCTGCGAAAGGGGACATGGTGCCCCCAGCTAGGATTACAGCTCGGGCTGAGTCGACGATTTCGCGGAAATGAGAGGATGGGTCGAGGAGCATGAATTTTATGGTTGGTTCGGGGAGTTTGGTGAAGAAGAGACGGCCTTCTTTTGATGGATGGGTTAGGGCGGAGAGAAGAGACGCGATTTGATGAAGGACGGGCGTGGTTGGTGTGTCGTTCGTTTGAGAGGATTTGCTCTTGATTTGAGGTTCGGACTTGTTGGTGTGAACTATGTAGCCTTCTACTTTTCTGGCGAGTTTGGATTCTTGAAGATAGGTGAGTAGTTTAAAAAGATTGATCTGGTCGACGCCTTTGCCAGATAAGAGATCTTTGTCTGATACAATACCATCATTTTGCTACAATGTCTTAGTGTGGATTGTCAAGAGTGTGGAATAACTAACCTGAAGAGGGATTCTGCTTTCCAAGTATCCCGACAACGAGTCAATCACTCTGATGACTTGAGCAAGATACATTCGATTTTTGCCCTTTAACCTGCTTTTGAATTTCTGAACATACACCCCCAACTGTGCCCTAGCGGTTTCTAATTGCTTCAAGGTGACTTCGGCCCCATGAATGCTAGCTATAGCGTCCATCAAATTATGGGCTTCATCTATGATAACCACGTGACCTTTCAAATTGATACCTAGAGCTTCTCTTGCGCTCTTTTGAAGTATTAATGGGTATGGAAGAGTCACAACTTCTGCTGGGCGAATTGCAGCTCTCGAGGCATAATATGGACATATCTCAAGTTGTTTGCCAAGAGCCCCCATGTCTTCAATGTCCCGCAGGGTCGCTAAAGCATGATCCCGAAAATCATTTACAAGAGGTTGATTGTCTCTATTCGGCAGAAATTTACATTTATGCTCCTGAGCTGTACCTGATTTCTGAAGTTCCGCACACCTTTCATTGATAGCCGTAATAGAGTTGAGTTTATTGACTTTTGGATTGATACACAAATTCTTTCGTGAACCCAGAGTTAGATGTTTGATGTCCTCAACTTGTACCTCATCATCTGAATTCGGTATAGCTCCAGGTAATTTTATACGACGAAGCTCATTGATGAACTGTGTAAGCTGAGAATGAGTTCTCGAGCAGTAAAAGATCTAGCACTGTCAGCTGTATTCAACTCAACGACACCCTTGACATACCTTAATTTCATCCTCGGCTTCTTCCTCCAGCGGCTTCAACGCTGAAGGACCCATACCCATCTTTTCCATCAACTCTAAAGTAGCTGCAGAGTAGAAGCCACTCCTGTTTTGGCTGACCTCGGTGTCGCTATCGTAGTCATCGAGAACGAACTGCTCTTCATCATCCTGGTCGTCAACCCTTTCGGTCTTCCTCCTCTTGAATTCTTGATCTCCTTTCAAATATTTGGTCTTTTGTGCTTTCTCCTTGGCTCTGATTTTGGCCAATCTAGTCTCCATCTCTTCCCTTCCACGTAGCATCTCGCGACGTTTTCTGGCCTTTGTCTGCTCGATAACCCATTCCGGTTCATTGGAGTCTGATATCACATTAGATATTTCCTCGTAATACTACTAGGCTCTTACCATTTTGACCCCAGTTCAATCCTCCTTCAAATGTATTTCGCTTATAGTCACGTAGCCAAGTAAGAGAGCCGCAAATAAGACTCAGAGATTTGCCCTAAGAATATCAGTGTAAGTTTCTTTCTCAACTTCAAAGGAATGCCTTTGGATCAAAGGCTTCTCCAGGAGAGGTGACCTGTCATTCACTAGATGAGGACCCCCACGGTAAAGTATGCAAAAAACTTACAGTGCCAGTAGGACTCTCCAGAATACCAACTTTACCACCTTCCAAAACCTCATAAACAGTATTCATAAAAGTCTCCTGGATATCATAAGGCGTGTACGGGTGATGAAAATCTCTTGATATTTCAGCCGCACCATCTTTCTCACCAGCCACACCTGCCTCAGCCATATTTGGTGCCATTTCTTCAGTTAAGCTCGAGACGCTTCTCTTTGCATTAAAAGCGCGTATGATTACCGATTGAGAGGCTGTGATGTCGCCGGCGCAAGTTGACACGTCGTGGAGGCTGAGCTTGTCGAGCCTGTGGATTGGAAGTTTCGCCTTGGCATCAAAAGCGGCCCAGCTGCTCGGTCGAGCTAATTGCCCAGTTGGGTCGAAATCAGCCTTGCGTGATCAGCTTGACCTAGGAAGGGAAGCAAGATGTCCGAATGTGAGATCCGAATAGTTGCATTTGATAGCTGATTTGGAAAGGTCTCTGCGATTTGAGGAATCTTCGTGTTCGGGTCATGCAAACGAGATGTTTGTTGGCATGGTGAGTATTTCCGGGGTCCTATTCGGGAAATGCTGGTTTACGGATAAAAGCTTGCTGTTGGTTTTAGGATCAAATTGATAATCTCGTTTTTGGGTCGCAGAAGGTGCGTTCCAGAGCTGCACGTTGCTGATGTTGTTCGAGCGCTTGGAGATGCGGACGAGAGGTTGCAAATGGGTGACACGAAATGGTCGCCATCGATTAGGAATAAGGCGATTTGCTAGCGCCAGACCGAAACTGTCAAACGTCAAACAAGCTACCTTAGCTTTACAACTTAAGTTTGTTTTTGTTTACTTGGGTTGCTTGTAGAGTTGGGAATAAGTGCAAATGAATCCCGCTGCCTTTAAATGGCAGCATGGTAGTCAAGCTTGAAGCTTGCTTTGTTTGCTTTCGAGGTGACCACCTGAGCCATTGATAACTTGGCTGCATTCGATGGGAGCACAACAGCGTGCAGCATATCTTGGACAAATGACCACTTTAATAAAATAAGAGTCAATACTCAATCTGAAACCTTCTAGAATATTGACATTCTAGAATATTGAATTCACCTTGCCAACAAAAAAGGGTCCTCCCAACTAAGCCCCGCTACCTGGGTGGTGGCCACCAGCTGGCGCAAGCATGCCGTCGGTCTTCTCGGATCCATAAATTATCAGCAAAACAGAGACAAAGGCTGTCGACCTCGTGGCACTCATTTAGAGTAGCGGGAACTCTAAAACAACCTCGATCGCTTTATTTGTTATTTCTTCTTCTCGATTTATATCTTCATTTCTCTACTCGGCCGATTCACATTTACCCCCTCGTACGAGTACCTACTCGACCTCCAGTCGTCAAAATCTGCGCCACACGGGTACCTCAGTCCAATCCGCCAACATTCACCCCTCCCCTCCCTCCCCACCTCTCCCACTCCTACAATGTCCTACCAATATCCACCGAGCCAACGATATGAAGGAGGCCGGAATAATGGCCGACAAGGGGAAAGGCAATGTACGTACCACTCTTGATTCACGCGAGGAGAATCGTGGCTTGTGCGACCGGCTTTGGTTGCTATAAAACGTCAAATATTTTTGATGATTCCCTGCATCTCAAATCCTACTTGGCGCAGGCATCGTTAATAGGCATACTGTGCCGGTGGTTGTGAGTCGCTTTGCTGTTCGACGTGTTCGGCGTGTTACAACAATTTCCCCAAAGCCGCAGATGTTGGATGCGGTGTCTTGTTAAAACCCAGCCATCCACCCATTCGCAACACAAATCTTCAACAATCCGAACCCAAGTCGTCATCATCTGCCAATTCTTGGACCCTGGCTAATATCGCAACTTGCTGCAGATCATCAGCCGTCATACCTGCTCCAACCACAAGTGGGATATATCGAAGAAGACATGTCTGGATATAGTCAACCACCGCGTTTGAGTGCGACGTTTATACCGGGCCACGATGATGACTTCTACGCTCCAGAGATCGTTTCCCCTGCGCCGCAAAGGTAAGCTGCATGAACGAGAGCCAGGAAGGAGGAGAGCTGACGGTTATAAGGATAATGCCAGAAGTCCCTTCGAATATGCAAGAACAACTCTCACATCTCGAGCTCGAAGCTAAAAATCCTCCCACGCATCGAATGAGCAGCGCGTCTACCGTTTCCGGCATGCAATCACCACCTCTTCTCGACCAGCACCGAGCGCAAAACATGTATTCATCGTTAAATAATAATGCAAAGGGGCCTGGGTTCACAGCGAGCTATGAACATACAAACGCTTCTGCGTATCAGAATATAGATCGGGAGTATCAGCAGTTTGGTGGAGTGCGACCACATCCAGATTCGCCCAAGTTTTCACCATTCCCAAAACCACGAGATGCTGGTCCAAATGTGCCATTATCAGATGAGGATAAAGAGGAGGTGCTGGAGAGGGCAAGACCGCTGGTACTGAAATCGATAGATCCAGAGATGCAGTTGGCTTGGGCGCAGGATGCATTATCGTGGGTGGAAGTGGCAAGCAATTTTGCATCGCGAATGCAAAGCGAAGGACAGCCCCCGAGAACCATGACACCAAAGATCGAGCATTCTTTACGAGTGGACGCGATAAATATTGTGAAATTTCTCGCAGAACAGACACACCCAAAAGCCGAGTTCATGCAAGCGATGTGGCTGGAGTTTGGAAAGTTTGGACACCGAATAGATAAAAAGGAAGCGTTCTTGGGATATCGAAGAGCGGCGGAGAAAGGATATGCTCGTGCGGAATATCGAATGGGAATGCAGTTTGAAAGCTCGAACAACTCGGCGAAAGCGATCGAACATTACAATAGAGGTGTTGGGATGGGGGATTCTGCTGCGCATTATAGATTGGGGATGATGACATTGTTAGGACAACATGGCACGCCGCAGGATTTCGGAAGAGGTGTTGATTTGATCAAGTATTCCGCAGATACGGCAGATGAAAATGCTCCTCAGGGTGCGTACGTCTATGGCATGCTTCTCGCGCGAGAGCTGCCCAATATCTCAGTTCCAGAGCACTTTCTACCATTCGACTTGAATGAAGCGAAATTATACATTGAAAAGGCGGCATACCTTGGATTTTCCAAGGCGCAATTGAAGATGGCTCAAGCGTATGAATTGTGTCAATTAGGATGCGAATTCGAACCTGCTCTTTCCTTACACTACAATGCCCTCGCAGCGCGACAAAATGAAGCGGAAGCGGATATGGCGATCAGCAAATGGTTCTTGTGTGGCTATGAAGGGATTTTTGAGAAGAATGAGGAGTTGGCATTTACGTATGCAAAACGTGCTGCTTCTACCAAGATGCCGACTGCAGAATTCGCCATGGGATACTTTTATGAGATTGGAATGTATGTGCAAGTGGATTTGGAGGAATCTGCAGCATGGTACTCAAAATCTGCGGAGCACGGGAATAAGGACGCTCTGGGACGAATTGATAGTATTCGAAAGAATAGCACGTTGTCAAAGACGGATCACGAGCAGGTTGCGATTAGCAGAATCAAATCCCAGCACGGTTCTCAGCGTGGTGGTAGACCGGATCGATTCAAGCAGCGGGGAGCAGCTTTACCAGTGATTGTCGACGATGCGATGGATATGCCAGATCCAAGAAACAAGTATGATGGTACGGGGCAATTGAGACAACCTGGCGCTTTGCCAGCTAGACCAAAGTCAACTGCTCCATATCCAGAGGACGATGTGGCGCATCCCGGATCATTTTCCAATGGTCCAAATGGTCCGTTCAATGGTCAAGGTCTTCGACCACATTCTCAGCAAATGGCGCCTCTAGCAGATCGAGCTTCTTCTCCATTTGGCATTAAACCGCCACAACACTCAAGCACAATGGGTCTACCTGCTGGTGGTATGAGGGCAGATGAACGATTACGACCTTCTTCGAGTATGGGTAATATGCAACATGTTCCAGCTGGACGTGGTCATGATCCTCAAGGTAGAGCTGGTGTTGTATCATCTGGATGGGACACGCAAGGTGCAGGAAGAGGTCGACAAGCTTCACAGCAGAGTTTCCTACCTCCAGTAGATGTAGGCACACCTATCAACTTCGACCCATCAGGCAGACAAGCAAAGCCAGCTCCTCTCAACACCAGCAAACCTCAACCCCCACAACCAGGAGGATATTCCCAAGACGCAAGACAATCGTCTATCCCACAAGGCTACGGCAATCGTCCAGACTCCGCCGCAACCGGCAGAGGTACACCCCAAGCAACACCCCATCAAAGCTACAACGGCCGTCCCGAGTCCGCAGCCGGCAGAGGAACCCCCCAAGTAACCCGTCCACCACGCGGGAGTTCAAACCCAGCAACCCCACAACAAATCATCTCTCCCCACAGCATTCCCCCTAATCAAGGCTATCCACATCCATCCCAGACGCCGACTCAGAATCGTCCGCAACAACGGCCGCCGCAGCAGACTATGTCGTCGCAGGCTCCACGCATACCCTCGCAAGCCGCTCCCTACGGCGGTCCAGATTCGAGAGCGTCGTCCGTTGCGACCACGCCATCGAGTGCTGGTGGGGCTGGGGGCATGCCGCAGAAGAAACCGGTTAAATCTGGACCGGCGACTTTTGAGGATATGGGGATTCCGGCGGCGAAACAGGAGAGCGAATGTGTAAGTCTTACTCCACCTATTTTCTTATTGGTGCTGTACTAATGGTGTGTTGTAGTCTGTTATGTAAACTATCCAAGAGGGCTGCTGATTTAAAACGGTTCCTGTGTAAATGAGCGTTAGGTGGATAGTATATTTTTGCATTTAAGCGTGCATTCCAGGCGTTTTATTGGGGGTTAGATTTGGGTTCTGGGGACGGATATATGGGAAGATGGGAGGGGTAGATATATGATGTGATGGGGTGAGGGGATGGGAGAGGTGGGTGAGGTGAGGGCAACGATATGGCATTATATTGATTATCTGAAGCGGGTTTAAGACTAAGTAGAGGAATTTGATACCCCTGATTTTCCTTGTGTGGTTTGTTTATCTCTCCATATGATGTTGCTTTTCTTGTTTGATGATGAGGAGGAGGTGGAGAATGTGGTGTTGTGGTGGTGTTCGAGGTTGGGGAGATGGGTGGAGGCTGTTTTCATCTTCCATACCTCACCTTTTTTATCGAGGAGACGGCATTGTTTTTCACTTCTCACTTCCCACTTCCCTCATTGTCACGTTTACGACACAGAATTCCATTCGTATCAAACGATATCTCAAACACGTCTTTGCGCCTTACAAGGATACTTTGAATTGTGTCTACGTGTAAGAATTCGATTCGATATCTGCTTCCACCACTCATCCAATTGTTGACAGCTTGCGTCGCGTCGTCTTGGCAAAAGGAGTATATCTGGAAACGATTACGGGTGTACGATACGGTGTATACTGCTTTGTTGATACGGTTATAATTTCGAGAACTTACAGCCGTTCAACTGGACGACGATATTATTACCTGGGGTCGCATCTCAGTTTAACCAAGGGGATAGTGAGGGTTGGGAAGAGAGTGTTTGATTTGATTAATTTTGAGAAGTTGGAGGGATTTTGGGTGTTGGGGAGCGAAGTTGAGGGGGGGTGCTGAGGGTTGGAGGATATCTTCGATATTGTACGAAGTTTGGCACAATCTTCAACACGATTCTTTAACACACATCTCCGCCACAACACCATCACCAACACTTCCCTCGAACACAAGGTTCAACACCATTCCTAACACCATCATCACGACACCCCCCTCAACCCAAAACAGCGCTACTTATATTCGATTCGATTTTATCACACGCCCTAATCTTGAACAGCAATCGCGTTTTCAAGTATATTCGCCTTTTCCACGTCTTCTCCCGCATCTCTTCGACACAACGACATCTCGATACTACATCATCTTGAGTCATACATATCATCGTTGAAAGGGAAAGAAAGGGCTGGATTCGATTTCATGTTATTGTACGGTGGGCAGTAAGGGATTCCGATTTTCGTGACCAAGCAGTTGTTTATCTCTTGCTTTGAGAGGGTGGCAAGGTTGCAACGTTCTGGACAGGATCATCTTCTACAATACACAATCTTCGAAATATCACCGATCAAAGGCGGGTATCGGGTCTTGATTCTATTTTCCTTTTTCCGGTTGGCAGCAAGGGAATTGGGGTTTCGAGATCAAGTACTTGGTAAGCTTTTGCTTCGAGAGAGTGTTGACGTCGCAACATTCTACACAGGATCATTACCGACATTTGGTGTTTAGGGCGAGCAGAAGTTTATGGTCATCTTGAGAAGAGAGCGAGAGGGGTGTTTTGAATTGATTTAGGTTAAGATACGCTGTGGCTCTCGTGGAGAATTGGGGTTTCGAGATCACACGTCCTCTCGCGTTTCTGCTTCGGGGGTCTTCTGCAGCAGAAATTTGTTTACACCACACCACCTCTCCATCAACCTGTTTTCTACCTTAGAACGTTCTCTCTACAGTCTCTTGAGCGGGAAAGCATAGCAGTATTCGAATACTATCTTCCGTTTGGTAGCGCTGCGCGTCAAGTGTCGAATTTTCGAAATCCGTTGTATTTTCGACACTTCTCTTCCGCCATCTTCTCACTACCTACCACATTCCTACCACCACAACGTCTTTTCACGACAAAGTCTTTTACGCGGTAACATCTATCTACTAGATTATTCTCAGCGACTCCATCCTCTATACGTTGTCAGAAATAGGGACAGTATATCTTGATTCAATTACTGTCTTCTGTTTAACAGCTTGCCACGCAACAAGCAGCAGTTTTCGAATCGATTATTTTTCGATACTTCTTTTGCGCCATTTTTTGACATAACCAGCTCAACACCACACTACTTCTACACTCAACCCATCTCCCTATCAACATCCGTCCAAAAAGGATCTAGAAATGGCACCTCGCGCCCCCAAAAAAGATAAACAACCACCCACTCCATCAGCCACCTCATCAACATTTCCAGCAGACTTCCCACCAGAAACACCAAAACGCTCACCTTCAATGACAACCATCGTCTTCGAAGCCAGCACCACCACTTCCTCTCCCGCAGTCCTCAAGCCCAAGAACGAAAAAGCTAAGGTTGTGAAGAAGACCGGAAAGGGAAAGGAGAAAGTCGTTGTGCCGGTGGAGAGTGAAGTGGAGATGGAAATGCCCGAAGCGCAGATGGAGATGGGGACAGAAGAGGATGTAGGAGAAGCCAGCACAGCCACCTCATCACCCGCCAAAGCCCCGGTTTTGAATCCTAAGAACGATAAATCTAAAGTAACAAAGGCTGGAGGGGAGAAGAAGAGCAAAGTCACCAAGAAGGAAGCGGGAGATACGAAGAAAGATGGCAAGAAAGACGTGAAGGCTGTAAAGGAAGGGAAAGATGTGAAAGAGAAAGTGGAAAAGGTGAATGGTGAGGAAGCTGAGAAGTTGATTCTGGAGTATTTGAGGGAGCAGAATAGACCGTATGGTGCTACGGATTTGAGTGCGAATTTGAGGGGGAAGGTATGTGTCGCACTTTTCCTAGCATTTCAATGCTTCTTACTCAGGTTCGAGAGGAAGATTATGCTTGATTGAGGCGGTACGTGGCCAGGGAGATGTGATGAATGGTGACGGAATGAACGATTGTGGATTTGTTTGGTCGCGGTATATGATGCTAATGTCTACGTGTTCTGCCAGATCACAAAAACAGTCGCAGATAAACTCCTCAAAGAGATGGAACAAAATGGGGTGATTAGGGGTAAAGCTACGAATGGGGATAAGAAGGGTAGTCAGTGGGTGTTTTGGTGTATCCAGGTATAATATTCCGTCCCTCTTTCTCTTCAAACCCCATCGATTACCTTCCCACTTCTCCATCTTCATCCTTCGGCTCTCTATCATTCCTGCTACTATATCTCTCCATCCCATCCCCTTACCACCTCCCCTCATCCAAACCATCACTTTCCCTCCCCCCCTTCATCCACCAACCTAACAACCCAGGACACCTCAACCCCCGTAACCCCAGAACAACTCGCCAACCTCGACACCGAGATTCAAACTCTCCGCGAAACCACCCTCCCCTCCCTCCGTGCTCGCCTCAAGACCCTAACGCAATCCCTACAAACCATCCGTTCTTCGCCCGGAACATCAGAATTACGGGAACTTGTTAAGAAATTGGAGGAGGAAAATGAGGGGAAACGAGATCGTGTTACTGAGTTACGGGGATTAGTAGAGTCAGGTTCGTATTTCATTTCATTTCCATATTCGTTCCCAACGTTATCATCCTCATAAATGATGTCGTGTGGACGAGAGAGAGTGCTAATGAGAGACTAGGGGAAGTCGCAACAACCGAACAGACGGCGCGAGTGGAGGAGGAGTATAAATACTGGAGTAGCAAGTTGTTGGCACGGAAAAGGTGTTTTAAGGAGGTAGAAGGGATGTTGCTTGAGGGTATGGGACGGGAGGAGCTTTGGGAGAGGGCTAGGATTGAGGGGGTGTGAATAGGGGAAAAGAAGGGATATGGTATAGATTGCTGGAATTATGTTGCTTTGAAAATAGGAGAGGAGGATCTTTGCATCGTACGTTGCTAGATATTGGTATTAGTAGCGTAGCTACCCTAAACGACGGAATGTTATGGAACAAAAGACGTTGTGATGGGAAATTGAAGTATGAAAGTCATATCACTATAAACGCCAATCCCGAAACCACAAGTTCTATACCTAAACATCTAATCTCTCGACACTGATAAACTGATCTCACTCCTCTTCAGTACCATCCATCCTCCCCCCCCCACGTAACCCAAAACGGGCATCCATGTATAGATATATCACGAAAGAATGCATGACACAAGATTCCTATAACATAAACACATATACCTTACTAACTCACCAGGACTCAGAAGAAACGAAAAAGACGTACTGCCGTAGCTTAGGTATTAGGTGGGAGTATGAAACGCCAGGATGTATGGATTAATATTCTCATATTTGTGCTAGGTTTATATTAACTCAATGTTATTTTGGTTTTGTAGTTGTGATCCCGTACGAAGATATTACTCTGATTATTTATTTGACAAATTGCAGATTGTAAAGGTGTAATTGGTTGATACAATCGCTTCACCTTCGGGATTCACGTCCTCCCCTCATACACTTCACCCAGATTACCATCACACACCAAAAAATAAAACAATTAAGATATAATAGAACACCCATCTCATTTATTCAATTCATCTACCCTAAACCCATGCATCCCACATCATCCCATCCCAACCACTCTGCCCATCCCCAGCCTTCCACACACAAAAAGCCGCCGCATACCAACCAACCCTCACACTCTAACAACGACAGCCCCCTCCCCTAACCAACCTCAACTCATCGATACCATCCAACACTCCCTCCCTAAATGCAAACCCCAGGCCATCCCATCCCAAAAAGAAAGAAAAAGAAAAAAACACCTCAAACTCCCATTCCCACACCCAAAAAAAACATCTTCCCCCATCCAAAACTCCATGAAAAAAAAAAGAACCAATCTGATCTGAATCTCTCTTATCTGAAGAAAAAAAAAATTGCAAAAAGCAAAAAAGAGCGGATGCGTTGCGTTATACGTGGTATGGGGTATATCGTTTTCTTTTTTCAAAGTTATTCATCGCGCATATGTCGACGTGATTATGTGGTTTGGTTCCTCTTCTGTTTTCGTATGCCTATATTACAAATGAAGATGATGATTTATCGTCATACTATTTTGATTTTAGATTTGTGATTCATGGTGTGGATAGATATGTTTTGTGGTTGGTGATGTAGATGGATTTTCTCTTGGAAAATGTGTGAATGTTGGGGGAGTTGAGGAGAGCCGGTCGTGATTGACGGCGCAACTTCTGTAGAATTGCATCTGTTGGTCTTGTCGGTACATTTGGCGTCTCTGTATTGTATTCGCTGGCACCTGGTTGATATTGATGCTAGCCACGAGAGCTGACATTGGTTATAGCCCGCGGCAGAGCGCGACGTCCTGTAACTTGTTGTGCTCGATTCGTGAATACTCATCGTAACGCAGGCAGACCCTCATAACCGCTCGGTGTCCCATTTCCATTTCGTGGTTTCGAGATAGCGCCAAGGTTCGGACTTCTAGTACTATTTGCATACGACCAACCATAGCTATTTCTCTTTTCACCCTTTCTCTCATCATGATCTCCCATCTCTTCCATGTCAAACACGCCTAGATTATCATCTCTCTCTTCGTCAATTCTGCCAACGTTACCAATACTACCAGAACTGATCGTTCGGTCGATTGCCATTGCAGGTCTTGAGGTCGACCCCACTGGGTTGCTGGCTGTTCGAGAAGTTTGAGATTCGCTGGATTCGGTTCTGTTGTTTAGACGTGTTCGCTGAAGTTGCTGAGATAAAATTGACATGGAACTATGACGTGGTGGGGAGGCAAGATATGGTGACGAGTCGCCTGAAACCAGCGGTCTTGCAGCAGGTCGAGAGCCGGGGCTAGCGCTTGGATGCAGAGATGAGTTGCGAAGTGGTGATCCAACATGTCCAAATGCAGATGCTCTCGAAGCAGCAGCACGTTCTTCCTCTTCTTTTTGTCTCTGAAACAAAGGTCCCCATCTTGAAGGACTTGCATTTGATGGAGATCCGAATTTTGAAATCTCACCATTTGGAGTTCCTGAACCACTGTAAATTGGTCGTCCTTCCTCATCAGCCGCTGCACGAGATCCTCTTCTAGCCTTTTCCTGAGGCGTCATAAGATCTCGTAACGTCTCTGGAAGATAATCCTCTTCATGTGCAAATCCTGAATCCCAATCCAGATCAACTGCCTTTGGTAAGCTCGATGACATGATTTTTGATTTTGTCATTCTCTGAGAGTGCATTGGTCGTTTGCCAAATAACTGTTCGTCGGAGTGTTGTGGTGGGGACGAAGCAACACCATTAAATCTATCTCTCGTATCATTTCCAAATGCCGAACTATGTAAATTCTTCAATGCCTCTGAAGTTCTTCCATCCTTGGCGGCTCCTACTGATCCAGGTGGCGAATCGAAACCAAACTTAGAAGGTACTGAAGAAGCCATTGGTCCATATCTGGCGATATGAGAAACCCCATTGCTATCAAACGACGCCGGAAGAGGAGCATCCAGAACACTCAGACCCTTTGGACCAACTGGAGATAGACCAAGTCCAAACCTATCCATGTGATCATCGCGTGGTGAACCGTAATTCGAGGTGGTATGTGAAGCATAGCTCGTATCAATCGTAGGTACAGCAATGTCTATACTCGTCTGCCGAGGTAATGTAGGATATCCGTCATCCTGATTCGCGAATGGTGAATATTGACCGCCATATGGCGATTGCGGTGTGGCGCTAGCTCGAATGAAGCCGTTTGTCAAGGCCGAGCCAGAAGTCTGAGAGTGATATAAATCTGTATTTAATCTTCCGCCAATATTCAATTGTCCAGCTGTCATCGGTCCGCCCGGCTTGTAATTGACTCGACGTCCATCAGGAAGGACATGTACGTTTGCGCATTTGGGACCGAATTTGCAATTGCCCTAGACTCGTCAGCTGCATACCTTAAAACCCAACCATAGAAATCACCTTTGCAAAGTATTTGCACACGTTTTCTGTTGTACTCGCCAAGTCATGACTGAATGGACAGGCAGACCCAGCCTGACATGCGCCTTGCCGAAAGAACTTGCATGGAACATGAGAGGTATCTGCGATGGTCAGCAGAGATTAGAATTATCCCAGACAACTCGACTGACTTTGTCGTCCTGGTGGACTTCTTGGACCATCAAATCTACCCATGCCTCCAACTGGTGGGGGTCCACCGCTGTTACCGTTCGCCGCGGTTGGCGGTGGAATATTCAAAGAGCCGGAGCTCATATGTCTGTACTCGGAAGGCATTGCAGTTCCGCCTTGACTGAGCATAAACCGGGAAAGGTTTCGCGATTGATTTCGTTCGAAGCTGGAGATGTCGAGTCCTGCAAATGTCGAGTCCTGTCGATATCGCGACCCCGCCTCGAAGTGGGGGATTGTCGCGTGGGAGGTCGAGGTTGTAACAAGCTCGAGATGGTGTTTTGTTGTAAGATGTTAGGAGGGCAAGATGTAACGAGATTGATTCGTGTCGTATATATCGCTTTTCGGTGGTGGTGAATAAATTATCTCGAGTCCCGTGTCTGGTCTGTCTGAATGTGAATCTAAGAAGGCGGAGCTTCTCGCTTTGAGGCTTCCGTCGCTTCAGTCACCGCCGAGTCTTGCCTTTTCCGCGCTAGCGACCAGGTCTGTGGGTGAAATCTGCAGATGTCGAGCAGCTACCGAATCCACAAACACGTCAGAATCGCAACAACAATGATATCCACCTCGATCGTCTGGGATTTGGACGTCTTTGGAAAAGTGGTGCGCGACGACGACAAGTATATCTTCAATTCAAGGAGGCTGTGGTTCCGCCAAAGATTCGCTGGCTCGTGAAAAGCTGATCCTACCCAACAGGGTGCAGAGGATTTTGCCGGTCCAGATCCCCATACACTATGGCGCAACCCTTACCAATAGCAGGAGCAGATACGACCGTGGACCTAAGCTTTATGCTAGCCAATACCGAATTCTTCGACGATTTCAATTGAGTGCGTCTTTTCGGCCTATGGAAATGGAGATGCGCTTCCGGCGGTTACAGCAATTCGTTCGAGACAGCGATGTTGAGTCCTAGAATCAAACGAAGCGGATGAGGAGCTCGAAAAATAATGTCGAGTCGATATCAATAATCCCATGCAAGCCTACATGGATAGCAGGATGAGGAGTGAGGACGGTCTCGTGATGGCTTCTTGACGAATCATACGCATTACAAAGCCTACGAATCACAACATGCAGACTTGGCAGATGAATGAGATTTCCATAGGATATGGGATTTGCTTTCTTATGAACTCCGACACCTTCGACAATACACTACCACTAGTGTATACATACGAGATCAAGGAGTAAGCATGACATAACGCAATGGTCACGCACAACTGAATTCGATTCGGTGTGATGGGGATTTCTGGAAAGGTTGGTTCGGGGAGCCCTTCCGTATTTCTAGAGGGTGTCCTGTTCTGGATGTCTCAAAGCCAGGTCCGGACACGGCCAAATCTACCGATAATGACTTTGCCATTTTCAAACGCCGATACCTAGATTCGACATTTCGACTGGATACGGGCGAGAACCGTCGGATCACGCCGAATGTTCCCAATGTCCAAATGGCTTACGTCTCGACAAACGCGGTTGCTTTAAATATCCCGATTCACGTACTTGAATCTACCGGCCAAGGATTCAATCCACCGCTTTAACCTTAAATCTATACATCATAGATCCTTGATGGTTTAGTCAACACTACACCTACCCTAAGTCTTTAACACAAAACCAAAACCAAGACTACTTTACAATTCGATCACCTGTCACCAAACCATTTCGATGACTCCAACATGTGAATCTCAGAATTCCATATCCAATGTCTCAATACCACCTCACACCTGGGGCTCAAGCAAACACAGCACAGCCTTAGCCTTACCAACGCCACAAACATGAAATCCGCGTAAGCCACCACGACTACCAACGAGATGGTCATACGCTCATCCTTACTCACAGGAACCAGGCTTTGGAGCTGTCACATGGTGTTGGCCAATAGTTGGGCGTGTCTCAGGTGGTGTTGCACGAGGTCGTTTGGTGGGGTTGGGGTGGTTCGGAGAATAAGGTTGAGGGGTGGGTGATATATGAAGGTGAATAATATACGAAGGTATTGAGGGTGTGGTAGGTGAATTTATTCTTGTAATATACGTTGGCGCTGTGGGCGTGGTAGGTGAATTTCTTTGGTTCGTCTGTCGTTTCTTTATTGGATTTCTGTTGTACGTTCCTGATTAGTACCTTCATTATTTCTTGCAACTTCTATTTTAGACTGGTATGTCACTTTACTAGGTTTCTGCTCAGTCTCTTTACAAGCCATCGTCTATACGCCGCGTTACAGCTCTCATCCTTATACTAGGGTGCAAAGAAGCCGCAACACACTTCTCAGACAACCGTTTTGTTCCCATCTGGGGTTCTGCTCGTAATAAATTTGGATTGTGGGACCATCAGTCGCCTGTAACTTCTAGGCTTTAGTTCCTTGTCGGGGGGATCGTGCTAGAATGACATAATTGGAGAAGGAAGCACTTCATCAATTTTGCCTGCTTTGTGCGATATTCTTAGCATATTGGATTGCTAGAGGCGTGGTTTGGCATCTAGGTATAAATCTATTATGCTGCAATACGAGAAAATCTTTTGATAAACTTTGATTGGTTTTATTTGTCCAGTGTTCCAGCCTTCCAGATCTCAAGGCGGGTTTTGGCAACGCCATTTCATTTAGCTTGTAATCTTTGTATTTCTCTAAGTGATCGTGTGCTTGACAGAATTACTGCTTGCTACAAAAGCGAGCTAGACTGCAAATCCGACTAACCATTCTCAATCCTCTCTTGTAATGGACGGAAATCAATCCAGCATGTGTGAGGAAATTTGTAAAAAGGAAAGTAGATCTTTGAACACCATAATTAGGAAAATATGAGGCCTTGCATTTTTTAGTGTAATGAGTCGTGAGCTGTAAATTACTCTACTCAAGGTGGTTTTGGAGGTGTTTGTGTACTTTTGAAACGTTGAAATGTTAAACTCCATGAAGCCACCATTCAGACGAATCTCATCCCCCAGAGCTCTTCTTATAGTGACAATTAACACTGTAGACAATCAGAAGGCACAAAAGGTGTGACGCTTCTTTTTATAATTAAGTGATTATTGATTATAATGCAAGTTGAAGTGTGTATGCATAGCTATATTTACACCACAATTCGAGTCAAGGCTTTTCTTTGTACCTAAAAAGTGAGCTGAGATAATTTCTAAACCCCGTCTATATCCCCATTATCCTAACATTCTGACCTGTGCGTTTATGTGATAAGTATAACTTCCAACTTCTCTATCACAATTTCTACGCCAAATACTCTGCCACCAGTGGTACATTCTCTGTTGCCAACTTAGCAATATTTTCAACGGCATGTCATTGCGGGGTAGCTGGATCGTACGGAGGAGGATGAAAAAAGTGACGTAAGTAATGAAATACCCCTAGGGGGGCTCTTAGTAGAGTATATATAGAGTAAATGCCGTCCCTATTTCTTTTACATAGGTAGTAATACGTCTAAATTGAGCAGAGCTTGATCGTACACCTTTCATGCCCCTGTATGCCCAGAGAGACTTACCAATGCTCCCATAATATAGATATATACAACCACCAACCCATTTTCACGCCTCCATTAGTCCCTCTTTCGGCGACACCTGCGCCGACCGCTCCAGTTTTTTCCATTTCAATCAATTTGTAGCTAGAACGTCCACTGGGAAAAAGATGAGAACGTAGGTCGAGAGTAACCAAATACTTCTAGTGAAAGCTCTGGGTACCATTTGAATTGAGTAGACTTCTCCCACCCTTTCCTTACACGAGTTGTCGTACACTCAAACCGAGCAGAGATTTTCCATACCCCTCTATGCCGTAAACTCCAAACCATGCACCTATCTCATAATACACATACAACCCCGCTTGATCCCATCCAATGCTCCCACCATATACACATACACCCCTTCCGCCCTCCCTCTTTTCCCACACCCTCTAATCACATCTCCCATCCCTCCACCCAGTCCTCCACCTCTCTTCCCACCTACTACAATCAAACTCCCGCTTCCCCAACTTCCGATTAACCTCATTGTGCGCCTCGCACATCCACTCCCCAAACGCCTGGCGACTCTCCGTCCTCACCCTGTTCCTGGCCATGAAATCCTGGAAGTCCTCCGCGCAGACCCAGCACGGATACAACTTCCCGAAAAGCGACATGAAGGTTTTCGCGTCGGACTGTTGGGTGGGCGAGGGGGCGACCGGGTAGGTGGCGGTGATGGAGTGGAGGAGTGTCCAGGAGGAACGACCGAGGAGTTCGACGTCGGGGGGGCAGTCGTCGGTGGAGGGGGTGGAAGAGGGGGATTTGGTGGGGAAGGAGGAGGAGGAGGGGAGGTGCGAGATGGATTTCGTGCCGCTGCGGAATTGGGAGAGGGTGTTGCATGTTCGACAACTATTCATGTTAGATACGCTTGCGATTTGGACGAGGGCAGCACATACGGTTTCCCATCTTTATCCAATATCACCCCTTTTGCATTTTTCTTCGGCGGTACAGACGCCGCTGTTTTCGTTTCTTCCCGCGTATCATCTGCCATGTTCTATATCCAACCAAATGCTCTTGTTGTGTCTAGAAAAATCCTAGGAATCTGTCGACCAGGCTTTGTAATCCCCCAAAACTAAATGATGCCCCACTTAAACCCCCAATACCCCAGCCCAGCCGTAGCCTTGCATCCCTCGCACGTCACAACCATGACCACCCCAATCCTCCTCCTAAAGACAAAATCCAAACCCCACGATGGCTACGCCGAACTCTTCGCCCAATCCGGGAAATACGAGCCGATCTTCGTGCCGGTGCTCGAGCATAAATTCTTGGATGCGGGACTGAATGTGGTGAGGGGCTTGTTGAGGGAGGGAGGGATAGGTAGAGGGGAGGATGCGAGGTATGGGGGTATGATCTTTACGAGTCAGAGGGCTGTGGAGGCTTTTACGGGGGTTGTTGGGGAAATTGGTGAGTCTTAAATGGCGGAAAGAGAGAGGGATTGGGCTGATGGGGGTAGGTTTGGTGGGGGAGATACTGGGTGATGTACCGATATATACGGTCGGTCCTGCGACGTCGCGGGCGCTGCGGTCGATTCCGAACACCAAGCTTAATATATTTGGAGAAGAGGCGGGGAATGGTGAGGTTTTGGCGGGGTATATATTGGATCATTACGCGCAATGGTATCAACACCGGACTGTAAAACCACCGTTATTGTTTCTAGTCGGAGAGACAAGACGGGATATCATTCCCAAGACGTTGATGAATCCGTCGTTACCACCCGAGAGAAGGATTCAAGTCGATGAGCTAGAAGTGTATGGGACGGGCGTGATGGAGAGTTTTGAGGATGATTTCAGGGAGGTGCTTGCACGGACGGGGGAGGGGAGATGGGTGGTGGTTTTTTCACCGACAGGGTGTGAGGTTTTGTTGAGGCTTCTGAAAGAAAAGAGAGAGGAGGGGACGAGGATTATTACGATAGGACCTACGACGAGGGATTTTTTGAGGGATGAATTTGGGTTTGAGCCGGATGTTTGTGCGGGGAGACCGAGTCCTGAGGGGTTGATGGAGGGGATCGAGGGGTTTGAGGGTGGTGAGGGGAGGGGAAGGTGAGTTACGATGATGACTTTGAGAATTGATTGTGAGGTGATTGTGATCCTATTGTCTCGACGATTCAGAATGAAGATGAAAATCACATCGCAACTTCGACGTATTCACGAGGGAGAAAGCGGTGTACTTAAATCTTCCACAATACCAACACCACGACTCCAACAATACAAAGCTCACAATACGCGAATATTGTGGGAAAACATCAAAACCGCTCGAAGTAACTACTTCTGCCAGCATACTCTCTCAGTCGCGACAGAATCGCATCACAAGCACTTCTCATCGTCGACCACTAAAACCATCTGTACCAACATACTCCTTATGAGCGACAGAAACGCACCATAAACCACGTCCTCCTGGTCACTTCTTTAACTGGCGACAGCACTACTCCGAAAGTAATACAGTCAACAGCATTCAAAATGCCACAACACACCATCCAAATCATCCTCCTCATCGCCCTCCAAAGCGCGCTAATATCCTGCTTCCCTACAAACTTTAATATCATCTCCCACAACGACCCCACCACCCTCCAACTCGCATCCAGAGAAGTCATCACGCCCGAAACACCGAATCACATCAGTGTCCCGTTTATTATCGCTGCTGCGCTGGTCATTATAGCGGCGTTAGCTGTTCTTGGTATTGCGTTCCTATGTGTGAGGGCGAGGGTTCTGAAGGGGCTTGAGAGGAAGGGTGTGCGATAAGGGGTTGATGGGAGTGGTATAGAAGGAGAAGTGGACGAAGAGGAGTGTTTGGTCTGGATGGGCATAGGGAAGACGGGTAGGAAGATTGGATGGGGAGGAGGGGTTTGCAGGATTGATGTGTAGTGGAATGATCTGAGTCGCAGTATGGGTATGCACGGGTATGAATTGTTGTAGGAAGCCAAGATCTTCAACAAATAAAGGGAATAATTTAGGGGAGCTGTGGTGGTGTATTAATACCTTGTACCACTCAGTCGCCATCTTTCAACGTGTACATCAAAAGCGTACGTACAAGATCAAGACGCAAAATTCGAAATTCGAAATCCGAATGCCAACTCGAGTCCCTGCCAAACTATTTCAAGTTCCGAGCTTCAATGGCCTTCATATTTCACAACACTCTCATTTATCTCCAAACACTCCTCATAACCCTCACCACCGCCTCCTCATCCACAACCGTCCACCCAACCTTCTCCCCTCTTCAACCCAGGAAGTGTTCCATCCCAAAACCCCTACTCGACGCCAAACTCGTTGGCATAATTCTCCGATCAACATCCGTCATGATTCTCGTGCTACGTTCCTCCCTCTGGTTCAAAGATCTCGATCCGGGTCGTTGGAAGATCTGCGGGGTAAGAGAGGACTTCAAACTGGGGAATATAAGCAGGAGCGGGGAAGGGTTGGTATTTAGGTGTTAAATTGTTGAGGTTGATTCTTGACTCCGCTAAATCTAACTCGCCTGTTTGATCATTCACAATCGTCACAATGATTTTTTGAAGACTCGAATTGTTGATTGCACTTTGATTAAAGTTACGTATTGTAGTGATTTACGTAAGGAGAATTCATGGAAATTCAATGCTGTTATCGAGCGTGTCAAGCAATAGGTCGAACTGAGACATTGCGTATATAGTAAGCTTTGTAGGTCCGTATATCTAGTCAGTGAAACCTGGTATCTACCGTGGCTATAGATATAGTATGTAATCCGATCACCTAACTATACAAGCCTACCGTCAATTCTTCCTTGGTATTCCGTTATTTTTCCTTGTTATTCAAGCGTTATTATGTATATCATCTAATGATTGGGGATCCTCAAGATGATAATTCAAATTCAGTAGAACCCTTAATGGTATGACGCGAGACTAGAACAATAACGTATAGAGGTTCGAGGGGGCCGGGGGGGGGGGNGGGGGGGGGGGTGGGG